ATTAAGGAAGTTTGAAATATAATTATTGACACTATATGCATTGTTTTCTGTTGCTGTGTTGTGGCGAGGAAAACCGTTTGCATCAGCCGAACTCTGACCACCAAACCATAGAAAATGGTTCCCAAGATTGATAACCTGCCGTGCAGTTGCCTTACGTTGCTTTTTATTTCTTCTTGACGCGGGGTTTCCTCTAAGATAATCTGCGTTTGAACCCAATCTGTTTGTACCTTGATGCTTGGTTAGACGGTGCCAAAAATAACTCCGCTTGTGTCTGTGGTCCTTATCTCTTTTTGCTCCTTTTAGTCTACCCTGGGAGCTCTTCTTCGAGAAAACTTCTTGATCAGTATCAAAAAGAGCCCGGTTTGCACTAAAAATGATCGAAGAGACTGAAGAAGAATTCAGTGCTTTCGCTAAACTTTCGTCTTGTTGAACTTCCGTCTGTCTTTGTCTCCCCTGTAAGTTATTGAGCCTTCGGGTTAATAAAGCTTCGTTTGAGTAAGGTTCCAAGATATTTTCCGAGAAAGTTCGATCAGCTGATGATTCCTCTCGAAATGTTTGATCATTGACCTCGCTTCCCAAGTTAACTTTGTCGAATAATAATTTCGCTTTGGAAGCTAGGATATCTGAATTGAACTTTTGCTGAAGCTTGTTAGATTTCTCTGTTCGTACTAGCTCTTCTAGCAAGACCTTGTTAAGAGTGTCATTCAAAAAGTTGCTGTTGCTTGAGTTACTTTCTATGTCTTTTGGTAAATATTCAGACGAATTCAGTGTATCATCTGGCTCAATGTGAATATGATTACTCTGATCAGAGCTCTTTAATGGTATCGTGCTGGGAATCTGAAAGTCGAAGGACTGTCCTTTTCTTAAGCTTGAGATATTCACCTCAAGTGAAGGTGCTTTTGGATATAACGCAAGCTCTTCATTGTTTTGTGACTGATTTGATTTTTGCGATGAACCGACTGGCTCCATGCCACTAAGACTTGGTGGTCGACTATTTTGCTCCTCCATGGGTGTCGCATTACCTGAGGTGTTATTTTCCTTAGAACCGAGTTCAGAGAGATGTAGTACTGTTTCTGAAACTGAGACGTTTTGTGTCTTTCCTTTAACTTTTTGAGGTCCAGTTAAATTTGTCGTTGTATTGTCTAATGCTTTAGTCTGATTTGCCCCAGAGTCTTTTCGCAGCACTGTTTTGATGAAAGTTGTGTCATTATGTGTACTTGTTTTAATTTTTTGAGCTGTGGATGACGGTGGTGAGGAACTACTTGCTGTTTTATTTTGTCTGAAGTCTGGATCCGCTTGTTGCAGTATGCTTTCAGGAATTACTATAAGCGGTGATTTTATTTTATAAACCCCAACTGTGTCTTTACCCGTCTTTTCCAACTTTGATGAAGACGTATTCACCTTCATGGAAATTGGCTCCGCATCCGCTTTATCTGGTTTTAAATTTTTGAACAGATTTGCATTATCTTGATTCCTGTTACTCTTATTCAAGTTCTTCGTCTGGGTCAAGGCATTTGACATATTTCCTCCTGAATTGGTAAGTATAATCTTAACGGGACGGTTGACATACTGTGACTGATTTTTAGATGAGATTATTCTTAATGTGCTTGCCACAGTTGAAACATTTTGTTTGATTTCCTTATCATGGATATCCGTTTTGTTTTCAGCTACTTTTCTCATTTCGTCTAGTGCCCACTTCGCACTATCCTCGTCTTCAGAATTTCCCAAAATTCCATAATCAGCAGTCTGGTGTGTTGCTTGAGAAGATGTGGTAGTACTTGATGCGTTTCTGGAATGCTCATTGTTTCGTGTATTGTTTTCCTTTTTGTTTGTCGTGTTCTCCTCCACCAAACTACTCGTGGCAACGACCGAGAGCTTTCTCGCTTTCTGCTCAAAAGGGAGCCATCTTTTTGTTAATCCTCTTTTATCGTGGGTATGCCCTCCTTCATAGGGATGGATCTTCCTTCCTTGTTTTGGTTTCTCACTTTTTTTTAAGGCAGTGGAGACATCTCTTCTTTGCAATTCATTGTTAGCAGACGAAAAGGAAGGTATCGGTTGCTTGTCATCTGAAGGTTTTTTAAAAAAAGATAACTTTAAATTTTTAGTGGTCCCTGAGTTACCAAACTTTTATGATAAACCATTGTGCGGAATGCAAAAAATTGAAGTCCCATAATTCGAGGTCAGTTGTTGCATGATCGACTATGCGTGTTGATGTGAATTTCTTTTGGAGTAAACTTGACTTAAAAGAATTGCAACAGACTATTTTGACGAGGACTGCTTGACATTGAATGAAGTCCTTTAAACTCATAGAGGTGTTACAATTCTGATATACGTTTAATCATTTTACCGACAGTTCATTCAAAAAATGAGACTAATGATATACAATACATAAATTTACCTGCTGAGGCCAACAGGAATCCCTTCAGGAAAACAAAAACAAACAGGCTCACCACAAGCCTTTGTCTCACTCTTGAGAGAAAAAAATAAAGTCAGACAGATAAGCAACAGACTCCAGACTACAAATAACTATGAAAGATATTGATTCTATAGGAGATGGTTGGACTCGGCTTTGGATCACAGTAATTCAAAATTCGTCTGCCACCTGCTTTAAGAACAGCGTCAAACATGTGTCACATTGTTCCGTCAGACCTTGCTATAATTGGCTCACAGAGAAAAACTAAACTACGGGAAACTGTGTGATCTTGTTGTGTCTTCACGGCGATTGCTGTTTAATTATTATCACATTTGGGCAATCATGAAAAAAACCATAAGGCTTTCATTGTTACCCCATCTTACTGTAAACGATGTTCTAAGTACCCGAAAATGTCAGAATCCTGACCTAAAAACTTGGAGTAACGGAAGAGTATTTCTAGTCATTACTTTTAAAAGGCGTTCTCTTCTTATTTTACCTCATTTTGATGCCATGGATGGGCTCAATAGTTTGTCTAAAGGAACGAATCTTTCTCGAGATTCTCAGTCCTAGTTTTTGCGATGTGAAATGCATTCTATTTCCATGATCTAAACATGTAAAGGGATGAAGTGATAAATATTTATTTCTTTTGAGGATCAGTGATTTTTCCCTGCAATACATGATCTTACTGGCTGGTGTTTTGCTATTAACTATCCAGTTTGAAGAGGTTCGACCCGGGAGACTGCATGTGTTTTGAACAGGCAAGAAAGGGCACTGACTTTAATCCGACGCCTTCGATTCCAGACAAAAACTATGGATATTCCCTTAGTTTAGGACTGCATTTGCAGTTATAATTTATCGGTTGAATAGTAAACAACGATATTAGCTCTTCAGAGCGATTATCGACCAAGATAAATAAAGGAAAAAGGCAAGCCATTTAATTGGATGCCCAGACACAATGGTCGAATATCGTAGGGAGTGGGATGTGTGAATGAAAAGAAAACTGCGATGTTCAAAATAGCAAAATTAACACAATTAAGTCTTTTTTATCCTGGCGAATATGACAGGTACCAGCCGATGACTAACTACGTGTTTTAGATTGTCATCGCTCCTGCCATCCGGACAAAGAGGATATAAACTTAAACAAAAGTCAGACCTTAAAGTGGCTCAATAGTGAGCATATCCCCATTTGCCAAATAAAAAATAAAAAAAATAAAAGTGACCTTCAAATATAGCATTTTTCCGAGATAGGAAGAAAATACAGGTAGCAACCAGCATTGTTTGTCAACCTTGCGATACCCAAGAATTAACCATGTCTTAGAGGCATTGCAGCAACAGATACAGTGGCTCTTGCCTTTTCATGTGTTTTAAAGTGTGAAGCTTAAAGGTATGTGCTATCCTGAAAAAAGGATGGAGAACAATTTTATTTCTCATTGATCACGAAAGACTACAAGCGCAAGTTCCAGTTTCCTAAACTACCTTGCAGTCTTGAACCCCTTCCAGAGCGCCATCATGCTTTTGTTTGTAACTGGCCCACGAAGAAACAGTAATGCCCTCTCCTCAAGGCAAGTCCAAACTGCCCGGTCCAGAGCCCACCCCTTTGACAATAAGAGAATAACATTCCCTATAACACAACATCACCTTACTGAGAGGTCATCCCTGAAAAATTTCACTAGATCAAGTTTTGTAGTTAAATGTTGAAAATGAATAACAAGGAAAAGCAACGATCTTTGTTAGGCTGCAAAGTTATTTTGCTGAACCTTACAAATAACTTATTCTTGAAAGTTTCCGAAAGGAAATCCTCATGAAAAGAAATTTTTTAACATAAGGATGATCATTAAGGGATATCTTTTTGTCTATTAAGTGGAAAAGGGGCACGTGATAACTCTTTTGTACACTATAGAAAAGTATTCCTGATGTGCGTAAGGAAGGTCATCATAAATGAAAATGATGATGATCATGAGGCAATCCTTTATAACTCACATTTTCCAATTTTGCGCAAGGTCAAGGAAAATGTTCTTTTGTTTTATTCAATCATATATTAATATTCGCAAATACAGACAATAACCACACATATACTTTTTATCTTTATTTTTTCAATCCATAACTGATAGAAAATAGCAAGATAACTGACAGTTGCCCATATGATACAATATTATTTTTCCTATTTGTTTTTGGCTAATGTGGTTTGCCGATATTTTCATTACGTATTGTTCAATTTCTTCAAGGTTTGTATAACATGATACACCTCCTTACTGATCAGTTCATGAATGATGTCTGCCCGCTTTTTGAAAGATTTTGACAGTACCTGTTTACGTGCCGTGCTATCAATTTACAGTCAGACCTATACCACTTGTGATACTCCTAGGATCTCAAATAACCTGACCCTCGTCGACTAAACTCTTATTTTTAGCAGAGACTCTAGCTTGGTTTCCTGCTCACTGTTAGATTCTCTTATTTTGAAAAAAAAGGAAGCTCCATAAATAAGCACGCCCACTCCCACCGCCAAATGAAGGTTTATGATCGAATGCTTTTACCAGCTGAACAGTCATGCACCAGAGGAAATTAATTAGCGGAGTGGATGCCGCTTTTATCCCCTGCTCTTCTTGATATTAGGTTTATTGTTTTGTGACATTTGCGCTTTCTTTGATGAGGGAACCAAATTTTTCCCTCCTTTTAAAACTTTTCCTCTTCTAAATGCAAGGGATCGATCATTATTTAAATCGTTAAAGTTTATGGAATCTTCGTCCTTAGATAAGATAGAGGGCATACTCATGGAGCCAACCGGTAGCCGTAACCCATGTTCAAGATTTGAATCGAGTTCAAGTCGAGCAACCCTTGACATGGAAGAACTTTCTGGTGACCTAAAAGTAGATTGAAGCTTCAACATACGATCTAAATCTGGGTTTGTTTGCATTGGAAGATTTCCTCCTCTCGCCTGATTGTCGCTTATTTCTTCCATTACCAAATTATTACCCACTGATTGACGCAACGGTAAATGCCTTTCATTGGCTTCATTCCGTTCTACAAAATCATCTCCCTGACTAGAAATACCTTGCTCTTCCCTTTCATTTTCCATATACATACGCTGAGTGGGGTTTGAAGTGCGTTGTAGCACTGAAGACGATATTGGAGTGTCGAATCCACCGGCTCTTTGAAGGAGAGAACCTTCTCTCTGAGGAGCTTCCAACACAGAACTCTGAAATTCAGAACTTCTTGATGTTGGAGGGCCCAGTGGCCTGATCATCGAGGGAAATGTCAAGTGGTTTCCAACCATAGGAGATCTTCCTATAGGAGAACGACCTCCTAAGAAAGATGCACCTTTCAAAGGAGAATTACCAATTGGTTGATTGGACATTGGTGCAAGAGCACCATTGTCCAATATTTGGGCATGAATAGGTTGCTCCGACGTCAAAGGTGTTCTCATGTTGCCTTGTAGCTGTAAGCTGGGCTCTGGAAGAAGTGAAGAGCTCTGAAGACCGTTGTTAAGTTGCGAGAAGCTATTTCTATCGGCCAAGTCTGGAAATGCTTCATTGCCTTCCGTCTCTTCCCGGTTGTTGGCAAGAAGAAACTCTTGCATCATCTCGTTTAAAACAGAATTCCTGTCGGAACTTCCAATAGCCTGGCCAAGTATTTGATGAATCAGCTTCGAGCTGCCTTGGGTTGGCATTGGGCCAAATCCATTAAGTCCTTCACCATTCAATGCCTCGTTGAGGCTACCAAAATTACCAAGCGTTCCATGGCCATACAGCTTTGCCTTTAACGACTTCAGCAAGGGAACCATTTTCAAACCATGATGTTGCTTTCTACGTATATTCAGAAGTGGATCATTATCCCAGTTGTCGGATAAGCCATTCTGAATACCTCCTCCAAAAAATGACTCGCTAGGACTGTTCGTGTCATCTAGAAAGGGCATTTGATTGTATGATCCTCGACTCAGCTTACTCAGAAGTACTCTCTTTAACCACGGTATCATTCTCGTTGGCCATATCATTGCCTTCTTAGAATGGTGCTTGTCTTTACAAGCCTCACTTTCATTTGAAACATTAAAAAGCGCACATAGAAGCTGGCGAAATTTAGCTTTTTGTTCCTTTTTATCTTGGCTACTGTCATAATAATGGGTTTTTTGTTCTTTAGGCTTAGAGCTGGTGTCATTAATCTCATTTCCAGTTTTATTTTCCTTCTTTCCGACAACTTTTTTTATAACTGGCAAATGATTATTGTATCCTTGCTTAGTTTCCTTCTCTCCCGTGAGGCTCTTGGTTGTTGACAATTTCCTGCCCTCAGATTTTCCCTTCTCTTTTGTGGAGTTAATCACATGTGACATGTTGAGTCTCCCCCCATCTCTGTTTGCATCAGAACTTTCCTGCAAAAGTACGCTCCCATTGTTGTCCCGAAAAAAACTAACGAGCTTGTCTCCCTTTTCTTTCTTATCCTTATGAAGTCCTGCAAAGTAACAGTGATTAACTTGCATTAATGTACGTTTAAGTATTATCATTACTTGCAAGATAGCACAGACAAACAGCAGAATATTACCATTTGAGAGCTCACAATAAACCCCAATCAAAACGACCGCTGTCAAAATCACCCTCATCGTAATAGTTGACTGCAAAAATAAAATGAAATGCAAATTAGCAATTGTTGTTTTGTTTATTAACAGAAGTAGTTAAAGGAGCTCTACAATATATCTCGTTAATACGTTCGGTCAATCAGAAAAAGTTTACCGTTATATTTGTCCAAAAAGGTGATTAAGATTATAAAGTTTCGTTTAAATAGCAAAGGAAACCTACTATTTCATTAAATGTTACGGATAAGTTCAATGGAGAAGTCGTGAATTTTTTAACGAAAAATGCATTACGCCGGGCTCTTTCTTAAAAAATATTCTACGATCTACCGAAAATGTCATCCGGGAGATATTACCTTAATTTCGATCCAGGGAATAGTGAAACACCCTACTACATGTTATCCACTTCCCTCACATCAGAGATCCTTCCGAGAAATTCTAAACAGCGTCAAAAGGACAAATCATGATGATTATAACTATCTTAATGTCTATTGTCGTGAAATAATGATGGTTTTCCCTCTCAACCAAAATGATGTAAGATATACTGCATTACTTATGCATGAATTAGGCTCAGTTCCTTATCTACCACTGGTTTTACTTCATGAGGTTAGAAACTGTCATTTCCACTTTTCAGTGTTGCTAAATATTTGTCTGATATTTGTTTTCTTTCTGTATCCAGAGTATCATCGATTAAAGCAGACCATTCTGGTGAAATCTCTTCCTTTGAGCTCGAGTTTTACTCAAAAGAAACTTACTAGACGGTAAAACAGAGCATTCAGCGTTAAAATCATCATCTTTCTCGAGAGACCAACATCTATGAGAATATGTTAAGAAAAAAGATTTTCCCTCATTGGCGCTTCTTAGTAATAAGTTTGGCTCAAGTTGGTATCAACTCAAGCAAAACATTGAAATTGCATACTAGACGCTTCGATGAGCAACCTGCTTCATCGGTTTCTGTAATAAAGATGAAGCGAAGCGAAAACACGAAAGGAGAATGAGCTTTCTTCCTTTTTCCTTATTCGTATGGTAGATATACAGTAACATATTGATTTGTCTGAAATTTAATCAAAAATTGTTTAGTAAAATTTTAGTCAACTAGAGGGGTTGTTTAGACTAGTTTTATCCCCACCTGTATTGCCAGAGTTCGCTCAGGTCTCGTAGCAAGAGGCTACGTTGAAGGAATGTTTCTGTTCATTATCGTCGTTAGGCCGTTGCCTCGCAGCAATGCATTGTCTTTCCCTGACGGTTTCCTTAAATCACTTATACCGCTAGGGAAGAGGTGCATTTGAAGGAAGAAACCTTTTTTCTCTAGAACGCGACATTATTTAATCCTAACGTTACTAATTGTTAACTTAAGTCACATCTTACAACCTTATTTTTCCTTTTCGTTTGTGGGCAGGGTGTGTGGTTATGTCATAGATGATGGCTTAAATTGTAACAGTGCAACCAAAACTAAAGAATTCGGCTGTTGACCGAAACTTTGACTATATCATATGCATAGAGACACAATACTGTAGCAGCGCAATAGTTGGCGGGTGGGGCTCAACCGTCGACCCTCGCGGTTCTACACGTCTTTCTTTTTCTTCTCCCTCTCTGCCTTCTTCTACTGTGCTCCGCCGTGAAACGAACATCTGATCGTAGGGTATGCCAGAGCTAACCGGCCAGGTTTTTTGAGGTTTTCCATTTCTCATTCTTACCTCTACAATCCTAACCAACAATCCTAAATGCTTCTGTGCAGTGAGTGACAGCTGGAATCAAGGAACAATCATGATTTATGATAGCCGTTAGAGCTAGGTTTTTGCCGATCTGCTCCCAGGTGAGAAGCCTGATAACTCGTAAATGAGAAAACTATGCCTCTTTACAATTTAGTACTCAAACCAAATTCAAAGAAACACAACCCTCCACATCTAACTGTACTTTGATAGAATGGTTGCCCGTAATTCTATAATTTAATAAGAGTAAAAGAATTTCAGAGCTACTTATAACATGAGTTTCGCTTAGCTTGGTAAGTTATCTTTATTAAGGTCCAAATGAATCCTAAAAGAAGTACTAAGGTGGCAAAGAACCAGAAAATTATTGGTCTGGGGACCCGCAATATAGCTATCTTCCATTCGACTTAAGTACATTAGATTTCAAACGTCACCGAAACTGTTATTATAAATATCATATTTGCTTGTATTATAGTATCAGGTATTCGGATTATTAAATCTATTTCCTAGAGTTGGTATAATTAATGTGACAAAACTCTTAATTATTCCATTGATGTTTTCTCTTAAGATGGTGCATTCCCACCCGTGTCCTGTGATGGATTGTTCGTTTCTGTGAAAATCGCTTATGAAAAAGCTTATGCTTTACACGGGAGTACTTTTTGTGCTTTCCATGCGGAGAATCATCTTCAACATGAACCATTTTAGAAAGTTCATGGATAGTTTTCATCAGTTTTTTTACTTTTTCCTGAAGTATTGACGAGCTTTTGGACGATGGAACTGATTCCTTTTTAGAATAGCTGTTTTCTGACTTCATTAATTTCAACATTGCTTTGATAGCGACTTCAACGCTTTTCCTAGCCAGAGGATCCTTCACTTTATTGAAAACAGCACCCAGAACTCTAGAAGCCTCAAGATAATTAGCGGCGTCATTTTCACTGGCACTTGTAGTTATACCTTTATGTTCTTCAGTTTCTGTAGTAGTGACAGGCACTGTTGCTGAGTTAGAACCAGTAAGACTCCCGGACTCGTTTTCCTTTACCACATTTAAGACTCGGTTACTTCCTTTGACAGTTCCAGGTATTTCCTGATTTAATAGACTGGAGATGGAAAACGTAGGTAACGTTGATATTGTTGCTTTGTCAGTATGTACTTCAAACATTTGTTCAGACGGAGGGTTTGCCTCGGAAACTTCTAAAGTTGGGTGATAATCAGAAATACTCGGTATGTTCGCAGTTTTTCCAAGTTCACCTATAGGTTCCATTTTAACACGATGAAACTCGGACGTAGATCCCGTTTGAAGGTGGTTTATGTCTGGTGAAAGAGTTTTAGTTGTCTTTTGGGAGATTTCTTGAGGACTGTTACCCGAATCAATTCTGATGCTTTCGGTTTCATTAGACTTTTCACCCCCATTTTCAATACCTTTGATAATATTCTCGATGTTTTTCGTGTCGACATCAAGTAAAGAACTGTCATCTTTGTCATTCTTCGGGGAATCTACAAGTGATAACTGAGTCCCTTTAGTATCAGAGAAGGTTAGTGGGAACGAGAGATTAGTTTCGAAGTTTTCAGATGTTTTGGCCTCCTTATTTACATCTTTTCCAGAACTAAGTTTGTTGTGGTCAGACGGATGGCCGTGTTCCTTCAGAGTGTTCTCGATTTTTCCTACCGTCGACGAATCCAGTTTCAACGTCTTACGCTGTGAGCTGTTCATTTTATCAATTTCGTATATGTCTTTTAATTTGTCAACCAATAGAGAGAGTAGCAATTTCGTGACAACATCAGACTTATTATCTTTCTTTTTCCTTTTGCTTTTGGCATGATGTCTCGATTGGAGATATGGGGTCTTGTTTATATTGTCGAGATCACTGTTCGGTAGGTCATTAAAATCCATACTTTCATTTGGCAAGAGGGGTAGACCAAGGCCTGATTTTCCAGATTGTGATTTTGCCAACTTTTCTTCAAGCAAGGGACTGTTAAATCCACTCAATTCAGAGTTTCCAGTCATTTGAGGCGACAATCCATTGTCTTCCGCAGGACTATTAGCAGTTGTTAATCCTCCCACCGATGCTAGGCTTTTAAGATTTCCAAACATCAGATCTGAAAGGACTTCTTTTGTTAATCCATTGGGTCCAGTCAATGGGTTTCCCGCTATATTTCTAAAATAGCTTGGCTCAACTCCTAATGGACGGCTAACACCATTTTCAGACGCTCCTTTCTCTATCTGTGCAGCATACCTAGAAAGCGGTATCGGTAGGCCTTTGCCTACTTGTGTAATGGAAGGAGACTGTGGCATACCACGAAGCTGTTGTGTAAGTTCGTTCAAATGTGCAATTTGATTCTCAATCTGCTGTGAAGGTATCTCAGAACTTGTCTCCGGAATCCCACGGAAGGCCATAACTGAGGGGTCAGTAGCTGATATGGTGCCGGCAAACGGACTGATCTGATGGATCCTTGGTGGAAGAATGAACTGTCGAGCCACTGCTGTTGTTGAATTATCATTGTTACCTTAAACCAAGACATGACTTGATTCATTTAGATAATAGAGCAAAAATTTTGCAGTTGTGCGAAAATTTTAACACACAGGTTCTGGGTTTTTAGGTTTTTAGAAGGTACCTGTTGTGATGGAGGCTCCAGCAAAAAAGTATAATAACGCAGTTAGGAGGAAGCCAAATTTGTAGCCTGTCATCGTTCATTTAAAGTGTCATCGTAGTATTCGTGAGCTGTTAGGAAAGAAGACAAATGAGGATGTTGCGAAGAGATGATCATGCTATTGATATAAATTGTTTTAAAACTGTTTTGTGATTGTAATTTAACATAATCGTCGGCCAATTAATCTAACTGTGCATAGTTTATGTCTGTTCAGCAATGGGGCTAAGTTAATTCTCAGCAGGTGTTTCTTTAAGGACCACTTTAAAGATAATTTCTCAAGATCGATCGAGCAAACAAGCAAAAGTGGTTGAGGATTGATCCTATTGCTGTTCAGTGGTCGAAAATTACTCAACCAAATCAGATACTTCGGATCCCTCTGCTTCGCTGTATCACATCAAGAACTCCTCGTAAACTTAGTCTACATTGCTAACTATGTTAACACTTTATTTAGTGACTTAGCATTGATTAAATCCATGTTAATTATTGTTTTTTTCTAAATCAGTAAAGAAGATCTAACAAAAGAACTACCTGGTAGGATTATGTGTTAAATAATGTTAATGGCGATTTCTTACCTTTTCCCACAGTTACGCCTGGACAACCGTTTTAAGCTTAAATAAAATTATCTTCCTTTCGACATTTCAACCGTTAAAACGTCAGGGAAACTAAATAAGAAGACTCGCTTGCCATTCAAGATGTTAGCGAAATGACTTCATTCTCCATTTTGGAAAACTTCCCTCGTCCGCAATTTCAAACTAAATATTTAATAAGCTGCAATATCTCTGTCACCAAAAAGAACAAAGAAAACCTATTATACCATATGACATCTTTAAAAAGACTTTAACAAGGTTAAGTGTTAACATACAACGGTGGAATGGTGCTGTGGGAAATAACCAACAATACATTACAGGTATATCATAATATAAAGGAAGGGGTCAATTTTGCCCTTAAGTAATTCATAATTTTAAAGGAAACTGTGGTGGATTAGAAAACGTGTTGGGAATTTTTTTTAAGTGATCTTTGACGGCTGAAAAAATTATGATTTGCAAAAAATTGACGGCTTCCAACGTTGTTAGGACCTTTTCGATGGGATGCATCATCTCCTTATTCAACCGAAAATTTCCTCCATCGCAGTTGTCGGAGATTACCACTATAAAGAAAGATAGATAACCGTCCAAATATGAAAAATATACAAGAATTTTCCTTTCATAGGGGACACCTACCCAAAACTTTTTTTGGCGGAATTGTTAAATTCATGTCATCTTTCAAAAAAAATTTTACGGTTTTCGAATGAGAATTAAGTCAAACGAGCCCTCCTTTTAAAAGCATTCTCAAATTCTTCAGTCTCTCCCCCTCGGTATGCAACAGCTTTCTCTCCTCCCATTTAGAAGTGAATCTGTCATACCATCTGTAAAATTTAAAAGACTTTTCCCCTCTTAAAAAATTGCTTGTACAAGTGGTCACGAACAAAATAGTTTTTCTTCTGGACTATAGAGAAGGGAGCATTGCGCGTAGGCTCAATCAACGCATTCCCCGATGTTTGCTAAAGTTTAAGGCGTCACAAAATTTGATAAACTTTAACAACTGTTATGGTGCGCAGTGTTCCAAACATTTTATTGATCCTTTTTTCATTCAATTGAAGAAATTCACCAGTAATACCCGTCAATGTATACGATGAAATATATCTCAATTGTCTCATTCCTTTCAGTAATTGAAATTCTTCTAAACAATTTTAAGCACCATGCAGAGGTCTTGTTGGTTTCTTGTCAGTTGTTTTATCGTTAGGGATTAGTGGTATAACGTATGGCTTATTCTTCAGAATGTTGGCCTTGGGGTGTATGGTAACTATGGGAATCCTTTGGAGGTTTTTTCTTTCATCTGCTTTTGATAGCGAAGCTGCCTTCACGGCCTTTCGAAGAAATTCCTTATGCTTTGATCGCGGTTTCTTTCTGGCTGACGCAGTCTCTCCTCTTCTGGAGAAATACGAATTGCCTCTCATTCTTCCCGTTCCAGGCATCATCATACCCATTCCGTTCATCATCCCATGCATTCCAGTCATCATCCCGTTCATTCCATTTATGCTCCCCATGCCATTCATTCCCCGCATTGGCTTTAATCCATGTTCGCTTTCCATAAGGTTGATAACACCATTATTATTTGATCCACCATATGATAACCCAGGAACGTTGGTCATTCCACCACCAGTTTCAGAGTAACTGTTACTCCCTTTTCCTCCTCCTACTATCTGGGAAAGTCCGCCAAACATCAACCGCTCAAACATTCCAGGTCCATTAGCACCATCACCAGGTCCATTGGCATCAGTTGCACCATCACCTCCCTTCTGATTGATTGGTATCTGTATAGGTTTAACTTCATTATTTCCCATGTCATTAGTGTTACTCTGCATATCATCTTGCATGCTCGTTTGCATATCGGGTTGCATCTCGTCCTGCATATTACTCGCTGGTGATGTCGGATTGATGTCGCCATCATTAGTTTGCTGTACTATTTGCGTTTGAAGAGGAGTGATTCTCCGTCCATTTACTCTGATATCATTGGTTAACTGGTTCATGATTGCTAAAAGCCTCTGTTGTGATACACCTCCTGTTCTGTCAACATAGGATGCAACGTTTTCATGGTTATTACTCCAGGGTATTCTTCCTAGGCTATCATCCAGCTTGGTTTTTATCATAGCACTATTGGCCTCCTGGTATCTTAGTTGCTTTCGATAAGCGGTTTTCTCATCAAGTGGCTGCTTTTTCATTTCGAGAAATCTGTGTTTGGCTTTTTGGGGAATGTTAACTTTTGGTTGATGGTGGACTGAAAAATGTTTTCCGTGGTGGGTGGTATCTGAAACGACAATATTTTGAGTTGAAAAACTCAGTTAAAATTGTTTCATGCTCATTTTCCATTTGTACAAGAACGTGTTCTTTAGCTTTTCATTACATTCTGGGTACTATTTTCCCTTCAATACGAAGAACAATTGTTATTGTATCAATGGGTCTTCTGTTTCCATAAAAAGAACAAAGAAAACATGCATGGGGAAATATGCTCAGATCGAAATGAAATTAAAACAAACAAGCAATTCACTCAAACTTTCCAACCGCCCTGGGTTTAGCATCTTAGGCAGGTAGCTCGTTAGAACAGATAATAAAAGGGGGAAGCAGAAAAACTAGTTTTGGATGGTTAAGAAATGACGAGTCAAGACCGAACTGCAATGCCAGTACTCTTGTTTGAAAATTCTCCTCTACAACACTAGGTCTTAACATTGGAAGCTCTATCAGTTCCATTTTGTTATACTGTGCCATTACCTATGTTTTTTGGCTTAGGGGCTGAGCGGATTAGTTCTTTCGAAGAACTTTAGAAGGAGCTATTACTTTGTTCATTCGGCATAATAAAGATTTCTTCGCCCTCTAATGGATTTCATAATGCTTTTCTGGCACTACAATAATATTCTCTCAAACAGGAGAAGTTGTGTTTGTTTTGATTTAAAATAGTATTGATATTTCACTGGGCCTTGTTGACACAAAGCAGGTTACATTACACCTGATGGAGTTCAAACCTGTTGTTTGGGACAAAGATAAAATTATCCCCACAGTGAATAGGATGATATTTGCCTTCATTGCAGATGAGACGACTACAGAAAGAAACAGAAAACATATCAAATTTAGGGTACCATCAAAACGTCTCCGAAGTAAAGTTAGCAACTGTGGTATCCAATAAAAAGTCCAACGATTAGATCCTTCACGAGTTAGCTTAGAAACTCAATCTGCTCAAAGGAAAAGGAGAACGATTGAGTCTTTGAAATAGCTTTAAATTGTGATTGTCTGAATGCAACAACTTTTAGTACACTCCACCCTACGGCGGTTGTTTTAACTGAATTATGTAATGTTTAAAGCCAAAGAGAAAAGTAAACAGACTGGATAATTCCTCTTGGCCAACTTACCAGAAGTCCTAATGGTTCCGGCGATTCGTGTAAAAAAGGTAATGTCACATCAAAGTCAGTGAGAAACGTCTCTAAGAAGTTCCTTATTTCACGATCTGTTTTGTTTCCTCTTCGATAAGATTCCAAGCAATGAATAATTAATTATACTAATAAAATGTCAACTTTGTGACTACTCAATTTAAACATTTTCAAGAGTGACTTGCCGGTAAGTGCATGTGACTGGCATGACCTCTGTGCAAGAGCAATCAGCATTTATCCCGCGATTTAGATGTGGCTTTATTCGATTAACATTGTTTCGGGATACATCCAAAAACTCCTGTTTTGACTGATTCATCTGATCAAACATATATTTTATCAGAATAGCGAAGAATACTGGGACTTGAACACTAACCTGGAATCTACAGGCCCCGTGGCCGTCTTGTAGCTGTATGCGGTTTTGTTAAGTAATTGGCTTTCATCTTTCAACAAAGACTCGTTTAAGTTGCCAAGAATCCCTCATAATGTTGAGAAGCAATTCTCATCAAGTTGCTGTAAAGTCATATTTTCCTGCCAGAGAAGACTGAAAAAGATTGTCATGTGCGTCGGAAGCACACCGTGAAAGATCAAGCCTCATATAGATAGGTAGATGATGACAGAAACGTAGTTAACTTAGTGAAACACAGAACTTTTAAGAATGGTATTCGCATAAATAACAGACTCCGTTTCTAGAAACTATGCTCGGATATATATGTCCGCTTTACAAACTTCTCCACATTATTGCCTTTTTCACACGTTTTACTTTGTATCGATTTGTATGTAGGCTTAAGGCAATGAATATCAACTGAGAGAGCTTATCCTCCGGATACTTACTCATTTTTTTAGAACTAATTTTAGTGCGTGTTCCGCAGTGCGACTATTTTGAAAACATCAGGCCCCGGTTGTTCGAAGGTCAGATAACGCTATCCACTGGATAAATCTCCATCCGGTGGATAATGTAGTATGTTTTGCCATCACTTATCCGCTGGATAGTCATTCATCCGTTGGGTAGCGTTATCCGCCCTCGAACAACTGGATCTAGTGGTTCTGTGGTGAAATTTGATGTGTGATGTTTAAGAAGATTAAAGAAAAGCTGAAAAAGCGTAACCTCTAAGCGTTACTCTTGAAGCCTGAGTATTTTCTTCCCCTGTACTCCACAAGTTAGGGTGCGTGGAAGATATTTCTCGAGAGGGTTTGATTAGCAGAACTGAATATTTTCCAATGGCTGATTCGGATAATTTACCTCCCGGGTTAGCGATCAAGCGGCAATGGTGCAACCTCACACATTGTCCAGAAGACAGAAAGCCGGCTCGGTCTTGATAATTTCTTAATTTTGAAACTCAATGCCGTCAATTTCGGACTTCTATGCTTTGGTAGCTGTGAAACTTTTTAACTCGACCCTCGACCAAGAGACAGATTCTTATAACTTGGTTGAGAATGAATAGTGGATGAATGTTTACAATAGCCCTACGGTTTGAGAGAAATGAAAACATTGATACAAACTAACCGATGGGGAGCTTGTCTGAGATGTAGTTGGGCGCGATTTCTTATCGATTCACGCAACCGCGCCCGACAGATTTATAAAGCTTAGTGTTTAAATGGTGTATAGAACGTAGCAATATTTCGAGAGAAATCAATCATGAATTAATCTAAAGCATCCATTCGTGATGTGCCGACGGCGATTTCCGGCATGAATAAAGTTCACTCAATTTCAAAGTCATTGTCCTTTTCATGATTCGAATCCGAAAGATGTAATGTCGGATATGCTTACTCGGCCTCAGAACTGGTGGCTTTTACTCGGGGTTGAAGAGCGCAGAACACATTATTACAATGGAATGTGCTGCACATAAAATTAATCACCTTAGAGTAACCTTGAAACGTGAAAATGTGTGATATATGATTAGCTTACTCGCATGTATCGTTACTTGGTAGTGTAAGAGTGTGGAAGTGTGGAAATCTGGCAATATGCAAATGAGCTTTACCTTACTCACATTTATCTTGACCTAGTCGCGTAGAAGTGTGGAAGTCTCGAAGTTTGGGAGTATAGAGATCTGTAAATATGCAAATTTTTCTCACATTTATCTTAACTCGGTGGTGTGAAGTGTGGAAATCTGCAAATATGTTAATTGTTCGCCATCTTGAATTTCGAACTCTACGTAATTATACGGCTTGGAACGCATCAAAACTGATTTGAACACTCCATTTAGTGATCGATCAAGTTCTCTATCGCTATATTTCGAACAATCGAGCCTCTATTTATGGGTAATTTTAAGTTATGTACGCGGAAGTTGAACAGATTCTATTCAGCAACGGTAAAAAATCACGCGCGGCGATAGTTTTACCTTTCACAGCTGTTTTAGAGCAAGTTAATAGCGAGAAAGCTCTTTTTACGCCTTTTTTTTTTCGCTTTTACAGAGGTATTTATAAGAGCTACGCTAAGGGCCCAGTGCATACACTCTGAAGGATGCATGTGGCCACAAGTTGTGTTGCATCTGAACAAATACGCGTAAAACGAAAGTGCCTCACAATTCGTGGCTCGTTTTTATTTCTTGTAGAGATATGTATATCAACACCTTAGTAAATTGCACCGCATGACTCTGAACTTACGTATGCTTTTTTTGTTCAACATGTAGCTCTCCTCTTTCCTCAATTTTTTGGCCAAATTGTTTACCGATTTTGTAAAGCGAGCTACGCACTCAATCTTTCAACGAGAGTGTTGTATTTACTTCACAAAGATAACTATACAAAAATTAGCATACTTTGTTTCAATCCCAGCCACTTCCCGCCTCTTCATTCGACTGGGTTTTCCACTAAAGTGTGACTTTTTATTCTAGTAGAATGCCACTTTTCAATATTCAGCCAGCAACTAACATCGTTGGGAATTGATTGGGAAGTAATTTTCTTATCTGAAAAGGTGTGTTAAGAACAGTTTTTAACACAATACAGTTTTTATGTGATGGAATCTAAAGTTTCCAACAACTGAACCCGTAATATTTATTAGCCCTCTACGCCTGAAACAGAAGTCAACCGAAATTTTACGCATGCTCAGATATAGATCTTGGCGAAATTCTATTCCATTACGTAATGTTTTGCATTAAAAGAGACTTCTTTAAACATAAAACGGTAAAAACGAGCGATAAAATCCGACGTTTCGGAGTCATGACTATTCCGTTTTATGTGTAATGTTTTGAGACAAAGAAAATAGGGATCTTTCGAGCAAGATCTATCGCGTTTCTTTCGGTGGAATTTCTTAAGATTTGCTGGACCGTTAAACATATTGTGCCCTTTCTAGTCCCTGTTGATGAGAAAAAATTCATGAGACCAAATTTGAGATACAGGAAGAAAACAAGAAAACACAAAATCGCAAATGGCGAGGAAACTGCCTTTTTTCGGCTTTTAAATGATCGGCAGGACAAATTTCACAAATTGCAAAAATTATGATAGATTTTACCGTAGCAAATTGAAGAAAATCACAGGCAAAGCCAAATTATCGCTGGCGAGCGCCTCCCTTCGTGGAACCTTGGCTTAATAACGAAAATCACTGTTTTATAATATTTACTACAGCAAACGATGCTTATGGTCATTTTGATGACTTATAGTGACCTAGAAAAGCGAAATATAAAAATTTTAAAGAAAAACAATACGCTGGCGCGCGAACCAACATTGAGCAAAAACCCTATGGAGCCTTCTTTCGGCGAAATGTTAACTTTCCCCTGATGACGCTGTGGATCGAGTCCCATGACCGCGTGACGAAGATCACAATGCAGCGCAGTCAAAGCTCTTTTTTCAACAAAAACCACCAAAAAGAGAAGCGTGGCCGACCCCGCCAGGACACGAACCTGGAATCCCCTAATTCGTAGTCAGATGCCTTATCCGTCGGGCCACGGGGCCTTTCCCCCAATAAAGGCGATCGTCAAAGCAAAAAAAATAAGAGGAACCACGTTCTGAAATGAAATATCTTCCATCGACATTTGGACAAGGTACAGCTTTCCCTACCTGGGTTATTTTCATGAACATTTCTATGGAGGCCCACAAGTGCACTCCGAATTCCAAACAACACCTACAATTCTAAACCTCACTCCGAATTCTTGAACCTCACTCCCAATACTTGAACCTCATTTCGAATTCTTGAACCTCACTACGAATTCTAAAAACTCACTCCGAATTCTAAAAACTCACTCCAAATTCTTAAACTTCACTCCGAATCCTAAGAACTCACTCTGAATTTTAAAAACTCACTCCAAATTCTTAAGCTTCACTCCGAATTCTAAAAGCTCACTCCGAATCCGAATAAAGTTGCAAGGGACTGGATCGAGCTATCTAGAAATGCATCTTGGGTAGTTGTCGTCCTCCCGCCATCTTGTTCCGCCTGAAAAAGAAATTCCTACTGTGATTCTTTGAATCCGATAAAAATCTATATGGTTCAGTAATCAAAGATGATAAATAACTGGCGTCGAGTATTACAACTTAAATAAAACCTGAAGTCTCGCAGTCCATGAAGCAGATCTTTATAATGATTACAAAATTTCGAAATTTCTGTAAAAATGAGACCTACACACTTTTTCCACAATTCGAGAAAACCTGCCAGTGTCTTCACATTTGTGTCCACAGTTTGAGCAAAACATGCGGCTGTAACGTGGTCAGATAACACAACGATTTTAATATAACTGTAAGTTGACTATTGCAAAAAATACATAACATAACACGTGTGCATGCATCCGGGTTATCAGTTCTCTTTGTACTGCGCAAGCTCGTAGAGGCTATTGTGACATCGTTACATCTCCCCTCTTTGAATATACAAACAAAAAACACTATAACAGGAAACTGAAAACGTAAATCTAACTTGAAACGGATTAGCACTAACCAAAAATGTTCACCTTTCAAGATTGTTCACTCCGCCTTAGCACCGGTTCCCTAAGGCATGGGAACTTTGTAAAGATGTGAACGATTTTGGCGGTAGAGTCTGCCATCTTCTGTGCACACCATATAGGAGCGTATCGCTACCTGACTACTAACTTGCGCTTTCAATCATTTTGACTGACATGGTAAGGGTCGAACCCGCACCACACCTCCGACTTTGCGTGGTGGCAGCTCCCTAGCTCCTGTGTCGTAGTAGATGGATTGTTTATGTTTCCTTTGTTGTTATTTGAGCTTAACATTAGGAATAACTTTTGGCTGAAGCAGATGATTAGCCATGGGCAGGGAAGAGACGCTGTGCAGGAGTGCTGTCCATCCCTTCTGATGGGATGTTCCTAAAGTTCAGTAGAGACAAGTGATGGTCATGGCCAGCATCAGCAGCTTTCTTCAAGATGTTCTTTGCTGTTTTACCACTGTTCTCTGCCTTGCCGTTGGACTGCAGGTATCGTGGCGGTTTTAATGTGTTCAAACTGATGCTCCGCTGCAAACTTCTGAAACTCGTTACAGTCAAATTGTGGTCCATTGTCTGTGGTGATACGGTCCGGAAGCCCATATCTTGCAAGGTGCGGCTTTAGTTTTCAATAACCCCTCCGGCGGTCTTAGATGTCAGCATAACTCGAATAAATTAGAGTAATGGTCAGTGGTAACCTGGTAGTCGGTGCCGTTGAGCTCAAACAGGTCAGCTGAGATGTTCTGCCATGGTCTTGTCGGTATATAGTAAGATACGAGATAATGCTGTAATGGCGAATTTGTTGGCACTGAACCTTCTTTAACTCCCATAAACCAATACCTACATTGGGACGACAAACAAAGTCTATTCAAGTGGAAAGGAAGCCTACCACAACTTCAGGAATTTTGTTCGAATGTACTGAATTTGGAAGTTTCTGCAACCGCGAGTCCCTCTGAAAGGTCTAGTTCTTTGAAGTCGAAGACAATAACGTTGGTTTTATTTAACAGTACCGGCACCCTTCAAGTCCAAGGTCCGGAAGCAAAGGCAATGAAAGCCAAACTGAAGAAGCTACTCCAGTTACCGGTTGATGACGACTCGGTTATTCTCGTGAATGAAGAAGAAGCTTCTACTCCGGCATTTAACAAGAACGCCAAATCAGTACAAGAGGAGTTGGACTGTCTAAAATCTGAAGTGCTGAACTTATGGGCTCATATAAAAGAGAAACCTAAAGAGGAAGACCTGAGATCCGAAAATTCTCGACTTCGGGAAATAATTATATCTTTAAAGGAAGAAAATAAAAAGTTAGTCCAAGAACGCGATTCTTTAAGTTTTGCATTGCAAATCGTATCCAGAGAAGCAGCTACTCAATACCGTTCAACGAATAACACCTTTAATGAACATACCATTGTCCAAAGTATGGATGAGTCAACACCTTGCGCCAACAAAGAACAAGGCTTCATTGTGAAATCAAGGAAAAAAGAAAGAAATCGAAAAACAAAGGAGCTTCCAACAACACCCTGACAGGAAAAGAATTCGAACCCGAAAAACAACCAAAAGAGTGCACAACCCTGCTCATAGGAGATTCGATGATCTCAAGAATACCTGGAAAAAAACTGGGAAAAGCAGTCGGCCATAGGGTTATAGTCAAGCCTTTCTCGGGCGCTACGACAATGGCCATGAATCACTATCTCAAGCCAAATCTAGAACCTTCGCCCAACGAAGTGATTTTACACATTGGGACTAATGATCTTAAAACCAGGGAACCAAAGGTTGTTGCGGAATCGATTGTGGATCTCGCGGGCAGATCGAGGGCACCTGCGATACTATAGTCACGCTGTCGGAGCATGTATGCAGAAAAGATAAGCTTGACCAGGCAGTGAAAACAGCCAACAAGCATCTAAAGAAGTTCTGCCATCAAAGTGGATGGAAATTAATCCATCATGAGAACATATCTCATAGCAGACTCAACAAAGGTGGACTGCACTTAAATTTAAAGGTAATGAGCAATTTTATAATAATTTTAAATCGCACCTAGAATAAGATAATGTGTTTTCCGTCAATGCCGTGCGGGACCGATTAAGCAACTAAAGAGCCGAAAAATCTAAATCTATCTCACTATTGCCTCCTTTGCGCGGTTTTAAAATGGCATCACTCAATATTAATCAATTAACAACACATATAGACGAGCTAAGAATCCTATTAGCAAACAATGATATCGATATTGTTTCCATAAATGAAACGAAACTGAACGAGAGTATTCGAGATCATGAAGTTCATATTTCGGGATACGATATAATTCGCCGCGAGAAACTTACAAAATCCGGCGGAGGGGTATGCTTCTATGTAAAAACCTCAATCAACTTTACTGTACGAAATGACCTACATATGGATGCATTAGAAAATCTTTGCTTGGAAATCCATAAGCCAAATTCAAAATCTTTTGTGATTGTTACTTGGTACAGACCACCTGACTCTCCTATTGGCATTTTTCACCTTTTGAATCCCTAATTGGAAAATTGGATAGTGAAAATGTAGAATCTTTTGTACTGGGAGACATGAACTGTGACATGATCACTACTCGATATGACAATGACGTATCCAAATTAAGGAGTATTGCCGATGTCTACGGACTCGAGCAGCTCATCTCTGAACCAACGAGGATAACACCCACCTCTTCAACTCTAATTGATTTAATCTATACCAACTGCTCAGATAAGATCGTTTGTTCGGGAGTTTGTCACATCGGGATAAGTGATCATAGCATGGTGTATGTATATAGAAAACTTGCCCAGAACGGAATGTCTAATGGACTTAATTCTATTACATATAGAAATTTCCGAAATTTCGATCGTCAAGATTTTCGTTATGACATCCTATCTCAATGTTGGGATAATGTATATGAGTCTTCCATGTATTACCTCTGAATTGAAAGACTCTATGCATAATAGAGACATATTAAAAATCAAAGCTAGCAAGACAAATGATCCTAACGATTGGGCATTATTTAAGAAACAAAGAAATATAACCAATAAGCAACTACGCTCAGCTAAGCTAGTTTATTACCAAAATAGTTTTAATAAGCACACCAGCGACTCCCGAAAGACCTGGCAGACTATAAACGAGCTAACCTCTCGAAAATCTGGGAAAACGTCAGTGGCGTCACTAAAAGTGAACGGATTAACGATAACTAATCCGTTGGAGCTATCAAACGAATTCAATAACCACTTTGCTAATATTGGTCCAAAACTTGCCAGTAGGTAAATTGCGATAGTTGTAGTTATGAAAGATATCTTACCGCTACAGATAAACGGTTTAAGCTCCAAGCCACCAATCCAAATAAAGTATTTTCACTTTTAAATAAACTAGACAAGTCAAAGGCAACGGGCCTTGACAAAATATCTGCTAGGTTGGTCAGGGAATGTGCTGATCTTATTTGTGTGCTGATATGTGATATTTTCAATCAATCTGTTAACCAAGGGACGTTCCCAGATGACTGAAAATATGCAAGGGTTTCCCCTCTTTATAAACAGGGTGACCGCGGTGATGTAAACAATTACCGCCCAATATCGGTGATTCCAATAGTGGCGAAGGCGTTTGAAAGGATAGTTTATGAACAGTTATATGCCTATTTGAAAGAGCACGATATTCTATGTCAAAATCAGTCAGGTTTTCGTGCTAATCATTCAACTGTAACAGCTTTGTTGGAAGCGACAGATTCTTGGGCATATGATATTGATAACGGGAAAATCAATGGAGTCATTTTTCTGGATTTGAAGAAAGCTTCTGACGCTGTTGATCATCAGATTCTTCTATCGAAACTAAACTATTATGGTATACATGGCAAATCTTTCAAATAGTCTCAGTCATATCTAGAAAACCGTACACAAAAATGCTCTGTGAACGGGTCGCTTTCCAATAGCTACTCACTGACATGCGGCGCCCCTCAAGAGACCATCCTCGGTCCATTATTGTTCTTATTATATATTAACGATCTTCCAAATTGCTTATCAAATTATAAACCAAGAATGTACGCTGATGACACGCACCTTACATATGCGGGCAGTAATCTTGAGAATGTTCAGTTTTGTCTAAATGAAGACCTAGCAAATGTTTTCAACTGGCTACAAGCAAACAAACTTACATTGAACATGACCAAAACCGAATTCATGCTAATATGGTCGAGGTAGAGACTGAATACTCTCACAGCTTCACCAATTACAATGAACAATACTCAAGTGAGTCAGGTTACAGCTACGAAATCGCTTGGTGTAATAATAGACGATAAACTCGATTGGCATAGTCACATCGAAAAATTAACCAAAAAGATCGCCTCTGGTATCGGTGCCCTAAAGCGAATTAGGCACCTGATTCCAGCATCAACCTTACATCTCGTTTACCAAGCCTTAGTAAAACCTCACTTTGATCACTGTGACATTGTTTGGGGTAACTGTGGGAAAACGCTACGAGATAAACTGCAGAAATTTCAGAATAGAGCAGCCCGTGTGTTGACATTCTCTAACTATGATGCTGATGCTGATGCAACTGAGCTACTCGAGTTTTTAAGGTGGAAAAATCTTGCACGCCAGCAGGAAATTCATTAAGCCACCATGATGTTTAGATGTCTGCACGGGCTAGCTCCAGAGTATCTGTGTTCAAAGTTTACGTGGCGTGACTCTGCTTATGACCTCAGGGACTCTGAAAATAAGCTCAATGTTCCATTACCGCGCACTAATTATTACCGAAAGAAGCTACAATGGCGCCACATTATGGAACAGTCTACCATGCGATATAAGGAACACAGACCTGGGGGTATTTAAACGTAAGAAAATGACATTCTTTAAGTCTAACGCACGGCACTTACAATGGCTTTTAGTGTTATAGTATATAGTTTGAGTTTTAAATATTCTAGCGTATGTGATATGAACAGATGAATTACCAGTGTTTAAAAAAAAAAATAAAATGAAATGAAATGAAATGAATGAAAGTCTGTTCTGGGGATATTGCACCGTGAGAAACTCTGTAATTTGATTGTAAATGTGGCATCTCAGAGACACCCCTGAACACCAGGTTTCTGTATGACTCTGTCTATCATAAGTTAAGGGTAGATTAACTATGATTCTATAGACGACACCGTCCATGGACAATTCTCTGCAACAATTTGGTACACCCTCAACAGGCCTTGTCTGATCATTCTAATTCCTAATGGATTCCGTGGCACTCTTTTTGTGGTTAGTTGTCAATGGGAACAAAAATAGTCTTTGTTGGTGACTATGGACAAAGCCCCAACAAACCAGGCTCGGCTGCGGGGATCCCCATGTGCATCTCAGTGCCATTTCTGTATGAGACTTCTAAGTCAAATTTCTGTAGACGCAACAGCATTCTCTGCAACAATTTGGTACACTCAACAGGCTCTTCTTCATAATGGATTCCAGGGTTTTGTGGTCAGTGTCAATAAAAATCTTTCTACTATAGACAAAGACCCCAAACCACTCAACCCCGGAGATAATTGACAATAACTCTTTCTCTATCTGGGCATTGTTAGTTCCGTAGGAGTGAGGGTCCTAGAAGCGTGAGCAACAGGGTGCCCCTCTTATCGCAGACAAGCCCTTAGACCACTCATGGAGGCATCGCATCGAAGCAGGTCTTCATTTGAGAATCAAAGAACTTGAGCACTGGAGCTTGGGTTAGTACTTACTTTACTTGCTCTAAGTACTTGCCATGAACTTCTTCCTCCCATACAAACTCATTTTCCTGCTTGACAAGTTCTCTCAGTGATTTTGCCAAATCTGTTAGATTGGGTGCAAACTCCTGTACGTAATTTACCATGCCTAATACTCTCTGGACGCCTGCCATATCAGAAGGGGGTGGCATTTCGATGATGGCTTTCAACTTGTTTGGATTGGCGCCGAGACCCTCTGAAGATATAATGTGGTCCATGTAGCTGGCTTGTTTCTGCCTTAACTGCATCTTCTCTGAATTCAACTTGATACCTTTCTTTCGACAGCGGTTGAACACTTCTCTCAGGTTTCGTTCATGATCCTCAAGGGCTTATTCATCCGTGTCTCCCACTCCAAAGACCAGAATGTCGTCTGCTATAGCTTTCTGCCCTGATAGCCCTTCAAGTGCAATATCAATTCTTCTCTGAAATTCTTCTGAAGCTAGTGATACTCAGAATGACATACGAAGCCAGCGAAACCGGCCCCATGGTGTTCCGAAAGTAGTCGCATAACTGCTTGGCTCATCCGACTCAATGTGCCAGAACCCAAAGCAAGCGCTAGCTACCGTTTTACGCGATCCTTTGCATCCAGCTATCAGTGTCTAGTTTGATACTGGAATCCTTCAAGATAAACCCTGAATGATTTTCCTTCCAGTAGAATCTGAGCTGGTTTTTAAATAATCGAAATATGTTTTCTCATATTCCTCCCATCATCCTACACGATCACGGTGATTTGTCTTTTCTTCTGAAAAAAACGGAAATCTTTGATGATCAGGAACGGTATCTTAAACTCATTTGCTCAGAAGATGTTGGAAGCCTTCAGGCAGGGGCTATATTTTATTAAAGGAAGGATAACTAGTATTATAAGAGTTTAAGAACATTTTGAAGAGCAAATGCAGCGATGCATAATCAGTAACCATAAGTGCATGGATTTGGTCTCCATCCTCATAACTTCGTAAAAGTGATTGAAATGACAAAAGAAAGCCACAGGATACAAAGTTTATTAAATCAAAAGCACAGTGACCCCGCCAGGATTCGAACCAAGAATCCCCTAATTCGTAGTCAGATGACTTATCCATTGAGCCTTTGTTAAGAAAAAAAGGTGAATTAATCTCGAAAATGAAATATATTCCGATGACGAAACAACTCATTCCATAAATTCGTAGTCCACTTGCTATTGCTGTTGTAGTTGTGTGTATACGAGGCCTGAAAAATAAAACATTTGTATTTTTCGTTCCGGTTGTTTCTCTTTTTTTTCAATATTTTTCTCGATTCTTTGCAAGAAAATGAAATGAGCAGGGCATGATTTAACCATAGAAAAAATAGCAAAATACTTCTTTGAACACTGACTACGAGCTCGACTTTAGTTTGACATTACGAAATTCCAAGGTAAACCCTGGTTGTCTTTCCCACTGGAAAATATGGGAATATGTCTCCTTCATTTTCCCTCCATCATCCTTCATGATCACAGTGATTTGACTCATTCATAATCATCGATGATCAGTGATAGTATCTTAAACCAATGGTAGATGTGGGAAGATTTCCGGTAGGGGCTGTGTTTCACCGAAGGATGACGTATATCGTATATAAAAGAAGCCGGAGACTATCAGAATGGAAAAACATATAATTTGTTTGAATAGCACCTTTAACGATGTTCCTTTACCAAAAATAACTTGATTTCTAATCCAGCCTAATAATTTTATGAAAGCGATTAAAGTGATAAAAGAAATTTAAATGACATAGAGTTTATAAAATCAAAATATCTGCGACCCCGCCAGGACTTGAACCTGGAATCCCCTGATTCGTAGTCAGATGCCTTATCCATTGGGCCACGGGGCCTTTCTCTAGTCCTGTTGGTCTAAGCATCTAAAAACCGTCTTTATGTTTAAAATGGAATCTCTTTCTAGAAAAAAACCATTATTTCAATAAATGGTTGCGTTTGGCCCCCTGATGCTTACAATTTTAATGTCCTCTGTTTAAAAGCTTATGTGAGATTATAACACTGTCCAATTTTTAAGATTCCAGAGATTAACCTAACTGTTCGAAAATTGTCTGGAAATGTGATAATAATTGGACTACAGAAGCCTTTATTTTGAATTTTTCCCAGCAACCTGGTCATTGACATGTGACATACCAAGTCGAACTCCTTTCTTCTTCCATCCCATAGCAATTTAAATAAACATGAAATTTTATTTGCTTCATATTTAGTTGTAGTATGCGATCCAGTCTTAACATGAAATTTGGTGTCATACAGGTAATAAAAAAAAACCCACAGATCTGATAAATTGAGTGAGGGGAGTTCCTTTCCCTTGGACTAAGATGATCTGCCACTGTAATGTTGTTATTGAAAAAAAACAAGTGGATAGATGAAAAAAGAACAAAGTGGAATAGGAATCATCAGGTAAATATGAACTTATATTATGTAACGTAAGTACCAGCTTCACCGACTGAGCTAACCATATATTCACATTCATTATCCATCAATTCACTTTTATTAAGAACCAATATAATGACCAACTCCCAGGTGGCTTTTTAGCTCACTTGGTAGAGCACTGCACCGGTATCAAAGAGGACATGGGTACGAATCCCGTACAGGCCTGAATTTTTTTCAGTCCTTATTTACACCACTGCTCAAGTAGTGTTCATTATTGCGAAGATCGCTTTCATATTCGGTACTTAATCCGAGGTTCATATATGTGATTTTCAGATATTCACTTTTATGCGCACTTTGTTATTTCTCCTTATTTCTCTTTAAACAAAAATAAAAAATGATTTACATTTAGCTGGGTTTTTTTTACATGAATGATTTCGCTTGTTCCATATTTGAATGGTCGGCGTGAAAAAAAGGTTGACTCAGAGTTTTGCTGCAGATAAATTTTTTAACAATTTTAGTTAAGTTGTTGCATTAAACAATGTTAATTCAAATAAACGTCGAGTAGAACGGTAAAACGTAGAAAGGACCACTCAGTGTGGAATGGAACAAAGCCGTAATGCTGGAAAGACAACTCAAAAATGGAAGAAGCGAGGCATTACTATTAGTTTCTACAAAGTAAGACTACTCTGAAAATATGGGCGTTTGAGCATGGTAGCTGTTTACTTCATGTATTAAGGTCCTTTACTAGTATTGGATGAATGACGGCCTTATCGAAGCAGGAAAGTAAACGTTCCTCTTTTACAAACGAGTTTGGTGGGAATCAGTCTATTCTATCTCCTCCCCATGCAGACTGTGTTAAAATTACTACTTGATTTCAGAAAATATTCACAGATTCAGTTGTAAGGAATATTGATATCCTCGAGGTGCTTTACCTCCTAAACCAGCGCTGAGACCTTGTGTTTCTTATCCAAAATTCGACTTCTCATGAGACAAAGAACTAACAAGAGAAATGTAGTTCTCGCAAATACCGTTCGACGTACACAACTACATATACGTTGCAATAATAACGCTTAATGATTATGCTCTTTGCTCATCAGATTCCGTCGAGATTGGGTAGTACAGAAACCATTTGCTTACATCTAGGTCTTCACTTTTGTTATTGAGCATCAACAGGGGCTTGCCAGCTAAATAAGAAGCCCCGCTCTCAAGGGCTGTTGTTTTGTCTGGAACTCCGTCTCTATCGACCAGCGCAGGAGCTCCTGTTATACTCACAGCTTGTGAGGAGTCGTCTGTTTACATTCAAAATAAAATTTTTTTTAACTATTATCCACAATTATTCACAGGCTATCAGAAGAAGGTGAAGGATATATGTCTTGAATACAAGATCTTTTGTTGCACAGGCAAAACTGAACAATGATTATGAATAATGAGTCTATTTTGCTACTTGTGAATCTATTTTACCACTCTAAACGTCAGAGCCAGGCTTTTTAGAGCCAACGTTTAAAAACGTTGGCTCTGCTACCTCTCCCTCCCTTTTCTCTTTCAGATTAACACACTGATATACGGTACCTTTGACTTCCTCTGGAAAGTCTTCTCCTTTGCTATCATCATTAGAATACTCTAAGGGATAAAAATGACAAAATATTATCCATACTTGATATTAGCCCTTTCCTGTTTCTGAGGAAAATTTTCTCTTCACAGGGACTTAAGAGTGGACCAAAACCTAATTTCTGATAAATGGCAAACAAAATATGCATATAGAGAACCAAAACTTACCAAATAAACTACCATCAATTGTTTCCACTTCATTTTCCTTTAATCTGGTATGGTTTTTTTTTTCGCCTAAAAGTTCTTCACCTATCTCTTGACCAGTCTTGATGGCTTCCGTTTGATTGTCTAGGTCCTCCAGGAGTTTAGTTATGTCGCTGTTACCTAAAGGTCTTGAAGACGAAGGATCTTTCAAGGCTCTTCCAGAAGGCTCAGTTCTCATTGTGGACACTCGGCCATGCCTGTTTAGAGGAACTATTAACACCTTTATATAATAAGTATACAAAAAATCATCTAAAACAGTATGAATCATAAACAGTACTCTGAGAGAGCGCTCTAACTCGGCTTTTATGCTACCGAATCTTACTTAAAGTACACAATTCGGTATGGAACAGGATTTAACGAGTTCAAAGGGTACAGTGTCACGAAGAGATGGCCTAAATCTCAAATATAAACTATAAATGCAGCAACACAATGTAGAACCTTTCATCAGCTGAAACATTCTTACCAAGGTCGACAACAGTTGTTGCTACAATTGCAATCCATGAGAGCAGCTTAAATAATTTAGGGCTTTCAATGACACTCATTAAGATTTGCAAGTCAGAATAATGTCTTCAGAGCTCCGCCGCTGAAATGGAAGAAGAACACTGTGTTTAGTGGAGGAAAAAATCTGGATATAAATTGGAAACCACATCCGCCATGAAAAAGCCTTTCAAACGGAATGAACTTACACAATATCACGAAAAATTCGAAAAGAACCGTTCAGAGTTTTCGCACGAGCTAATTTGCCTTTTTTGGAACCCTTTAAAAATATTTGACTCGCTGACTTAACATGAATTTTTCTAATTGACTATTAATTTTGGATCACACATTAGAGCCCCGTGAACGTTTTAGCGTACGATGTAAACACTATCCATAGAAAGAGAGCATACCAAGGTAAAGGACTTCGGGGGAAGACTTCGAAAATGAGGAAGCGAAGCTGTCATTCCAAAGACGACGAAGTGAATGGGCACCGAGGTTCTTTACTAAACTGACTGATCGAGGAAATACGATTTATGCTGCTTTACTAAACTAAGTTTATCGAGAAGGTACCCATGGATAATAAAAATACCATAAATACGAGACAGAATTAGGTGAAAACTTCAAATAATTCAAACAAATGTAAGAACAGTGGCCGAATCATCATGAATATTTCAATCGAACCTATCTAATAGTGGTGAATTTGACAGGCACGTTGTGCATGCACCGAAAAGTAGACTTTCTTTGTTCACTGTATATCCGAAAGCAGTCAACCAAAATGATAGATTTAATAAAAACAATAACAAAATAGCGCACGTTTTACCTGCGTTGGGAAATTCCTCGGAGCTGCTAGTACTGCCGGCTGTAGTTCTTCGAGCTGGTGACAGTATTGGTCATTATTCAAGCGCGACAGGTTGTTAAAATATCACTGATTTGCTTAAAGGCGGGTAGTTTTGGTGGGAATCTCTTGATATAATCCATAATACTCCCTCGAAACAAAGACCATTTGAGGTAATTTCTTGATAATTGGCAGAAATTGAATATAATATTTCATTGTTGAATTATTTTTGGTGTTTTGATTATTACTCGGTCATATTCCTACCAGGAAAATATCTATGATCAAGATTATCTTGTACTTTATTTTAGGCTGAATTCATTTAACCTGAGCTCTAAGAGGTGAAGGTACCCCAGGACAAAGTTGATACATCTACCTTTCCGACAATAAAAAAAAGACCCATTTTGTGTGTAAAACTGGTTCAAATAAGTCGAAAGGAAATCCGCGGTCAAGGACAGTGGAGGGTGATATTTTGCCCTCAAACCACATTCGGATCACATCAGTTTTGCAATCCAGGAGAGGAAGTCAGTATCAAATATCACGATAATTACTAGTATCTTAACATATGTTGTATATTTTAATTTCATCATAGTATATTTTAAATAATTATCAGTTAGATATCCTGTATTAAATTGCTATAGATAGAAATCATGTAATGCGCGCTTAATCATTTCATGGAAAGCACGCAATAAAAGAGTAAAATTATTATTATTATTATTATTATTATTATTAAATACGCCAAAAGAATATAATCGTTCTGAAAACCACGAGTATAAATAGCTATAAGAATGAACTATTGACACTATAGATTCTAATCAAATTTTGTTAATGTCAAATGCCGCTCGACTGAATGAAAGATATCAATTACCGTTTTACGTATAAGTTGTGGAATCCTTTGTGTGTTGTCATGAAGGAAACGTCGACGAAACTAAGTAGTTAGCAGGACGTCACCATTTCCCTATCAATTAATTAAGTAACAAATGAGACCAACAATGTACCTCAGCAAAGCGTCAGACAGTTGTAACTGAGATCTTCTTGAGTTTTAAGGCGGAGACCTGAACTTCGTAACCTGAACTATTATTAGAAGAGCTACGGCACGTAAGGATCCAAAAAAGCAAGGGTCCAAATGTTTTCCCATTGACTCTCAGGGGAGGTCAGCATATAACCCTCCCACCAATTTCTATACACTGAATGCATTTCTTTCATTTTCGATTCCGTGCGTAATTGTGTGTTTTAAAGAACTCAAGCATTCGTGTTCCATTAGCGGAGTATCCAGATGCTTTTATGGATGTGGTAGCGGTCTGCCGCCGCGTTTGTCAACGCTATATAGGGCCACCTTAACACGTACCAGACTTCCGACTGAAATTGGCGTGGCGACGCAATCAATCATTCTGTCAATGCCTACCCGAAGTTCAGCTGTCGGCAGTCAGAAAGCTGGCAGGTAGATCCATAATCAAACGAGCCAATGTATCTCTATTTTTCCCAGCTATCATTCTCTGATGAGCCAAACAAGGGAGTCTGTTGGTTCAAATGGCATTTCAAACTTATGAAGACTCCTTTGTTCACAAGCTCCATGAAATGAAAATGAACTTGACTTTATACCTTTATCATCACTCGACTCACTAAGTCAAGGGGGAACGAAGTAAAATAGCGGAATTCCCTTTTCACATAAGAGAGGGCATAATCTCATTAAATTTGAATCATTGACCTTGGTTTCTCTCATTTATTGTAGTCAAGTTAAGCATCACAGAAACCAGCTCAATTTTATGTTGCATTGTGGTTAATTTATTTAGATTGTGTCACTGAAATTGCTTAAAAAATGTTATGGAAATAGCCACTCCTCCTACGTTATTGAACTAAAAAAGTCAGCACCTGGCATAATCGAGTTATTCACAGCCTTCGAATTTCAGGATTTTTTCCATCACAGAATTGCTTCATTTCGACTATTAATGAGACGAAATGAAAAGTGTAGATAAAGACAAATGCCAGGTCGATCAAAAATTAAAAGTAACCAAAGCTACTGACTGCAAATAGAGTCTAATTCGTGGTCTTAGTATGATGTTCATTTAGAGGTCAGTCAGCGTTGACCTTTAAAGGGACAGAAATCCTTACAAAAACTACAGGTAGCGGTAGCAGCACTATTAAAGAACATTAATGAAGACACTGAGATATTTAAGAGAATGTTTAAGCATGTTTTGAAATGCTTTTGTACTTTGCATGCACGGCGCAGCGGGGCCGATTATGACCAAGTTTATTGTTTGTCAGTTTAGCATAAAGTTATTCTTATCAGCAGGTCTGGCATCGTGAAACGGAAATGCATCAAAGTAAAGTAACCTTTCTGTCAAGCCCCTTTAATTATGGGACTCAGAGTTGAAACTGATATCTGTTGAGTCCAATAAATATCCTTTCCGCTAACGCACTTTTCTAACGTAAACGTCGTTTTTTTTTTTTTCTTTATTTTTTCTTTTTCTTTTTTTTTGAGGCGTTCAGTGGAATCAAACTGCAAAGCGGGTCAATGTAATATTGATGTTATCATTGACACCATACATAATGAGCGGTTGTTGTTTGAAGCCGGCTGCTACACGTATCAAATAATCAATTGTTATTCATTGTAATACTGCTGCATCACGCGCCCTGTTTCAAAGTCAACATGGCGTCAGAGAGTCCGTCAACATCTCTAGCAGCTGTTGCTGGAAGTTCTTTTTTCATCGAAAACCTGTTGAATCATTCAGTTAGAACAGGGAAAGAAAGGCACTCCGACAGTTCAGCATGCAAACTTTTGAATTATTCCTTTTCCAGTCCATCATTGGCAATTGTTCCTGGGTCTGTCCCTCAGCGTTCATACAATGGGCTAAACTTCCCTCTGTGTACCATTCTCTCGAAATTCAACTTTGGTGAAATTTTTTACCCTCACTCAGTGAAAATTTTCGGCCATTCTACAGTTTCAAACAGCAGACATCCACTAGGTAGGTTCATAAGGTGTTAACGAGGATAAATTGTTGTCTTTAATGTCATTGTTCTTGTGGTTCCTCAAACACGGCTGTAACTCAGTTCGATTTCCTCTATGATACTTTCGAAAAGGTAGGAATGAAAGTTATACATTAAAACGGTTTTATGTTTAAAAAGTCAGGTGAAATACAAAAAAAGTGAGGTAATGATCTAGCATGGCTTAGAACAACGTTCCTTTCATTACGAGTGAACAAGTTTAAAATCTCTTTCACAATTCATTTGTCTAGAATAAACACTGCATTAGAGAAACGAAAAGAGAGACAGTAAAAGAACAGATGAGCGTGTTTCTGATCACGAACTCATTCTGCAATTAAATTGTGATGCGTTACCTCTCAAAGTATATCCGGAAAGGCTACGAAATATTCTTAAACTAACACGATTTTTGAATCCTGTCATGAAAGTAGTTTACAACCCAAGTTGACAACAGAAATAACCGTGACTCTTAAGGAGTAGGTATTTCTCTTTATTCATCTACACTTGTTAAGGCTAAAAGCCATTGCGCTTAAATCTAGAGCAAATAGAACTCGGTTGCTAACACTTCGATTTAACATTGGAGGTCTTAGTTCAAAGACAACAACTATGTTATAACAAATTAGGGAGCTAAGTAATAGTATTCACAGTAAACTCACCCATGGAGCGATCCCTTCATGTCTTCCTAATTTAATGCGTCTTCATCAGTGTATGTAGAGGCTTATAATTTAAGAAATGGTTTCCCATTCACAACCATGTTATACGGCAAAACTGGCTAATGTATATGTGGCACAATCACCGTTATAAAAAGCAACATTGTCGAGAAGTCATTCTCTGGTAACTTTAAAAGATGATGTTAGACTTTGTAAAAATTTGATTATTCCTCTCTACGATCCAGACGAAGTGCCTTTCCAAAGTAAACGAAGAAGGCCAATGAAGAAAAGGAAGCAGCGTCAATTATTTTCAGCCAACCAGATTGAGACCATGGAGAAGGAGTATACAAAATGCCAGTATGTAACTGAAAGCAAGCGGGCAGAGTTAGCTTCAGTATTAAATCTGACGGAGAAGCAAGTGAAAACCTGGTTTCAGAATCGAAGAACAAAGTCGAGGAGGGAAGCTCAAGACAAACAAAGAGTGTTAGTCCTCGGAAACCAGAAGGCGTCCTTTAGCATTCTGTGACCGACATTTGCTCCAAAGTGACCGGGATTTTCCAAAGCGGGAACACGTAGTGTATTCAGTATTCTATTGTGCGCCAAGTAGTCCGTCATATTTGCCTCTTCAAGGCCGTTTAGCTGGATTATAATGCAGTTATTAACTTAACACTTAAGTATGTATGAAGGACAAATGGAAGTGTAAAGTATCGGTTCAAAGAACTCTCGTCCCAACTGCGTTCATAACACGGCTTGGCTGTTGTAATTAGGAACCTGAAAAATTGATTCTCATCATTTTCAGTTGTCAACATGCATTGTATAACCTTTCAATGATAAATTCCATTCCTAAGTGTTTGACAGGTATATTGGCCGTATTGTAATTTAAAAAAGTTCTGCGGTTTTGGTGGGCGTCTTGGTGAGCGCCGTTATTTACAAGAACATGTTACAATCACGGTCTTTCAACGGACAAAATAACGACGGAATTTACAGATTGAATGTATACAGAATAAAGGGATCCCACTTATTTTAGAGACACACACCATAAATTACATTACTTTGGCTTTGTTTTCCATAATGAAATAGAGTTACCTTTACAATTGTTGCATGGAATAAGTTATATTTCACCAGATATTAAAATTTTAAAGGTGTTTACTGCATTTTTTAGTTTACTTTAATGTATAACTTTGTCCAGTTAGTTGCGAACTTTCCATCTCCATACAAACTTTTGAAACTGCTGAGAGACCTACTTCTTCGCCATGAAAGTTATGCTGATAGTGCTCACGAATGGACATGGAAATTGCTCTACATTCCAGGCCCAACTCCCTATTAAGCGACATGAAATAAGAAAACTACACTAAAATAGCATGATGAAAGTGTATTGACGGCGCATAATTACATATATTAGAGCTTTACAATCGGATTTAGAGTACCCTTTCATCTTATTCCTTAACGTAATCTCGTTTATACTTTTGTGCGGTTATTTTCTCAGTAAAGGACGAAAAAAAGTCCTAAATGCTTCTTTTGTGTCGTGAAAACGCAGTAAAAGGACCTAAAAGCCAAATGCACTTCTTTACTCTTTTGACGCACAGTTGCAAACTTTCTGTTAATTAAATTGCGGCCGCTATTATTTGGTAAAAGTATCGAAAGCTTTAAGTCTTGAGCAAGCTCACCATGATAAAGGCCATGGTGTAGAACGGAAATGAAATGCGAGCGCCGTGACAATAGAGATGAATGTACCACCTAGGGCGGGTCAGGTTAAGAACCTTGGTTGAGACATTCCCACATTAGTAATATTTTTTCCTTAAACTACTCTGGGATGAGAACTTAATTTTTCTTAGACGTTTACCAAAGTCTCATAGTCTACGATGTATTTTGCTTGGTTATAAATGAAAGTCCGCTCGGTTTGTAATCCAGGCTTTGTTCATACGTTCATGCGCAAGGTAATTGTGAAACTGGCATCGCTGAATGGTCTCGAAATATGGAAATATCAGCTATAAATCGCTAAGAAATAAACCAATGAAGCTTTTTAAGATATTAGGACCTGTGTATAGTCTACTTCTAGCTTTTGTTTTGGCTTAGTAATACAAAAGAGAGTAACAAGAGCTCTCTCAAGGCAGCATGAGATTGAAATGGTGTGCTTGAGCATTTAATATTATCGTGAGACATTTAAGTGATTTAACACCTACATTGCTTCTCTTTTGTGATCAATGTGGACGGACCAGCGTTGGCAAATGACTCAGAACTGAACCGTTTTTTCTGTGACGATGAGTAGGTACAAATGAGTTGCTTGACGAGCGATGCACAACTAAATAAATGTCCACAGTTTCTGCCGGAATTCTCTGGAGCTTGCTTTTCTTGACAAGATCTTCCAAGAATTCGCGAAGAAAAGTGGCAGCTCAAAAATCTTTGGATTATTCTCAAACAAATTATAACTTGAACAACGGATTTCCTGATGTTTTTCACCGCTTTTTTTAATCCTTCCAAAGAGTAGTAGCTCGGTACAAACAATTTCCATCTCCGCAGACAACGACTTCTCTCTTTTGAGGAGGTATATCTTCAGATGTCATAATTTGTTTATTTATACGTTAACAAGTATGAAAATAGGCTGTGCAGACATAAATACAACTGAAAAGACTTAAATGAGTTTTTTTCTTGGCGATTCATGGCTAATTTTATAAATGTCGAGACCATTACGAGATAACGACTCACAATAAACCTTACGAAAGGAGAGACGTTCATCGGTATATTTCATGACATATTTCGTGAAAATACGAACAAAAACTTACACTTCCCTCCAATCAACATTATCTCTATCCATTCATGAAAAAGACCGCAGCGAAAAGCGTTGATCTCTCTCCAAAATCGGTTTTTTTTAGACGTCGAAACAACCTTTCGCCGTGTATCCCCTATAAGTTTGCCCCGCGACGAGCCCAGAAATCTTTGTGCAATCACGAGGATCCAATTACTGGCAACTCATTAATTGCAATTGACTTGCAACAGACTTGCGGTGGTGAATTTAACCACTATTTAATTGCATCAGAAACTGACAAAGGGCCGATTCGCATTTGCGAAAAAGTTGTTTGTTTAGACAAAATTTCTGTCACCACCAACCGTCTACAAGTGCGGATGGTTTGTCGCGACTTGACAAATTTTGGCCGAAGCGGACAAATTTTCAGACGCACCGCCGACAAAATTTGTCCTAGGTAAAAACTGGACAAAATCGTTCAAATTAACAAAATTTTGTTTATCTTGTCATTCATAAGTCATAAAAGCTTTTAACCGTGTAAATTTAGCGTCTCAGTTGTTTCTCGTGTTGCGAAACTAGATTTTAAGATTTTCGCAGAGGACAAAATGAATCCTCATAGTTGGAATTTAAGTGCCACTCTCGCTAAAAGCGGTCCTCTCGACTTCCCGTCGGAAAAAAGTTTTCTTTTATTTTTTGCCCATGAAAAGGGTTTAGGACACATGTTTCAAAAATAGTTTAGTTGTTCTCCAATTCTCTTTTTTTGCGTCGCCACAAGCCAAAAATCATTTTTGGCCAGACCACCTCTGTGAACAGCGATCGAAAGTGTCGATTTCAAAGATTTTGTCCAGCGCGCAGCGACTGCAATAATGTAGCTCACGGAATTCTATCCTGCTACAAGTTACAAGGTGTATTCAGTTAGCTCACAGACAAAATATGGAAACTTCAGCTGAAATATTTTTCATACCAGCGTGATCAGAGGAGACCCTTCTCTTCGACCCTAATTTGCATATCAAAAATTCACTACTTTGTACGAAAGAATTCTCAAAATGCAGGCGTTAATCGGACCGAAAAGGCATATCAGTGCATAGTTTATACACCAATGAGGTCACGGATTGCCTCAAACCCGCGGGTATATCTCTAGATTCCATCCACCAACTTCTTAAAAACAACGCAAATCCATGTGTTTGCTCAATTGTGTTCGTGTCAAAGATCATTTGCATGATTCTTGGAACTGACTAAGATCTCCTTTTGACAGTTCAAACTTCGTTCGTTTATCTTCTACGTTGAGGATTTTAGGTTTTCACAGCAACTGAATGGAGATTAGATGCCGAGTTGTCCTAAAACATTGCGTAAACGTGATCGGTCTTAACGCTTGCGCGCTTGCGTGACTTACAAAGTAGACAAAGGTGATCGGAAGGCGCCTTCTCGATAATTTACGTTGAAATATCAGGTCATGAATTATGCACAGTGTGGAGAAGATTAAAATTAAAGAATAAAATTTGGCACTCTGGTCTTAACCGACATATCGCGTTGCTTGAAAGGACACAAAAACAAGTTAAAATAGGTTGCATTGTTTATATTTACAAAACAACACGCATACACTCAGAAACAATTCCTGCAGTTTCTCCCGAGATTTAGTATACGGAACCCAATGAACTAACCCTCCTTTCCGCAGATTTGTTTCCATCACTAATGATGTTACGCTCTTATGGACCACAACGGTTTTGAGCGACAAACTCGACATTTCCCTGCACTGATATGCCTTTTCGGTCCGATTAACGCCTGCATTTTGAGAATTCTTTCGTACAAAGTAGTGAATTTTTGATATGCAAATTAGGGTCGAAGAGAAGGGTCTCCTCTGATCACGCTAGTATGAAAAATATTTCAGCTGAAGTTTCCATATTTTGTCTGTGAACTAACTGAATACACCTTGTAACTTGTAGCAAGATAGAATTCCGTGAGCTACATTGTTGCAGTCGCTACGCGCTGGACAAAATCTTTGAAATTGACACTTCCGATGGCTGTTCACAGGGGTAGTCTGGCCAAAAATGATTTTTGGCTTGTGGCGAAGCAAAAAAAGAGAATTGGAGAACAACTTGACTATTTTTGAAACATATGTCCTAAACCCTTTTCATGGGCAAAAAATAAAAGAAAACTTTTTTCCGACGGGAAGTCGAGAGGACCGCTCTTAGCGGGAGTGGCACTTAAACCCAATGGCAAGCTATCCTTCTGAACAACCGAATTCTGTAAGGCGCTGTAACGTCCCCACTTACGATGACCAGTTTAGCCATCCGCGTGTTGCAGGGAGATTTTCCGAGAATGGAGCAATTTTTCAAACACGTCAGTTTCCATTCGACGAAGTAGAAGTAGAAGAGGTCATTGCACAAGAGTCACAAACACAACCACAAGCTCAAACGACTGGAAGCGGCACTAAAGAAAAAGGAAGAGGAAAGGCAAGCTATTACAAGTGGACAAACGAGGAGCAAAGTTTTCTAGTTGATCTTTGGGCTGAAAAACACGACCGTCTACAAAGTAAGGACGCAAGGAAAGTTTGGCTTGAAATCTGCGACGAGATTGAAATGAACTTCGGCACCAAAAAGACAGACGAAAAATGCCAGCGAAAGATCAAATATAAAGAGGCAAAGTCATAGAACAAGAGTCAGACGGGAGGTCACATACGTAAAAGTTTTTTCTACGACAAAATAGACCGAGTTCTTGGAACACGAGATATTAGTACCATGAAACATGTGGTCGAAGCAGGGACAAGCACCGCTTCTCCGTCTTCTCTGAGCGCAAACCCTCCAAGTGATCATGATGGCTCACAGCCAAGCACGAGCGGAACGCCAAGTCCTCCAGAAAGTAGCGTTGCTTCTAGTGGCACCAGTGGGACCAGCAATGAAATATCGGATGGCGAAGTCAATCTAGCCGGTCCTAGCAAACAGTGCCGAAAAGAAAGGAAGTGCACAACGAAGAGGAAAGTGCCGACCGAAGACGCCGGAATGGAAGAGGCAGTTTCCATCAAGAAAAGCCTCGAATCCATAGAAGAGCAAGGCGAAAATCTTACTGCGTTTATGGAGGGTAAGCAGCAGAACCACGGCAAACAATTAGAAATGATAGCATCTTTCATGGGCTCTCCTCTGGAAGCCATAAAGAATAAAAAAATAGATGCCTAGCAGTTTACCTTTTTATCAGTGGACTGTTCAGTCTGATGATTCATATTGTTACAGTTTGTAGAGTTTATAGTTGCAACTATATTTGATTCGCTTTTACTTTATTAAAATCATTTTCGAGTAAAGAAACTGTTGTGACTACTCTAACATGGTTTGATTCAGTTTATAATATTATAGAACAGTTTCGTCTTTTTGATTGTTTACAACCGTAGGAACATACTTGAGTTTCATTTAAATGATCAGACTTGATTTATTAAAATAATTTTCGAGTGAAGGACGGATCATGGATAACATGATTTGATTCAATTTGTTGTAATCTCAATCATTATTCAAAGAAGTCAAAGTGTAAAAGTAAAAAAATTAAGAACACGACAGCAATTGCAAGCAATAATAACTTAATTCTCGATTTGTTTTTTTTCTATATAGTTCATTGAAATTGCAATAGTGTATGAATTTTTTGGATTCATAAATTACATTTGCGTGATTGGAAAGGAAGAACATCAATTAAATGTTGTGGTTCAGTCACGCATTTGCAACGTACTCTCTTGACACACTTCGAACGTCGTCCCCATCCCTTATCACATCATCGTTTTTGCTTTCATGCCCTTGATCTCGAGGGTCATCATTTTCATCATCATTCCATTCGTCTTGATTCAGCAGACAAAAGTTGTGAAGGACTGCACAAGCAACAGCGATTTTGTTGGCAAATGAAATTTTACTATCCAGCCGTTTCCCCAGTATACGCCAGCGATTTTTTAACATCCCAAAAGCGCACTCTACTGCTACCCTGGCACCAGACAAAGCTTTATTGAAAGCTATTTCCTCTGGATCTCTCGTTGCTTCGAGAAATGGATTTTGAAGCCAGGAGGCTAATGGGTATGCGCTGTCTCCAACTAGATGGAATTGATATCATTACCCCCAATTTGCACAGAAGGACCCGACAGAATCTGATCGTGCTCTACAAGATCAAATATTGTACTATTTCGCAGGACTCTCGCATCATACATACTGCCTGGAAAGCCAGATGCAAAGTCAAGGAAGCGTTTCCCGCCATCGACAATAGCTTGAACAATGAAATCGCGTTGTTGGTAGCGACTGAAATAGTCCACCGCACTGTCTGAAAGGGGCAGCTATTCTTTATGGGATCATCAATTGCACCAACAATGTTCGGGAGATCAGAAACATCTTGAAATGTATCTATACAATGCCGTGTTTCTGCCTGTGTGATGGGAAACTTTATGTAATCATTCCTGAGGTTGGAAAGGACCTCCACAACATCTTGCGCTGCTTCTAGAACAGTCGACCTTCCAACGTTGAAAACCGGCCCAATACTTACGTACGAGTTGCCGTGAGCTAGACGGTACAAACCAAGCGCGAGAACTTTTTCTGGAACAATGCAGTCACGCAATCTCTTATTTCACGAGTTACGGCCGGCCGCAAGACGTTCAACAGAATATCAAAGGTGCATCAGTTCATTCGTAGTTGCTTTCTGAAATAATCCCTGGGAATCCTTCGGTCATTGTAATGAATCTCAAACCAAGACTGGTTTGGTCTTGGAAGTTTCCAAAAGTATGGGTTGTGTCGACGTGCCCGGCGTCTCTGTCTTCTACAGTATTCAATCGTTAAGAGGGCCACTTGATTTCGAAGACATTGATGCCTCAACAACAGGCACACCATAAGGAGTATTTCGTTCGCCATCTATTATTTGTCTGAAGATGGCGTTGTGTGCTTTCAGATTATCAGACTTTTGCTACACAGCTTGATTCGTTAATTATTCGTTAAGAGGAAAGCCTGCGCATTATTGAGAAACTGTTTTTGCCGTTGTTGCAAAGGTTGGGGTCTACTCTTGACGACCTAAATTCCTAGCCAATTGAAACTTCACCAACCTGCATTTTCTGTTGGCCGAGCAATCCAGTATCCCAGCAGATACAGAGATAGATCTTACTTCCCATTGTGGACGTGGGTGGTTCAGTAAAGCATTTTTATTCAAATTCTTACAAAACAAGCATTCAAGCCACCATCTTAGCCATCTTAGCCATCTTAGCCACTCAGCAACACGTGACAGGCATGCGTACAATGAAAAAAGTAAATTTTTCAATAGGTGGGAGGAAACTTAAGAAGGTTTTGAGAATACATCGATCATAAATCTAACTTAATCTCCGCCCATTTACCTGTAAATCTTGGTGTAAATAGAAACTTTGACAAAGTTTCCGATGTGTTAAAACTCCGTTACAGAAAGGAAAGAAAATTACCTGAAAATTATGGAGAAGCTTCTCTTAACCAAAAGGAACGTTTAAGGTTTCCTTTCAGTAACGAGTGTCTATTGAGGTTCTGAATTCCGATTTTTTTCTTAGATTGTCACCCCATAAAAAGGCTAAATTAACTTAATTTGATTATCTGTGAATTAGTCATGACGCAAATGACATGTGAATCACGTGTCAGTAAAAATTGAAAGGGAAATGACAAGCTGGATAAAGTCAAAGAACTGCATCTGATGATTTCCATTTTTATTGTAAGATTATGAGTTTGAAAGTTCAATCATTCTCTTGTTAAAGTGGATTCATTTGCTGTAATTAACAAAAATCTCTCAGAAATCCAATCCACGACGACATTTTCGTAACATTTTACACGATTAGTAGCCGACTTTATACAAAAACAATTAGTAATTGATTTGCAATAAAGCTTAAAGTTCATTCTGCATAAATCTTATTGAGTCCTAAGGTAATTAGTTTGGCATCGAAACAGTTTCTTGCACCAAACTTAGGCTGAGCAGGTAATTTAGTTAAATGTCACATTTAAACGAGAAGTGTAGCAGGTGCTCTCCGCCTCAACCATTATGGACGGGCCTTCAATTGTAATAAAACAGCAGTTAACCTGTGCTGGTCAGGGTCTCTTATTTTCGCAGTCTATCCTTTAATAATAAATAAGTTGCAATTTTTTAAGAAGAAAAAGCAGGCTGTAAATGATATTTGATTTCTCGTGCCGTGAACCCAAGCTTTAAAAATGTGAGTTAAATTTCTAAAACGAAAAAGTCAGCTTTTCACAGAATGAAGTCAGCCGTATTTGGTTGGATCATGCTCTGTTGTGTCTTTCCCCAAGGTTCAGGTAAGCAGTACAAGCCTGTCCAAGTGAAGAATATTCGTCGTGGCATCAGAACGAAACACTTCATTGCTTAAATCTTTTTAACTTACTTTTGTCTAAAAAAGTCATGACAGTACCTAAGGGTTGTCATTGCCAGCTTAATGTTTGACTCAGCTCGTTGTTTCACTTGTTTTGCTTTTCTCACCTCAATATGGTTTAATACTAAACATTGGCTGACCAGTTCTTTGCAATATCATTGACAACAGACTGTGTCTTAATGATCGACGTTCGCACTGATGTGTGTGCGTACCTTAGACTTGAGAGGTACGTTACTCTTCGTAATTTGGGATTTGAACTGACTTAACAAAATAAATCCTAAAAAAAAAGGACTACCTTAATGGAGGCGTAAAAGCCTATTGGCTACATAGCGCTCAGAGTCGAATGCACTGATGTTGACAAAATACTTTGTGTTAGAGCTGATAGCAGTTTGGAGCCAAGCTTATGTAGATGGAGGGCTGTGAAATGTTTTGAAGTTAAAGCACAAATGTTTTAGAGAAGCCAACGGTATCCTGAAGCCCAGTATTCTTTTCATTCACGCTCGCTGCAGATATTTCTTTACCCTTTGATTTGAAAAGTCAAAACAGGTGCTTTGCTGGGTTAAGTCACTGTGTAATCATCTTTTGTGTAAGCATGTAGAACCTTAGGTTGTATCCGGCTCGTAATCTTCTTTAGGACGTGAACCGCGGAGATTAGACCCATGTAATTGAGGTATACAGCAAGTCGACTAACACATATCATAAACACGTTTGCAGAATGCATGAACATCCATGGAGGGCGACATATAAAAATGAAAAAAGAGTGGAAAAATAAGAAAATGATTTTCAAAACGGAATTTCAAGCGAAAGGAAGTGTTACAGCCAGACCAGAAATCGAAAGCAAAAACATGGAAAAAATGTTGGCCGGGTAAGCATCCGTTATCTGTCTCAAGTTTATCTACTGCTTTTTTTTTCAATTTTTTCATTTCTTTTTTTTTTTCATTTTTGCCCAAGGGGAGCGGCACTAGTTAAGCTTGAGGGTTTTTATTTCAGTGTTAGAGCTCTCTGCTAAGGGCAATTATGATGATTACCGAAAGTCTCTGTTATCATTTTGTTTTCAGGAGAATAGCACCCAGTAAACCTTTGACACAGAAAAGATCAACAAGTTCTTCACAAGACTTAGACGGGGCAGCAAAGATCATTTCTCTTCCAGCAACTAGAAAAGATGTTTTAGTGAGAAATCCCCAAAATGTCCACTTCGCTAAGAAAGTCGTAGTTGGTAGTCAGTTCCGAAAACTTTTAAAAAAACTGTACCAAAATCATTCGAAAGATGTTCAGGCTATCAAAAGAAAACTAACTAGTGAACAACTCCAGTTGTTAGAATCCAAAGAGGAAGGTGATGAGGATAAAGCCGACATATACAGCATCGAAGGTAAATCAGAAGCTTCCAAAAATAAAACAGTCGTCGAACTCCGAGCTGCAATACTGAGGTTATTGAACGAAGTTGCAAAAAAGGCTAAATCAGCCCACAACGCTGAACAAAGATATAAACAAGACGAATCATCGAGACACCCTTTTAGAAGAAAAAAGTTCGGTCAGACTTTAAAGACAGAGATAGAAGAAAGTTATGATCATAGCAGAAGCCCATCTTCCATAGCTAAAGGAGAGGATCTCTCTGCAAAGCGCGCAAACTATTTGGATCTTCTTAACTTCATCGCACGAATGAAAAGCACGGACATTGGAAAAGATGTTGATTTGTACAACACTGATAGTATGCGGAGTTCGAGTATGATGGAAAACAGTGGCATGAATAAAATGCTGAACTCAAGAGATCTAATGACACAAATTCCTAACACAGGAAATATGCAAAGGGAAGAAAAGGGAGTCTTGCCAGGAGAGGGAATGCAAATGCAGGAATTAAATCTTGCGAAACAAAGGTGGCTTCTTGAAGACCAGTTGGAAAATCGCATCGCTCAACTTCAGTCGAAAGCGCGATTACCTGTGCCCCAACAAGAATTTCCACAAATACAAAATTCTCAAAACAATGACATGACAGACTTTATGCAACGTCTTCAGAATGTGATCACAACTCCTTCACTTGGGCCTATACCCCTTTCATATCGAGGACCAGCCATGTTTCAAAAGCCGTCATTTCTTCCTCGTGTTAATCAATATCTACCTTTTGCACGACCATTCCCCGCCACCGAAACGCGGTTACCTTTCTATCGACCAATGAATCCAAGACCTCCATATCCAATGGATGACGAGGGAGAAGATGATAATGAAGATGACGATGATAATTCCGACTATGACAATGATGAACGAGATGAGCCTCCACTACATCATCCGGACCGTGAGCACGAAGAGAGTTACAATGCTGACGAAGATGAAGGGGAACAAAGATACCCTGACATTGACGAAAGATAACACTTTCGTTTTTGTCAGCTTCTATTGACGTTCTGTATATAGATAATGTCACAACTCTGTTATTTCATTTTAATGTTATTTCGTTTTAAGCTAGTCCGGTTACAACAAATTTTGTAAAACCCCAGTATGTGTGGAAGTCTTGAGATCTGCTCTGCTCTAGGAATGATAAATCTTAATGTTTCAATTAGTTCGAAGGGTTCCACCTAAAGCGTTTAAGTCTTGGTTTATGTTTTTGTCAAAGATGATCAAGATGTCCAAAACAATAATAGCCTACACTATTGTGTGTCTCACGTTGTAGTCACTTCTGCTGTAGATCGCTAATGCAGACCCTAGGACTACTCCAAAAGTTGAGAAGTCGACTAGTTACGTGTCACCTAAACATAAGATTGTACTCCGCTGTGATTGGTTGGTTTCCACACTTAACCACCAGAGTGACTCTAATATCAGCCCTAAATAAACAATTATGTTCATGAAAACAAAGAAAAGATCGCCAATTAGAGAAGCTCTTGATTATTAAACAAATTCTCCTTGTCGGTATCGGAGGAAAAATATAACGAGCAGCAGAGGGTTTAACGATTGTTATTGACGCATTTTGATAATTGATGTCCTGGTGAAGTGTTTGCACAGCGATCCACTAACCTCCTGTTGATATCTTTTTTTATCCTGGATGCCTCTCTAGTTACCAAGGCGGAAATACTTATATATTTTTTTACCACTCTTCTTTACCATGATGAGTAATTACACCATGCTTTCACCAGTTATGTCAACATGAGCCCTAGATGGATAGAAGTTGAAATAAAACCGTGAAAACCACCGGTAAGAGTGTTACTTAGCAACACCACGCAATCGCAGGATCAACCTTACAAAACTTTTAAGAATTAGTTGAACTCCATTTACGAAGTGAATCTATATTCACTCTGCAGAGCTGAGTTCGGTAATTTTATCGGAAGTCTACTTAGCTTTGAAGGAAATGAGATGGCAAATATTTCGCAATGTAATTCTTATTTCAATAATTCTTACGTCTAAAGTTGCAAATGGAAGACCTTCGACAAGAAGGATACGATCCGGTAAGTTTACTTAAGATCAATTATTCGTTTCTAAATTTGACCTTCATCAAGTTGTGTTTCGGTTTACCGAATTCATTTGCGCTTGAACACGGATAAATAACCGTTACAGCCGATTTTCTATGAAGATAAGTTTTACAGAAGAAGGCTGTAAGACTATAAGACTGTGAACTGTCTTTTATCAAATATATATGTAGTGAGATAATGCACGCAGTTAGATATCAATACCAAAATGAAGCAGCAGTAATGGGCAGTTTTGGCAAAGAAAATCCTATGAAACATCGTTAAGTGTTATGTCAAGTAGCGTAACCTGCCACTGTTATGGTTTAAGAACACAGCTGATTGGGACAGTAACACCTAACAAACTTCATTAGCGACTAAACTAAACAAGTGATTAAAGAACTTAGATTGTAAGACGATCATGATGAGTTGGCTTTAATCTTAAAAGTTGAGTTTTCATCGTAACCATTAAGAGCATTATCTTTATCTTCCATGTGATGAACGATAGGGTAAGTTTTGACATCGTTTGTCCCTCCTCTTCAACAGAGAAAGTCAAGCCCGGCCTAATCACTGTTCCAATCATGAAAGATGCTCGCGGAGTGCCACACGAAACCACTGCGCAGGAAAATGCAAAGTCTTATTTGACCGGCCCTGCTTACAGGATCCTGAACAAGGATAATACTTTTGACTCTAAGGATCCTTTCATTTTCTTTCCACTGATTGCTGTTGAACACCCAAGAGGATAAGTTGCAAAAATTAAAACCGTCAGAACATCTGCTAGTAATTGTGTGATTCTAAAATCGTAAAATATATCTCCACAGAATCGGTGAGATGAATCTTTAAACGAAGAGTTGCGATTAACTTCTACCTAAATTTCGCCTTCCACAGCAGAATTTTAGCTATTTACACCTGTTCACTTGTAGCCTCAGTATCAGTGCAATAAAGACACATCTAATAAGTTGTTCTTAAGTAACCAAACATCCTCGTAATAACAATCTTAACAAAGAAAGGGTGATAAAAAGATTGAACAAGTCAAGCGAGAAGAGATAAGAAAGTACGTTTCCAAACCTTGCAAAAAGACACTGCGTAGTCTGAAAAGGAGAGGAATTTCAGTTCAGGAACGAAAATAAAAGAAGGCAAAACCGTTGCTATCCTTTCTGAGAAATCTATCTACATGAAAGAAAATAAATACGTCATTACAAATATTTCTGAAACTGATCACCAATTCTTTAGAAAACTGGGAAGATTGTAGTCACAACTGACACAGAGGGGCAAACGCACTGCGTTTGATTTAGAGTTGTGAACTTATCTGAACGAGTCGGGGCGATAAAAATTGGCTTTGGTATTTCAAAGGTCATTTCAGAAGGCGAAGCATAGTTTTGTAGATAGAATAGTTTTATGAATAGAATAGTTTTACGGATAGAAAAAAAAATATAGCCGTTGTTGCTGCAAAAAATTTTTGTCGAAGTTTTTTTAAAGATTCACCGTATCTGAGTGGTATTAAGAAAAGAGAGTTCAAACTGGCTTTCAAATATCTGACGATGTGGCTGAGTTATCTGTTGTATTTGAAAAGAAAGGGTCCTATTCGTACAAACCTGACATGTTTTACGTTTGTTTTGACAAACTTTACCGGTGGCGGGTACAAACTAAATATTTTTTTAAGTTTGAAAAACTCCATGTGGTTTTACGTTTGTCTTTAATTTACATTCCGTTGTCGAAATATTTTTACGAGGAAAGAAAAGTAAAAAAAAAATCAAAATCTTTGACTTCGGTTTTGCTATGTACTTACCTTTTGCACGTGGACTTCTTATTCTAGTTATCGTTTTTGGCCAAGAGGTGTTTGCTCGACCGGCAACAGGTAAGTTCAGATTCATTTCTAAATAACAGGCAGAAATTTGAAAAGTTGTCACAGTGTATTGTGATTTTTTCACTGGTCCGAAGAAATGGCCGGTTATAAGTCCTTGTATTTTGCGGAGTAAGTTTAGATTCAGTTTCAATAATGACGATAACAATCAAAGCTTGTTTCTATGCCACGTTCCGAAAAACAGGTATGGTGGAGATAATAGGGCTTAAACTGGGTCCCTTTTGGAAGCTTGCTCATCATTCTTTCGATTAAGCAAACAATTTGACGTAAGCTTCGGGAAAATGATCAAGAAACGTGGTCTGATTAGGAAGAAATCTTGCTTTGCTGAAAGCTAAGAATTTCTCTGAACCACGTGAGTTTCGGGGTTTTAACTCATAACTGATCAAATTTTGAGCCAGCGTTTCCAACTGTGATTATCACCTAAATTCAAGGAGAACTAAAAAGACCCAAGCAACTTCTAAAGTCTCATCCAAGTTTATACCGACGACAAGAAGTCGTCGCTGTTCCGCCCGTGGCGACATCAATACTTGAAGGACCTTACCTTCCTCCTGCAAATGCAGAAAATGAGTTGCTTGTTGGACCTACCGGTGTACCAAGTCCTCTGCATCGTGGCTATCCGTCGTTTCCTGGACCTCACATCCCACATTTGTTTCCCTACGGCTCCTACGCTAGATTTCATGGATTTTACCCTCATCAGAGCTACTATCCCATGATACCCTGGGGACTTCATCATGGTTATACTCACTGGCCTCATATGCAGGCTTCAGGACCAGTTTTCCTAGCAGATCCAAATGACGGGATGTATCAGGAGCCTGTCACTGGGACTATGATTCCCCGACCGATAATACCTCCACAGTATCCAGGATTCTATATGAATCACGCTGTTGAAATGTACAGACATAATCATCTTGGACCAATGTTTCTTGGAGGGCATGGGGCAAGAATGTATCGTAAGAATGCTATAAGAAACTAAGTTATTTATTGCAATGGCTATCATCTTTATCTGTTCGAAATTTTGAGTCATTAACGCGGAAAGTTATTTTTTTTCCACCGATCATGTGTTGGGTATCTAAGTAATAGACCACACACTCCACGCTGGATATCGGGAGAGCACGAGAAATAGAGAATAATACATGGGCGCGCGTAGATATGGAATTTCTCTTCGTGTGTTTAACTCGATAGCTTACGAGTGAGCGCAACGAACGAGAGAGATGTCGAGTTGAACACGAGAAGAGAAATTCCATATCTACGAGCAACCATGTATTATTTTGTTTATTAGATAAACACAAAAGCCCTTTACTGAGAAGAAAAGCCGACTTCATTGATGAATGAAAATAAATGAATCGATTATTCCCGAATAACAACCGTAGAGTGTGTTAGCGCTAACTCTTAAGATGGAAAAATGCGTTGAATAATGATTACAAAAACAACAATGGACGTAATTTTCAATTTAAAAAATCTCATTTATTGACTTTGTCCTTACCGACAGAAGAAGTATTTCAGGTAAACCGCCAAACTCGGCCGGTGACAAATCTTCCAGTTATCGATTTTCATTCTCAGCCGAGAGAAATGCTAACACCAAAGCCACTGAATAAGTAACTTTCGGTTTTCTTCTGGTCTATTGGTTTTCTTCCCCTTCAAGGAAAGTTTGAACCTCGCTGTCTGTCAGCAATACGTATTTTTTAGTGTTTTAGCCGCCATATAATTCGAGAAAGCTCCGACAAACAAACTTGTATTGAGAATCGTGAAGGCTTTGCCTATCATTCCTCAACCTGACCGAGTGGCGCCAAAGGCAAGTGACGTGTCAGCAGCTGATTGGCTATATCAACACTCGTGAAAAAATACGATATTTTTTCACGTGTGTTGTTACAGCTTTTCTCAGGGCCGGAAATCCCTGTATAACACCACAGTTTACGTGATAAGAGTTTTTAAATCACGAGCAAGAGGGAAGTGATTTACAAACTTTTTGAGTGTTCACCCAACATCCCAAGTGAGTTATTACGCTAGTAAACCTGTAAAGAATTGAGTCTACAGCGTTTGTAAAACAACTAGGGGTTTACTAGTGCAATAAATGATAGGCTTTTGACCAATCAGGGCGTTCGTAGTCTCTCAGATATTTTACATCAAGCTTTAATCAGTTTCGTGCACCATTATTCATTAAATTGTACGTCGCGCTATTTTCACCCGGTTGGTTCTAATATACAAGGCGATAAAGCAAACGCTCGAACAAAACTCAATGATTTGCACATTTTAAGCGACAGAGTCTTGACAGATTTTCTCTTATCTCCTGCAGCCGTTGATGTTACCAACGTGGAAGATCAAATTTTAGACAATTCAGCAAATTTACACAGCTCCCCAATTGAGGATGTCGCTCATAAAATGGAAGAGATTAGAGAGGAAACTGAACTTGAACGACAGAAACTAATGAAAGCAATGAAACTAAAATCTGCGAAGAAGAAAGTACAAAAGCAGTAGCTCGTGGACATTAATAAGCGCCTTCAGATAAAACATCATGTTCATGAAAACTATATGTCAGTGAGTCCTCAACCAAATATTCTAGTTCACAATGATGGGAGAAACTAGCTTTCGAACTACTCTCGTTATGAATAGGCTCGCAGACTCTTCTTGTTTTTTTCTTTATTCTTACTTTCTGCGGCCAGCGGCTACTCCTTCTCCTTCTACTTCTCACTGACCTCTAATTACTTTTTACTGCCTTCTACTGCTATTAGGTAAAACTCTAAAGAAAGTGCTTCCCTAGATGAACACTTCCCTACACAGAAAATCGACGAGAGGAATCACACTGAGAGAAATCGCAAGATGTTCACCCGCTATGTTTTAATAAAATGCAGAAACAAGTATTCACGACTGCTTTCAAAAGAGAAATGTAAACAAGTTTACGATATTATGTTTTGGTATCGTACCGAAAAATTGTGTTTAGATAGAAACTGCATACACATACAACATGAACGAGAGGCAACATTTAAATACAAGATGGCGATACATACATACCAGCAAGGCATATTTCCAGGCAATTTAGAAATTTTATTTCAAGCAAGGCTCTCGCTCCTTATGTAACAACTATAGCCCTATATCAGTCCTTTCAGCTCTAAGTAAAATTTTAAGAATAAGAATTCTTAATCAGTTATTATTTCATTTCACGACTGGAAATATTCCAGTACTGAACCAGTTTGGCTTTAGAGCTGGAAAAACTACAACTGACCACTTAGTTGAATTAACAGCTACATTGATGAAGGTGGTTATGATGCGTTTATATTGATTAAATTGGTAATAAACCTAGCCAGCAAAAGTGTAAACAAAATTGAAAAACTGAAACGAAATGTAAAAAGCCAGTCTCTTGTAAGTGTTTATAATGCACTTGTATATCCTCATCCAACACATGGCTGCATGTTATGAGGAAATAATTATGAAGCTCCATTGTCTCAGTTCAGTGGTAAAGCTACAAGACCAGTTGTAAGAATCATAAACAATGCACCATTTCGTGACCATATTACTCCCCTTTATGTAAACCTTGGGCTAATTAACCTTCCTGCCATAATTAAGCAACGTATGTGTCGACTATTTTATGAACATTTCGCAAATAAAAAATCAATTTAATTTCGCACTGTCTTTTGTATCTGAGAACCATGATTATGCCTCTGAAAGCACATATTTGCAGCAGCTGAACCCTTGCCCCATTCAGAATAAAAGCAGTTATTGGATACTTCTATATGACCATTCTTTGTGATCCAACTTAATCGAGCACTTCGACTTTGTAATCTTGACCCTGCTTTGTAAAAATCTCACAGGTTTCGAATAGGTGCAGCGACTTTGGCCGCTGCTGGGTTTTTATTTTTTTCGATACGCAATTGGCCAATTAGAAGGATGGAAATCTGATGCTTTCTGATAGATATTCTGACTATGTCTTTCAATAATTGTCGGAAATTCTTGTTGTCGGACCACACGCATGTGCTATGGTAGCCCTATTTTTCATGCCCTCAACTTTCCAAGAGTTTGACAAATTAAACTCATTACTAATTTGTTATATTGGATTTAATTTTTTGGAAAATGAACCGTCCATCTTGCGCGGCAAAAATTTGTCTCGCACAAAATTTTCCAGTTTCTATTTATCATAACGCTTTTGCAAGCAAAGCTTGACTGTTGACCCAGAAATCGACCAAAATTTCTGTATAGCTAACATATAGATTGACCACTGGACTACTGAACAAAGCCGTGGCGTTGGTACAGTTCACCACGCATGTTAAAAGTAGCACCTTGTACAGTCGTACATCCAAATTTTTTCGGCTTGATGGGTTACTACTATTTTGTATAATTATGGGGCTACGCTCTGCGAACTCCGCTATAAAATCATAATTTTAAACATTTGCGGCAAGGACATAATAAAAAAAGGCCGGTCAAAGTGATAAAATTATTTCTCAGTAAAGTATTCCCGTGTCTTACTCATTTGTGAACAAAAAAAGGACTGTCCGGTTGCCAAGCGACCACGTGGAACTTTTAAATCATAAATATAGATGGTGTTTTTCTGAAAGCTTACTGATGACCACTGATTTGTCGTTGATATTGAACCATCCAAGTGATTCGAAACTATTACTAATTAATGTGGTCATATATCTTAAGTCCTAAGATGATTCTTACGGCAAAGTTTTGCAAAAATCGAAACTTACGTATATTAGTGTTAGGGTGCTTGCTCATACTGAAGCATGATAAGCGTTAAAGAGAGAGGTAACCCGTGAAATAATTACGAAACCTTAAATATTTCGTTGCATGAAAGCAATCCTTAAGCACTTTTAATTTGATTTGCATCAAGAAGACTTTTTCTCAAAAAAAAAAAATGTTCATCCTTACACGAATTGAATAAGGTCACGACTAATAATGATAGTTACAAATTATGGCGAGCTGGTCTATGTTAGAGACAAACTGTCCAGCCATAATGACGATTAACATCAAAATGATATTAAACAAAAGTCCTCATGTTTGACTTACGGAATCTTTAAGTTTACCTGTCACCCGTAATAGTTATTGTTAATTTGGGGTTTAACCATGACTATTTTGGACCTCAAAGGAAAACAATAGCATGGTATTGTCATCCTATTAAAGAGTCCTTTTTATGACATTTTGCGTGGCAGATGTAAAGACAAACTCCGAATAAGTTTGATCAGAAAACAAGTTTATCAGGAAAAATGAAGAATAATAGTCCACTCTACCTCGCTTTGATTATTCTGATTTCAACGACTATTGAACCAAAGCATATAGCAAGTAAGTATTCTTCGACAATTTCAGTCCGTTAATCGTCTGTGTCAGTGTTTATACACATTTTCCATGGCTTAAGGTTTTGAAATATTCGATATTCCTTCAATTTCTAAGTCAGCTCTCATGCTCGCATGGAAAATTGGATTATGCGGGGAACAAAAACTTTTTTGTTCTATCACATATGGATTTTCGATTGCATACTACACTCACAGAATTCGTAAAACACTAAGAACAGAAAGAAAAAGGCAAGATGAAGCCAAATCGATTACAATTATTGTTTTTGTCAATAACTTGGTTTCACAAATTACTTGCAATTTAAGTATGCGATGGTAAAAAAGAATTCCTGACCTCAAAACCTTCGTACAAAACGTATTTTTTTATGCTTCATTGTTTCTTTCGTATGCAGGAAAGCATGGTTATCAATCCAAGAAACTTCATATCCCTCATAAAACTGTTAAGCCTGATCTAGCTTCTAGAAACAAGAAACATGAAATTGTAACTCTAGCAGCACCACCGAGTGTTGGTGCCTTACTCCCCTCAGCACACCATATGACCTTGATGCCTAACGGAGTACCGACAGCATTCGGAGGATACATCCACCACTTAATGCATCGCCATCCTCTGAACATTCCTGTTTACCGTGGATATCATGGTATTTACCCTGTTCATCTACCGCAACATTACGGACCAATTGGTCCCATTGGGCACCGTCTCTTCTACAGACACGGTCCTCCTTTCCCACATCGGTTTGTGCACAGTCCGTTGCCCCAACCACTGAGGCATACCTTGGGGTATGGGTATGATTCCCGTTTTGGCCGTGGTCTCTGGTATGGTTCACCTCTTGGACATATTCCAGCTGGTTATGGATACGGATATAACGGCTTTGGTGAGTGGGTCACTGATACATTTGTTGAGTATAGAGATCAGTGTTATTGTTAATGAAATTCACATTTCATGAAATGAGTAAAGATGGGTGACTTACAGCTGTGCTACCCCTTTTAAGTAATGAAACTCCTTCTAAAGTTCAATTTATTTATCATAAAAATTTAAAATTAATCATGGTCTGCAGTCTGTACGAATTCAACATTGAAAAATCCATAATCTATTCTATTCTTTTGAGGTCACCGGGGCTTTCAACCACTAAGGGGCTGGTATCCATACTCATTTGACCATAGCGTTGATCTGCGTGGTGACAGTGGCCCATCCTCCATGTTTGTCGAAAGAAGTTCAATACGTGAGTATAAGAGTAAACACTGAGCTTTTTAATCTTTAAGAAACAAAACGAAAAAATTATAGGGGTTAACAAATGCTAAAACTGACGCCATTCTAATGTGTTTGTAACTATGTCAAGGTGGCCCTTGAGAGAGGTAGTTGATCATCATGCCAACCTAGCATTCACGTAGGTTTTATTTTTCTTTCAACTACAGCTGCATCGAAGAGACCTGGACAAGGCAGAAAGGTTGATGTTCGTCGGCTGCTTAAAACTTGGCGTAAATTAATACTAACAAAGCGAATACCAATAGTATTTCCTCTCAGTCGGTCAATTTTTCGCTCTCCGTTAAAACGCAAAGTTATTCCATTGGGCCTTCGTATTCAACGTTTCAAGATAAGCCTGGCTCCACTGAAAAGAATGCTGAAGCAATCCAAGGCGTATAGCAAACTATTAAGTTATAAGAACAAAAAAGGAAAATCCACCCATGGGAAAACTGGGACAGCTACTAACAGCAACAACAATGTTACATAATAGTTAACAGGGTGCATTTTTAAGTTACTGGGCGAGAATAAGCTAAGTATACTCACAGGCAAACCTGTGTCGATAATCGTAGTAATCATGTGATCACGTTTAATATTACACTGTGGAAACATCTTAGAACCAAAAAAAACCGTTAGCCGTTATGTTGATTGTGCGAAATGAAACATTTCATCTATATTTTTTCCATTTGTTCGTTCCTTTTTCTAATTGTTGTTTCTTGATATATCGCTTGTAATAAATTGATAATAATAAAGATCAATAAATCCATATCAGTGTGGCTCCAACAGACTTGTTTTGAGTACAACTTAACCCTCCTAATCAAGACGTTCTTGATAACTACAACTGAACAATAGAGTTCATTTTCAAAACTTAGTCTAAACTATTTCTCAATGTTCATTGACTTGCGATTAGAATTCCTTTTCAAGAAATTCTTTCACAATTAGATGTTAGCATCAAATTGATGAATTGTTGGATTAAAGTTTTAGAACTCCACTCTTGCGTCGACGGACGTTAAGTTAGTGGAAATACAGAACGAGTTTACTAGTTGAGGAGATTTTTAGAAAAAGGTCTGAAACCAAAATGAGGCCACCTTTAAGATTCAGACCCTGAGCAGTGTTAATTTATTCACAGCCAAACAGTTTTGAACTGGCCTCGGTGGAATTCATTTCCCGTCATCATGAGTCCTTTCCAATCTCTGGGTTCGGGTGTTTAGTAGATCATTTGCAAAAATAAATTCGGGGCATGAAAGGCAAAATTAAAAATTAGAATAAAAAGGTGGAAGCTTGACATCATAAGGACAGCTACGAGTGTCTACGACCCATTCCGAACCCGAACCAAATTCCCTGATTTTGCTGAGTAAAATAAGACTTTGCTTTTTACAAGAGCGAGTGGCAAATGTTTGTTTACTCATTAGACATTTCAAGGTATTAGTCTCCAAAACTAATCTAGGCTTGCTATAGATGGTACCCGTTACACAAGCTGCGCAATTAAAAACAAAACAGGTTGCTTCAAGCATAATTAATTTCTTTGTTCAATTTGGCCTCTTTCTAATGGGTTGATCAAACAAGCGCTATCATCGACTTATGCTGCGAGCACTCGTCTTAGTTAAGGAGGACTACTTCTAAACATATCATTTTTGCGTAAGTATGTGATCCATGCTAACTTTACTATGATCTTATGTAACGGTTGTGGCACGCTGTTTTGATTAAGTTTCAATCTAATAAATTGGCTAAATTTGTTTATAAGTTATATAAAGGTGTGTTCGTTATGGAAATTTCAGATTTGGGACAACTTTCAGTTTTCAACCAAACTGTGTATAAAAGCATAATTAATCATCTTCTATGGTTATTTTTTTCCGAATCCTAAGTTAGGATAATGAGCTGTTAAATTGTTTAAAAGCTCCGTCCACCAGTGTTAGGGCCGTGACATTTAAAAATAAACTTTCTTACATGCTTTGCTTTTGACTTTCAAAGTCATAGCTTGCACAGCCCGCGATAATTTCTCTTGTTATTCTATGAAGGAAACATACGTCAAGCTTAGGATATGGATAAGAAATTTCACCGTGATTTTGACAACAGTCAATAATAACCTTACTAAAGCGGGCTGGTCCCATTCAGCAATTTCTCTTTTTTCCAGATTGGGAATATAAAAAATACCTCAATCAACCATCGCCTTTGCTTTGACTGTGATCATTAATCATAATTTTTCTTTAAAAAAGAAAACAAGATACCCATTGGAAATGAGTTAATAATATAGAGGATACCCTTTTTGAGAGATTGAAATAGAGGCATCACATTTCGTGTTATTCCGTGTGCAATTTTTCAAATCAGGAATGTACTTTTTTTTCTGTACACTTTTAGGTGAAGTAAAGCACAGTGGTCATGATGAATGCCAGAGTAATTTTCCTCTTTTTACTCACGTGTTCCATTTTGAAGTGTGGAAGTTTAGTAAGTAGAGGTACGATCTAATACAATACATTCCCTACAAAAATATTTGTATGTGGAATTCCATCACTTTGTACTGAACATGCTTTGAATGACCTAAGTTTATGACGGAGAAACCTCCACCCACCGAAGAACTTTTCACTTTTTTTGACAGAAGGATACTGTTATGAAGTATTTTGTTAGTTGGTCAAATTTGATTTAGTCATTTGTTTATTTCAAGTATTTCCTTACTATTTGAATTCAAAGTTCGAAGTTATTAGGGTTTCAGCGATCGCGATGAGTTTCCTAACTTCCATTATTGGACGTGCTTACTTTGTCTGCTGACCTCGCCTTGGACAACCCCACCAAAGTTCTTGTTTTGGCTTACGCGGCAAAGATTGATTCGGTTGATCGGAAGCATTAAGTTAAATTAGTTTCCCTGTCATTACGTCTCACCCGTGAACAATAGTAAGTCCTCTATTGCTTTGAACTGCCTTGTCATGTCAATCTGGTAGATTCCTAACCATTTCTTTTAAATTCAATGTAGGAAGGAAAAAGCATACGGCAGCCTATCAAACCTTTGACAAAGTAAAAAAGCAACAAGTCGTTGTTCCACTGACAAACCTTCCGCCCTGATAGCTACGTTCGCAACAATATGATGCCGTCACAAATTCTGCAGTTGGACGGAACAAATGAGCTCAGTCCTTTAAAGTCGCCAAATACTGTCTTCGTAAATGGTGAAAATCAAGAGGACCAGAATTACCCTCTAATAGATGATGGTCACCAAATGGATCCCAACGATGAACCGTATCAAGGGTTACCCACTGAAGACAACACTTACAACACAGCCTACTCGTCTTTGTTCGGAAATGAGATGGCAGATTACAATGATGTTGACAATAATGACGATAACAACGTGGCCCCCAAGGACAATGATGGCCAAGGTACTTATGATGAGCAATCGAATGAAGAATACCTAAACGATGACACTAGAGAAGAACAGGATCCACCGGTGAGGACCATGGTACCAGAATTCAACAATTACCAAAATAATTATGCTGCCATGCAAGGTGCTCTCATTCCTACGCTATCTGGCCTAATTTCCTCTCGAATAAGAGCAATAAAAAGATTAAACTTACTTGATAAAACACAGCACACATCTACGCCGTCAAAGTATGCACCTTTGGTAAAACAGATCCTTAAAACTAGAGTTCGAGGAGGTGAAAAATTGTCCAGCTTACTTTCGGAAGGTGTGGCATCTAAGAAGAATAACGCAACCCAAATTCAGAGCCATAATCAGCAGTCCAGCGACACCGACGAGACTAAGATTACAATAGAAGATACTAAAAAGGAAGAACTGAGATACAAGAGTATGCTAAAAAGTGCTGAAATGGCAGCAAATCTAGCCGATGCCGCAAAGACTCTGACGAAACTTGTGAAAAAATTGACAGCACAAGATGCAAAGATCGCTAAAAAACCAGAGGAGGAGCATACGAAACATAACCATAACAACGGAGGTTTGTGATTATTTTATTAGACTAAACTGTAAACTCTGTCACAACTTTCAAAGAAATCCATTAGCAACACAAGCATTCTCGAACCTGCACTGGCTTAGGAGTAAACCTAAAATCGAATGGAAACTGATTTATCCCAAATCAAACTCGAAATCATGTGATTACCCATACAAATGCGTTGGTTACGTCTAGACTGTAAAAATACTATCAATGCAGCTTAACCAAAGGAGTATCGTTCGCGGGAGAATCTTACGGGCTAGTCTCATGGGCGCTCCCCTTGTTATTTTGCTTCACAGTTTCAATAAAAACGACGTAACTTGGCGACTCCATAGCTGAACCAGTAACTGATTTTAATGTTCACCCCTGCTCTAAAATTGAGCGAAAGACACCATTATGTCTTCTGCCGATAACGGTTATGTATCAGTAAATTGTCAGATAGCGGTCTCAGCCAAAGCCGGAGAACGCTGGAGCTGGAACGAGCGCTGGAGATCATCAAAATCAAACAAACAAACACGACTAATATGTCACAAATGACAGAAGTAAAAGACCGGAAAACGAGTGAAACTGACGCCCCCTCCCTCCTTCCCCCCACCAATCCCCATTCATATATGGACCGAATAAAACACTTAGGTTACTTCGAAACGTATAACGATCAAAGCCATTGTATGTAGTGTTAATGCAATACTTTTTCAACATAAAGACCAACGTGGTGCGACTAAGGAACCTATCCGAAAGAGAATTCCTTCTTCTACATAATCAGCTTCCTTATAGGCATTGTAGTTACTTAAGCAGACCAACGAAATTTACCTTTTAACCGACTAGCGAGATGTCCAGCATTGCCGCATCCACCGAAACTCTACAGAATAGCGAGACTGCACCAAGAGACCGATACGATCTGAAGTCTTGTTCAGTGGGTCTTCTACAAACCCCCTTTCCAAGTACCTTACCACCGAATCTTAAGACCCACTGTTAACTTTATCTTTGCAGCCAAAGATTTTTTTTTATCTTTATCTTTAATCAATGACTATTAGCTGCTGCTCCACTTCAATCTGCTTTACTATGCACAATGATCACCATTTCTCGTTCTATTGTTACAGTACCATTAACTGTTACGAGACATTATGGAAATATTGAACCTCTACCGACCAACTTGCTTTTACTAAAAAACTAATCGTATCAAAAGTTAATCGGGTCGAGGCCGGAGGTAATGTGGCATTATCAATGATGTGACTCTGAAAATAACGTGACTTTGAAAGCTAATGTGTTTTGGTGATCCGCTCACTTGAAGCTACTCTGACTATTAGTTGCTTCTGTTAAATAGTTCACAAGTGTGAAGTGAGCTCTTTGACCATCCGAATTCCTGTGCAGCAAAGGGGCAACGACATGGACGTGTTTTGATCAACCCAAGAATGATACTTCGAGTTTCATAAAAAAGTGCTCTGCGTAAGGGTAAATGGTAATACCACTAATGTAGAAAAAATTCAACCAGTTTGTCAGTTTCGTCTGATCGCTTCCGTGCATACAAAATGTCCAGCTGAGCTTTTAAACCGCTAGTTTTTTTTTTAAATGGAGAGTAATAGGATAGCCTAACCATCGAGGCTACAAACGATAGCCTGTAGTCCTATCGAGTTGGAAAAAAATAGATGAGAAATCAGTTTGACTCTCCTCGAGTCAGATTCATCCGTAACATCGGTTATCTATCAATCCATGTAATTCTGTAGCTCTCGGAAACATTCATAATGATTCTTAGCACGGTTCCTCCGGTACTAAAGACCTTAAACCTTAATCGTTTTGAAATTGCTAAAATGGCAGTCAGAATTAAGTGTTACGAGGAGAGACCATGATCATGGTGGTTTTTTATCCTGCCTACAGACAGCTCTGAGGATGGCGAGCGATGGTCAGAATGGTCCAAGTGGTCACATTGTACGACAACGTGTGGTGGAGGATTAACTTATTCCAAACGCAGGTGCATGATTCATCTTCCTTCAGGTCACGGACAGAACTGTACTGGCAAGAGTATCAAGGTTCGACTCTGTCACCTTAACAGCTGTAAATCCACTGAAACAAAGAAAGTAAACCTAGAGCGCACGTTAAGTGAAATGGCAGAGGAGAGAAGTCATATTTACAGGCCATCAGTATAATAATGGACAATAGATTAAATAAGAATTATTCTTATTTGCAGAATTTCAAAGTCATATCTGGCTATGTTCATAGTTGTACACTTGGCAAATTCAAAAATACCACAAATTGCCTATAATTGGTAAATGTATCTACCCTTTATTTAGCCTTCTGATATTCAAATCCTTATGTGCAATATCGGCAGTGGAATTGATTGATAAACCTTGTTTCGAAGAGAAAACGTAAATATACTTTCCTATAAATTATAAAGGGATAAACAATTTTCAAATTTACAAAATAAAAGAGGCAAAGCTAGTTGTTTAGGTCTCATCAAAGGTATTTGAGAACTTTCCCAATACAACTTAACTCTTTTCCATTCATTTTCCTTTTCTTGCCACTACAACTTCTTTTGAAAACTAAAAACAATCGCTGGTGCGGTATTACCTTAGGAAAATCAGCATGAAGATCAATTTGTCACTGCTCTGGGTTATGAAATTTGTTTGATTATTTCCGAGCTTCAATCTCCGATGTGATCATTTTTTTAAAATGTCGGATCATAAAATGACCAAGACGATCGTCCTTTTGCAAATATCAATTTCCACATAGATGAAATAAAATAAAGGCCGTTAAATATCAAGTAACTATAATATTATGTATTCTACATCAGGTCTGCTCTGATGAAAGTTAACGTAGTGTTACAAATCGATTGTTATATAAATTTTCGAATCAGCTCCTGCGCTTACGTCGAATTTGTTCTACTTCACATGTGTACAAATGATAGCCGGGTACTATTGGTGTTTAAAACGATTCGTTGTATGTGTTCTAAATAGCACACCTTAATCGAATTTATTTGAAAATCTGTTTGAATTGTTGTTCGAAGAAAATTCACACGGGAGATTAAATTTTCTGCGTGCAAACAATGGAAACACCAGTTATTAGTAATAACAAATTTATTCTGTGATTTAACCAAGGGTAACTACTCTTCAAATTCATCTGCTTTGGATACGGTTTTAAAAGTTATATCACTGCTCTTCTCTGTTTGGCGAACATTATTTACTATGATGAAAACGAAAAGGACTATCAAGCTTAATTCTCCAAAGACTAGAAAGGCAGTGCTGGTACCAAATTCATGAACCATCACACCTCCCAAGAGACCGCCACTAGCGTAACCAAGACCGGTGTAAAATCCATTAACGAGACCTTGAAGCGTTGTTGCCACGCCAGGCTCCGCACCAACATGAGACACAAATGAGGACCAAACAGCTGCAGTGGTTACACCTTGAATAAATTCGATAGGCAAAAAAAGCCACGGTCTGCTACAATAAGAATAGTAGAAGAATCGCAGAGCGTAGCATAGGAGTCCAAGGTACATCACCCGGAAATGTCCAATGTTTCGTAACAGTCGCTCTGACAGTAGATATACTACTACTTCTGCAGTACTGTTGGATAGAATAATCAGTCCAAACAGTATTTGTTGGGCCCCTAACTCGCGAAGATGCCAAAATAGAAACGTCTGTATAAAACCAAAAGCTGTGCCACAAAAAAATACAATGAATAGAAAAAACGCGTAATCAAATTTCTTCAGCACTCTTAGTCCTCCTATGGCTGTTTCCTTGCATTGTGTGTGATCAACGGGCTTAAATTTAAAACGACTTGCTACGATCAATGCAGTCACCATGAAAACTCCAAAAACATAAAAACACGGAATATAATTAATATCCATTTCCTTGCTACAAGGATTAGGGGTTCTCCGTCCACTTATCGATGTACCAACGATGAAAGCTGTCATACCATAACCAACTGATCCCCAAAAAGCCTGCTTGCCGTATTCACGGCTATCTTCGGCGAGGATCTGCAGAGTGGCTGTATCTGCCAAACACTGCGTCGGTGATGCAAAAATCTGTCCAATTACTATAACACAAACCATGAAAATGAACAATCGAGAGGAGTCGGATATTTTCTCAGGTGATGGGTAATATTGTAGATTCGGAAAAGTGTCCTCTTTGAGTTTAGTCGACTTCTCAGGCTCGTAGTCATTTGAGAAAAAGCTTAAGGCCCACGGAAGATATTTGCTGGTTCCAAAAATAGATTCATAAGAGCGAGTGTGGTCATGAACAATTTCGTCGTTAGATTGGTGATTTCGCGATATTACCTCGGTGAAGTTAGTCAGTGTAGTAGAGCCATTTTGGAATAATGACAAAGACAAAGAGTTCATCTCATAACAGGCTTTCGGTTGTTCTCCTATCGGTATTATTGCCAATGAAAATGTTGACAATAGCCAAGCTGACAATCCTAATAATAAAACAAATTTACTTTTATTGAAGCGATCCGCAAGGGCTCCCCAAACAGGCGTAAAAACAAACTGAACAAGCGACCGAACTGCCACAAGAATACCAAGCTGTCGCGGTGATAGGAACAACTGTTTAAAATACAATGATAGATAAGGCCACAGCGATCCAAAAGCCGAGAAGTAGAACAGGTAAAATAGTTTGGACACCAGTCGCTTTCGGTTAATTTTACAATCGAAGCGATGTTTTGAATTCTCATCTCCTTCTTCATCATTGACACAAAGTCTCTCAGAGGACATTTTTGAATCCTTCGGGCATTTTTCCATTGACTCAGCAGAACTGTTTTGGGATTTTCCAGTATGCACGCGGGGCAAAACAGATTGACAACCTTCATTGATACCTTAAACCGGGATGTTGAGTTACCTACAATGAGGTGACATCATCTGGGGAAACAGAAACAGTTTAGTTCAGTCAAGTTAATTTTTTATGCCTGAAGCAAAATTAACGCTTCAAGGCAGGTACTTCGATTGTTCCTTTCTCCTTATAAGGAGATTGATTTGATGATCATTTATTCACTAATAAAAACTTGATAGCCGGCCTGATCTCGGAAACCGATTTCCCATGAGTATAATAGGTCAAAGAAAAAGCCATCTCGCAAGATTTTTAGAACTGCATTTTCAGCGTCACTGAAGTCATGAAGAGAAGATAATCGCCCTCGAGAATCGTTGCTTTTAAAGTTATATTTCAATTGCGGTCAGGCCGGAGAAGAAAATAATGGTCTGTACCTTTTGTGAACAAGTTTAATACCATACCAAACCGTTTGCTGAGAATGATATATTCCCGCATTTCTTGGAAGAGGAATTGCCAATTCAGTGAATTAACTGTTTGGTGTTTATATTTAGTTAGGTATATTGTCGTGGCATAAGTAATTTTCCCCCTCCTATGTTACTAGAGGTAACCACATCATCCTTAAACTACGGGTTGCACTATGTTGTCTAAGATTTTTTACTGATATGCTTCATGCACCGACTAAGCTAACTTATTTATGCCTTGAAACCCTTCAAAAAGCAAACAGGTTCTTGATTAAAAATTAGTCAATGCTTTCGTGATTGCAATAAACGTGTTCCCAGATTCATCTGATAGTATTGACTACGCATTTTTTAAGAATATTTTTGAGTAATAGTTTGTGTGAAGAGTTTCAGGAAGTGGCTTTCAATTATTAAGTTAAAGTTTGGCATAAATTAAGACAACGATGCACTTACACAAATGCTACCGTGCCACCCGATAAGCTACCTGAAAGGATACGCTTATGATCATTTTTGGAGAGTCGCAAGGATAACAACTTTAAGGTCAGGTACATCGAGCGAAAGTAGATCTTTAACATATTTTAAAGAAAGATATGATTAATCCATGCCTAAGGTCATCACTTTTGCATCGTCTTTAACATCACCTAAGATTGCATAGGAATCATACATGTTGACAACTGTCAATTATTATTATTCGATTTTTTATATCTTACAGCATTTGTGTGGATAACCAACTTGGCATCCATAGCAGTACTATTTAATCAAACAAAAGCCATTTTTTTGCACAACGATCATAACTTTTTTATTTATAGTTTGGGGAAATGAACACCCCTTTTACAAGAACTTCAGACCATTTGATTTGATAGACTGTTCCCCCTACAAAGTTGAATCCATACTTTGACGATTTTGTTCAAGCAGAGATAGCTACGTTACTTAACCTTCAGCATTATCTATAGACTGTTCTTCTCAAAAATTTTATTCATTTTTTTTATCTACTTTTGTATTTATCAACTGAGTTAAACATGTTTTTATTTGATTTGGAACATCTTCATTACTGGAAGGAGAGTGGAGAGAGACCTAGTTATGCAAAGTACGGTAACATTCGTTGAGAGCCGAGGGAAGCCGCACCCAAAATGAGTGAAAGAGTCCTAAGAATTGGCATAAAAGGAATGAAACATTCCGGACTGTTACAAGATTTTAATAATCTCACATTCATGAGAAAATTTTCCAGTTTAATTGTCTCCAACATCACTGAGCCCGCCAAAATACACAAGCTACACAACACAGTTTTTAGATTTTTTAGGAAACCCTCTTCCGAAAAGTAGGGACGAAACAATGGTTATCATATTTGAAGACATTCAGTAGAGCTTATACACACTCTTTCAGTTTTATCGAATGTAAGAGGAATTATTTCTTCTTTTCCTCTCTTCCTTATTTTTCGCGCATTCGTATCGCCAAACTTTTCTGTTTGTTCTCTCGTTGCTCTACCATACAAACTATTAGCCCTGATGTCATTCAGATTTATGCCGACAGCAGGTAAAAGCTAAACATAGGCTAGCAACCAATAATCCAGCGGCCATTTCTTCAAGACATCATTGTCTGGGTTTGTTTCACGGCTTTAAGAGCCACAGGTGGTATTGCATTTGCAGGCGGGGCGTTTTTTTGCTATTGAACATAGCCGTTGAAGAACTTATTTAGAATATCTTAAGTGATTAAACAATTGAGTCGCATAACTAGTAAAATAAGCTACGCCAGGATTCTTAAGAAAATTCTCTTGACTTTATTTCCCTGAATCATGAAATAGTTACGAAATATTGCTAACCAAATTCTAAATACGCGAAAGATCATACAACTATTTTCTAAATTCACAGGATATACGTGACTATGGTTGATCGCAGGATTGGTATTTGCCACTATGTGCAAGACACCTTTTATCTTCGATCGAACCTTTCCGTGGTGATGGTTACACTTGTATTATTGCTTTCTTCCTGTTTCAGATGCTGATGAACTGAACGAAGAAAACCTTAAAGGAAAGATGATATTATAAAATGTTACTTCCTTTTTATCTATATTAGTGAAAAGATTTGACGGTACTTATCTTGAAAACATCTATTGAGGGAAAGTGAACCCGTGATCATCTTGAAAAATATTTTTAGGTTTTGAGGAATAATAATGATCAAACAATGTGACGTTTTCAGGAAATTTATTTTATGTTATGTTATGCTTTTGTGACAAACTATACACTGTGGTTTTTCATCACTATTATCTCTGTGCATGGCTCACAACGGTTTATGTTGAACTCCAAAGACTTCTCTTAAATCTCTGTATTCTGATCTTTCGATTATTGTGTAATACAGAAAATAATCAGATTATAGAAACGAATTAGACATGACAAAGAATGATATTCTATTGTTCGAAATGATTGTGATCATGTTTTCAGGAAGACAAAAACCGCGTGAAAATAAAATTTCTCGTGTTAATCGAAATACTAAGAGGGACATGGCAGCTGGTTATAGCTGGTGGTCAACGACTTCAGGCGTGCAATATGCCAGAAATTTCATTGACAAGCTAACTGTAATGTGCCAATAACTAGTAGTGGAGGAGATAAAATTATGACCATAAGCCACTGAAGTACTGACATTGAATAACGGAGTCCACAATTGTAACTCTGTGAGAAGGATGTTTGAGGGAGTGAACCTGAACCGCAGATAGCGCATGCGACTTTCAAAAGAGAGGGTGTTGTTTTGTGAGACCAACTGCGTCATATATTTTTAACTTTTCTTTAGAAACAAAACAGTTTTGCGGAAACGTAAACAAATGTTGAGCTCCGGTGAAAATACTGAGCTTAATGGAGAGAAAGAGAGAAGCCCACGTTCAGCCGAAAGCGAGGGAAATTGTTGTCCAAGCGTCAAAAGAAAACTCATCCCGGCCAAATTGTTTTATTTCTTCTATTTTTCTTCTTTGGGATCACTGCTGCCATATTTAGCTCTGTACTTCAAGCAACTGAAGCTTACACCAACTCAAGTTGGTATATTAATGGGCTTGAAACCTTTTGTGGAGTTTATTTGTACCCCGCTATGGGGAGCCGTTGTGGATCGATTTAAAATGGGGAAATTGGTTCTTCTGATGTCTTTGCTCGTTGCTGCTTTGTCTCAATTCTCGCTGTCCTTAGTAGCACCAGCTGAACGCCTCTGTACCTTAAACACGATATCGCGATCAATCAAGGGTCGAAACGATTCATCTTATATTGCCACAAAGCATGGGAACTCTTCTAGTTACTGGGGGAATTTTGTTTTTGTGTCTTCCATTTTGGATGACCTTCCTTGGCCTCTAACTTATACCAGTAAAGAGATGGAAACTCCACAGACACCCAACACTGCGGAACTATTTACAATACTACTTATCATCATTCTGTTCAGCAACATTATCTCGTCTCCTTCTCTTGCGCTCGCAGACACAGTAACGATGCAAACATTAAGGCCAGATGCGCACCTGTATGGACGGCAGCGCCTATGGGGATCGGTTGGATGGGGAATCGCCTCATTTTTAGTTGGTGTTTTGGTATCAGTGAGTCATCACTGTCCAAATCCCTTTACAAAGCCTTCTGATATCAGTTACATGCCTTGCTTTGGTACATTTGGAGTTTTAATGCTTCTTGCAGTCGCTACATCCACAAAATTTAAGTTTGCATATGACTCTGAGGATGAGAAGGTCGAGAATACAGGATTAATGAACAATTTAAAGCAAAGCGTCAATATCAAATACATTGTGTTCTTATTTACTGCATATTATTTTGGAATCCTTAACGCCTTCACGAAAACCTTTTTATTCTGGCACTTAAAAGATTTGGGGGGGACGCAGCTGCTATTTAGCATCATTGCAGCAGTAAACTGTTTCGCCGAAGTAAGTTTGTATCTTCTATCAGACAAAATCATTACTCGAATGGGACATACCCGTGTTATTTACCTTGCAGCCGCAGGATTTACTTTTCGATGTTCTTGTTATTCGTTTTTATCAAACCCGTGGCTAATCCTTCCGTTAGAGTTTATGCCTGGAATAACAAATGCCTTAGCATGGGTAGCTATGCAGTCATATGTAAATGAAATATCGAGAAATGATAATGCCACAACTCATCAAGGTATTCTTTGTGGATTTTACAGAGGACTTGGCTATGGATGCGGTGAAGTTTTTGGAGGTGTGATGATCAACTTCGTAGGATCGGGAAATGCTTTTAAGGTCTTTGCAATAGGCGCAGCTTTTACGTTCTTAGCTAACGTTTTTGTGGAAGAATTATCTCAAGTCAAGCCAGTTTTAAAAATGCTGTTCAAGCGATTGATGAAAGTCAAAGAATAACATTTACAGTTTTTTAATGATTTAGCAGGTTCCACAAACGTAACAAAGAGAGGCAAAAAGGAGAAAGTACAACAGCAATAGCACACTTATTAAAGGGTAAGCTTGGGATATACATTCGATACTTCCCCCTGCTTCTATTAGGCAAAATACTGGCCTTTTCTTTTCATCTAGATTTGACGGAAAGTCTTAAGCGTAAGGGTAATATGTGGATTCAATGCTGAAATTTTCCTTACCTTTTGCATAAATAGATAATATTTCAAACTACAGTGTTATCTTCTCCTCCCCCTTAGCGTATTCTTTCGTTCTCACGCGCGGAAAGCGTGATTTTATAATGTAGCCAATTATGTCCACAGACTTTGATATTGGCATTGAATTACATGGACACTTACTGGACACTTACTTTCGTGGACACTTACTGAGTTCAGTTTAACGAGCTTTTTTATCGCAAATTTGTCACTTTTTTTGGAAAGCGAGAACTTTCGAAGTCTTTACTTAAAGTTAAATGTTGTAGTTAATTTGATAAGTTAATTACAATGTTATTGACTGAGTTCTAGCATCCCATTCGAAAAAGGATATTTTACATTTAACTTAGCGAATAATCAAACTAAACCACAACTTGGTATGAAACGAAATTTTTCCGGAAAGCTTACACCGCTGTGAAAATTTCGCGGTACTCCCTATTCAGCTAACTCTTACGTGCTGCCCCTTAACCTGTTCTCCTCGCTCTCATCGGTCAAGTTCTGTCTTTTTGTTGCACCCTTAGACTCATAACCTAACCATCTTGCCCGGGTTAATACGCCGAGAAACCAGATGCAAGAAAAGATATCTGGTAAAAACTTGTTTCATATTTGAAATGGATGTCAGTATCCACTCGTTTACTTGAGTGTATTCTTAATGTAACACTGAAATTGTATTGAGATTTATTTTAGGTACTAAATAAGTTGCTCCGAAAGTATCTAAGAGTTAGCTCCTCGTTCAAATGCATGAAAGCGGACTCTTATTATTCGACCTTTCCCAGGCTCTCACGGTCAAGTGCCTTAAATCATTATTTGACATCTTCATCAAAGCGAGAAGTTCCAAAAGTGATCGATCATGACAATAAACCATTTACTTTGAGTGCTGAAGGAGTGCTTTACTCTGAGAAATCAAATGATAAAAAAGTATTCTACTGGGTACTTAGGCAAAGTAGTCAGCTCTCTAATTTCAAGTTACGCAGTTTAAAGTGATAAATTTCACAATAACAGGTGCTGGTATTCTGTTCGGATTGAGTGCTTTCATTGCTAATTATGGCTGAATTGTGAAAACAAAAAAAAGCTGTAACTTGAGTTAACTTGAGTTAAAATTCAAAGAAGTTGATAAGCCAATGCAATACGTTTCATCAAAACGTATTGCAAGCATTAAAAATTCGCTGGTTTTAAGATCGTGACGAAAAGGAAAAGAGACCGCGACCACCTGTTGAAAACTCAGGTGGTCTTGGCCTTGTCGTAGATGCAATTAATAGCCGAGAGAAATCGAGAAACTGAAAGTTTGTGTTGAGGCGCAGAACTCATAAAGGAGCTAGAAATGCAAAAACCGCGTAAAAAAGAACACTTAAAAAGCGAGCCATGGTATCCAAAATCGGATCGAACCAACCTATTATATAAAGGACGCCAGGATCATAACAGTCAATTTACCACTGCAGCCAGTTTTATAAAGCTGACAGTTGGGTTGTAAACACTCAAGTCTCCTATTTCTTACACCACAATCTAGTACAGTTTGTTAAAATTTTCCTCGTCGGGCACCACTTAAAGGTCTTTGACCTGAAGGTAAACACGATAGTCCGAGAAAATTCGCTTTCCAAGTTTAACTGTGGTTATTGTCGGAAATGACTTATCACGAAAAAAAATCTACGCAAGTCAATAATAATTCACCCCTGCACTCTTTAAAGGAAAAATGAACCCCTTGGTGGCAATAAAAATTATTTAGTGCTCGCGTCGGGTAATTTTAGATCTACTATGACCAAGAAAGATTAATAAAATCAAAGCAACCACTTCGAGTGACCATCCGTTATAAAAGGAAACACTGACATTTCCAAGTTCAGCGTTGATCTCTCACTATCGGTGTTCTCCTCACACATTCTTAAACATCATTATGGAATATATTGAATAACGTAAGGGAGTTTATCTTCAGGGTGCACAGGCTAATACGGTTTGAGCAACGATTGGTGTTGCTCAACAACACGGCACCTGCACTGCCTTGAACATCAAAAATTCAGATGTTGTCACTGGACGGCTATTAACTGACGAATTGACTCAACGAACACATGTTTGACAATGTTACGTGCGTAGACAGGAATTTAATTTTAGTCCTTCTGTGCGTGAAACCTTGATCCACATTTACGGATTCAAACACAGTATTTTATATCATATGATTTAGGGAATAATACACTGATGCTAAGTACTTGGAGAAATGTCCAGTGAAGACAAGAAAGCGATTGCCACCAATGAACGCAACGAAGAAGACAAGCAATGTTGCCCGAATGTGAATCGGAAACTCTTAATTCCGAAAGCGTTTTACTTCTTTTTCTTTTCTGCCTGGGGATCACTTCTGCCGTACTTAGCTTTGTATTTTAAACAGCTGATGCTTTCACCGAGCGAAGTAGGAATCCTTATGGGCCTGAAGCCGTTTGTGAACTTTCTTGTTATTCCAATATGGGGCGCCATAGTGGACAAATGTCAAAAGAGTAAAGTGGTTATGGTTATTTCTATCATCGCCTTAATTACATCCACTTTCACTCTAAGTTTGGTTCCTGGACCAAAAAAGAACAAAGTAGTGGTTAAACGGTTTTGTAACATGACTGCTCCAAGATATTCTAGCCTGATTGACATACACAGACCCGTTATTGATAGCCCAAACTTGGAGTTCCCCGAACCAGGAATTGACAAGATGGTGGATATAGGGAAAGGTCAAGAACACTATATGCCTTTCTTTTACAAAGGCCCCAAGCCTTGGTCTCTTGAACTTTTCATCAACTTAGACGAAAAGACCACTGTTAGGGTAGAATTGGATACAACACAGTGTTTTATGACATTATTTTTGATAACCTTTTTCGGTACTTTGATTTCTGCACCGACGTTGGCTTTGGTCGACACAGCCACACTACAACTTCTAGGCTCGGAAACCTACAAGTACGGCATGCAGAGACTCACGGGATCGATTGGTTGGGGTGTCGGTGCTTTCGTCGTCGGCGCCTCCCTTAAAACGACCCACCAATGTGGTAAAGATAAAGACTACGAGATCGTAGATTACGTTCCCTGTTTTTATACTTTCGCTGGTTTAATGTTTCTGGGCTTGATAACGGCCACGCAGTTTAAATTTGAGGAGAAATCGAAGAAGTCAAAGGGAGCAAGTCTTAGTGTTGGGCTGCAAGCTTTGAAAAGTCCAACATATCTCATGTTTCTCTTCACAGCGTTATATTTAGGCTTTTTGATGGCATTTATAAAAACATTCCTTTTCTGGCATCTCAAGGATCTGGGTGGAAGTCAGTTACTTTTTAGCATCATTTCCGCAGTTAACTGTTTCGCGGAAGTCAGTATGTATTTTCTTTCCGCCAAACTAATCAAACGAATTGGTCACGCGAAGGTTTTATACCTAGGACTAATCTGTTACTCAATTAGATTGTTCTATTATTCAGCCATTCCAATCCCGTGGATGGTCCTGGCTGTTGAGTTACTTCCTGGTATAACAACAGCAGCAGTCTGGGCTGCTTGCCTCTCCTACGTCAGCATCAACTCGGGACCTGGCGCTGCCACAACAATGCAGTGTATTTTGCATGGAGTGCACTGGGGCCTCGGTTACGGTGCGGGAGAGGTGATTGGAGGCATAATGGTGCATCATTACGGTGCGCCGACGACATTTATCATTTTCGGTGTTTTATGTCTAGTTATCTTAGGCGCATATATTTTAATTAACTACTTCTGCGGGTCCAGAGATGGAAAACAAGGCTGCAGTGCAGACTCTGAATACTCAGAAATAAGTGACGATGACAGTAAAAGATAGCTGTAGTGGAATAAAATGAACTCCAAAGAGAGCTTTTTGTGAACGTTTATAACTTTCCTGATAATCTGCATTTTTGGAATATTTCAGCAGCATGGCTTCTAGCCACATTGAAGAAGCTTGCGTAATTTACTGAGGGAAATGTCTGATTTGTACAACCAACGTCAGATGCCCTATCAATAAAACTGAACTCAAGAAGAGTTCTTGGCGCTAAGTTGGTATTGTAAATCATTGCGCTCTGAAAACATCGAAAACTATGTGGTATTTAACTCCCTCCAAATCCATTTACATCCTTTTTATTGTTACTAAACATATATATATATTCCCTTAGCTCCGGTTGGAGCATAGGCCATTAACCACTTCCGTCCTCCATCGGGTTCTGTCCTGGGCAAAACTTCCTAAAGTGGCCCAAGTGTGGCCCCAGTTTCTCATTTGGGACTCTACACCTCTTCTCCAGGAGTTCCTGGGACGACCCCTCTTTCTCTTGCCCTGGGGGTTCCAACGTAATGCCTGCCGGGTGATGTTGTTAGCCGGTTTCCTTAGGATGTGACCTATCCATCTCCACTTTTTCTTTGAGATCTGAGTTATGATTGGTTCCTCGCCTGCTAATTCCCACAGCATCTCGTTCGTTACCCTGTCAGTCCAACTGATTTTTAAAATTCGCCTAAGGCACTTATTGACGAAGGTCTGCAATTTCTGGGACGTTTGCTTAGTTGTTCTCCACGTTTCTGAGCCATAGAGGAGGACTGCTTTGACATTGGTGTTAAAAATTCTAAATTTGGTTCTCCGTGAGATGACATGGGAGGACCACACTTTCCTCAGTGTATTGAAAGCTACTCTGGCTTTGTTTATCCTGACCTTGATATCTTCATCGGAACCTCCATCAATGCTGACTACACTGCCTAGGTAGACAAAAGATGTTACTTCCTCCAAGATGGTATCCCTCACTTTAACTGGTCTGTTGTTGGTGCAGTTGACCTTCATAACCTTGGTCTTATTCACATTCGGATGCAGGCCTAACTTGATGGAATTAGCTGTTAGCCGTGCTGTTTTGTCCTGCATTTGTTGGTTGTTACTTGACACCAGGGCGATATCATCAGCAAACTCTAGATCTTCAAGTTGCTCCAATAGTTTCTTAATAGTTTTTCTTCAAAGCTTGCAACGTCAATTCTACCCCAAAATAACACCGTGAAGCATTGAGCATTGAACTTGTTTTAACAGATATTTTTTACAGACAAATTTTCATATTTGGAAATATATCGCAAAATGTATTAGAGATGTAGGAAGTTATGAAGACAAACAATTACAACTCTGATTACTCAAAAGACAGCCAATCAAATAAACGTTTTTATGATACAGCTCGACAAAAGAAGAAGTTGTGACCCCCTCGGTCCCAGCTGAACTTGCACCCAAAGAGTCCAGTTCCCAAGATTCGTCGCATAATTTATTCCCGAACACCGTTTCGTCGCATGTTAGAGGAGACTTACAAGAGTTGCCCAAAAGAGAAACAAACCAGCTCAAAAATTTCAAAGATTTTATGCAGCATTTATTTCAAATTTCTTTCTAGCTCTGCTTAGATTAGCTGAGTAACTACTAAGATTACTACCAGCAAACATTTTTCATTCAGGCGTGACGGGTATGTAAGTAATTACAACAGCTTTTGTTATGTAACTAAAGCTTCGCTCAAATGCTTTTTCCGGATGACAAAAGGCCATGCTTGCTTCAAAAACCTGAAAAGTGATTTGACTGAGAAGAGATACCTCATCTGACCCTTTAACCTATGCATTGAATACACTAATTATTGAACGAAGATTTGTGTGTTTACTCAAAAACACAGGCCTCTCGAAAAGAGGTATTTGTTTCCCTCAAACCCGCAGTAACCAGTGATCCACCTGCAAACAATCATCATTCATCTAATGCACACTTGAACTTGCACGTGCATTCGATAATTTATTCATCACTTTTGACGACAAAAAGTTCATAATCCTTGTTCAAAGCTTCTCTACATTACCGAATAGACTATATTAGAGTACAGTACACGGTATAAAGACAGTTATGACAGAAAATGCTCCGGATGAAACTCAAAAAGGTCATCATGACATTGAAGAAAGCGAGAAAAAGAAGGAAGGCTGTTGCGCTGTCAATAAGGTTTACTTGGTTTCCAAAGGATTCTATTTCTTCTTCTTCTCTGCCCAGGGATCATTGTTACCCTATTTGGCCTTATTCTTTAAACAACTCGAGCTGCCTGCACGTCAAATCGGAGCAATTACAGGGATTAAACCTTACATCGCTTTCTTCTTCATTCCGTTCTGGGGATGCGTCGCTGATAGATTCAAGATAGGAAAGATAATGTTTGTTATCTCTATGATCGCTCTCATAGCAGGCATGGTCGCTTATGCTCTTGTTCCCATCAATATCTGTGAATCAGAGCCAACAGAAGCTCACAGTAAGCGAGCCCTCTCACAGGAGTCCAACAGAGCGACCTACTCATATAAACTTCACAGACGTTCCACCTGGTATGCATCATCACAATCCCCAGTTACCAAATCAACAACCAACATAGATACACAGTCAAGAGTCGTTGATGTAGTGGAACCAAAAAAATCAAGATCAAAACGAGCGGCTCTTTTCCTACGGAGGCACTCCCACATACCTAATCTGATACAAAAAGTATCCCCGATAGGGTTAAACGAACAAATGGTAAAATTTAATCAGCTAACTGGCAGAGCAGCGCGACGAAAACGGAACAATTTTACGACCTCCTTAGACAGCGTTTCAGAAATGGCTGACGAGTCCCTCGAGGAAACACCTTGGTCTCAGTCAGATATGATAGCCTTGCAAGACCAGAAATCCAAGAAAACTCTATCCAGAAAAAATAAATTTATTTTCCTCTATCTGTTATTAGCAACAATTTTCACCACCCTATTGTCGTGTCCTAGTCTAACACTCGCGGACACAGCAACTGTGAACCTATTGAAACAGAATGGCGACACGCACAAGTATGGTAAGCAGCGAATGTGGGGTTCCGTTGGTTATGGATCCATGGCATTTCTAATTGGTGCTGCGGTCAGCAAAACCCACCTGTGTCCTCCTGGCAGCGCAAGAAGAAAGGATGTCAACTACTATCCATGTTTTGCCATGTATGTGGTGTTTAACATCATTGCTCTAGTGGTAGGATCGAGATTCGAATTTGGTAAGAATGGTAAACCAAATAACAAAGAAACTGTTGGGGATCCGAAAACAACAGAAGATAATGCTCGTCAAAGCAAAGAGACGACTGGAAGCGGTAACCGAGGCATAATAGCGGGACTCATGCTATTGACACGACCAAGACATGCAATGTTTTTAGTTACCGCGTTCTATGTCGGCATTACCATGGGTTTCATCCGGGTTTTTCTATTTTGGCATCTGAAAGACCTGGGTGGCACTCAGATTCTCTTCAGTATCATGACGGCAATCAACTGCGTTGCTGAAGTGACACTTTATTTTCTTTCTACGAAGTTAATTTCCTTTCTTGGCACTGTAAGGGTGCTCTACCTGGGGTTGACATGCTATGCCATACGTTTGTTCTACTACGCATTTGTTACCAATCCTTGGACTGTCCTCCCAGTTGAACTGCTGTCTGGCATTACCACCGCGGCTGTTTGGGCTGCCATGATGTCTTACGTGGGCACTCACTCTGTAGAAGGTGCCTCTGTGACTTTACAAGGTAAGTATCGTTAAGTTATAGAAGAGCTGCTCCATTTATCAAATTATTATTTTTAAATTTTCCTGTCACGGTGCAATTCAGTTCATTCGTTTCCTTGTGTATCCTTGCTAGGTATTTTGCATGGTGTCCATTGGGGTCTCGGTCATGGATCAGGAGAACTCATCGGCGGACTGCTCATAAGCAGCTTTGGTGCTCCCACTGCATTTTCCATATTTGGATCGCTGTGCCTAATTTTAATGGGCGTTTATATTTTAGTTAACCGTCTGACAAATAACTTAGAATGATAAGGTAGAGTTTTATCCAGTAGATAGCGTTATCCAATCTTAGAACAACCGGGGTCTGGTTGTTAATTCGTTTCTTTAAAAGGGGCTTGTTGCAGTTAATCAAGGCTTTGGTTTATTTGATACTGAGAGGCATCATCGAATATTCTTAGAGCGAAAATGTACTTCCGTATATTCTTATTTCCAAAAAAATCACTGAGGAAAGTTAGTCCTTTTACGACCTTGAACGAACTTTGTCTGCGGCATATTTTTTAGGATTCATCTCTGCTATTCATATCACTTGCTTTGTGGTCTTTTTCAACCACCTAACCAGTCTCTATGGCTGGTCTGACAAAAATAAAGCGTGGTAGAAAGGCAAACACGCAGAATTATGAAACGGAAACACTTATCTCTCCCGATTGCAAAACAAAACGGTGTCGTAGAAGTGTTGTAAAACCCTAGGGATAAGCACATTCTGAGTAAATAGCACGTTAAGTCGAAAAACTTTCTAATTAAGTCATAGATGATTATGATGTTAGTTTCTTTGCCTTACAAAGCCATACAGGGGTAGTCATAAACGTATTCTGGCTGCACAGGATGTAAAGTTATGTCACAACATTTCATTGGGCCAAAAATGATCACGGCATTTTAGTTTCGTCTTTACAAAAGTTTTCTTAATTTGAAATTATTTAAAGATTAGAAATAGTAGCTATTAAATTGAATTCGATTTCGAGATTTTGTTCTTTCCTTTCTTATCAAAATTTTCCTGCCAATTCGTGAAAATAAAGTCTCGATAACTATGCTTATAAGCCGCTCGGAAAGTTAAGTTACAATGGATTGTAGTCACGATAAGGTATCGAGAAATTCAAAAACTTTTGTGAGTTTAATTCGTTAAGTTAAGTCGCTATTAAGAAATGGACTACTTGTCTCTCCGGAAAGCATAAGTCCTAAACCTACGGGTTCAATTCAAATTCCGAGAACTATTCACAAGTTTTCCGCTCTGAAATAGACATTGGTAGTTTCTCCGGAGGGCTGAAATCCTGAACTTACAGGTTCAAGTTTTTAAAAACTGAAGCTCTAAATACGTGTGAACGCACTTTGATAAACTAAGGCTACCTTAATGTACCGGTCCATAAGATTCTGCGATTGCGGAGACAAAACAGTTTCTAAAGCTGTGATTAAAGGACTTTACATCCTGTGAAAATCGCTCTGATATTGAAGTCAAGGATCATATGCTCGATTTCAACACAGTTGTTGGTTTTGTCACAAAAAACGAATCAGAAAGTTAAAAGCGATTTGTTACACTGACTGGACTCCAGAAAGTAGGTTATGGAAAGTTTTTCAAATTGGTGTCGATATAATTAATTACTAGTTAAAACGATTTCAGCTAAATGATGGCCAAGCATGATTAGATTTTTGTAATGATATAAAATAGAAATGCTTAAATCGTAATTTGTACTAAATCTTGACTTATAAAACAACAAAGTTGACACATAATTTCAGGAAGCTCTTTTAGACACCTTAAATGTTGTTTCTTTCGGAAATGTTGCTGTTTGTTTGTTTTTCTGTTTTTGTTTGTGTGATCGTTTTAAGGTTGATGGCCTTAATAATTTTGAAAATGACCGTTCCATTCCACGCCCTCCCCTCCCCTGGTTCATTCCTAGTTCTACCTCAAAATCTTTCTATATTTTCAGTATAGCTGAAACGTATTTATAAAGCAAGAATTTGGTGGAAATCTTAAGTCAAATCCTAACTCAAATCAAATCGTTATCCTCTTGACCTGCCAGTTCCGTTTACTCACGGTATGCCTTGTTCCTCACCTATTTGAACAGTCATCACTATGTTGAAGAGTACGGCTGATCTCGTTTCATGGCAGGAAATAACGCATGCTTTACATGTGCACACGCAGTAAAGGGTTGTTAGGATTACTCTTAAAGGAATTACTGATAAGGTGCATTTCAATCCAGTGTCGAAAAACCAAACCCAAAGAAATCGTACAAGCAACCAGTGAGAAGAACCGAAAATCAGGAGCTGGTGAGAACTCGAGATAAAAATAAGCAAAGTGTCTCAAACGCAAGAAATCGTGTGTAAGCCAGGAACTAAAGATTTTAGTTTTGTATCTGATTGGTTGAGAAGATGACGTAACTTATCTAGACCAAATTTACAATTTTTAGTAAAGATAGAACCATGGAATTGCCGGTCATTTTTAAACATCCTATCCAAATTTTCTATAAAACCTTTCCATTATTTGTCTACCTCCTCATACTTACATGTTCTTACATGTAATGAAAGAAAAGGTTCTATGCCTGTAATTGCATATTGATTAACGGCTGTTTTCAGCGTAGACTACGTCCCAGTTTAAATTCTTACGCGAAAAGCCACGTATTTCTAAAAGAAATGTTGGGAAATATGGTGGATGGAGACTACGTAGCAATGAAAATGAAACCGCATCGAGAGGAATGCCTAAAGTAAATACATTTTTACTTAAGATGTTTCTTCTCTAGTTCTCCGATTGGCTAACCCGATCAGCGTGAAAGCCCTGCTCAATTACGCAATTACAAGTTTCCAAAAACTTCTCTCAATTCGCCTAGCTTTCCACTCTGTTTAGGAAATTTGTAGAACTGTTACGCCAAGCTACATGGTTACAATAAATGTGGGGAATCAGATTCTTTCGGGCCACTTTCGCTATTAAAGAAGTATCAGGTTGTAGGGTAACGTTCCAATAGGTTCCGTTGTATCTGCTATTTTGCAACGTTTTGGGGATGGTCTTCAGAAATAATTTTCTCCTTAAATTTGGTTTCCAACTTTTAATACTTTTGAAAGTGCCCTACTTTTAATTATGTATGGTGTTTCTATGGATACACAAGCAAATATGTAACACGCGTTGTGATTTTCAGCTCATTCTCCGCTGACAATTTATCCCAAGATCGCTTTACAAGCTGTAATATTCAAGAGAACGCAGAGTAAGTATTTTTGGCTTTCTCACTCCTAACTAAACTTATGGGTAAGCGGGGTTTTACTACATACACATAACATACAACTCGGCAAAATTCCTTAGTGTCCACATGATGTTCAGCTTTACACTCGACAACGATAATACGAGAACATCGTCAAGTTACTGAAGATAGTGGATTGTGAGAAAACATCATGTCTCTTGTGTGTTTTAGTTCTGACGAGACAAAGAGATAAACTTTGGCGGGAAGCACTTCCAATTGACAGAGTATTTCTCGTTTTTGCTGCTACCTGCACTTTTAGTGACGCAGTGGTGAATACTCTTACTCAATATCAATCTTGACAGGAGAAACACAGGTGCAACCCCGCGGAAGCTGTCAACTGCCACCTGCAGTCCTAACGCTTGTTCGAAGTGAGACCAGCAATTACCGAGACAATCCAACTCAAACGCTATTCTGCTCGTCTAAATATCAGAAAACTTAGGAATCAGCCCAGGAATTAATTCGCTTAGTAAGTATATTTCTGTTTTTTTCACCCAGTTTACCGGTTGGATTCTCAACGGCTCTCGAGCTCTTGTTAAATGAAATTCAGATAAAAAAGCAATGAGTTTACGTAAGAAAGTTTGGACTGGAGAGATACCTTCCGTTTGGTTAGGATAAGACTCTTAACATTTAGTAAAGTTAATAACCAAAATATCAATTATATAATTTCGTATACTGTTTTGGGAATGAAGGTTTGATAAGCTGGGGGTCAAGGGTTTCCGTTATGTGAAGCTGGTGTCAGGACAGGTTACTGGAAGGTACCATTTCAGTCTCAGTAATTGTAAGTAAGTAATTAGTAACTGACTAAGTATGTGAATGATATAAAGTTATTAAGATCTTGAGTTATATGTCATATATTTCACTCTTTACTGGCAAGGTTTGAGCCCTTCTTTTTACAGACAACCAAAATATGTTAAATGAAGGTGATGATATTTCCTGTAACTCAGAAATCAAAGTAGTATGTTCGATTATGATTTTTCTTGACCGTAGCACACACAAAAAAGTGAGGCTCCATAATTGGTATTCTGGCCATTTCTTTCGCTGATCGTGAACTAAACTGTGATATGCTAGCCAACATGAAGGCTTATTTGACTCGCTGCTGGAATACCCTTCGAACTTTTATGAGGATGCTCCACCCATCCGTATAAATCCTTGCCGCTTTTTATACTACTTTTAGCTATCATTTGAGTTTGTTACAGCAGATTCAACAGTTTTGATTTCCGTCACATTTTGTATTTGTGAAATCATTACCATTTCCACATACAGTAAGAGGGTACCCTTAAGGATAACGACTAACAATGTAATGATCAGTCCGGTTCGTTGCGATTAATCAGCGAGCTGATGCAATGTTGAGATACTGACCTCGCGCCCTGCCCGAAAAAACCTTCCAGAGAGTTATTTCATTTCTTTCTTTGCAGAACTCACCCTTGAGGGTTTAACATTCCTTCTCCGCTACTTAGCCATACAGTGGAATTCCACAGCCGCCTACAAATTGAGAAGTACCCGATGGAACGAGAATCCAATAAATGCTCGGCTAGACAGTGGTGGCGTTTGTACCAGATGCTGCGATAATTCCTTCCTCGCACTAAAGAGGAGGGACGGCGGGAGAGGCGGAGAGTAAGTTGCACAACACTTCTTCGTCTAGTGGAACGCCCCAGGGAAGGGAAAGAACAGATTCACTAAGCACGAACGAGGAGAAGCCTAAAATAAGGACCAGGTTTGGAACAGAGTAATGGTGGATATGTCTAATCTAGGACAAAGTATTTTTAATTATCTCTGATGTGGTTAGGTTTGCAAACGTGTATGAAGTAAGTCGCTGCAAACTAGGAGAAACTTAAATTTTCCGATATAAATCCATATGAGACTAGCAAACCCAATAGAGTTTAATATGTATCCCACATGCGCACTGGGCCAGTTTCAGATCGTTATTAACGGTAAAATCATGTATGATTCTGTGTTCCAAAATTCTTAGGTAACGTAAGTTTTTATTTCCCATAAGCCATAATTACACTCTTCTCTATTGCTGGTTGTTTTCCTCGCAGAGCTCGGCTGCAAGCTGCCAGTCAAGGCCACCCAGTTTATTTCATGAAAATGCCAAATAAAGGGAGTATCAGCTCTTGTCACCCAGATGAAGAATCTAAACAACACAGCGAAAAATTCCTTCGCTACAGCTGTTTCAACCAGAAATATATTGTTCCAAAGATGTTTTATTTCTTTTACTTTGCTGGACTTGGCGCCATACTGCCATTTTTGCCCTTGTTCTATAAACAATTAGGTCTACCGGCCAAACAGGCCGGAATCATTTCCGGTATTCAACCATTCATATCGTTCGTATTTACCCCAATGTGGGGAGCGTTATCGGACAAGACCAAGAGGGGAAAACTGGTATTCGTGATTTCGTTCATTGCTTCAGTAGCTGTTGGAATAGCTTTTCTGCTAACTCCAATGCCAACATGCAAACACAAAATGAGAGGAGACATTCATCGGGAATCAACATCTGCGAGAAATCAGTCTGTTATTAAAAACATGTATCAGTTGATATCAGAATCACAGAATGTTTACCGATGGTCAATAGGAAGGGAAGAACAGAATGATTTTCTTGTACTCAGTGACGAGCAAGCCGGTCGCCAGAACAAATTCGATGTATTTTTATACCTGCTGTTAGTCAGTTTATTTGGTACACTATTCTCGTGCCCAGGCCTTGCTCTTGGTGATGCTGCTGCTGTATGCCTCTTGCGGAGTAACAACGATATACATCAGTATGGAAAACAGAAAAGATGGGCCTCAATAGGGTGGGGTTTGGCTGCGTTTAGTTTCGGTGCAATGGTGAGTGACAAATATTTGTGTCCGTTGGTACCTGGACAAAAAAGAACTATTGACTACAGTTTATGTTTTTGTGGCTCCATTTCATTGAAGCTTTTAGCTCTTTTTTCAGGGCTTCGGCTTGATTTCGGTTTAAACGGTACAGATAGTACTGATGACACGGTAAGGGAAAAGCACATTGGTGTTATGGCAGCGTTAGAAGCAGTGAGTCGTCCTCGTTACTTGGCATTCTTTGTAATTGTTCTTTACAGTGGAATGACTTTTGGCATGATCATGGGATTCCTTTTTTGGCATTTGGAAGACTGTTCTTCCCCACAGATAATGTTTAGCATAATACCTGTTGTGAGATGTATTGCAGACGTCATAGTGTACTCAGTGTCCCCTCACGTTATAACTAAAATAGGTGTGCATAATTTGCTATACCTTGTGTTGGCGTCTTATGTGGTGCGATTGACAAGTTATGTACTCATTACCAATCCGTGGTGTTACCTTGCCCTTGAAGTTTTGTCAGGATTAACTTCTGCAGGAGGCTGGGCGGGATTTGTGACGTATATTGCATATAACTCCGTGGAAGGAGCCCCTGCCACTTTACAAGGTGAAAACTTGCATTTCTGACCCCTGAGTTATGTGTTTTAAGAAGTACGTACACTTTTAGAGCTAAAATATATACCAGTGACCTGTCTTGATAAAAATATATACCAGTAGCCTGCCTTGATAAAGAGCGATTCTGGTAGTACCAGTAAATAGGGGCTTCAACAAAATAGTTGTCAGTTTATAAAACCTGCGAGGAAATGCAAAATGAAGCAAAGTATGGTTTAACTTGGTTTTGACGTGAAGCGACGTTCCCTTCTTTACAAGTCTGTTGTTCCATTTTAAACCAGTCATAAACTACATCTGTTGATAAGCATTTCTAATTCTTCAGTAAATTTGAATTGTTGTTTAAAAAACAAGGACTTTAGACAAACGACCTATGGAAGCTTTCTATCCTCAATTCACGGGGGCCATGTTGCTTTTCTCAACAGGTATGCTCCACGGTGTGTATCATGGAGTAGGTCATGGACTAGGGCGAGTAATAGGAGGTTTTCTCTTCAGTAGCTATGGAGCTCAAGTAACATTCTCTATATTTGGTGGCCTCGGGTTAATTATGCTATTAATGTTTGGGTCAGTTAACAAAATATTCGAAGATAAATCAAATGATCAAAGTTAGTTCAAACATCATGTGGATGCTGTGCGTTCACTATGTAAATTTTGGTCGCTTTCGTTTTTTTAATGTTTTTACGCAACTTACATACACAAGTTTGCAGAAAGCTCAAACATGTTGTCTTACAAAACAATTTAGGCAGAAATACTCGCATTGGAAGTTTTAGTTTTAACCAGCTGGTTATCTAACTAGGAAAAATTTTGCTTACACCAAAGTCAGCAACCGGATGATCAGTTAAATATTTTGTTATTGTTGCTGTTACTATTGGAAAATATTTGATCAACCAATTTTACTCTGAAAAGTACAACAGTAAACCGACTTTAAAATTATAACACATAATTGTATACTGGGAAGAATCCCAAAAATAAAAATGGAGCGAGATAAACGAATATATCTTATGTTTTTGATTTGATCTTGTTTAAAACAACAAACATTATGAGGATACAAAAGCTTATAAGAGCGTACAAAAGAAACAAAGTTTTCATTTCGGCGAATTGTACAAGAAATCCTCCTATAAACCCACCAGATGCGAAACCAAGTCCCATGTAAACTCCATTTAGAATTCCTTGAACTGTGTTTGGTGCTCCGGGATGCAACCCAACGTAAGAAACACACGATGACCAGAATGCTGCGGTGGTAATTCCTTGGAGTAATTCCGCAGGTAAAACTGCCCAGGGACTTTTCACGGAGTAGAAGTAAATGAAACGAATAGAGTAGCAAAATAACGCGACATAGATAACATTGATGTGTCCAAGAAAACTGAGCAGCTTGTCCGTCACAAAAAACACACACACTTCTGCCGCACAGTTTAGCCCGTTCATCACGCTGAATAATAACTGTCCTCCCCCTAATTCGTGAAGATACCAAAATAGAAACGTTTCTATAAATCCCGTAGCTGAACCGCAAAAAAACGCGATGAACATGACAAAACAGAATTGAGGATTACGAAAAACCTTGAGCCCTTGGAGAATTTTTGGAGTTTCTGAGCCACCTGCGACATTTACTTCTTGCTCATCTTTGATAAAAGGCTGATCAAACTGAAATTGAGTTGCGCATACAAACGCCACACTCATTGCCACCGCATAAACGTAAAAACAAGGCATGTAGTTGATGACAGTCTCACCACAACGATTCGTACGATAATTCGCGCTGACAGCAGCTCCGACAGAAAATCCTCCAATGCCCCAACCCAGAGATCCCCAGAGTCTTACTCGACCATACTTATGAGATTCACCGTTAAGAGTTTGAAGCGTTACAGTATCTGCAAATGCTTGGGCTGGAGCTGCAATCGCCGTACCAATTATAGTTACAAGTAACAAGAATAGAAATTCCTTGGAGTCACATTCAACGTACTCATTCTCTGTTGCTATTGCGTTTGAAAAATCTTGAGGAGGCTTTGTGGCTGAAGGCTCTGATGATGCCACTTCCAGCTGATCTTTCCAGTCGTCATTGATCCTCAGGGCTTCCGCTTCTTTGCCATGGTTGTGTAAAGTAACGTTATAAACAGTCTTCAGATCTTTAAATGTTATAGGTAAGAACGGTACAGTTGTGTCAAGATACGGCGACACTCTGGAAAAAAAATCGTGTTTTCTTGTTTGCTGACGAGTAACAGTGTTTGAATCGGAAAAGTTCCCAGTAAATTTAAGTGAGGATGTGCGACTGTTCGGCAATGAAATTTCTCTGTCATCACCATCGTTATAATCATTGTACTTGCTGTTGTTATTGTTGTAAAGTTTACACCACTGAGGTTCATCAGTAGTTGGAACTAATGACAATAAGAAATTTGACACTAACCAACCTAATACCGACATCAGAAATATAACCTTGCTTTTGCAAAACCTATCTGCGCATGCGCCCCACAGAGGAGTTACGCAAAACTGAATCAGTGGACGAATACCAATAAGGATTCCGTTTTGATGGGAAGATAATCTCAGCTGTTTGAAATAAACTGGTAGGTACGGAAACAGTGCCCCAATAGCCACATAAAATGACGTGTAAAATGCTTTTGAGAGCCAAAGTCCTTTATCCATGCCAGGATGAAAACTTTTCTTGCTACTTAATCTTGCTGCACTCATCCGTCATGAATTTCAAAGGTTTCCTAGATTGTATTATTTACCTCGAGAGCTCAGTCTATCAAATTAGAACTGAATGAATCCATGGACGTCGTAAATGGTTTCCTTGCCTTGAATCTCAAGAGCGCTCTTCGATACTGGTTCAGATAATGAAGAGACCCTACTGTGTCTTATTTTAACATATAACTTCGATTATAGCTTTCCTTCTTTTCTGATAACGGATGAGAATCCATCCAAAATCACAGCTTACTGACAAGAACAGTTCATTCCTTTGCGGAGACATCCAACAATTGCGTGTAATACTGTTTTAAATTGTCGACTGGTACTTGGTAACGCATGACAGAGTTTGATTACTAGAGAGAACCTGACATAGATTGTTCAAAGTACCTGACAAATCGTGTTTAAGGATTATGGCTGCTAAAATCCTGGTGATGTTAAAAACGGTAAAGAAATCTCCATCGACACATGATTTCGCTTCATATCTTCGCACTGTACGTTAATTTATGACCATTCTGGAGGGTTGCTTCACGAATCCTTAAACAGAATCGCCACATCATGGCCATATCGATTCGTTTTTATCAATAAACTGAGTTTTTAAGAAAGTGGAGGAAATCTTGCGCAAATTTATATGTCTCTAGAATGGATAGGTGATATTTGATGTTATTTCACTACAGAATCATAAAGTGGGAAAAAACAACATCCTAAAAAATGAACTTAGTTCTTAAAAAATAAATCTAATTAGGTTTTATTGATTTGTCGTTCGAGGACAAATAAGATTATACTTTGATAATGTACGGACAATGACAGATGGCACACTTTTCAGTAGGAAAAAAGGTTTAATTGTATTAAATGTCCGTATGAAGTGTTTACACATCTAATTCTTAACGTCGTAAAGTTACTCACCGTTGAAGTACTTAATACGGCCATAAAAGGAATCGTACGAGTAATGTATCGATAACTGAGAGCTATCAAGCTAACACTGAATATATCAATAAAATAATTTTAAAAAATCAAAATGGAAATTGTTTTATGTACTTTGAGGTTAAAAAAATGTAAAAATACAAAACACTGGAAATACTACCAAGGGCAAAATGTTTTCTCGCCCTATGTTTATGTTATTAACAAACACCACGAGTCGCCTAAATTGCCTTAGAAAAACATTTCTCATCCTCTTGTCAGATATATATCAATGTAGGTACGGTTTTAAGCACTGGTATACTATCTCAGCCATCTTGTCATAGCCATAAGCGGTAGGATGAAGATGATCATTCCACAAAAGAGCTTGGGTTTGAGGCGGAAGCGAATGTCTCGGAAACTTAGCAGCCAAATCACACAGCACTACATTTCCTTGTGATCTAAGCGCATACTTTCGCAAGTCTTCGTTTAGTCTATTACGCATAACCCACAAGGTCTTAAAACTAGGCCAAGCTTCGTAAGCCGTTTCCGGAATGGTTAAAAGGAGGGTTCGCGCACCGTACCGGTGTGCAGTTTCATGGAGCATTTCAATATCACGTGCAATTCGTGGCTGCCACACGTTAATTAGCTGAGTCATAAATGAATCATCGTCTCCAAAATTCTTAACATGTGCTACGTCATTAGTTCCACCCAGAATGATTACCCAATCAAATCGTGAGCTGTTTCCCAATACTTGTGGTAAGCGCTTGGTCATGCTGCCATGTGCCATTTCACGCACTTTTCCACTCGTTTTGACGTAATACTTCAGTCTACCATCAGAATTCAGTAGTTGACTGAGTCGTTGACTGTAGGGGTGGAAATTTCGCCCGTGGTTGAAAAAGCCACTAGTCAAACTATCTCCAAAACATAAAATGTTTCGCGAGTAAGGATCTGACCTTCGAGGAGAAAAAGATATCGGAGAGGATGCTGGTAAAGACCCTGGTGACTGAACAGATGAAGGTTCTGACTGAGAGACAGATGGAGGTCCTACTGGGGAAATCTGTGAATTTTCATGTGGGGGAAAGAACTGCTCCATCGTTGGACGAAATGATGATCGGCCAATGTCCGGTTCTCTAAGGGTTGGAGGTAGTTGGGTTGTAAGAGTAGGCGTTAGTGGTGTGTATGGTGACTGGGGTGGAATCGTCGTTATCACAGTAGTCTTCAACGGAACAGCAGTTGATTTCGGCTTTGACTTCAATGGAGGTTTCGGAATAAAACTTGTTGTTTTTGCAAGAACTGTGCTGCTCAGGCTATTTGAATCTAAGTTGCCTATGCCTAACTTTGATAAAATATTCGTCAAACTTGTCCTGACCATTATTTTCTTGGGTTTAGGAGATGTTCGTTTTGGTGGAAATGATGGCTCTTTTGTCTTATGCTTCGATTTGATCCCTTGTGCCTGCTTTGTTGTTTTTTTGCCAGCCCTCTGAAGCAGGAGTGGCAAAATGCGTTTCACGATGTCTTGCATGCTTTTTTCCCCTAATGAATTCTTCGCTGGGGTGGTAATCTTATTCGTTGGTATAGGCTTTTTTGTCGTCGTCTTTTCTGTAGTTGTGCTCTGTGTTGGTTTAGTCTTTACCTCAGTGGCCTCTGATTCCCCGACGTCATGATCAGCGTTGATGATTTTAGCTACTACTGCAGGAAGTACTTTGGCCAACAGCCTTTGAATGTTGACCTTACTATCCTTTTGGCGATTTTTTGGTTGTCCTGCTGGGTCTCCATCCCTCTCATTGTGTTTGGTTACATTATTTTCTTTTGCATGATTTATCTTTGATGTCGAGTTATCACTTCTGATGGAGTTGTTGTCTACATTTCTATTTTGCGTAAGAACAGCTTCAAGAGAATCAAAAACATCATCGCTATTTGTTTTGTTTTCCTTTTTCCTCTCATACGTCCTGGCAAGTTTAAGAACTCGTAAAAGCTTTCCATAGAATAGTTTATCGGGATTTTGAACGTGTTCTTCGCCTCTCTTGGATGAAAGCTTGTTGTTTTTCATTTCCAAACCACCCTTGACTTTCCTGTTATGTTTCTTCTTCTTTCCACTGTGTCTTTTCTCTGATTTACGTTTCAGGTGGTGACTTTTTTTGTGCACTCTATGATGATGTATTTTCCGCTTTGTCTCTACTTTGTGGTACTCTCTTGGCTTTTTGATGGAGTTGCGAGTCTTATTTGATCTGAAGCTTTTCTTTTTGCTGTGTTGCCACGACTTTACTCTCTTTTTCTTTTTTTTGTGACCACGCGTCGAAGATGAAGAGCTTAATTTGAATTTTCTCTCATCCTCTTTCTCCACTTTACGAAGAAATTCTTGGGATAAACCCCAAACCTTGGTTTCTTTCTCTTTGGTAGGCAGAAGGTTCATGGCATGCGCATAAGAAGGGTCACAAATACGCACGTTATATCGTGGAATTTCTATTTCATTGGAAACTGTTTTCTGAATGTGGATAACACCTTTAGTCACGTACCACCTTTTACTGCACAGCTGAGCATATTTGACGGAAAACGTCCGTTGATGGTTTCTATGCCTTACTCTCAACCTTACAGGTCGACATGCGAGTAATGTGTGCAAATACTGCTTTTTGTGACCCACAGCCCTTGTAATTTTCACGGTTCCGCGAGTTGCAAAAGTATCAATAACATTACACGTTTTAACGCGATGCCTACTAATATGCCATTTACCTCGAATTTCGTCACCAAGAGAATGATGCTTTCTGTACCGATGGTATTGCTTGAAATCCAAAATTTTCCCATGCCGCTCATGTGTGACGTGGTGTCCGCCTAACCCTTTTGAATGACGATGAATTGCATGATCCTTCTTTCTGAATTGATAATGCGAACGCCTTGAGTGACCGGTCTGCACAGTTATCTGTGGATGTGGAATATTTGTCCTTCTATACTTGTTTGATGTGTCTTGACGTCTCTTATGTTGTGCTTTCTTTTCCAATCCATGATAAGTGTGATAAACTTTAATTTCCGATGAAGTGTGCACTCGTCTTGATGCAAGGATATGTGATCTATGACGCACTCCTCTACTTGTCGAACCATTATGACGACCCTTACCCAATTTTCGTGTGCCATAACGCTCCTTGGTTTGCTTTCCCGCTTTCCTCTCAACTTCAATTTTATGACGTCTTGGTGAGGAAGCTTTATTCGAGGCTCTGTTGCTTTCCTCTTCAATATCCTGAATTTCTTCGAATTCCGAGTGTTTTCTGAAAGGGCGACTCTGTTTCCTTTTCTTATGTCTTCTGTTTTTTCTTCGAGGCTTCTTCCTCCCTTCCTCGGTATGACTTGATTGTCGTGGTGATAAACTGACTTTGCTAGAACTTCCTTTAAGGAAGGAAATGAGAGGGGATGGAGTAGTTTCTGCTCCAACGAAATTACTCATGAAGGGGCTCTCTCCATAATAACCGTTGCTGAAGGAACTTCTGGTCATAGAATTCTTGTTTGAAGGAAAGTAATAGGGGGTTATGTAGGAGACATTAGGTTCCACAGGATATGACGACACGGCTGGCTTATCGTTTAAAATTCCGACGGAATTGCTGCTATATGGAAGTGGGCGGGAAACCTTGGTTTCAATTGGATAATTTTGATTTTCCATCACACCCCCCGGTATTGGAGACCGAGAATAAAGATAATAAGCTTTCGGATAACGAACTGTAGGTAGAATTGGATTAAAAACAGCGGGGTATTGTTCTGATGGGTAATTTAACGCTGGCTGAATACTATTGAATGCTCCTTGGTAATAGTTATTGAAGCGTTTTGTCGCCCTCGCTGGAGAAGGCAAAGTTGGTAAAAGGTTCCTGAGCGCAACATTCCCTCCAATTAAAGGATCGTCATTGTTGGTAACAGATGTAATTTTTTCATGCTCGTTATTTGGTGAAGGAAAATAAATTGGAGACGAAGGCCTCTGTTGCGGAGCCTCGTTTTGCGAGGGGTGAAGTTTCTTTACATTTTGATGAAAATGTTCCGTTATGCTTTCTGTTGTCATCCAAGGATGAGCTGCGGGATAGCCCGTGAGGGCATACGGCGTGGGACCTAACTTAGTTGTTGATGTAGAGTTACTCGAACCAGGCCTCCGTGTGGAGCGAGAGTGAGCGCTAACGATTTTCCAAATCGCGTACAAGAATGTCAAAATAAACAAAGAAAAAACGGCATAAAATGCCACAGATCCATATCCTCGGTGACAAGACACTAACGAGCTAAATTTCTCTGCACAGTTAAGGCCATCACTGACTTCTTGCACTCCTGACCGCGCATTTAAATTGTGAATTCGTTTCCACCAGTAACTGTTTGGTACTGAACGGGACGCAGTGTTTCTAGGCCCGGATGTCCGATTTCCCTGCTCTCCAACCATTGACAGCTACATTGAATTCACTGCGAAGCAGAAAGAGAAAAGGTTTAAGATAATGAATATTGTCAAACTCAAATAGGCATCTATCTGATGTTAGTTTGAAGGTTTAGTGACAATGCTTGCGTTATAATAAAACGAAACCGTCTATAACACTGCGAATTGCACGACAAGCTGGAAACCAACGTGGGAGGTGTTTGAGGTACATTAGACAACATATCCAGAAAAAACTGTACGATTTCTGACTAATGCACTAGTTCGTATTTTGGAAAATAGCTATCAGAAGTCTCTTTAAGCTGAGAGGTTGCAAAAGGCATTGTTGGAATTATAGGGTGGAAATTCTTTCAAGCACTACATAGGACAAAAGCAGCCATCCCAGCTATTGACTTCAGATCTACTAGAGCGAAGCAAGAAGTCCATTTGTATGATCTCTTTGCTTTAATAGACAAACAAGTTGGTTAAACATTCATTCGACCGCAACAGGTGTGTAAATTGTGAAACTAACACGACTGCTTGTTCAAGCAAGTGGCATGAACCAATAACCTGACAAAGACAGAGCACATTTGTGATCAAAGCGACGAAGGAACACAAAACAAGGTAGGAAACTTTGCCGTGGAATTTGAACGATCCTCGGTGAAAAGAAATTGTACTTACTCTAAACCAGCCAACGTACTCAGAGAAGCCTTTTGGGCGTACCCGTTCTGCTAAGATGATAAGTTGTTGACCTTCATAAACCGTCAAATTTTACGCTATTCCTTGAATAGGCAAATTAAATTGCCTTTGCTTCTCGCTGACGCCGATTTCTCTGGATCTCAACCAAGAATCTTACTGGTATTTTAAAACCAAGACGAAGAACTTGCTGCGACACATGAGGACGAGCTTCGGCAGAGGATTTTCAGAGAAAAACTACTATACTAAAATGGAAATGATGTGCGACAAAAATTGTCAAAAATGAGGTCATATCGTCGTTTGGGAGTTTCTGAGATTCGTCTTTTAAGCCCAATGTTTTCCTTCATAAATTTATGGTAAGGATTCTATTACACTAATCTCTTTTGAATTTTTTCTATTTGTTTGTATTTTTTGAAAATCAAACTATAACAATTACAGAGACTATTTACGAAATGGCGAAGACTAAACAAAAGGAACGTATATCGATACAATTAAAAAATGGAGCTTCTGAAACATCTCCTGTAAATTCAACTTTGTTATAAAATTCATTTTGCGTAAAATTTATTGTATGTCAGTCCCACTTTGATATGTAGAAGTACAGTGGCTCTCACGGAACTGCAAACGAGACATACGTGGCTAGGACTAAAGTGCTTTTTCTTTAAATATAATCACTAAATAACGTCATGCACTAAGCCAAAGGAAACGCCATATTTCATAAAAAAAACTCCACCCATTATAACACACAATTATGTTTGACGGGTTTTGTTGTTACGTTGAGTTAATGGAAAGAACGTTTCAAGATGATTGGATGAATACATTGAATCAAATATCTGTAGTAAAACAATAATAATGAAGACAGTATGGGGACTAAAAACGGTAAGAATTCATGATGGGAAAAATGTGATGACGCACTCGGCAAAACTGTGTAAGCTTCGTCCTGAGGAACTTTTTGAAAATAGATCAATCCGCCTGGAAAAGTGAAATAACGACCCCCTCGATGGTAACAGATATACAGGTGTAAAAGTACGACTGGGAAAGCGCAGATTAAGAAAGAAACGAGCCAGAGAAGCGTAATTTTACGTCTGCTCTTTTGACTTTCGCCCTTGTTCGCATTGCGCCGCGCCGCCCGAGAAAGTTTAGATAAGCGTCTCAAACAAACTGTTTAACCAAGCCTTAAAGTAGTAAATGAGTTCTCAGTAATCGGACCCTTCTTTTGGCGCAAAGATTTATGGGATCGCCGGGGGGTCAAACTCTGCAAGTCGCTAGAACCAAAATAATGGCGAAAGCTTATTTCGACGTCCAAATCCACGATTTTGGAGAGAGATCAACCAATCATGTCAGAAATGGATTTAGTCGATGTTGATATGAGGGAACCGTAAGTTTTCATTTAAAATAACTACGAAATATGTTTTAAAATATACCAATAAACTTGTGGCCCGGTTGTTTGAAGATTGGATAACGCTATCCACTGGATAAAACTCTACCAGGTGGATAACGCTAAACGTTTAGCTATCACTTATCAGCCGCATAGCGATTTATCCGTTGCATAGCGTTATACGCCCTTTATACAACTGGGCTATGTCCTTGTGTGAGGTTTATTACAGAATCATGATCGTGTAATGATCTTTAAATATTACAAAATTAGCCATTTATCGCTGGGAAATAACTCAATAACCTCTTTTTTGCGCAAACGCAAGAATCCGTTAACTGACAACTCGCTTCTTACCTTACATATGCATACCTCAATACCTCTTAGCAGTAATCTGTTTAAGAATAGACTGAGAAAACTTTATCTGAAGGAAAATTACGGGGGCTGCGTGGTTCAATTTACGCGTCATAATCACATAGCGATCGCTATCATGACGTCATAAAACAATGATGACCAACCAATCCAGTAATTGATTTTTCTGATGCATTGGAAATCTGTTTTGATAATTAAACTGCATGCAATTTAACCTTGTTTGGTAAGTAGACCTCTTATTATCATTTGAAGTTTGAAGAGAGTTGATCGTTTTTATTCAACAAATAAAGAAGCCGTGACTGTGCTCTGTCCTGTTGCAAAGCACACAGCTAGTGGATAGAGCTTGAAGAGGGAAACATAGGACGTCGTCGAGTGTTTCTCCCTACTTCTTGAGTGCCAGGTTCCCAGGTTCTTCCTTGTAAAAATTGTTCAACAATGCGATTGTTTGAATAGGACCAAAGCTGTCAAAAATGTCAAACCATCAAAGTTCACGATCTGCGATACAGTCAAACCTATATAAAGCGAAAAACGGCAAGGTGATCCCTAAATGCAGGTTGACCGCTTAACATAGGTTCCACAGATAAAGGGATGAAAATTCAAGAATAAAAAACGCCATTTTATCATACTTATGCCATAATTGATCTTAACATGCAACCATTTGCTGTGACTGATGTGGACTTCCACCCAACGCATCGGGAAGGATATCAGAGCAAGCTGAGCAAGCTTTTAGTTTTCACTCGAAGGGCGGACGGTGTAATTTCTGAGGCTTGTTTCGCTGCAATGACCGGAGCCGCGATGGATGAAGGCATGATCGCAATCGCTCAGACACCATCATGATTTCTAAGTTATGCCGGTTTGGTTATATTTTTCATCATGAGTGTTTTGTTCTGTTTTGTTTTTGAACACGAGACTATATATATCATACGAATGTTAGCTGTGATTGAGTTTCATTACCGTACGCAAGCTTACAATCAAACTGAGCGTCAAAACCATTAAAACTCGGACTGTCGATTTCGTTTTCTCTTTGGTGATTTTCGTCTCTGCTCACGTTATAATAACGTCAATTACGGCGCCTGGCATGTTTAAAAACTTTTGTTTGGTTTCTCTGTTCCTACTTGCCAGCTCGCGAAATTTCATTTTCAATTAACGAAAAAAAGTTAGAGAGAAGTCCGGAAAACGGACGGACAAGGTACAAATTGGCAAATGGTGTGATAAAATACGCCCTTTCAACAAATTTCAGCTCGCTTTTTATCGGAACTTTATCATAAATAGATTAATTATTTCTTTGCGGCATTTTACCATTCAAAGAGTTTATACATTGGTGGGGGTATATCAAGATAGTTTGGTTCTATCAACTGAGTTGATAATGTAAATTGGCCACTGCAAAAGCTAACATTTCGAACATTCGCCCTTTACCATTCGCCCTGGGGAACGGCCAATGCTCGAAACGTCAGCTCTAGAAACTCTTTACGGTGGCCAGTTTACATCGGAAACTCAGTTGAAGAAACTCAAAAAAGAAAACCGTTTGTTTTAAAGAAAAGACGGACTTAGAAAAAGCGTCAGTTTTTTAGACTGCTCTGATCAGACCAACATCAGTTACCTTTCTTATCATTCCATATCAACTAGAGCAGTACATTTGTCCAGTTATACGACACTCTCGACAAATATCTAATCTATCTGAAAAAGCAAGTTCCCTCTTGTGAGCCAGTGCCAAAATGTAAACGGTTTAAAGTCAAGTAAAGCTGTCTCCCTAGTAATCAATAACTAAGTTTGGCAGTGGAAGAAATGTGATTTGCGAAAGTACGCCAATCTTATTGTAAAGCAACAGTCCAGCTCTATCTATCACATGACTCGGAGAGTAGACAGTAACAGCACATTTACTTTTAACATGGTAATGCTTTGTTAAAGAGCAATTAAACTTTTAACCTGGGGGAAAGTCATCATTTTTTTTCGGTCTTCTACGCTGGAGTGTGAATTACGCATCAGAAATGGGGAAAATATTGTTCGCTCTCATTCTCTCGCGGATAGTTTCACTTTGCTTTCGCTTTAAGGTCGCTTGAACACGCTAAAAACCAAATGACACCTATACTTCAGGTCGATGAAATGTTCATCGTTGTTTCGCATAATCATTGAGCAACTGAAGCACTGTCTTTTGAATTCACCTGTGCTCTTACAGGGTTAATTTTGGTTTAATTCATGTCATTTCAGTGGACCCTTAGTAACCGTGAAACAAATGAAAATTTCAAAAATAAGCCAAAGGGAACGATAAAAACTAAACAAAAACGGAAATAAAAGGGGAACAAACTCGGAGCGTTACAGTTGAATTTTTCTTTTGTTTATTTACAAGAAATCAACTGACGCTTAAGTTTCCAAACAATTGCTGAATAAATGTCAATTACGGGCAGAGCGGAGTGTTTCTTCGTAACAAAGTGAAGTGACGCTTTCAGCTGGTACCTGTGAAGTGAGAAAAATGAACAGGTTGTTTGACTTTGTCTTTGAGCAGCTGTAAAATGATGATCGGGAAAGTAAGATTGGAGCAGCAGTTTAAACAAGAGGAGGAGAGGAGTACAGAAGAAACGATTTCAGAAGATCAAAAAATTAAAAGGGAAAGTACAGCAATTGAAATAGAGAGCGAGGAGGAGTTGTACGGATTGGCTCTCATACTCCGTAACACAGAAGACGCCGCCAAAAAGAGCCGTGATTTGACAGGGATACCAGATAAAGAGCGGTCTGATGATCATGAAAGCAGTAGAGGAGAGAAAACAAATGGACCGTCTGAAAACAAAGAGAAAGCCTGTTTAAGATGTTGTCAAAATATTAACAGAAGCCTCATTATTTACAAAAGTTTTTACTTCTTTTTCTTTTCGGCTGTGGGTTCTTTATTTCCTTATCTCGCAGTGTTTTATAAACAGCTATGGCTTTCCGCCCATGAAACAGGAATACTGATCGGAATCAGACCATTGATTCAGCTTTTCGGAACGCCTATGTGGGGAGTCATCGCAGATACATACAAGAAAAGCAAAGTGATCTTTGTGGTGTCACTAGTTGCATGGTTGGTATCGAACTATTCCTTGTCTCTCGTATCTCCTGTTTTTCATTTGGGCGTTTGCAATGATAACGCTACCTTAACAATCATCCAAGAAATTATGAAAGAAATGAAAAACAGAACGATCTCACAGAAGAATAACACAACTCATCATAAACATTCCACGCATAAACCCTCCATACCTCTTTCAGCAAACTCTGGAAATTCTAGTAATCATTGGTTTGAGATAGTCAGGAAAGAGAGGGCAAAACATCCTTCGAAGCGAAACGCAGGTCAACCATTGAAGTATACACTTCAAAACAAAGTAAACAAAGTGCTTCAGGTAAATTATCATGTAAACATTTTGTACGATTTGATGGAAAAAACCGACAGTACTTTGGTTTCTAAAAGAGGAATCAAACAGATACATCGATTTTTAGACAGATCAACACTCCATACAAGTAGCCCCCCGATAGTGAACAAGTCAATGGTTCGTAAGCGAAGTGTTTATAAAGGAAGATTTCTTCATGCGTCACTCAACGATAATCAAAGAGGGAGCAATAACAAACGTCTAATCACAATAGGACAGTGCTTCAAATTGGGCAGTGATGAACAAAGGTTACGCCGAGCCAGCTTGGATAAAAGCGCACTGATGTCCAAACCAGATATCTTAACACTTTTCATGAATTCAAGTAGTATCAACGAGGACGGGGTTTTCATTCAATTTTACAGCGGATGGATGGAAAGAGTTTTCGACTCCCTGAACATGGCTGGGGAGTATCCATGGCCTCTGGACACAGTGGCGGACTATGAGTCAACACAGGAGGCACATGAGTGGCTAAATCCACATGATCATGACTTGTTTACCATCCTGTTTGTTATCACAGCTACTGGTACACTGATTGCTGCACCAGCTATTACCTTAGCTGACACTGCCACACTGCAGAAGCTTGGTGAGTATATTGAAGTTGTCGATATTCAAAAATTTTCTTGATTATTTCTTTTGGAAACATACGTAAACTTTGTTGTGATACCTTGTTTTACTTCTAAGTAGATTTTTTGGGTAAAGCAATGAAATACGTTATTGATATCACAACACTACTGATAACATGTATAAGTAATAGTGGTGGTACTAGTAGTAGTAGTAGTAGTAGTCATAGTAGTAGTAGTAGTAGTAGTACTAGTGGTAGTAGTAGTAGTCATAGTAGTAGTAGTGATCGTGATCGTGATCGTGACCGTTATTATGATTGTATGTTTTCCTTCGTAAGGTAACAGGCCAGAGGACTACGGCAAGCAGCGTTTATGGGGAGCGTTTGGCTGGGGACTAGCAGCCTTTATTGTTGGATCAAGTCTAAGCACAGTTGAGGAACTGAGTAACTGTAACAATCCTTTGAGTGTAGATTACCTGCCATGCTTTTACGCTTTTGCGTGTCTAATGGGCGTGGCTGTCTTGATTGGTGCTTTGTTTGAGTTTGACGAAAAAGAGTTACACGAAAGTAGCATCTGGCAAGGGCTTGCATTGTTGTGTGACTGTCAATATATATACTTCATCTTCACAATTCTGTTCTGTGGAAGTGCACTGGGCTTTATAGAAACTTTCTTGTTTTGGCATTTGCAAGATTTAGGCGGTACACAGTTCTTGTTCAGTACCATCACTGCCATCCACTGTATTTCTGAGGTGGCAGTTTACAGTTTTTCTGGTACGTTCATCAAATGGCTAGGGCATCACCGGGTTTTGTACGTTGGACTTTCATGCTATATAATCAGATTTTTTGGCTATGCCCTTATAACAAACAGCTGGGTGGTACTACCTTTTGAGATCCTTCACGGCTTGTCCACAGCAGCCGTATGGTCAGCGGCCGTCGTCTTCGTGGGACTCATTCCCGGGGCGCCTGCAACAATGCAGGGAATTCTTGGTGGTGTGCACTGGGGTCTGGGTAATGGTGGTGGAGGAGTGCTCGGTGGATTATTAATCACTTACGCTGGTGCTACCACCTCTTTCCTCATATTTGGAGTAATCAGCATAGTAGACTTGAGTTTATTCATACTTTTGAACAACATGGAATTTTTCAACTGTTTTGAGTGGTCCAAAGGGAGTGGTACACAATCAGAGTATAGTCCAGTAGAAGATGAAGCCTATAAAAATGAAAAACTAGAACCAGATTATGACGATCTTTACTGAACATTTTATTTTGCAGTTCTCTGAGCTGAGTTTGTTCAACTGTACCAAGATGACTATCATTTACTACATTATCACAAAGCATCTGATCCAAAATTAAATAAGCTTAGATTGAATTAACACTAGCGTAATAGAAAGCAGTAAACTGTACTGAAAATTTTCCATGAACAGGCTTTACTCTTGGTGTAGTCTCGAACAAAACGACCATAATCGTTTTAGAGCTTTCATTTTGATAAATTTTGATTAGTTGACATGTTTTGCATTTTGAATATATTGTAATCCTACACGGGAAAATATGTAATAACGCAAGAATAGCACGAGAACGCAAGTCAGGGTACAGCGTGTTAACTATTACTCGCCCCAGAAGTCTTAAAAACCATGTAATCTCCTATCGTTATCTTTTCGATGAAAGAATGGTACCGAAATGTGGTCAAAGAATCTGAGTTTGTTGGAAGGAACTATGGTAGATTCTGTTACTGTAAATGTTCGAACCGATAAGCTGTTCCTCTTGCTCACACCTAACGCGGATGAATTAAGAACTGCGAGTCAGATTAGCGGTATGAATAGTTGGACTTGGTTCCTATAGTTACAATAATCTAAAACTTCCTTCACCTCTCCGACTGTTGTAAGCAGCGGCCTCCTGCTGACAATGACCAAACAGACAATGGACTAAATTGACATCCTTTACATTAAGCTACAATGGTTAGAACAAAAAGCGCTCCCAAAAAGAGTAAACTCCTACCTGCGTAAAATTCGAATAGAAACTTAGCTAAGTTAAAAAAATAACCCAGTGCTACTCAGGAAAACCACAGAAACACACACCCACGCTACTGCTTTGTGGCCCAATCCACTCCCTTGGAATTAGTTCAGGGGACCTCAGGAGCACACTATCTGATAGCCATGTCCCTGCAGACCACTGTGATGACTCACATTGCACAGTCTAACAACTGCCACAAAGTAGTTCATGTACTAGTCATCATAAAAAAGACAGCAGGAGGTGGTCCGAAATATCGACCACGCGACAACGCGAACAATTATTTTGAGCATACCAGCATGGAAAAACATGTGGGGATATCATATCCCAATTGTTTTCTTCGTTCACGGAAAGGCAAACTATCAATACTAACAAAGAATTTATTTTCGAAGACATGTCAAATTGTAATGTTCCCCATGGAGTTAACCCCGAAATTCGCCTTTTCTATTTCCAACAGACAACGATGAGTTGATGAATAGTGCAGCCACGAGGAAGAAAATTACGGAACAAAGTTTGGGGTGCCTTCCGGGGGTCCTGAGTTTTACATCAGGGATATTATGAAAAGGATATAAATAGGTATGCATAACGTACATGAGGATAGTGCTGTAAGAGCGGTAGCATATGTTAGATCACGTTAGTCTTTGACTAAGTGCCATGTTGCATGAATTCAACTGGTTTTCCTTGCTTGTCCTCTTTCAGGAAGATCACGATGTCTTTTGCGCTATACATAGGTTTCAATAAAACATGACCACACCTGTTAGGGAACTTGCTGTAGTTTTACACCGTAGTGGTCATGTACGAATGACAATAACTCTTAGGTGCCGAAAAAAAAAAATCATAATTTCAAGTGATGAATTGTAAAAATATTGGTAGCCCCCGATGTAGCTATTTCATGAGCTTTGGTGAATCGGCCGCATGAGTTTCTTCCCCTTCAACTTCTTACTACTCTTGGTGTTTCGGTCTTGTCCCCAGCGTAAAATCTATTTTAATGAAACTTAAGACCTTAGCTTCAGGCAGTGAGATGAAACAAGGAAGGGTAACTTTTCACATTATCATCAATTTATCTCTTTCCTTTAAATTTGCCCCAGAAAACTACATAAAGCGTGAAAATCAATAATCACCGCTAGAAATAAATAGATTCCACACGTAATAATTTTAATTTTCTGTTCCCACTCCCCATTCTTGTAGAATTTTTCCCACAAAAATCCCCACAAAATAAGCATTGACTTAAAATTGTACCTGTAAAATCTTTCAAATGCGGAACTGTACTTGAGAGGTCAGTTTGGAAACACGTTTTGCTCGAACATCAAGTTCCGCAGGTAAAAGAGGCAAAAACAACATCATTAATGCATCAGCAAAAACTCACTCAGGCAGATCACTTTCGCTGTCAAATTTTGCCTTTGGTTTAAGCCTTTCCCAATTGCATGCATTTTATTTTTTCCCTCGAGAGAGTAATACAACTAAAATTCAAATTTTAATATTTAATAGTTGACTGCTGACTTTGTTTACAAATACTACGATCCTCTAGAATTTTCAATATTACATAAATTCTAAACACCTAAAGCAATGAGCATTCTCCATGGGTCATTTAAACAGATTACAAAAGGAGATAACTGTGAATTCTCTTAGCAGTGACAACCACTTAAATACAAAAAACGTTTCACCTTTGAACCTTTGTTCTTCAAGGCAAAGTTTCAGCTTAGCGTCTGTCAATCACTTTAAGAGGAAAATTTTTTACAGGCTTGGCCATATTATGAGTAAGGCCAGCACCACACGTTCATGCTAACAGTTCAATAAAGTTTAAACTCAGAGCTGTTTTTCCCCTCTAAACAAAATAAAAGTCGTAAAACCATAGATTTCAACTACTACTGTACTACACCCTAAAGAATTCCGCCAGTTTAGTAACGTAAGTTAATCCATCGTGAAACATAGAAGATAACAAAACCATAAAATCAAAATAACCATATAACTTGCGTGTAGTAAAAGTCCCAAAATAGGAATTAACATCTACACACACCGAACTGACATATTATGCAAGAGTTAAGGTATAGTTTACGAACCTTGGAGAACGGCAATGCACTTTGCTGCGGATCGGCTTAAAATTTACCTACTCCGATAACTAATAATTCCTTTACGTCTTACCAATATATTAAGTTACCTTGCCACTTAATCTTGAAAAGATAAAGGTGGCTAATGTAAATGCCTTATTATTTGTTCAATATTGTATACCTATAATATATTCTGTAGCGAACTGAACGTGCCAATCTCCTATGATTACGAAGGACTTCAGTTCAGTGACAAACAGTTATTTTGGCTACAAGAGGAATTAAATCCAGCACACCACATAATATGCAAATAAACAGTTGACGGTTAAAAGTGCAAATAATTTAAAACCTTTTTGTCGTAAAAAGTATTTCTATTCCTTAGTTTCAGCCCGGACAACCGTCTTAAAATCAGAAAACATTACGACCGCTTTATCTCACATTCGTTGTAATCCTTAAAAAAAACAAGGCGGTATATAAAAATTAAAACAAATAACGGCGAGTAAAATAAAGCCCGCAATAACGTTCAATGAATACCCAAAGGCCATGGACACTTTTAGAGCACATTGTGGCAATTTTTCCAGTACGAAGAACAAACCACACAGTGAGCGGCTTCTTTGAATAATACAATACAACACTCTACGCAAAGAAAAGAGATTTTGTGAGTCGTGCGTGCCATGCCTTTTACCTACTTCAGTTTTGTTTGATCGGCATCGACAAAAAATACGCATCTGCAGTACGATTCTCGAGTTTGGCCAAATGGATGACAGTTCAGCCCTCTTAACTATTCCCTGAGGTTAACTCCGGCGAGTGCCAGGTTTTAGCATATGCTGTATAGTGCCCCCACCTGCTGGGACAAACTAAGACAATGCATATGGATCAAGAGCATAGTGCTTTGAAAAACTGAAACTGTTTACCACATCTACATTTAGCTAAATTGTCAACACAGGTTAAATCCTGCACCGACTAACTCCCGATTAAAACTGAACTGTCAGAAAATTGACGTAATGAAAGACAAAACTTTTGGTCCCTCTTAAGCCTGGGAAAAGAGCTTCGATTCTGAAGAGAATTACGTTCACTTCTCTCATTTTGTTTTGTTTGTCTTCTGAGCAAGGATACGAAAACCTTTATATTCCATCCCCCTGGACTACAAGAGTGGACCCATCCTGTACGATTTCAACATACGTCAATTTTTCACGAATCCTTTCCTCGACTGTCTCCAAGGTTCGTAACTAGCCCCTACTGCGGCTGCGCAGGATTAATATCATTGAAAATTGAGAGATCAGCAAAATCCTCACCCATCGCGGCTGCCATGGCCGCCATATAACTAGAAGGTCCAACAGTCTGAAGGCCGCTCAGGAAAACATTGCTCAATGCCAGCTCAGGCGTCAACTGTCCGTAGTCCCCGACAATTTCCTGGTTACCTAAACCGAGTTCTGTTCCATCCAGAACGGTAGAGCTGGCGACAGACTGGGGCGAGGGCGGGGAGGCAGGGGAACCTGGGTACAATGACATATCTGGAAAGCCATGAAATGGATACGAACTTGATGGCGGAGTTTCCTAGGCAACGACCAAAGAAATTACTACGGCAATTAGACTATGAAGGCAGTTATGAAAATTAAAGTTACTTAGCATTTTCAGTAACATAGACCCTTGTACATACAGCGGAGGCATCCGAAAGCAGTAACAGAAACAAGACGTTTAAACAGCATGCAGTCTTCAACAAAGCCAATCGCTATTATATGTATCTTATCACTTAACTCTAGTTTGGTTTAAACTGTAGTTGGACGAGTAAAAGTTTCATCATTTCGCTCTTTAATGAAGCTACAAAATACAACGTAACCAGCTGAAATACATCAAAAGACGCTTACCATGGAAGAGTCCCTTCCAGCCGGGTACATAGGACTCCTGCCGCCCTGTCTCCTAAGTGAAGATAAAAAACCCACAGATATTTAAGGCGCTTAGCAGTTTCTAATCTGATCTTTATATCTGCAGTATTTTGAAACTGTCAAGATCGACTCAAAATAAGTCATTTAGTTCGTACATAAAAGTCAAAAGAGGGCGTGGATCACATTCAGGTCGGCCCTTAAAAAACACTGATTATTGCATCTTGTATGATCGTGTGACAACGTTAGTTTTGTCTATAGTTGTTTCTTGGACAACTAGAGGTACTGACGTCATCGTTAAACGAAAATAATAAAAAGATAACTTAAATATAGTGACTTGGCGTGGAAGTGTAATTATTTCAACCATTCTATACCACTAGAATACTCACCCTGCCAGCCTGACCGCCAGTACAGTTTGCTGATAATCATTATTATCAGTATCTTGGTTTTCTAAAAAACAACGCAAAGTAAAAAAGGGGACTCAGTTGAAATTTCTCATGATTTCATCAACTGCTGTTCGATTGCGTTCGTTTATTGAAAACGAAAGTTATTGTCTTCAGGTGGATTTACGGGCACTTGTGGAAGTGAATTCCTTTCATTAAATAGCAATGACTATTTAAATGTTTGGGGTTTCTATAGGTGGTACAGAAACTGTAGTCTGTTGCCGGGCTTCACGTTTTGTGGAGTGAGAACTGTTCAGATTTGTCGGGGAATATTCAGTCTTTTGGCAACGGCACCAACCGAAATAGCAAAGAAACTATCGATACTTGTTAAAATGATATATGAACATCATATGGTTGAACGGCTGAATAAGATAGTTAGTAAAAGAAACGTCACTGCAGTTTAAGACACAACTACTCCATAGGTATTTGCATATCATTTCAGGTAGACGATACAGTTGAGATATAGTCCTGCTTACCGTCATTGGTATAATACGGACCAAAAGCGTCATCTTTAGCTATGTTAGGGTAAAGCTGAACAAGTTCTCCCAAGTCTTTTAGTCGGTCAGAGAATTTTCGCATTTGCAAATGCGCGTTCGTCCATGGAGCCACATCGAAAATTTCACAAGGACCTACACCATACAACAGAGAGGTACACCTATGAGGTTTATTTTATAATTTTTCTCCCGTAAAGGAATTATTATGGTATCTTCCCTCCCCAAGAAGTACTGAATTTCCACACTTTCCTTAAATTTGCCGCATACCGATAATACGGATGGTATGAACACTCGAGAAATTATTTCCTAAAAAAGAAATTGATTTTAAATATTAAGGCACCTGTAAATCTCTACATGACTTAAACTCGTGTAAGAGATTGTACAGTCTTGACTTGTGGAATATACCTTATTAGTCAAAAGAAAAACTCCCCAATCCGTCTGTTCTGAGGTATACCGAAATATGTTTTTTCCACTGAATTACTTCTTATGTACGACGCTGAAAGGTTACAGATAAAGTCTCGACCTCCGAAATTAAAAACCTGTCCCTTCCAAAAATCACTTCATAACTGGTGCATTTTTATGTCTCATATAAATCACTCGGAGAGTGAGGATAAAAGGAAATTGACCATGTTTAAAAATAAACAGCTCTCCCACACAAGCTTCATGAAATGTCTGAAACCGCAGTTTTCAGCTATGTCCTTTAAGTACCCGTTTACTTTGTTTATAGTAGCTGGCTTTCTTACCACCGTCAAAGGTATTAACATAGGCGACACTAATTCCACCAATCTCTGTCTCACTGAACCTCAGCAGGAACGTGCCAGAATTACAGCCTCTTAAAATGTCATGCGCATCATTCTTGCTGATAAAACCAGCCACGCGTCTGTAACAAAAATCAGTAAAGTTCATTGCTGTAGTCTTCCTTTGTTTAATTTGTTCACATTTACATTTGAATCCATGCTAACATTTTCCTCAAAAGTCCAACAGAGCAAATGTTTAGCTAGTTCCATTGGTCCCCTGACCACAATGTTCAACGGGCATCCCACTCAGTGATTCAGCTCTCCCGCACAGTTCTACTATTATAATGTTCAAAGGTCGTTTTCTTGTACAGATTAGTAATAATAAATAATTCGAGAAAAAGTGGTTTTTCAAAAATCACGGTTGTGGTTGTACTTAAACAGAACTCTTGCGCCTATCTTCAAATGCAAACTAGAAAGGGAATGTGAGTGACATACCCGTCCCTCCATTCGTCCAACAGCCGTCTTGACACCACATCTAAGGCTCCGTAAAACCATTTCCAAAACGAGAATGAGCGGCCGTTCATATGATCCTGATGTACAGGAGGCATTGAGTTAAAAATTAACACAAGAAGACAGAACATCTATTTATTTACCTATTCTTATGGCTAATAAGTTCAACAATTCAAAACAAACATTTTATGATAACATATACTATAGATCTTGCCGAATTTAACTGTAAAATATTGAATATATGTACCCTGTTGAAGAGCTGTCTTGTAACCATGGCATTGTCCATACCTCCCTCCATTTTGCCTTTAAATAACAACAGAATTTAAAGGTCGATAATCTTAAAAACTGTAAAGGTCAGGTTCACAGCCCGTTTTCTACATGTTAACAAAGGAAATTCTCTGGATGAAAAGAAGTAGGAAACTAAACTTGAAAACATCTAGGAAAAAGTGTTAACCTGGAAAAATCTTTTTCCCCAAGAAGGTCAAGCTTTCAGGACTAAGTTGGATTTGATTGTTGAGAGCCCATCTTTTGTTCAGAGCTTCTGCAAAGCGGGGCCATTCAACTTGATCGGGAACATCAAAAAGTTTCCTTTCCTATGAAAAAACAATTATTCGTAGTTCATCCAGTTTTATTATGAACAGGATTTAAATAACACCTAATAAAATCATTTGCTCATTAGATTCTTCGCCAAGAAGTTGTCAGCATTATCAATCACACAGACACTAAATTTCGTGGGGGGCCCTAAGTAACTATGGTTACTAGCGATCTACGGAATGTCCAATGAATATTTCGTACCGGCATTATCCTTTTTTTAATTAGGTTTACCTTTGCGAGTTTCATCTGCCCATACCAATCCTACGCAACGGACTAAGACGCGCACTGACCTTTGGTTAGATCTGTGACCACTGCAGAATTTCTCACTTATTCATCTTTTTTTAATCCCTTCTGAACTAAATAGATAACTGACCTTGTCGGCGAATGCGTTGTCCCAGAAAACAGTTGCTTCAGCATCACACTGTTGATTGCCATGAACTGTCACAACCACAGGAACCGAAATCACCTTTGGACCACAAAACAATGAGAGCATTAAGTAAGCTGTACTAACCAATGGGGCAAAGTGCTCTGATCACATTTATAGGACTTCTCTGTCCAAGTAGATCATGATGAAAAGGCAATGGATGGTATCTAAGCAACCAACTTCAACTGAAATATTCTAAACGCTTTTTAGTGTGTCCGGACAGCAATCACAAATCAAAAGGAAGTGAAATGGTTGTGAGGTAGAGAGGCTCGTAAATTACGACAAAGGAACGAGTAGTAGCTAGGGTCGTCTGTAAGGGTGGCCGTATCTCTTGATCTGCATTGTTGTCTGGTTTCACTGTGTTTAATGGTGCAGGGAAAAAAGTACAAACTAGGTCGCTTTCAAACCCCTACCCTCCCCTTCTCGGCTCCACCTACCGTTATATTGAATATTTCCTTTCCGAGGTTGATCTGCGTGGAGAAGAGTAATGCTGACTTCTCCTCTGTCACTACTTCTTTGTTCTTACCGCCCTGTCTTGTGGCTTTGGCCAAGGACTAAAAGACACCATATAAAAACTGGTTGCAGACCGTAAATGAATAAGTAACATAAAAATATAACCAATATCGTACATCTGCATAACAACTACTCCAAACATACGAAACAAAGATCTTGGCAAGTTGCGACAATAATTTCCGGCGTATCAAAAAAAAAACAACAACCACAGAAGGGGCTTCTTTTTCTGTGATATTAAGTTTTAAACAATATCTTATTATGTTTAACGATCTCAGCACGCGACAGTTCATTAAGGCGACAAGTTCGGACAGTAACAACTATCGTTAAGAATAAAAGAATCCTATGAATTTATCACGAAATAGATTTTTCAGAACCAACCGAGTTTCCGTTGTTGTTGTTGTTTTTTTTTAGTTTTTTCCCTTTCGCACTCTATTCATATTAATTTGCCATGAGATTCCATGCCCAGTTTAGTTACCAATTATGATTGCTATTGCAGGATGTAATAGATGTATTTGTTCATCATGATTATAATCGTTACTGAATTTTTGATCATTTTTCTCACGATCCAGATTCACTATTACCTGTAGAGACATTCTTTCCATTGAAGACTGCGGTATTTCGACTGTTATATGTTAAAATGATTTGATCCTCAACTAATTGTTTGATTCTACAACTGACAGTTACTCTGATTCGTGAGACACGTCGAAACATTCCGTAATAAGCTTACCAAGTTTTTGAATTCACCAATCAGCTTCCCTGTCACTTGATTGAATTCCAGTGTCTAAAAACAAGAAAGCCTTTGGTCTTCATTTAACCTTCACCAAAAATAAATCTGTCTGACAATCGATAGAGAGCAGCAAATGGTGTACTGACCTTCTTGTTGTTCAAAACAGGACTGTTGTTTGATGATACACTGCTGCATGAGGGGAAAAAAAGCGTCAGTACTGCATAATATATTTTATCTCTTACTCGATTGCTGTACATACCCTTTTACCACAACCGCTGTTTTTTTGACACATTAACATTAAAATAAGCCCAAAGTTTCAGAAAGAGTTGTTAATAGTTGAGTTGTTCCAATTCAAGGCAATTATTGCTCGAACCATCTCACGTTACTTTCGACCTGACAAACAAGTAACATAAACCACCCATAAATTCTGACTACATCTGAAATGAAAACCACAGCTGCTAAAAGTCTCATACGTCAATCTCAGTGGTGTACTTTGAAATAGGCGTTGGCCTGGCAGTAAGACAGGTGTGCCCTACCTTCCCACCCTATCCCCAAGGATGTCTCTTTCACGGGAAAAAGGTAAAGGAAAGGAAGATTTATATATGATATGAAATGCAAAATCGTAAAGAACAAATTATAATCGAAGTTCAATAATAGTTTTTACCTCTTGCGATTCCCAACATTAAGACCTTGTGCTTGCTTTTCACTTCAAAACATAATACAAAAAGAAGTAAGCTGACATCTAATATAAAAAACTTGGATGGTTTAATTCAAAAAACCTTGTTGGTACTTACGAAATTAGTGTACAGGTAACCTCTGGTGGATGGGTTTGGATATTCAGTTTTCCACCAAGAAGATGCCTACATACATAACCATTACAAATTTGTATTAGCTGGTGCTTACTCCAAAAATTAAAGTGTACATCTTCAAAAACTTGTATGACACTCAAACATGAAGACTTCATGAACCACAACTTACCGAACCACAACTCCAAACTTTGTTTGAATCTTCAGGACTTGGGGAGGTTGTTTCTCTATGATAAATGTCCTACAAAGGAAAAAAAACATATTCAGGTAGTTGTGGAGAGGAACCCTAAATATGCCTCTGAGTGCACATCACTGCTTCTTTTACTTGAAATTTAATTGTGCATTTTTACAGAATTAAGAAGGACAGAATGCTAAACATAAAGATTGAACAATCAGGAGGACTTACTTAGTCAAGAACAGTTTCATGAGGTTTCTTGCAGATGTTTTAACATTATCCATTCGCTTCAGTTCTAATTCATTCCCCTGAAATGCTTGATGGAAAAGATTGTCCAGCTACAAGAAAAAAAAACCTGTACATGTACATGTATAACATAATAGCAGCAAGGTAGCTAGACACAAGGCATCAGAACTTTAAAATTATGTGGCTTAGTGCACTTATCCTCAATATAATAAATAATATATTTTTGTAGAGTTAACCTTTATTCTGCTGAAAATTATTGGACAAAGCATACATCATATCATTCTCCTGGGTCACTATTAGTACTCTACACTTCTTTAAGATGCAATTGGGCAATCCTAAGCAAGTTCATATCAACCAGCTGCCTGGTTTACCCCAGGTCCCCAATAAATCACTGGGAAATACTTTTCAGCAAAGAGCAAAAAATGCACAGTCCTCTAGACTAACCTGAGAAGCTTGTTGAAACAATTTCCACAGAAGTTCAGCAAGTGTTTCACAACTATCAAAGGAAAATTAGTGAAGAGCTTTTCAATTCAAGTTACCTAATATCTATACACTCTTTACTATTTCAAAATCATTCAAAACACTGAACAGAAATTACAAATAATACATTATGTATTTTGTGGTGGGTCTTCCTTAACTTCATTTTGCTCTTAATGAAATAACACATTCATAAAAAGATATTTTTACAAGAAAGCTGAAGTTAATGCAAAAACAAAAAATGCTTTATTAGGTACCAAGCGTGAAACTTTAAAAAGATAAATGATGACTTGTTAACCAGATGGAAAAAGATAAGAGTAACTTATTGAACTGGTTGACAGTAAAATTGTTGTGTACTGTGATTATGTCAATATGAGGCTTATGAAATAATCAATGTAAATAAAGTTTTTGTAAAATAATGGCTTAAGACATACAATGTAAAAGATTAGAGAGGGCAAAGTTTCCTAATGAGCTAATGCCTACAGCTGTGCACAACAAGAGCTGGAATAAGAATGAAGTCTGAAAAACATGAACTCCTACACTAAATTAGCATTAAGTATCACACAGCATAAATAACACCATCATACATTTCTTGTAGTTTGTCAAGTGACTGTGGAGACTTAAAACCACACAGGGATCTCTGCTGTAAATGTCTCCAATCAGCAATCTCATCAAAATTAGTCTTTACTATTTCAGATAACTTCTTCAGATGAGTGCAGAGGCATTCAATGAAGCCCTGGAAACCAAAAGGAAGTTAAATAGCAAAAGAGCAACAAATCAGTACATGTCCTAACATATTCATCACACTTTATGCTATATAAACTAAATCTATAAAGCGTATTCAAGGTAATGACATAATGTGTTAGACAACATTGCACATTCAATTTGGTGTTTGGCTGCATACATGTGTAAAATAACAAAGCAATTCACACTTGATTTTACTGGTACAGCTGGTAGCTCATTGCCCCAAGAACATGCAGGTTTGAAACATTTTGATGGAAGATTTCTGTTTCATTTTGTTATTTATTTTTTGAAGGTAAATTTTGATGTTAGTTTTTGTATATTTGCAGCCACATTGTACTCTGCTGTAAAAAAAAATGAGTCATGAAAAATGTGTCAAACACAAGTCTATAGGGCAACGCATCTGATCATGGTCCTTGAACTGGGAAATGACAATAAAAATGATTCAAAGAGCTACATATTTATTTAATACAATGGTATTGGAAAAAGGTTAGCTGTGACACATGTAAATTACTAGATCATCTTTTTTTTAGTACATAGTATGTAGGTTAGCTTCCAAAATAAACTATTATAGAAAGGCCCTGATTGTAAAAACCTGTAATGTCCAATCTGAATGACAACTTATTTTAATAGAAGTCAATAAGTATCTGGAAATACCAGTCTTTTGGTGATTGACAATTCTTCCCCCATCTTGCTTAATTCTTGTTGAATTTTTTCTATCTCTTGCTTGATGTGTTCTATCCTTTGTTTCTGGAAATTAAAACAAATCAATAAAAATAGAAAGGGGGGGGGGAGAGATTCACTCCTTGGTTTTAAATTCTTGGATACTTAAAGAATATACTTTCTTTGTTTCAATGACTACATATACGTATATTGTTTGATATGGAGAATTACACTCTAGCTTTTCAAGACAAGTACATTTTGCACTAATACTTCACCTACATTGTAGCTCAAATGAAAAACAGTACAATTACTACTATCACAGGTAATCTGGGGTAAAATAGTTTTCACAAGTAAGAACAGATGCGACCATTTTCTATTAACTAATTAAGAACACTCTTTTTCAAAATCAAAACTTAGTCACTCAGACTAGTTTTTACTGTTTATGCCCAAAACTTTCAGATTGAAGTGTCCCATGTAAAGAGTCTTTTTTCATGTTTTTGCCTGACTGCACTCAAACTGTTGTTGCTTCATGACCATCTTGATAAAGATACAGGTTATCTTTGTTTACTCTTAAGGGTAACAACCACAAGTGACACTTTTTTTAGGTTCAGGATTCAATGCATTAACATGAAATAGTCATTAAAGTATCATAACCCACCTTTTCATTTTCATTGAGTTGTGAAGAGTTTTGTACCTTTTGGGCTTCCTGTTGATCTACAAAACAAACAAACTATGACAATTATACTCCACAATACAAAAGCATCAACTTAATAATGAAAATTTACTTTAAGTACAGAAAAACAGTGTCAAATGTATGAGTAATCATAGCAGATTACCACCAGATTTCAGGATTTGTACCAAGTTTATAAAAAAAGTCATAAATGTCTTACTTATGTCATAGCTAATGTTTACAGTTTACATAAGAATAAATATACTAGATTCTGATTTAATTCTGTTCTTGTAAAGCATACTCAGAAAGTGAGATGGAGACACAGGTCAAAATGTTATCAGTACATTAACTAGATGCAGATTGCACTGTCATATTTTCTTCCAAATCAATTATCTTTCCAAAGCAATACAACATTAATTGCAAATACAAAACAAGCAATTTCTGGTTATTTTTGTGCAGCACCTATATTGTATATTCAGACTTCAGTGGTATGCACCATTGTCATGGCCCATTTTTCAAGATTTCATTTTAAAAGAAACACTGTTTTTTCCAACACAGATTGTAAGTCAGGGTAAATTATCAACTGACTGTGGTTTAAATTGTATTCAAGTTGGAGTGTAATTACTCACTGTAATCCCTATAATTGGGAAAAAAACTGGATATTTCTAATCATATTCGATGACATAGAAGTTGCTTTTAATGGTTAAATTATGATAAGATTCAACAAAATGAAATGGTAACCATGCAGTAAGACAGAAGCAGTGCACTTACATTTATCTATTTTCCCACTCACTTCCTGGAACTTTATCACATACTGTTCTTTTAGCTGCTCAATTTCTTTCAAGAAGGTATCATTTTTCTGAAGTAAATGGTCACATATTCAAGTTAACCTTAATCTATATATATCTATGTATCTTTAGCACTGCACAAACTAAGAAAAATTGCCCTGAAGTAGGTGCAAAATCTACAATATATTTTTAATAGACACTTGACAAACATTTATTGAACAGTTTTGACCACAAATGTAAGGTATTATAGAGTACAACAGTCTAGGTAAATAATAATCTAGATGAAAGTGGGTACTTGTTAAAAAAAAGTCATTGATGTTTCATCATTGGTCAACGAAGTCAAGGCTCTAATGATGTCAAGAAGTAAGCCAATGTTTAAATTCACAAGAGAAAAAATTATTCACCTCCCACACAAACACCTCATAGCAGTGCCCTTATTGGCACAAGTTCAGTTCTTTTTCTTATCGAATATTGTACAAAAATGTAAACAAGTAAAAATACTATATTCATTCAGTCACAAGAGAGCATTTAAAAAAACACCTTTAAGCAGACAGTGTTAAAAATTGAAGAGAGTGTAATACCTGACTATCCTTGACAAGAACATCCAGTTGCTTGCGCAGAGCAACATGTGGGTCTGGAGCACTTTCTTCAGTATCCATGTCTTCCATATCTATCGTTGTTGTTGATTCCAATGAAATCTTAAGGTTTGAAGAACACAGAGAAGACCACATTAAAGACTTAAAACAACTGAAAACCTAAACTTTATTAAAAGATATTATGAGTTTGTGATCAAAATTTCTTTGCACAAAAGTATTCAATATAACAGTTCCCTCATATCTGCCAAAAAAATTTAGTCCCTTATGAAAAAATATAAAGCACATTGAAAATAGGTACCACAGCCAATTGGGACAGAGGTCAATCTCACAAGGTACCACCAGATGAACCCTAGGTCGTTACAAAGAAATTTGCACAAGCACACCCCTTCCTGCTATGTGATGTTACATTTGTTATCACAACTACAACTGGAACAGAATAGATTGCTTGTTCTGAAATTACTAAAAAATATTGTTACAAACAACTATACATATTCATGGGTGGCTCAGCTTTCAAAACCATTGCTGTACCAAAAGGGCTTCATGCACTGTACATGACTTTATGTTTATATATATACTTACAGAAACTGCATTCTGGACCAATTCTCTCAGTTTAGAAACAACCCCATAAAAATACTGAGCAAGCTTCACTGGATCATTACCATAGCTCTCCTAACAAAGAAAATGTAAAGGTGCAGAGTTTCATAAGGTTTGTGTAAGATAGTGAGCTACTTTACAGTACAAGGATTAATATAGACTAATTGGTGTTTTGTTTAAGTCGGCAATAATGCAAAATATTTGGTGCTAAACCTCCTGTAAGTACATGAAACTAGGAGCAATAAGGACTAAATGTAATTTATTTCATCTCAAGCATAAAGAGCAAACACTTACTGACTGTTTAAGGCTATGCATGGATTATTCCTATTTGATAAGAAACGATGGAATCTATTGACTGTCAGCTGCATCATGAACTGGTCAAATATGTAATGTAGTGGTCAAAATATAAGTGTAAACGGAGAAATCAACATGGGTGTATAAACAAAAGGAAGGGATTGCAGCAAATAAAATTACACTGAGATGGTAACTCACTATCAACTTACCTCTATTTTATGTAGCACCTCCTCAACTTTCTTTGCTATTAACATGTTGTGGAAATCATTCATAGATGCAGCTAGACCCTCCAGCTGTAGACCAACACAAATTTTGCACAAATTAGTGTCAGAGCAAGTGATCAGAGCTACATAACTCAAAGTTAATTGCCAATCATTTCATACTGTTCTGTATGTCTACCTTTTGTTTATGTTGATTCAGGTGGGATATGGTAGCATCCATTAACTGTTTAGCTTTTATTACACTTGATCCCTGAAGATTCGGGTCGATTGCCTCATCCCTGGAGGCAAAAAAAGAGATAAGCTTAAAATTTTCTTGAAAACAAGTTTTAAGTAACCAAAGCTACACAGATTGATGAAGAAGGATAGTTTCAATAAAAGTACAGTAGAAAAATACATGTCATACAACCCCTTAAAATCCATACAAACGTATGGGGTTCTAAAAAATATTAAACAACATGCTTAAAAAGCAAAATCCAGGTTAGATCTGACCATAATGCAAAGTCATGGGGAGGCATACCCTGTTTTGTTTTGATGTTTTCTCCAAACCTTAATTTATGGATATCATTTTGGTAACGGCTTCAAATACCCTTCTTCCTGTTTCCTTTTTCTTTTGACTCCCTGCATATTGCGTTTGTTTGTTTGTTTGTTTGTTTTTTTCGAATTCAGATACTCTGTTCCTGATTGTTGCTACAATGCTTATCATAGTGAAACACATTAGACTGCAAAAAAGACATCATTTCGATATTAAAATCAGCTCACAATAAGGGACTGTAGCAACGACTCTAAAGAACTCTGCATATCAGCACAAAATGACATGGGGAGGAGAACAACCTAAAACAGAAATCCTAACTAAATTGGGAAATTGATCTGATCAAACACTGCCTCAACAGCTTAACAAGTTGCTTCCTTTCAGAAGATAAAGCAAAAGAGGTGTAAAAATTTGGAAATGTCAGTTTCTGTAGGAAAAAGTAAAACAAATAAAACAGGAATCTCTAGGAAATCATCATTGAACAAATTAGAAGTGAGTGGATGACATGGAAACGTCATGTGGTGAGCGGGAGGGGGAAATGTAAAGGGAACTTTCAGGATTTTTGTACAACAACATCACAGATAGTAGAAACAGCAGATATTCACGTGACGTCATTCAACTTACCAAGACTGAAGAACCAACCACTGCATCAAGTAAATGCACGCCTCGAATTCAAACGATCCGCCAAAAATGGTTTGAAGCTCTGTAAGGATCTTCGTTTTTACATGAGCTTCTAGGTTCTGAAAAGTATCCCAAAACGACATAGCTTGTTAATAAGTGATCCAGGGATGAAATTCTCTTAAAATATGCCCCTCGGAGTCACCCACTACCACGAAATAAGAAATTTGAAGGGTGACTTAAACTGGTAAAGCTGCCAGTGCGTTTCTCATTGAGCCTTTCCACCTCCAGAGGTAAACACTTCTGATCGATTTCAACGCGGCCTTTCGGTTTTATATCTGTAGACGCCGATCGTCTTTCCGAGAAATGACATACTTCCTGTTTTCGCCGAATTATTCAACCGAAGTTACATTTCACGCACTCGGTCATACTTCGGTTATCATTCGGACACTCTCGCTACCAACGAGAAATTCGCTTACGTGACATCGTAAACTAGGAAAAACCGGAAATAAGTATGTTTTTCACTCAAAACGCCATTATGGCCTTTCTCGAACGTTGTTTGCAATAAAGCCATGCAAATAAACCCACCAAAGCTCAAAAAATATGCCAAAAAATTCATAAAATCAGCTTTCTTAATCATTTTCTTAAAATTCACGATTCATGCTTACCTCCAAGAAGTTGAGAATCCTTGGATGCCCACATTTCTAAGAACCACGTTAGTCGTGGAAAATCCGGAAGAATAAATCATTTGCATAAGGCCGTGAAAAAACATCAAAGGATTCTAACACTTAAAGGTCATTCTTAGAAGAAACGGAAGGATAAGAACGTTTTCGAATTATGAAATAAACAAACGATTCAGTGTATCAAAGAATTCTGAGAATATAATAATAAGTAACCTTGACATAACATATAATTTAGTCAGCAAACTTGAAGAGTCATTGCATTTCGTCCCTGATTGTTAAGATTTGGGCTTAAAGTAAAGCTTGAAAAGTGGATAAAAATTTAAATAGACGAGTTTCTTTTGCACTTGATAGTAGATTTAGCCGCGCGTAAGCCGCGAGGACTAGTTGAGATCAAAATGGTAACTCACCCGTTTCTACGAAGTCGGTGTTGTCTTCCTATTTTTCTATGAAATAAAAAAAAGGATAAATCTTAGTTGGACGCTCAGTAAATAAGACAGAGATAGCTTATATTATACACCTGATAGGGTTAACAGAGTTACGACGGAAGTTAAACTTACTTCCGAGTTACAGAGCAAGACCCTCCGAGTCTGTCCTTGAGTACCGATCGACCGTGCAGAGAAACATACTCATCTCAATTGGTGTTTTTAAAGCAAGAGTGATTAACGGCTGTTGGCTACTCTGACAAAGAAAAAATGCCATTAAGTCTACGATAAAGTTGAAGGTATTTACAACATGCTTTAGAGAACTTAAACGAGCATAATCTAAGGTACAATGAGAAGCTGAAAGCTGAAGAAATCAGGATCGCTATGGTTTGCGAGTGTTACGATAATCTGAAGGACTTGAATTCAGAGCAACTAAGCTCGTTTATTTGAGTGAGTTTTAACGATATATTTTAGAATGAAACGTTTCTGATATTAACAACCATTTTTGTATAGTATTTTTGGGGACCTCGTAACGCCCTTGTCAGCTGAAAGCGGGAGTACGCGTTTATGGATGTGGGTTTAGATCCGCCTGAGCACATTCTCCATTTTGTGTGCAATGTTATGAATTATGAGATGTGAACGTGCGATATTTTGTGATATGTGAGGCAGCCTGTTGGACTCGAAACGTTTCTCTTATTCAGGCATTTTGGATGGACCTCCAAGAATCGAAAATTTAAAATAGTTTCAAGGATTGAGTTGGCAGAAAGGGACTCAGCCGAAAAACAATAATTGTTTTGGTTATCAGGGAACTGAAATGTTTCACTATGTCATTCAATTGCATGCTAGACACATAAGATCGATCAATTGATCGATCAAGAGGGGCAAACGGAACAGTTGTCGAATGAGGAAAAGAGTCTTTTCATTGTTTGAACCTCTTATTAGAACATACTCGCATTACCTTGAGAAAATGGGACTTGTTCATCAATCTACTTACAAAGTAGAGTGAAACGACATATAGGGGTGCTGGACTGAATTGAAGTACTTGACATCGTCAACTCAACAAGGCATATGGAGCGGTCTTCAATCTGACATCTTTTTTTTCTTTCAAATTTGCGAAGCATACACGAATTAAACTCAGTTGTACGATGCAAAAGCGAAAGATACTGAGTAAACTCGCGAAAGCTATGTAATATTGAATCCGTTTCAAGTTATATTTACTCGTGGTAGTTCAATGGAGGGTTAACAGAGAGCGTTATTAGTCTATCAGTGAATGCAACTAAAACTCAGAACTCTGCGATACCATGAGTTGTTTTCAGGTTTGTGTAACGAGCCGATTTAAAAGAAGCAATCTTATGAACGGACTTAAAAACTTTCTCACGATAAATATCGCTACACACACGGTAGAGTAACCTCTGATCAGCTCACCTTAATCTTTGCAATTCAAAATAACTTAATTCGGTATGAAAACTGAGCCACAAACCATGCAGCTCTACTTGAAAAAGTGAAAGTAGCCTTCTGATTCGGTGATTCTAACAGCGCTTCTTGATTTTATTTTATCAGCCTTATTTCATTGACTATGGTTTTTGAATATTCTGAGAAACGACTGTGAGTTTAAACACAACATAATATCTTGTGATTGGTTGAAGTCTACAAATGATACTATTTCTTGATGTCTCGCTTCTCTCTCCTTGTCCTGCAGTTTTTAAAAGCTTTTTCTTTCATAGAACTAACAAGGACTTACACCTTCATTTCACTTAAGTTCAATATGAATGAAACTGAAAATCGAACGTGTTGTGGGCAATTAACTGACAAACTATAACTATACAATCTACAGAATTAATTAGTTCGACTCAGGGAAGAATTACTTCAAAAAAAAAAAGAGCCGTCTAACAAAATCCACACTGAACACTGAAAAAGTTGATGAGGAATTCAATTGAGCTAAACGGAGAGAGGTTTTTCAAACAGATTTATAATGGACTTTATCCTGTTCCGCCATCTTGGAAGGAGAAGTGCGTGAAATTCCGGTAGCCAAACTCTGTCCTCCACGTTTTAAAAAAAGAATTATTCCTATCAGTCATTTCCACGATGCAAAAATAGCTGGTTAAAATACGTTACAGCGTTTCGCCATTCGATACACGGAGATTTAAGGAAGCCTTCAGTGTTCTAGCATGTTGTGGATTTGGCCGACCTTACCTTCAGGCCGAAAAACTTGAAGAATACAATCAAGGGCAGAATCCTAGGTAACTAACTCACGAGTAACCTAGTATAACACTTTTAACCGCAGTAACATGTAAATGGTATCGACCCATGCTTATCGAAATGATCTATTTCTCTGCCTGTAAATGTCTCTACCGCCAGAGAGGTTATCCTGATGATATCATGGAAAACATTTATACAAAGAACATTTTGGGTTTGTTATTAGATTCCTCTGATGAATTTTGTCCCAGCTGAAACAGGACAAACTGTCGAATTTTTTTTCCCAGTTTCATCAAGCCGTCATTTTCTTTTTTTTTGTTGGTTGGTTGGTAGTGTGACGAACAGTGATTTAGACGAGAGACATATCCAGCACTAAGCATCACTCATCTACAATTGTTTATATCAGCCTTCAATAGGAGAGAAACGTAAGGAACAAAAGATTAACTGATAGACTCTGGATAGAGTATGATACCAGCCAGCCCAGCTCACTATGGGCGAAAAGTAACTGAAGTAGAATAAGATAATTAATCGAACAGATATCAAGAAACTTGGAAATACCAATAAGAGAGTGGAATCTTCAATTATCTTCAATGTTGTGGTATTCATGTCCGACTTCTAATTACTGTATTCCTGACTGAGTCAAGTGAAGTTTCTCAGAAACTTTTCTCTGTCATCATCTATTTCTGATTAATAAGAATATTTTTTAGCTGAGCACAGGGATTAAGACAGAAAGTATAATGGCAAAAGATGAAACCAAAATTTGAGCTGAGACTTTCTGAACACATGATTAAAGAAGAAAACAGCTAATTGATTTACAAGCACTCTTTCCTTCCTTTGCACTTCTGAGGAAAGGACTTCTTAAAATACTCGATTTTAAAGATTCTAAGAAATGTCTGAAGAAAATAGTACTTTTGAACCGGAATAAGTGCCTGGAAACAAATTACTTAGTAAAACAGGTAGTATATTGACAATTATATTTCCTTTAGGAACTTTAGTAGGGAGGATGTTCATTAAGTACAGCACTGAGCTTAAATGTAAGCAAGCCTGGCCAGCGATTATCTAAGTGAGTCATTATAGATCGAGTCCTCAGTATAACTGGAATGAACAGAATTCTGTTTTCATTATCACGACGACTTGCTATGCATTTCCTTGCTGATAAAAGCTGTGTTCTTTGTAGTCGAATATAGTGCGTGAGTATTCCTTCTCAAATTTATATTATATAAACTTCCACAATCAATAAAGAAGTAGCACGACTAAAAGAACATGTTCCAATTTCAATAAAATATTACAGGAAACCACTGCATTCATAACAGGTGAACTATCTTAAATTTCTCATCTAGGATAAGTGGTTGAAAGTCGATCATTTCAATCAAGATACAGAATGAAAGTATCGATGGCATTAATTACTTTTTTCAGTCCGGTTGATCATCACCTTCTCTCTTGCAACAGTGATTTTTAATTGTATTTCTTGTGCACATTATCTTTTTGGCCTCGTGTAGAAGAGGATACTTGGAATGAAAGCATTGTGACTCTCTCTAGTGTCGCTTTTAATACTTATGTCTCTTACTCAACGAAACGTTTTACATGATCTCTACCTTCTCATTATCATTATCATCATAAACATCATCATCATCATCATCATCATCATGGGATATGTTTTAATCATTATTACTTCCCCTATTCTTTGAAATTAATAACAATTGAGGTGACTTAAACATACGTTATAACTTACTGACTTCCTTACTAACTCAATATGATGTTCATTATAAAACATTTTTGCTTTAGAAAACACTGACAAAGCATCCCTCTAACTTCTAAAATTTTTAAAACGTAAATAGCAGAATAATATATAAGCCCATCTAGTCTGATAATAAACCTACAGACTGTCCAAACACGCAATAACTGTGCTACTACGTGATAGTAGCTGTCTCCGCTTGAAGTTCATTCGTGTTTCTAGTAGTTGCAAGGAAAAACGGGAACTTGAAGATATCTTTTCTGTTCTGAAATATTTGGACTAGCAGGTGACTGTGATCCCTTTCAAACTACTGAGCTACTGAGCTTTTATTTGCTTTCCTGACCATATCACAATCAGTCATTTGTTTATCACTAACTGGCGATTGACTTTTATTCTCTTGTCCAGAGGTTCTTTCAGTTCCCAAGTTGTGCATCGTAGTATAAGTGGTAACGTTTAATTTATAGCGAGAATGATAATTCTCTGTGTAGAAACGTGTAGCAGCATTAAGAACTCTCTCTAGTTTTTGCACATCGCACTTGCCCGCAGAACGTGGCTCCCAAATAGATCTTGTTGCATAATCAAGTTTGGGCCTAATCGTGTAGTGCCTTCTCCAATAAGTGCGATCTATTGTGGTCCCTGTATTTTGATGTTAGCTAATGGACAAGAAATTGTGTCTCTTGCAAATAGATCTATTCATTAATTTCTTTAAAGGTCCCAGGACTCTTATCAGTACTGGCTTCAGCCGAGCGGATCTCGTCCCGCTCACTCTTTCGATATGGATTTCAAGGTCTTCATGTTTACAACAGATTTTCACTTATTTTCGATACGGTTTTCCTTTGGAATTTTCTCTGGAATGGAGACATTGATGAGTAGGCAGCTTTATTTGTTCTTCATTCTTGATGACACTATCTAGTCTGTAGGCCCATTTCTCACGGTCTGCTCTATTTGCACATCCAAAAGATTGTAATGTTTGTAATTGTAATGATTGTAACTAACACTGCTCAGCTCATAACGTTTTTTCTTTTGCGTGGAAAGCCATTGGTTTGTCATATCCTAGTCAGTGTCTCTGTCACCATTTTTTTTTGGTATACCCGTGTGTTTCTTTCTCTTCCCATTTTACCTGATTTATTCTTGGATGCAAAGTTTTGTTTTTCATTCAACCCTCTGAACTTTAATGGTGGGCCTTTTTTTCCTAAGATACAGTGTTTCGGAGGGATTTCGGTCGCATTTTATCGTTGCTGTTAAGTTAGATGTGAAGTATTGTATCTTTTGCTTCTGGTGTTCTCTGACAATCCTTGGAGGGAGGAATTTTTATTCCTAAGACAACTCTCTAGTCCTATCGTCACTATTTGATAGACAGTTTCTAGTTGAATTACGGACCCTAGTTATCTCCGTCTCCGAGGAGATACAAATTTTCCAGATCTGGTCTAAGCTGGTGCATCCCTTTAAAAATAGATTTGAAGACTGTCATTTCTTTCCACTTCTTTACTGTTCTCCTTTCGTTTCTAATAAACGTTGCCAAAGCGATGAGCTGTGACTGTCAGAGCATGCGGCTGCCAATCGCTTCCATTCGTTCGCCTGAATTGAATTCAGACTTTTTTCAGTTTGTTCTTGTATCCTTATTCTTCTTTAACACTTCTGGTCTTTCTTTCCATGTAGCGTGTTATATTCCCTCCTCTTTATTCGCTCCCAGGTTTTTGAAAATGTCCGGCTCCTTTCTCAAAGCATTGGTCTTTTGTCTTTTTTTCAACTAAGCTTTGGCGTATTTATTTTAACTAAAAGTTATTTCTCTTCATAAGTAGAGTTTTTTATAATGGTCGAGAGGCATAAGCGTTTAGATAGCATAAGTATGAGGGTCGTCCTTGTTAAACAGATGGTCAACTGTAGGTGACTCTGTAGTGCAACCAAAGCTTGTGTTGTTCAGAAGAAAGGATAGTAGAGGAAGGGCTATGTAGAGGAGGCGAGGAGCGAGAAAACGTTGCGTGAAAATATCCCGTTGTTGGTGTTTATCTGCCTTAACTGCAAACTCTCACCTGCTTTATATTGTTCCATATTTGCTGTTACGAACTAGCCGAAGCTTTGTAATATCTGTTTGTACAAACTGTCAATCTTAGGCCTTTGTAAGTCATGATAAATTGAGTTTAGCCGTAAAAGACTGTGAATTTGACAGATTGTCCTCGACTCAGTTTACCATGACGCGCATGTTCACTTTACGGAGGAGTTGGATACAACCTGAGAATTTACCCAAAAGTAGTAGCCGTTTATAATCTAGATTGTCACAGTGAGGTTCCACACCAGGTTCGAAAAACCACCTTCATTCAATGTTACGCGCTGAACAGCGGCTTACTTTTGTTCCCACATCAAGCCTTGTTTCGAAAGAACATCTTCCGCTAAGCTCCGAAATGCAAAAAATAGCAAAATAGCAATAGGGGTAGTATTATAAGTAACGTAAACACTGTTGTAATCGTGATTATTATAAGTGTTTTACGTATTGTTAGTACTGGGCTGTTGTATGTAAAAATTAATAAAGACAATTGTTTACCAAAAAAAAAGAAAAAACAGTTTCCGCGCACACTTTATTGGTCTCTCCACGGAACAGGATCGAGAACCAGACGGACCATATTGTCGCATTGTACATCGTCTAAGTTAAGGAGTTCATTATCAGGTCTAAGAGCAGAGAGTAAGACCAATGTTGCTGAACTGACAGGGTCTAAAAACTTTTGAAAAGCGTGCAGAGTGCGTTTCCTTTCCGTTCAAATGTCAGTAAGGCGTTTCCCTTTCCCTTTCTCTTTAAAGCACGCAGGACCAAAGGAGAAAGAAAAGACTCCCTTGTTCTAATCGTAACTCAACTACATTTAAAGGTTACTCCACAATTCCTAAATCAAAAGGATAACATTATTATCATAATCCATCGAATATTTTCATTCGGTGGCGATGAGTTTAAACGCATCACGTGATCTAGTATGCCCAGAACCGGGTTGATATTCGCCAAGTGATATTCCCAATTTTTTTTATTTCAACACTTGTGTCCAATGCGATTAAAGTCTTCCCTCAAAAGTCGATTTAAGTCAGGAAAGTGGTTTTGTTGTTATTATGGAAGAATGGACAAATTTGTTCGTTCATAAAATCCCACTGAAAATTCAAATCTGAGGACAAATATCCCAGGACAAATATCCGAGTATGATTTCGCGCCAAATGGAGGATATTGTTTACATATCTCCATGGCCGTAGTAACCTCGAAAGTGAACTTCGAATTTATTTTCGAACTGCATTTTACTTCACGATGTCGAAAATTCCTTTCATTTCCTTTCGGCAATGATAATTATTTCTCTAAATTTTCCTCGCCAATTGATTGGTTACCATATGTTCTTATTTGTGGAGCTACTGCGTGTTCTGAAGTTCTGCCTCAATGGTTTTTAAGTGTCAAGTTATCAGTACCGCAGAGCCTTATCCCAGACAAATAAAGAAGGACACCACGCAAGGCTCCATTTGCGTAGCTAGCTATTTCTTCGCCCTTCGAAGCACTTTCAAAGAGCGCGCCAGAAAAGCTCTGATTGGATATATTACGATGAGGAGTATACGACGTAGTACGTGAAAGTGATCAAAAAGTAACAGAAGGTTCACAATGATGAAGAACATGGCGGTACGCCGAGTGGTTCATAACGAAACTTCTGATGCTCTAAAGTATTGAAAAGGCTGATCAGGAGACCCCCTGAGAAACGACAGTGGTAGCTGTCTCTAGTAATAGGAGAGCAAATATAAAGGCATGGACGTGCAAGGGACTCTGTATTTTTTCGGTGGTGAGTGAACGATGAAACGCAAATTAAAAAAGGGAAATGTTTAAAACGTCCAAGCTTACTCTAAACGACCTTAAGTTAATTCAGCTTTTGATTTAGATTCTAGTTCATCGAATCCTGTTATAGTTTTGGTAGCAATTAAAAGTGCTCTTGATTTTATTTCCACTGATGGTTTTGAATAATCAAGCAGCTAAAAGCAACCTCGCACATAAGCTTACAGCAAGATGTTTAAATCTGCAGTTGACCAATGAAAAAACAACAATTCAGTATTACACTTACACAAAAAAATTAATGCAAAAAAGTTTACCGTTACTTATCCTGGTGAATAGAAGATGAAGTAAGATTGTCTAAGGCTGTAGTCACTTTTGAAGTAAATCATGACAGTCAAACTTACTACTGCAAGTCTCCTTCAGGCACTAAGGCTGACTGGGTCAACTGGGTACGCCTTTTAAAGTAATACCATAGCTTTCCTTCACCTTTCTTTAGTTTACTAGAGCAGCGAATCATAACAAGTTCCATGGTGAAAGCCTCAAGAAAGTTTATTGAATAGAATTTTATTAACTAAAGGATTTTTAATGTTTCTGTTAAAAAAAAAAAAAAACAGGAAAATGTATTACTTATACACAGTATAGGTAATTACTATCATCATAATAATATAACATGGGTGTGAGTAATAAAGAGGCTTATTTCATGTGTGTTTGCTCTGTGGGACCATAATATGATACCCATTGCCCATCTGAGGAAAGGCCATTATAATGTTTTTTTAAGTTAATTTCACGTCAGAATGTTGTTGAGACATAAGAAACTGGCTGTTAGTGAGAGGTGTAGGTGTATTTGTATTTGTACTAGAAAGGTGTCTGTGAAGAGAACAGTGATTGTATGTTTTTCACATAACCAATGTTTTGTGTGTTTTAATGCATCAAAAACCAGAACCATGTCATTAGGAATGAGATCTTTCACACTTATATGTACATGACATTGTGTAAATAGATAAACCCACTGTTTTTTTCCTTGTGAATGAAACTATGCTATGATTTTCCCTTTATTTAATTTTGTTTGTTTTTTATTTTGATAGAATACTATAATTTCCCCAAAACAACACATTTACAATGGGTGTAGCTCCTAGACCTCTTACAGTAGAGAATTTACATCAAAGTATACAGTGCTCCTTCTAAACAAATTGCTAAACCTTCTCATATTTCTCAAAATGGATATTTAGGATATGAAAAGGACAGGGGCTGTCAAGGCTTAGGTTATAAGGAATTTAACATTTTGGGAAACCACTCTGCTGGCTTTTGCAACAGTTTCGATTTCACTTATTTTTGTCATTTACCTCATTCACCATGTGAGTCATAAAAATCATGTATCTTATTTACACAGTCATGTAGTTGTAGGATTATTTACTAGCATCTAAAAATGTAAATATCTGAGCCTCTAAGAAGCAATCAAGAATTCCCCTTAAAGCATTACAATGTTTTGCCTCACAATTGTAACAAATAGAATTAAAAGATTTGCTTGTAAGCTGTATGTTCATAAAGTTCTGTTTCCTTTGCAGAAATGTGGTATCAGATCTTTCTTTGGTGTTTGGCAACATCAGTGTTCATCCATTGTATTTCGGCTGCTGTTGCTTTCTTTGCTATGAGGCAACATTCACGAGGAATGCTTTTTCCTCTCCTCATAATATTCATTGGATTTCTTTACCCAGTCACTGGAGGAATAGTAACAAGTGAGTTTTGATTTTTGCCTAATTTACAAAAGAGGCCAGGAAGATTCTGGAATCCCATCATTAAAATCCCATCATTTCTACTTGGCACATAAAATGTCTTTCAGTGACACTGGTTATTTAACTGTATTTATAGTTGTTTATCTTAAGACAGTACCTGAGAAAATGTTTATCAGTAGAAGTTGATGAATCAATTTAATTTTGATATTATTATGTTATATATTAACCTTAAAGATAGGGTTTGATTCTTTATGGAAGACTTGGGTTTGTTATTTTGCTCCATACTTGTGATTAAGCAAATAACAGCTCAATTGTAATAATCATATCTATGCTTAAAGTAAGCATGACTTCATTCTTTCTAAAGCTATTATAGGGGATTCTAATTGAGTGAAAACTGAAACTGTGAAATTCCTTGTGAGTTTTTCACTTTATGTACAACCTTGAAACTAATATCCAAAGTGAGATTTAAGACTTGCCACATTTATTTAATATTTCTAATTACTGGTATAAACTTAATGGATTGAAAAGGTGTAAATTTGCCCTCAAAAATATTACTCTAATGACTTAGTTATTAGGGTAAACCACAGATGGAAGCAGACTCTTAAGTCTGAATCAGCTCAGCACAATTAAACTATCAATCATAACCATTACAATTTCCTTAAATGTGATTGGTGCATCAGCTGCTTCAATTTTTCACTAATCATTCTGTACAGTTGTAATTGAACAGTGTAACGGTAATTGGACAGTTGGCTGTAATCAGACACCTGTAATCAGACAGTTGAAGCAGCCAATCATACTAGGTCCACTCAGCTAAATCCACCAATCACAGAATTGATCACAATAACCATAGCAACAACCACTTATCCAAAGAAAAACAAGGCAATTTCCAAAATGGAGGAATATTGAACTGAAGATATTGTCCACTGGAGATATTTGTTCTAGGTGTATTTGTTTTTTTCGGAAATTGAAATGGTTATGATTAATTGGCAACAGGATTTCTTGTCGTCCAATTCTGTTTTTAATCATACTCGTGATAAACAAATCGGACTCCCGCTTTGCGGTTGTCTGATTTTGTTTATCACTCGTATGATTACAGACCGAATTGGACTCCACTTAGTCCTATTACCATTTTTAATCTGATCCATCTGGTTCTCACTTTTAGTGATGTTATTAAAACTCCAGAATATAAACTTTATATCAAGTTTGTGGAACAGAGAATTGAAACAAGTTTGATAATCGCTCTGACGAAGGGCTAACACTTGAAACGTCAGATTTTTACCCTTTTGGGTGGCCAATTTACGTTTTCAACTCAGTTGTTAACACTAAATTACCTACTATACTCTCCCACCGATGCAGCACCACAGTTTCTTTAGAAACTTACCCCTTTATTCGTTTGATATAAAATATTGTGGTTTCTTTAAGTTTTCCACCAATAGTCACGAGTTGAAAACTGCTTTATGGCTTACCTTGTTGGCCTTAATACTTTTTAGTAAGTACACATCAACTCTGTCTTACACAGACGTATATTTATTATTTCTCTTCAAGCCAGGAGATTGTGTTTTTTAGTGATTCCTTTTTTTTCCTTGTCTTTTGCTTCAGGTGCCACAATTGGGGCAGTATATCGAACAGCTCATTTCACCATGCCAAGGTACGCAGCCTTTCTCTGGGGTGCTGGACAAGGTTTCCTTGGCTTTCTTGTGTCGTATTCGCGAGTTTTGGCCACCCTGTGACAAAAATAAAACACTCTTATTCACAAATAATGGTCATCCTATGACAAAATACTTACCACTATAGTGAAAGACATGGAAGAAACTAAAAAAAGTGGTATCTTTGAACGCTAGCATTTGCACATAGGTCCTTGATGGGAAATAAAAACTTAGTCGTTTTAGGGGCGTTTTTGGTTATTGTATAGTAAAAGACTGTAATATTCCTCCTTGAATGTGTAAATATGTGTAGAAATCAATAAAATCTACGGTCTCCTCAACCTCTTGTGTTAAAACTGTTTATCCCTATTTATTATACAGCCGCCAGCACCCGTGGGCAATATGAAGCGAATCCTGTGTTCTGACTGGCTATCCGTGCCCATCTTTCCCGCTTAAGATAACTCGCATTGATCCCGTGAAAGAAAAAGATTTCGTCGACCGGACTCACTAAATTCGTGATTTTTTGACAATGTCGGTGATACAGTCACAAAAGGCGACAGAAGACAGTCAAAACAAAGAAAACACTAAACCACTCATGGGTTTATTGTACAACAAACAGAGGATCTCAATGGAGTTAACCGTTAGCCGTAAAATGCCAAAGTAGTTGGCTGTCAGTAAAATGACGAACTTTTGGCGGTCAGCCGTGAAAGCTAGCACCCCATTGAAACCCTCCAAACAAACATTCTTTGTAATCTTAAGCGTCGCCATTAATCTACAGTACGATAGCGACCACAGACCTTAGTCCGGTAAGGGTTTCAGGGATATCGCCAGGCAAATCTTGTTACAGGAAACATATCATTCATGTTGCTAAGGAAATTAATTTCGCTCTTTGATTTTAACAATAAATCTGAAGCCGACAAGAGAGCTGAAATGAATTCATATCCTTTGTACTCGTTCGGTGATCCGAAACATATACGCACGTAGGACCATATACTTACATTCCCATTGACATTTACCAATTTAGACAAAGTGATTAGTTCTTTCTCGGTTTAATTTTGGTCTGTCAATGAGCAACGATTGTAATGCGAATTTAAATGAGTTAAGGAAAACGGTTATTAATATTTATTCCATTTTCACTGCAATTACATCGTCACATGATAAAATGATAATAATAATAATAATAGTATTTATAATTACTATATCAATTAATAAAATTCTAAGTCCACAACAAAGCAGTGTGGTAGACTAGAAGGGAACTGACGAACCATGCGTGCTAGTCAACCCACTAGAAGAAAGACTAACTTACTAACAAGCAACCCTTAATATAATAACAATAATAATAATAATAGTATTATTATTAATTACAGTATCAATTAATTAATAAAATCTAAGCCGTTGTAAAAATACTAACTTACAGACTAGCAACCTTACTAACTGCTGATTTTTGCCCAAGTGGTATAAGGGCGCTCAGGGTCAAAGGCCTTATCTTTATAGAAGGTAGTGCATAGTCTCTTAAAAGAAGAAACACTAAAATTGGCAGTCCTCAGCTCATCTGGTAAATTGTTCCATAGATACGTAATCCTGTTAAAAAATGTTCCCTTAAAAAGTTCCGTCCTAATTCTATTAATTTTCAGTTTATTACTAGAGTATGATCTTAACCTCTCATCTGAACAAAATTGAAAATACGAATCAAATGAAAAGTTAAAATGCCCACACTTCAGTTTGTAAAAGGTCGTGAGGTCCTTAACTTCTCTGCGGTAAACCAGTGGTAGCAGGTTGAGACGTTTTAGGCGCTAATTGTAGCTAAAATCAGGTAACATAAGCCGAGTCGCACGTCGTTGCACCCCTTCTATTCTTTTTATAATAGTAACTGGATTTGGGCTCTAAATTTCAGCGGCGTACCTAAGGCGAGGACATACAAGAGCCACATAGAGGGACCTCAGAGTTGGTAGTAAAGTTTTGCTCCCGCAGATTGAGCGACATATGAAACCTAGCATTTTGTTAGCCTTATTCACCTGGGCGTGGATGTGATCACTGAAGCTGGCTGTATCTGACATAAGTACCCCAAGATCACGCTGGGCTCCCATCCTGCTAAGAGTCTTCGCTCCCATTTTGTAGTTACAAATTATGGGGGTGCGCTTCTTTGTTACAATGTAGAGCGAACATTTGTTAATATTGAGGGCTAGTTTGCAGTTTTCACTCCAATCAATCAGCTTGTTGATGTCGTCTTGTAGCAAAGCACAGTAAGTGTGAGATCTTATAACACGGAAGCACTTAGCATCGTTAGCGAATAAAGCCTAGATAAAGTGTGTTTGGCCTGGGCGACCTGCTCATCAGGCTCAGAGTTATGACGAAACCAAGACCGAAGGTTGGTCGACAGAATTTTATTCCCTAGCTTTAACTGTGTTTAGATCTAAGAATTTTCATGGAAAGGTGTCTTTCTAGAGTCTGCAGCGACTGTGGACCAATTGAATTGACAGAATTGCTAAATTTCTAGAGGAATATTATACACTATGATTTGGTTAGAATTTGATTACACTTTAAAAATTTTCTGTACACCGCGAGCTCTCCAGAGGCAAGTATTAAACAGAAACAGCAATGACAGGTAAAACTGTTTTTCTTCACCCTTGTATATAGTTCTTCAATGGAAAGATGACATACCAACCGTCAGCTGCCACAACTGTAAAAAGAAAGCACGAACCCTAAGCTATTCAACAGCACTTTATCAGTGGTTAGGATCTGCTACCAGTTGTACCCACGCCTCCCTCTATCCTGCTTACTTCTTGGTACTTGTTTTACTAAAACAGAATGCAAGAGGATGCGATAGACAGTCGAGCTTACTCTTCCAGGGCAACGTTCTCAATTCGCAATCTGTGAGTACCTACGCCACCGTTTTCAAAATATAGAGCACATTCAAGTCTCATATGAAACTAATATATAGATTTAGCCAAGCCTAATAATTTTCTAGATATGAATAAAACCCTTTTCCTCAAGAGAGGTTCTGTTTCAAGCTTAACACTGAAAGTTGGCATTGAGAGCGGCGAGGGGTTCTATCAGAGTGGAGAAAGGTGCATGGATAGAGGTGGATAGAGGTGGAGAGGGGTCCCGTCGCTCTGGTTCCATCGTTCCCCCAAGCAGTGTTGCTGGCCTCAGCACAAGGACGAGGCTACGACTGCCAAGCCCTCATTCAGCCCACCCTCAATTAATCCTCATCTGACCCCTTACATGAGACTGACCTTGCGATACGTCTTCGTTGTGACATGGCAAATTCTGAAAGGATAATCGGTATTCCTGTGGATGCAAGTGACCACAGTGAAAAAGCTTGTGACTGTAAGTAGTTTAAGATGAAAGTGTGGTGTAACATTTGATGTTGTTTTGACGTTCGATTTTGAACAAGAACTTTTCACTGAATTATGCATCACGCCATTGTCGCTGACCACAAAATCGTTCTTCGTGTTTTACTGTCGATGTAATTTTCTTCGAATCTGACTTCCTTGCAAACAAACATCATGATAAATTGTTTTTTGATGGTTGATCATGGCTGGGAAGTGTAGGTTTTTTTCGCAGATTCTTCGTTGTACTCACTTTCCTCTTCACACATCCCAAATAGCAAAGAACCCGTAAAATGCAAATTTGAAGCCTAAGAATCCTTATTGTCTAATTAAGCTAAGAAAAAAGTGAATTAGTTTCGGAGAGCAAGTGACTCAAGCGATCAATTATCATTAAGAGCAGAGCTATTTTGAATTTTACACGAAAGCGCTTAACCTTTTTATGAAGAACTAGTCACCTGGAACTTGGATACGTAAAGGCACATAGAAGTCTTGATCAAATTAATCGAAACCTATAACTCCGAAATACTGAGATACATTTAGTCTTCTTTGGATACAAATTTTCAAGTTCTTTATACACAAAAAACTTACCTGAATGTTGAATTGGTGGAACACCTGATTTGGCTCACGTATTTGTGTGTGTCACTGCATATCAATGTATATGTTAATCAAGTGTTAGGATAACAAGAAGTTGGCTGTCAAAGGATCATGTATGAAAAGTTTTGTACTTATTATCAGTAATCTGTTTTGGATGCTTTTCTTGGTCAAGGCTTGAGAAGTTGTAGGAATATCTGTGAACTTTTACTTTGACATCTCTGATTGGAGTGGGCACGATTTATTTGAGATAACTTTAAGTTTTAAGTTAGTTTAAATTTTAAGAAAAGTAACAATAATTTAGTCATGGGACTGGCTCTGTCCCTTAGAATCACTCTGTTCAATGCAATTCAGTTTTTGTCTCGCATGAAAACATCAAGTGTTGACCATGCAATACAATGGGGGTTGTTACAGAAGGATGTTGTTATAATTTCCATGGTATGTAGCATTTATTTAAGAAAAGGCTCCAAAATCAAAACAAATCAGGATTAGATCAAAGGAGTTCCCAAGTTTAAAGTGGAGCCAAAACTACAAGGGAACAATTTTGCTAATTTAAAAGTTTGTCTCCTTCTACCTTGTCCTTAATTTTTTCCCCCATCAAATGTTAAAAGTTTAACCCCACCACATTTGAACATTATCTTATTACCCAGTACCATAAATAGTTTTAATGCCTTATGTCTCTAAAGGAGAATTTTTTTTTTACTTTGATCAGACATACTTTATTATTCACTTAATAACTGAGAGTGATGTCTTACTGGAATATCACTGAGGCCTTATTGCAGGGTCAATATGGTTATGCCAAAGTTTGGGGTTTTCCCCTAATGTCCTAATGGGCTAGGTTGTTGAGTTGTTTATCACATGGCTTACCAACTAACAAAATTAAAAAATTTATTCAAGCAGAAGTTGTCAATTTACATCTGGTGATATGCACCTTTACCAATTCCTTCATCACCTCAAACCCACAGTAAACTATGCAGTCAGTGAACTACACCACTGTATCACTTATTTCGCCAAGAAACATATAAATTTCATTTTCAGGAAAAATGATTCTGAGAGCCTTAAAAAAGTATTTCTATAGTGGCCTCACAACTTAATGAGAGAAATTTTGTCAGATTTTCAAGGCAAAATGTCTGGGAGATTTATGGTTAAACTGAACTTTACAAGCTTTTCCAACATCTAAAACTACATGTAGTAATCAGAAATATTGCTGTCAACAAAACCACTTGATTGTTTACATCAGTTGTTCTTGGAAGCTGATTTAAACATAGTTGTTTAATAGCAAGTGAAACTATTTGTTTTAATTAGATATGAGTTTGAATGTATTCTTGTTTTTTTCCCTCGTCCCTTACAACACAATCTCATGAGTAATTTAAAATGAACCTTGGCAGATCCTTTACAACTTCAGCCTTTTGTATTAAATTGAGTCTACTCCCTCTGGTTGTTAATCAGCCTTCATTGTTTTCATGCACTTGAATTTCTGAAAAATGAAAAGATCCACCGCTTTAATTATCTGACACTTTGTGCTCTTTCTTAATTGCTTAATCCATAATCAGCTTGTTGTCATTACTGTTGTATAATGCTCTGCTCTGATATCACTCTTTGCCAATCAGTGCATGCATTTTATCAGCAACAAGCCTAAGCCATGTAATAATAATAAATAATTAATTTTTCATCAGGGTATTTAAAAAACATGAAGCAAGCCAATGATGTTATTGTTATCATCCATGTGAGTGAAATGACTCATTCTGGCTCCATTGGTAAGTTATGGTTATCACTTTAGTTAGTTCCTGTCATTGATTATTGATTATGGTACATGCTCAAGATATCACATGTTCTTGTTGAAACTTGAACTTAATAAGTTTGAAAACCATCCACGAATGTATAATCATCTGACCCATAGGGCCCTGAGCACACATAGAAATACCATACCACATCCCACAGGAAACCATGAAAGCAAAAGCTGATGTGTGTAGGGTTGGACTGGTTAAAGTAAGCCAGTCAGCAAAAAGCTAACCCGCCAAGAGTGTGCAGCCCTAAATGTCAGATTTGAAAAGTTTTTACATGTCTATGCTTCATTACGTTTATTGTTAACAAGTCTGTTTCATCAGAAACGATTACAAAAGAAGACTGGGAACAACATGTCAAAGATCACACAGAGAAAGTGAAAGAAATTGAAGAAAAATACAACACAAAGTTGACTAAAGCAGAGGTATGTTGGACACAAAAACAATCTTTTAGCCTTTTTCTGGCCCTAAATCAATAGAGGCAATAGACTTTTGTGTTACCTTGTATGTCTTGTTTACCCATGTTAGGTCTCTGGGAATTCCTAGCTTTATCTTTTGTAAATAATTATAAGTGAGAAATATAACTATAAAAGGGATACTGATTGATACTGATAAGATATTTCACCTTCACATGTCACTTTCAATAGGATCCAATGGCAACAACATCAATATTTATTTACATAATAACTTCAACTAGATCGAAACACTCAAGAACATGATCACTATTCTTACTTGAAGAAAGGAAAGGTACAAATCTTTCTCTCTATGAAAATGTAAAGAACTCCCTATTTGAACAATTACTTCTCTTACTTTCCTTTGTTAAATGAAAAACTTTTTTAGTTTTGACAGTACATCATCCATTATAAACATACAAACATGACGACCCACACTAAGGACGCCATGTTGATTTTGAGAGTAATTGTCACCAGTCCTCCCTCCTTGTTCAGTTGCCTTCAAACTGCATATTTTATTGATCTCCAAGAGGTTCAAATGAAGCTTTTGAAAACTTACTTATTATACCTTTGTTATATAATGATAATTAGTCATAATACATTCAGCAAAAACAGTTCAACATTAATAACTTGATGTTCAGGGAGTGCTTCACATCAGATGTCACCACATGCAAGTGTTGTGATTTGACAACTTGAACGTGTGAGTATAGGAAAAAACTAGTGATCTTGTAGAAAGACATCGTAATTATCATTTAATTAATTGTAAAGTTTAATACATCTATTGAGTAGGTAACCTTTCAAATTATTCTAATAACAATTCCCTAAGCAATGAAGAGTTCAGTACTGATTGATAAGCATCATAGAGACTGTGATGTAAATGATTGACTTCAGGGGAGGGAGGCTCGATGACAATAACTTTTGAAATCAACATGGCATCCTTAGTATGGGTCGTTATGTTTGTAGTGGATAATGTACTGTCAAAACTTAAAGGTTATTTGTTTAACAAAGGAAAGGTAATAGAAGTAATTGTTCGAATAGGGAGTTCTTTACATTTTCATAGAGAGAGATTTGTTCCTTTCTTAAAGTAAGAATATGGATCATGTTCACAAGCTTTGCAATCTAGGTGAAGTTATTACGTTAATAAATATCTACACAGTTGGATCTTATTGAAAGTCACTTGTGAAGGTGAAATATCTTCCGTATCAATTAGAATACCTCTTCTATTGATGTTTCTTACTTACAATTATTGTGTGAAATGACTATGAAGAATTGTGCAAATGGTCCAAAACTTGTGTGAATACTTATGCGAAAAGTCTTTTGTTCAAAATGTCCTGTATTCTCTCCATGAATTCTCCACAAATCTGTGCTGCAGAAAACTGCACACTAAGCACTCTCTTATCAACAGAACTGAAGACATCCTACCCATGAAAGTAAAAGACAATGAACCTTTTGAGTATAGATCATAGTTTATGGATTACTAGAAAACAGGCACATTTGACAATTTTATGATTTCCTCCACGTGGTTGGGGTAATTTGACTTCCACTTTGATGAACAACTATGAAGTTACCATGTCTAATTGGTCTACTCTTTTTTTCTTACCAAAATTTGCTTTACCCATTAAGCTGTGCAAAAAATCATGTGATCTTGTAAGATAAAATTAGCTTGATGTTGTAGACATGCACCCCTTACATAGTCAATCATCACCTAGAAGAAGAGATGTATCCATTAATTTGTTTTAATTTTACTGAATCTTCGTTTTACTTATTCTTTACCTTTTTAAGGTTGGATTTGAGGTTAAGCTCTGTGGTGGTAAACCTGGTGAGGCTATTTGCTCCATAATCAAGGAACGTGGCATTGATCTTGTCATCATGGGAAGCCGTGGAATGGGTGCTATAAGACGCACCTTTGTGGGAAGTGTCAGTGATTATGTCCTTCATCATGCACATGTACCTGTCATCATTTGCCCCAAGCATTGATGTTCATTACTTCCTTGATTTACTCATTGCATGCTTTAAGCATCAATTTTGAAATAAAATTGAGTGATTTGCAAGCTTCCATACTGTAACAGTAGGTAGTCATGATGAGTTCAATTTTTCAATGAGATATATAGCATATTTTAAAATATTCTCTGATTTTGATAAGAGTGTAATAGCAGAGATTTTCAATTTCTTTAATAAAGATAACAGTTCCTCTCGGTGATTAAAAGTCTCATCATTCCAGACCATTCTTATCAGACTTATTAGCCAATGATGTTATCAGTCACTCAGCAATGTCTTCAAGAGAATATTGTTCACTGGCTTCAGAGTGGTTCAGTGAGTCTACAAAAAAACCTGGCTAAATTAGTGCACAAGCTTCACTACCTACTAGTGTTTACAATTTGTATTGCTGTTTGTGTCTGTCAAATTTACCATAGTCCTTATCTAAAACCCAATCTGCAGTATGCAGCCTGTTTTAAACCCCAGTCCATATTTCAAAGTCAAAATTTATATGTATTTTTTCTGAATATGCTAGAGTTGGATCCATAGGTTCTAATGCATCAATTCAGAACATTCGTGTTTCCTAAACAAAATGAGGAAAAAAATCTCATAAACAGGATCAGGGTCCGAACGTTGGCTAGAAAAGAGTCGCCCAGCTGGGAATTACATACTCGTGTTGCTGTATTAGTTTAAAGCAAAAAAAACATCAACGTCGACAAGGGGAATATAACAGCATTAATATAACAAGGGGAATATAACAGCGTTCCTCCTGTGATACACCCCCACTCTCTACTGGAATAGTGGACAAACCCACCCCATCAAAGACAATGGCAGGAGGTTCAAATAGAAGTCAGTTGTGACCACAGTTGATTGTGAATTATATCAAGGCTTCTTTATGCAAAAGTCCTCTTGACACAACTTTTTGTCTCAAGTCCAAATATGAATGATGTGATTGTTTTTGGATTTTAAGTATTTCTTGAAAGCTGTTGATTATGGGTATTAAGGTCATCTGATTAAAGAATAAACTATGGTCAGCCTTCTGATTTCAGAAACAAAATTATAAAAATGTTGTGAGTACTTCTCAACCTAACAAACAAACAAAATAATGCTCATCAAGAAAACTGAGAGGTATCAAAGAAACAAGAAATTTTGTGAGACAAAAGCCAAACTTTATGGAACTTATGCATATTATCATTTCTCTTCTTTTGAAAGTTTGTGAAGTCCAACTTCTATTCTGAAGTCTGTCATAACTTTATCTGCACCAACTGTTTCTAACAATTTACCCACGGTTTGGCACACTGCAGTAATAAGTGTAGTCACACTTTTGGAGGAACAATAATTTGTAGTTGTAATGATTGAATGAAGGTAAACTGGGTGATTATATAGTCTGATCATCCAGGTATTCAACAACAGTGACAACCATTTCTTGTCAATCCCTAATAGTTGTTGACTCTTGCCTGGACTGACAGAGCAAAATTGAGTAATAAGTATATGGCTGGAAATAACGCTACGAGAAAAGAACAGAACAACCCAGCTTTACTAAAGATAAAAACTGACCAATCACAACAGACTTGCACTTTTTGGGTCTTACAAGCAATCAATCAGTTTCAACAAAGCAGATCTATAACACTTGGCTCACAAAAAACTTGCTCACTTGATACCGAAGACTTGTGCACAGATGTTGAATGTCAGTTACTCCTGACAACAACCGCACTTCACAGAACTTCTTTTCCCAAAAAAAGAACAGACTACATAGTCAAATGTTACTCCTACTTTTAAAACCACTCACTGAAAAAATTGTTGCTGTTTTTCAATGCAGGGAGCTATTTGTCTTATTTTTTTTCCCTGAAGTTGTCCTTTGCTAAATATTTCAATGAAAATAAGACATCATACTATTAACCATCCCAAACAGCTTTGAGAACCTGTGTTCCAGGCAGTTTTTCTTTTTTCCATGCCTTGCTCAGTTGCTCTCCCCTAATCTCATCCAACACACCCAACTAAGCAGATTTTTCCCTTCCGTGTTATTTGCGATGTACATTCATGTCCATGAACTATCACCTTCCCTTCACATACATGTAACCTCACAGCTCTTGCAGACATTAGCAACACATCTTGAATCACTTTACCAACAAAGTGGCCTGACTGTGCAGCAGAAAGCTGAGTTCTGAGTCAAACTTCTAGACACATTGCAACACCTAGTGCAGAATGAATCAGTTGTTCATCAGGAGACTTTCTTTGCTCTCCAGTCAAGAAATTCATCAAAGTCACTATCATCACTATCACTGGTAGTTTCTCTTTGTGGCTGTGGCTGAAGACTTTTCAGATTAGAGAATTTGTCCTTTAAAGAACTCTGTTTATCCCGCAAGGCATCAGCTCTCAGAAAGTAGACTCTGATAACAGTAAAAAGAACAATACAACCTCATAATGGATGAAAATAAAAGCAGAATCATTTTTACCCTTTAATTTTCCCCTTATATTCCAGGAAATTAAAATCTAAGTGGCAGAAAAAACTACTATCCATTTATTACTGGCATAAAAACCCACTGTAGATGTTTATGAGAGCAAGAGAAAAGTTTGTAAGTCCCTCAACTGTTGTTAGTGATTTACAAGGTCTGCCAAGCAAACATGAAAAAAATAATCAGGTCATATCCAGTTGTCATGACTTCATCATATCCAATTATCATGACCTCATCTAAGCAATTGATGCTAACTGAAAGTTTTAATCAATGTTCAGGGTATTCCATAAACCTTTACTAAAGAATAATGGAAAGAGTTTCACCAATTGTTTGACTTTAAGAGACTAAGGTTCATTTAAGACAAGCATTCAAACAAAGACTACTATGACTAAAAACCCAAACACTTAGCAACAACAAAAATAAATAAGGTTCACTGTCACTAATAAACTGGTAAAAAACAAACAGTGTACATGTTATTTAAAAGAAATTTAATTTTGTCCTAGTAAAGCTATCATTAGAGGGACTTAAAAACAATCATTATCAATACCCTAGGGTTTGTTAAATTTCAAAATTGTTCTTGTATCTGTGTTAAACTTAAGGTTAAGGAACTGACAAGTATTCAAACCTTTGCCATCTACATGGGTATCAAAATCAAGAAATGCCTCCTAAATAACTGAAGTTCTGGAGAGCTTGAGGTGATTTCACATCAAAATTATCATATTCCAATTCTGGCATTGATGTGTATAATAATTCCACATGTACATAGCCTCCAGATATTCAGTTCTTTAGTTTATCACTAATGGTAAGGTACCGGTAAGTGTAGAAGGGTATCATAGAGTTTCCAGCTATTTGATACACCATGTCAAATGCACACAGATCAGACAAGTTTCTTATTCAAAATGGTAAACTTGATGCAACCATAACAGTAAACATATGCAATCATCCACTGGTACCAGTGATCATTCAGTATATCAAGCACATGTTCAAAGAGTTTTGAAATAAATTTAAGGAATTTTTCCTACATGTGTATGGATGTAATTTTGCTCAATGTCAACATGTTCAAATATCATAAAGTTCACTTTTAAGTGGTGAATTACCAGCAATCTGAAATATTTGTTCCATGGCTTGTTCAATATGGAACGAGAAAATCCAATCAACGTAGTCAGTCATCATTCAATACCATCACCGTTCAACACTTTGTTATCACCATTCTTATAAATAACACTATGTTTATCATGACCACCAACATTGTCATCATCATTACTTTAATTTATAATTATTACTATCATCATAATTATTCACTACCTCTGTTCACTGAGTTCTGATAATTCCCTATTAACTCTGGACTCCTCATCTTCTCCTTCAACAATGGACTGTGAAACCTGACAAAAACAACCAAAAGATACTAAGGAACAACAACCTTTAAGTTACATGTAAGTCCCCTTGGCTTACCTTCCCAGCTCCCATCTGATGGCTGAGCATCAAGGACTATGGATAACCTCTGTGAGTCCCCACTGGACCATATTCAAAGATAGGAAAATATTTAACTGTAGCTATAGCACAAAGTATTTATCACACCATGTTTGAACAGTTTACAATATCACACATGTTTCAGTTGCTACGTTTATAAAGTATTCCAAAGTTTTACATAGTTTAGGTATTTTTGTAATTATTTCAAGCTATGAAGTTATTTATCATTAATGAGCTTTTTTTAAAAGACCTGTTGATGTCACCTCATCAAAAAGCATTTCCTACCAAAAATGCCACTCAAACCTAGACACTAGTTACCTCTTCATGTATGGTAAGACATATGATATTTAATTTGATTAGATAAAAAGTAACATACAATCAAAACTTAAAACAACACTGAATTCTTCTTAACTATAATGTAAATCTCTTAATAAAGATCAAGCAAACAGAATGGACAAAATATATCATGGTATCACTCTGTAGAACAAGAATAAAATAAACATGGAAAGCAGAGCAACAAAAAGGCTTCACTAAACAATCCAATTTGTTTTAATGTATAACTTTTCCCCCACCTGGTTTTCTACTTGCATTTCTTTCTGGAACTTTTCCCATTGCTCCTCAGCCTGATCTTTGTACTCTACTTTTCGGACCTTTGTGTACAGCAACAAGTTCCCAAAGAAAAGTTAAATGCAACAAAAACAATGACAGGTAAATTCCACGTTTTATCAGAAATAATCTATATTTATTCATAAATACTAGCACCGCACTGATAAACTAACTGTGTGACTGTGTGTTACTCATAGGCATTCTGCTGCAAATGACCTCATCTTGAAAGTTAGTGTGTACTGTAAGCACACAACCTCAATTCTCAGAGATTAAAATAAAGAGAGAAGTAAAAAAAAAACTTACATGTATGAAGCTTTTCAAGATAGGAGGGAAACTAAACTTACAATTTAGACACAACATGAATTGGATGACTTCCAAACCTTTGCATCTAGTTTTGGATCATCAAAAAATCCTTCCGGAATGCCCTCTGTGGAATCTCCACTTTCATGATTTTATGAAAAAAATTTTCCATGAGACAGGTGATCAGTGACAAAATTAATTACCAAATGACAAAAATACATAATGTTAGTACATAAACAGCATGATACATTTTATGGAAATTTTCAGCTATGTTTTACTTACTTTGTCACTTAATTCCAAACTAACATCTGTACTATGCTACCTTTTTTTAAGGAAAAATGGACTTGACATGACTATATGTAAAATTTAAAAACAGCTTTATGGTTTACATGATGTATTATACATGTTATTAATAAAATAATCATTGAATACCTGGCAATATGCTGTTGCATTTCAGACTTGATTTCATGATCAAAGAAGTCTGAAATAAAAACAGAAAGCAAATAAAGGTAAATCATTCCTTAAACCCCACATATCATCAGAGCATTACACTATTAAATGCAAGCATAGTGAAACCAGCTCTAAGACCACCTTGTTTTCAAGCATCACTAAGACAGCTCTTCAAATCTGTCATCACAGATTCAAAATGAGAACCAGCACCAAACTCTACCACTTGTGATGTTAAGTTCTCTATCAGAATTGAGCCTTCTGCTCCAGCTGAGGAAAACTTAAGTTCCTAAAGTATTATCTGGCTGGTTACAAAAAAAACTTATTCAGCACAAAGACAATTACAAGTGAGCTGGAAACAATTTCTTACCCGAAGGTAAACCTGCCTGTTCATCTGTGGAAATCTCATCTTTTATCTCTTCTACACTGTCTGTAAAGCTGAGATAATACCAGCATTACTGTCAAATGTAGTTAGTGTTTTGCAAAAAAATTAAGACTACAGTCTGTAACAAGTTTTCAAAAGTTGTTGTGTTCAAATGTTTTTTAATTAATTGCTGATTTTCTCAGAGAAAAGCCTTCCACAGATGCATAAAAACTGCACCTTAAAATTGTGGCAAAGAGCAAGATGAGAATTTTAACACTTATGCCCCACAATATGACTGCCTTTCCTGATATTATTATATTTAGTATATTACATTTAGGTTGACCCATTCAATAGCAATATGTTTGTATATTCATAAATTGGTTCTAATATTGCCATAATCAGTGTCACCTCTTTTGATTCAAAATTGACTTATTGTTGGCCAGATTATATAATGGCCATGGAACCTCCCAGAATTTTTTAATTAAAATGACACTTTAACACAGAGAAAAAAAAACATTTAAGCAGAAAAGTATTGTACTGTTAGTAATGATACAGCCATCAAGATATACCTGTTTGTGTCACTACTGTTATCAACTGTGGATGTTCAAAATATGAAATAAACATGTTATAATAATATATAGCCTACATCATAAAATTAAGAAATTTAAATAAAATGAGTGGTGTAACAATTACTTTGCACAACAGTTACACTGTATGGTCTGTATCAGTGGTAACATGGTTAATATGTTGTATTTTGCAAAACACAGGCATATGATTGATGACTTGAAAGATCTACATGTAAGATAACAAAAAATTGTTTGCTAAGAAAGCTTAAAGTCTATCAATGAATGAAAGTCTTCTTAACAAAGAATAACACTGACAAAATAACAAAGGCGATTCTATGAAAAATTTTAATGAACTGACCTTTTAATTTTTTTTTTGGTGCTTCTTCAATTGTTTCAACCTGTTGATTAATTTGTTCATAAAAGTAATATTCCTTAATTAGAGAGAATCACAAATTAAAGGAAACATTAAAGGTAGAACAAAATTATTCAGTAATTTCTTAAAACACACAGGAAACAACTAACTTATATATAAAAATCATTGTCAACATGATAGCTGAGGGTCCCCATTGGAATCCAGGATCAGATTTATTTGAAGGCCAGGATCCAGGAACTTAAAGTAACTAGGGGGTGAGATGTGGTATTGTTTTTATGAACAAGACATAGGAATTGACAATTTTGAGGGGCAGGGTTCAGCAAATAATAACCTAAATGAACTGAGAACAGGGAAGTCTGGTTTGATCTATGTGATCTACATGAAAGTTAAAATAGCCAAGCTTTGAATGCAGCCATTTTGAGAGGATTGCATTTCACTTCTTCCCACAAACAATGGAAAACAATGAAACGCAATCCCCTACAAACACCTGCGTGGGAGGCTGAAAAAAGCTGTGCAGAGGTTTGTTATGACATTCTCGTCTGGGCACATGCCAGGCATACTGTCTTTACCCTGTACTGTTGCCTTCATTGCAACCCATTGGTGATATCTGGACAATCTGAGCTTTGAGCTGTACTGTTATAGTGACCTTTGATTTCTTGGTGACCAACCAAATTATCAATTGGGAAAAATTGCAACACATTGCTCTTTGAGGATGTCAGCAACTATCAAAAGCAATTAATCAAATTACACCATATAATCATAATTTAGTCTGGATTACAGGATTTGGGAATCCTTGTAGCTGTGCATGGTTTTGTTAGAACCAGGACACCAGGAACTTAACATGGTGATTTCCATGTTACTTTTTTACTTTCTACTTCAGACCCAAGTTATAGGGTAAGGATATTTTACCAGTCTGAGAGAAATTTGGAGTCAACCAATGTTTGGCATGTTGTATTTCTACACCAGAGTAAATGGTTTGAACCCTGGGATAACATGTGATAGTGTAGTCTGATTGACCAGGTGTGTGTAGTCCTGAGAAGGACTGTTGTCAGTGGTGGTGACTGACATTTCAACAACCTTAGAGGTAGTCATCATCAGAATCAAGTGTCTTGCACATGCAATATAGTTAGCACCTTTGCAAAAACACTCAGGAATGTGCATGCACCATGTAGTTAGCACAATGGCACTTGCACTTACCACCTACAAAAATCTGTAAACATTACAGATTGAACAATTAAACTTTGGACAAAACGAAACATTCCTCAAGTGAATAGTTGATGTCAGTCAAATGTTCTAAGTTCACTACTTATAACCTGATTGGTGAGACTTCACAATATCAGATATTTATTTGGCTCATGCTTAACTTGCACATTTACAGGTAGGACTAGATATTATCAGTTTTCACATTGGCATTAACAGCTGTAATCAAAGTTACCCTGCTTAAACCTTTCCAGAAAGTATATTTCAAGAAGATAGCTTTTTTAACCATTTGCATTCTAAAACAAGATTCAGTTGACAGCCAATGGCCTTTCCTCCAACAATTGTGTTCAAAGACATCTTACCCTTCATCTTTGTCAACAATTACTTTCTCAATGAGCTATGTATGTGCTCAAATCAGTGCCAACAGAACTTTACACTGAGGATTTAAGCCTGGACACTGACTTTCACCTCTCGATGCCTCTATTCAGCTAAATACAAAAGATCTGCGACTGGATTTCACATTCAATTACAACCCAGCCTCTGCTGTGCATGTGCATACGGTTCGCTAAACCATACCCTTTCTGTTTGGGATTGCTTATCTACCTTGCCACTTACTTTAACTGGCTTTCGCACCTCTCGAACTGATACATTTGCTTTAGGCTTTCCTTTAAGGTCTGCCAAGTTCTGCCAGATGGAAAAAATAATTGGTTAAAAGTTGGGCATGGAACCTAAGACCTGACAATAATTAAATGAAATGTTATGCACCATCACTTTCTACAGTTGATGGTCACCTTTTAATTTACCTCTTTGTGCTTTTTACCAAGGACATGTGAGGTCCACAGAAATTCGTTCTTTATGGTCATGTCACATACCACACAAGACAGCTGGCCAGCACTATTGTATCTGGTGAACGAAAGGGAACGTATAGCGAACCTCTAACCCAAAGATAATCGTGCTTCCAAAGATTATAAGTTCCAGAAATAATACCTGGCCAGCGGGGAATCAATTGATGTTTTTGCTTCCCTCTTTCTCTTGACTAAACGTACGTCAACCTTTCTGGAAGCCATCATGACGCTTCACCACATGTCGTATGTATGATTACACACAGTGTCCTGTAAGAAGTCTGTTGTCAAGTCTTCAGAAGGAAGAGTAAGATGAACCACTAAATAGCTGTTACACTACATATTAATCTGTGCATTGCTTACTACCGCTGACAAATTAGCACCGTGGACTATCTGGGTACACCAGTCGTCATCAAAAACAGAGGTACCGTGCAAAATTGCTATTCGGCCGAAAGGTACAGACATTACCCGGTGAGATCGGTGACATACAATGCTGAACAAAGAGGCTGAGGAAGATGACTTTATAAATCTCTTCGGGAAACAGTATGGATATGGAAATAAAATTGATCAAATAAGAAAACAAGAATTTAAACGACTGGAAGGTAGGGATACTTTATTATAATTATGTGACTGTTTGCGGGCCATCAAATTATGGAGTTAATTCATAGGAATGCAATTGCTGTTTAATACCCTGTAATATAAGTTTTACGGTTATTTCATGTTCATTACTTCACCAAATTCAACTGAACGCACATCGTGGTATCCAGTTATCAGGGACGAACGAAACTGAACATTATCAAAGAAGGCTTTCGTGGAATCATGGTGTTGCGTAACATAGAGCGCCCATTGACCCCTTGCACAATTTATGACAATCAATGTGGCGCAGCGCCCTATAAATATTTACCTTACAATATGTGTAATATGGTGATTTCTATGTAGGATCTGATTGGTTCTTTATAAGTTTCTCTATTGGGTAATTATTCCACAGTCAAACCTCTCCACAATGACCCTTGGGGGTCATTGTTGAGAGGTGGCTGCTGTGGGGAGATAGGTGTGTAATAAGACACCTGTATAAGATCCCTGAATCACTCATGTCTATTAGCCTAGGATATTGTTCTTTAAAAGTAGCTAGGAAATGTCGTTGTATCTCAAGACACACCTCCTATAGGATTCTGTATATACTACCCCTGGTGGATACATTCTCCCCTTGGGCTGTTTTAAAAAATATTCTTATGCTTGGTGTTGAGGAGAACATGAAGTTATTTTATTATTATTTGAATGAATTAATTAGAACATAATTCATATACTGTAGGTATTACATATCTTGATCATGCTGGGACAACACAGTATCCGCAGAGCGTTATTGCAAATGTTTGCAGTGACTTGAGTTACAATGTGTATGGAAATCCACACAGTAGGAACCCCAGCAGTCAGCTGACAAGTGATGTCATTGACCAAGTCCGCACAAGGATTTTAAAACATTTTAATACATCTTCAGAACAACACACTGTGATTTTCACTTCTGGTGCTACTGCTGCATTGAAACTTTTGGCTGAAAGCTTTGATTGGAAGGGAGCCACCAATGAAGGAAGTGCTCATCAAAGTCATTTTTGTTATCTGCAAGAGAATCACACATCAGTGGTTGGTATGAGAGAAATAGCTGCTTCAAAAGGGGCCCAAATTAGTTCTGTTAATGAAAAAGACTTGGAAGAACAAATCATCTTTACAACAAAAGAGAGAAGGGAGGATTCAGATCTAAAACCATTTGATTCTGGGAGCAATGGTGTCAGAGAGACTGTTGACTGTTGCCACAATTTATTTGCTTTCCCTGCAATGTGTAATTTCTCAGGGAAGAAGTATTCTCTTAAATGGATTTCTCAAGTTAAACAGGGATTGTTAGTCAAAAAGAGTCATTGGTGCCATTGGTGCCATTGGTTTGTTCTTTTGGATGCATCTTCATTTGTGAGCACTTCTCCATTGGACTTAGCATCTTGTCCAGCAGATTATATTCCCATTTCTTTCTACAAGATGTTTGGTTTTCCTACTGGTTTAGGTGCTCTTATTTTAAAGAATAGTAGTTCATATTTACTACAAAAGTGTTATTATGGTGGAGGAACAGTGCAAGCAACAATTACTGATGAAAGGTTTCATATCCTTAAGAACAATCTCACTGAAAAGTAAGTTTATCACATTTTTTTCTTTTTTGTCTCTTTAGCATTTGATACTTAAAGATCTACATGTACATGTATATCTACCAGTACTGTGAAGTCTCACCATAAAACAGGCAGTGGGATACAGTGGAAAAGTTATATTTGCACATTATTTGGCTTTCCTTAGTAGCCCCATCATGTGGCAAAGAGAAGATTATTAGGTATTGAATTGTGATTTTGAAATATAACCTCATGTTAGCTTCATGACAGTTATAGAGTGTTAGAGACAGTGCATGATGTGTCAATTGAGGTACATTTAATTAAATGGCATATATTATCTTCTTTGTTCTTTATGTCTTATAAAGTTATTGCCTCTTTTAATTAAGGTTCCAGAAAATATGTTTTCTCACTACAGCTAGCTAGTTATAATTCCTAGGTGGTGGAGGGAGTGGATTGTCACCTAGTATAAAGTTTCTTGAAGTGTTGTCCGTGACAAGTGTTGATAAGCTTCGATCTTTTGTAGTCTCAAATTTCCTTTTGGTAGTTGATATATCAATTGAATGCCAGTTAGTATCCTTTTGGTGATATGTGCAATGCTTTGGGTTAGATTAGAGAATATTTTTTCAGACCAACACAATGAGAGGTTGTCATGGGATTAGATCAGGTTAATAGTGCTTCAATATAATTTCAGGATATTGCAGTCCAGCTAATTATTCTTCTGATTTGGTTGCTGGATAAGGAATTGTGAGAAGAGGTCCATCATATCCATCATTTCTATAATTTAATGGGTCAAATTGAAATGAAGGCAAGAGATTCAGGGTTTAAAAATGCCAAGGCAGCACCCAAACTTTCAACCTGAAATTCAGCATTCGTGGGATTTAAAAATTTAACTACCTAAAGATAAAGATTACTTTCTTTCTAGTGAGTCTGTTGCCTTATTTGGATATATCAGTTGTATCCTAATTAAGCTGGTAAATGTAATTCATGACAAGAGATTTCTTCAACTTTTCAGGTTTGAAGATGGCACAGTTCCTTTTCTTGAGATCATTGCTTTGCATCATTCCTTTCAATTGTTTGAACAGCTGGTAGGATCAATGAAAGATGTGTTGAATCACACCCATAGCATTGCTTTGTATGTGTATGAAAAGATGTCTGCAATGACACATAGTTCTGGAAAATCTGTATGTAAAATTTACTGCGAAACAGACTTTCAGGACAACACAAAGCAGGGCCCTGTTATAAACTTTAACCTGCTAAGAGCAAATGGAGAGTTTGTTGGCTACAGTGAGGTATGCAACAATTATTTGGTATCATTTGCATTTTATTTCCTTTTATTTTCTATACTTTACTTGGGTTTTGTCACTGCTGTAGTGTTTCTAGTTAAATACCTGAGTCATTATCTCTACAGGTAGAAAAGATGGCTAGCCTTTACAATATTCACCTAAGAACAGGCTGTTTTTGTAACATGGGGGCGTGTCAGAAGTATCTGAGCCTTTCCAGTCAGCAAGTGAAGAAAAATTTGTCTGCGGGTCATGTGTGTGGGGATAATATGGATCTCATTGATGGCAAACCCACTGGCTCTGTGAGAATCTCATTTGGTTACATGTCTAACTTTTCAGATGCAAAAGAACTTCTAACATTCATTAGAGAATGCTTCCTGGAGGGTAATTCAAACTGCTCTTTACCTGAAAGATCTTTAGATGCAGAGAGATCTGAACATACTGAGTTTCTTTCAAGCTCCATTTTGGTTAAGCAATCTGAAGACTTTGCTTCAAATGCAAATTTTAAAAACGTTATGGAGCGGAATTCAACAGTGGCATCAACTGCAAGTCAGAGAGGTACTCCAATTGAAATGTCTATCAGAACTCTGACACCTAATCATTGTGACATGCACACACATGTGCCTCAAGAATGTGGTGATAATCCAAATAACCATCTAAAGTTGGAAAAGATCTGCTTGTATCCAATCAAGTCTTGTGCTGCATTTGAGGTACATGTAATGGTGTCAGTAGTTGAAATTTTTTAAGCTAACCTCTGGTAACCTACCGAAACAACAGTTTAAAGACAGAGATCCGTACCCACTGTTCTGTAAGTTCAAGGGACACCCATCCATTTAGCTTGAATTGCTTTAATTCCTCATGGAGGGATTTTGCATCAAACTGTGGATAATTACATCTAAAAAACATGCAAAAGGTGGAAGCGATATCACTCACAATCTGACAAATGTAGATATAGGAAATAACTGATTTCTCTGAAATTTATACCAAATAATGCCTTTACAGCTTTGCCCATTTTTAATGGTATTGTCTCCCTGCTTTTTTATCGAAAGTATTTACAGTAACAGCAAGTTAAGTGACATTTGTTATTCTTGTGTCAGGTACATGAGTGGGAAGTTGGTAACAGAGGATTTGTTTTTGATCGTCATTGGATGATTGTGACTGACTCTGGGGTTTGTCTGACACAGAAGAGAGAAGCAAAGATGTGTCTGATAAAACCTCTGTTGGATCTTAGAAATGGAACACTATCAGTCACAGCGACAGGTAAACAGATAGGAACTTAATGCCGATCATGAGTAGTGGTACTGAGGTTAAATTGCATTTTGGTTGAAATATAGTATCATTTCGACAGAAAAAATATATATATGCAGTGAGTAAACAGGTTGAGAGACTGGTAAAGGAGCTGCATTTGGAGCTTAACCTCCTGATAGTGTCTATGTCATTTTGTGTTCTTTTACCTGTATCTCTAACGAATGCACATAGTTAAAACAATCGATTGCGTTTTGATGTTAAAATGATGTTTGTTTTAATTAGGAATGCCTGATCTAGTGTTACCACTGTACCTATCGTCAGGGAATGATAAAAAGGTTGCAAGATTTTGTCAAAGTAAAGTCTGTGGTGACAGGTAAATCGCAAATTTACCTCCTTTTTACTTGTTTAAGAAAATGTTTGGCGTTTTTCTCTACCATTTTTTTTATACTGCATGTGCAATGTTTTAAGCATTAATAATATCCCAAGTCTACGTAATCAAGACGAAATAAATGTCATGAACCGGCGTTCCTTCGCATGGCATTTTCGGCTTCACTCGCAGTTATTTTTTCTTTTTCTATCTGCAAAGGATGCTGTTACATTGAGCAAATTCGACTGTCTCTTTTCTTTTCTTGGTCATTATGGAAGCTCGTATGGCCTTTTGGTCGGGACCGGTTTGTCAGTGGGTATGACTGGCGTATAATTTGACACTAGCATTTCTTCTTGATCGTTGATCCTGTTCAGTTTTCGTAGAATTTTAAAAGCAGATGGAGGACTGTCCAACTGTTTCATTCAGTGCTCTTTTGATACTCTAGGATCTCAGCTGTGGACTGCGGAGAGAACGCTGCCTCGTGGATGTCAACATTTTTTAACAGAAACTGTCGACTAATTCAACAAGACATGGAAGATAGCCGCACTTGTAAACTGGGAGGTAAATATTGATAAACTCCCGTAATCTCAACCTTCAGTAACATTACTGTGTTATCATGTCTATTTTGTGTTATTCTTGTGATTCCTTTAAAAAACTGTGTATATTTGACGGCAAATGTTAACACATTTCCCAAACTAATTATCCCTGTTTGTGATAGGAATGAAACAGCGAGAAGATAACGGAAGTAGGTCTCTTTCTCTTGCTAATGAATCGCAGTTCCTCCTGGTGAACCGGGAAAGTGTCAGTGAACTTCTGAACAATGTTAATCCAGACCAACCTTTAACTCCATCATCTTTGGTTACTGTGGTAAGTTTCTCATGCTACTAAACTGTTGTAGCAAATGGTGATAGTTGTTATCAATAGTAACTTGACTTGATTCCGTACTTGTTGTGCTTGCTCGCAACACCCTCAATCAGTAAAACGTGGTATTGTCGAGTGTCTACTCGACAGGGCTGAACATCTCACGACAAAGCCATCAACTGTAGCCCTAGAGAAGGAACTCTTGTCTTCTGTTCTTGTTTCTAACGGATACCCGCCCTCATTTGTTCGAAAGAGTACAAAGACGAAACCATTTACACCCAAAGAGAAACTCACTCAAGATTTCGAATCCACTACGGTTCTACCTTATATCAAAGGTGTTTCGGAGGTTCTTCTCCACTGCGGTTCTGCCTTATATCAAATATATATCGGAGGTTTTTTTCCACTGCGGTTCTACCTTATGTTAAAGGTGTATCGGAGATTCTTTGCCTCTGCCTACGAGAACAAGGTTTATGTGTAGTCTTAAAATCAGACACGACACTCAGCTCATCCCAATAACATCAATAGGGATCACGGCGTGGATGACCATGGATCTCATTTGCTGATTAAAAGCAGTATTATGGTCAAAACCATGGAATATATTTTGTAGATAAAAACGACCTCGGTAAGGAAGGTAAGTGTGAACTCGCAATGCAGACGTCTCAGGAAAAGGGCTATATCTATCTCAAACTAAAAATTACTAAGTAATTTAGTGTCAACAACTGAGTTGAAAACGTAAATTGGCCACCGTAAAGGGTAAAAAAGCTGACGTTTCGAGCGTTAGCCCTTCGTTAGCCCTTTAGAAGGGCTAACGCTCGAAACGTCAGCCTTTTTACCCTTTACGGTGGCCAATTTACGTTTTCAACTCAGTTGTTAGCACTAAATTACCTGCTATACTCTCCCACCGACGTAGCACCACAGTTCTTTTAGAAACTTACCCCCTTTAAAAATTACTAACACGGAATGGATATCCCAGCCAACGGCCGGGTTGTCCTTCAGTGCACTGTCCTCTCTCTTGATGTTATCTTGATGTTATCTTGCACCTCCAGGTGGAAAAACAAGCCAAAAGGTTTAGACCCAATTTAATTGTAGCTGGTGGAGAGGCGTTCAGGGAAGACTACTGGAAAACTGTGAAAATTGGAAATTTGGTTTTCGAGGTGGGCGAATCTGTATAGTTTTGGTTTTACACTAGTTTTCAAAGAGTTATTCTTTTTATCTTCGTCGTACTAGCACTATGTTTGGCTGATTGTTCTTTATCAATATTCAATCCCCGGACTTCCGTGAATGAGGTCAAGAGGAGGTCAAGGGTTCATGCCCCGATCAGACCAACACTTTGGGTCTTTATGTAAGCCGGGAGGATGTGTTCTGTAAATAGTTCGGACGATTTAGTTTTCTCGAATATTGAAAGATTCTTGCAAGTATATATCTTTTTTTAATGTGCGATGTAGTCCAATCTTCGCCTGTGTCCCAGCAAGTTCACATGAGTATATAGCTGCTAAATTACTGCCTACTTAAATAAAACAAACAATCAAACAAATAAAGTGGGACATATTTGACAGAAAACAGAAATGAATCGTGGATTATTAAATTTCCGAGTGGTTTGTTATTGTTGTTTAGTTCTAATTACTGTAATCCTCAGAACAAAGGAAAGTGTAACCGGTGCCAAATGGTGTGTATTGACCAAGAAACTGGAGTCAGGAGCGTTGAACCATTGAAAACACTTGGGAAGATACGAGGATCAAAGGTGTGTGTTGGAAAAAAAAAATTATTTAACGCGAATTCGATGCGCCAAATTCCCCCCCTCCAACCCCCCATATTCATACAGCACTTCATATGTTCTACTTGTAATCACTCGGCAAATTTTAATGACTCCCCATGCAATTCCCGGAATTTGACTCCATATGGTCTTATTACTATAACCGATACGCTTGCAGTATCCATGATTTCGTCTCAGAAAGTCTCTTGGCGTTAAATGTTGTGCGTGATGTTTGCCTACAAAGATGATCAGTTTGTTGAAGCCTAACTTGATGTTATCATTACTGATGAATGTGACGCTTTGAATAAGGATAACGCCAGTAAGTTTCGTTACTTCTTCTTTTTCAGATGCCTTTTGGAGTTCACTTGGAACATGTTTCAAACGTACAGCAAAATCCAGCCATTCTTCATTGCGGTGATCTTGTTACTGTTAGTCGTTAGCTCCTGACCTCAACAGCTTCGAACTGATCGACACTAATTTAAAATAGATCAAGCTTTGGTGTGATGATCAAAGTCGTCGATCAATTTTTCAAAATAAATCTCGTGATTTTGAAATCGCCGTGGAAAAGTTACAGAATTTTCTTTGGATTCAAATCAAACATTGTAGTAAACCATGCCTGGTAAACAAATCCTATACAGTGAAAGAGAATCAACAACAAGAAAAACAACAATGACACCACCAACAACATTAATGCCAGTAGTTGAGAAAAATCACGCCATAAACTTCTCTCATAATTGACGCAGTTTGTGCCGTCTCCAAGCCAGCGGATAAGAGCGTAGCTGCTGAAATTATAATATTGTTGGCAGAAAACTTACAGATAAACAAACGAGAGCTTCGCCTAAATCACACAAACAATCCTGAAAACTTATTGCCACGGTTTGTGAATGAACAACACGAATGACGAAATTTCAAGGCTGTGAAATTGATATTTTAAAAAGTAATAATGATTGACTTTATTGCAGAAGTATACTTGCAATATCAGTTAATGTTTAAGCATGACACTGTTTTGTCTATTACCAATGAAAATCTCTTCCTACTTCTTTATAAAACTCCTCATTGTACGGCCGAAAGTAGTCTTCCAAAAGTTTGCGAATGTCACTTCTAATAGAAGGGTGAGGTCTTCCTTTACTCTCAGACAAACAACCTGAATTCTCTTTTTTCAACTTGAAAGACCTACTAATACAGGGAAAACGTTTGGTTTGATTAATGTAGAAGTTGTCCTTCTTAATAAAGGGTTCGATGTTAAGAAACTTCTCCACAGCTTGCAGTTCCTTGGCTGGGTTAGTAATCAAATCATCTCCGTTGACGAAGTGAAGCTGTGAGATTGGGAAATATTTTAACCAATTTCGTAAATGTTTTACGTAAACACCAATTCTTATTAAACCGATGGAAGTTCTCAGAACCTTTCCTGTTTTATCATTCGTTACATATCTTTCAAACGGCGGTAGAACGCCATGTCTTCTGTGTGTAACCTGCACATAATCCGAAATTGCCCTCTCGACGGGATTACGTACTATCGCAATGAGCTTGACGCTCTTTGACATCTTATAAACCCTCTGAGGAACCTTATCCCTCACAAAGTAAGCTGGCGTTTTCTCAACAGTGATGTCACCTTTGTATGACTCTGGCATTTGTTCCCTATACCAGTCCAGTCCCAACTCATAGTTCTTATCGGTATCAAAGAAATGCACTTCCCATGGGCACGCCTTAATTTTTGGGTGGATTTTAAGAAACTCCAGCAGAGCTCTCGTACCTCCTTTCTTGACGCCTATAATTATAGCATTTGGGAGACGTTTTTGTTCAATATGTTTGCTCCTTCCTTTGGAGACGCGTTCATTCCATTGTTCTGTATTCTTTCCTATTGCACTTGAAGACAAACGTCTAGCAGGGTCATCATATTCCAATGACATGGAATTGTTTACATAGCTGTTCACTTCAAATAAGTCATCTCCACCTTTGAAATCCCTGCTTGCAAACCGCGTTTTAGGTTCCTTCAATAAAATACTGTACAAGCAACACAAAAGCAGTCCGGTAAGGGGGAGGCAAATGCAGACCTTTTTCCCGTCTAAACACACTGCCATGCGATAATAACACTTAGGCTGGTTTGCACAGATTGCGTACCTGAATAAAAAAGGGAATGACATTCAGTCGGCAGAAGACGATAGCTTCTGTTTTCACATGTGGTACTATAGACCTATCATAGGTGACAATGGCCGAGGATTCGAGAGCAGCGCCAACTTACAGCATGTACTGTATTAAATTTAGCAGAGACAACCAGTTCAGAAAAACGATTCAAAATTTCCACGGCCATTTGATATAGTATGCTCTTTGTTTTAACCATCACTTACAGGCGACATAAGCAAGATAAAATCAAGGCGTAGCTTTTACTGTCTTGAATTCCTGTCTTTCAAAGCCGGATAGGCCTATGAATCAAGAAGAACAATTCCGTTTTGATTTCCCGAGCGTTCGGCTTTTCTACACTGTTCATTGGTTGCCCACATACACAGCTAATGCTCTTCACACTAGAACTGTGAAGTATCGACGACGCTCTGCTTTCTATCTGGTCGATCGTACCACATCGTATCGCGCGGAAACTTGTTGTAATGGACTCATGCAAAGTAAGGTGTATCCCCAGAGACGATTTTGGGCTTTTCCAGTTAATATTTATGTCGGTGCTTCTTTCACTTGTCAAATTATAGACGGACGACACTAAGCTCACGGACAGCGAACGAAAGTTTCTGACGGTACAAACCCACAGCTAGCAGATTTGTTTCAACGCACAGAACAGCCAAATACCCGGCAACTGAAGTTTAAGGAGCTCCACAGGGATTTTTGACCGCGCGAGATCTAGGTGAGAACACAGTATTAACATGCAAAACAAACATGGCGACTCGATACGATACTCGATACGATACGGTGACCACTGATAAAGTAGGAGGCCTGGTTACCATGTTTCACCGTGAACGCCTGGACTCATCGATCGAGTCCAGAACCGTAAGCAAGTTTCCCGGTTTTGTTTGGATCACAGTCGTGCAAGAAACGGAAGAGAAATTCGGAAACAACTCAAGCAAACTGGCAGAACAAAACAAAGAAAAGAAAAGCGACTTAAACACAAAGTAAGCGGCGATCAATCGCCGGGTGCCGCCTTCTATTGAGAACCCTGATTATTACCTGAAAAGGTGTGTTAAAAAAGTTTAACACAACACAGTTTTAATGCGTTGGAATCCTGGGTTTCCAGCAACTGCGCCCGTAATATTCATAGGCCTTGTATGCCTGAAAAAGAGGTCAACCGACCGTTTCACATATCTGTACCTTTCGTAATATTTACTACAGCAAACGATAGTCCGAACCTTGCTCATCGCCTTTTGATGGCTTATAGTGACCTTGAAAAGCGGAAACATAAAAATTTCAAGAAAAACATTACGCTGGCGTGTGCGCCAACCTGACATTGGGCAAAAACCCTATGGAGCCTCCTCAAGACGGACATCTGTACAACAATGCGTTTTGACATTCGATCCTGCTATAAAGTTAAACCTTACACCTTTCATGTTTTTGTTCTAAACAGATAAATTTCGAGGAGCATAATCAACCTTTAGGAGTGAATAAATTTTTTTTTAACATGGAACTGAAACATATAAAATTTTTGCGAGGGAGATTGTTGATGAGGAATAAAATAGATCGTATAATCTTGCAACGAGCTGCCTTTGATTAAAAAGCTGCGGCAAACCTTCGTCAGCCATATATCACAAATCGAAAAAAACGCTCCTAAATATGAAATGTTTAGTTTCTAAAGACCCAATCACGAGATTTGTTTATAATTGTTTTTAAGTCAATGTCTGAAAATAAAAATAATCCGTCTGAAGACAAACATGAAATAGATATACGAATATTATACTCGGTAGCAGCTGGAATATCTTCTTTTTGACGTGGATCATCGTGAAAATCAAAATCATAAAGTAATCATAAAATTTCCAAAATAAACTTTCAGGAGACTGAAAATTTAATTGTGGCGAATAACGTGGCACAGAACGATTTGCCAAAACTGACAGTCATTTGAGGGCTGAGAACGAAATCCATTTGGCATCGGGAACATTTCAAATGCTTAAGTCTTCCTTCTATGTTTCCGGAAATTTGCCCTAACACTGCTCGTGCAGTTCTTTTTCGTTATTTTCAATAGCATGTAATAGCATTAACATGCTTCGGAGCAAACAGAAAGGTGGCAACAATGCGCGTTGCGGGTCAAATTTTATTTAAATAAGTCGTAACACGCGACCTCTATACATCAACAACTCAACGAAAATAATCTTTCGCGCGAGAAAAGATTTAAGAAAATAAATGAACTACGACGGATGTATTTTAAAATAACAATTATGTACAAAAGCGGTTCATCAAGCTTAGTTTATGGTCGAGATAAGCTGAAACTGAACATTATTCCGTTCCGAACAAAATATCTCTCAAGTAAGCGGGTGCGCAACAAAATACTTCTATGTCCTATGTTTCTCACTCCTGTCGCTGCATAGTAGGGTTTGTTGATCAGCAACGATGCTACTTTTGGGAGAAATGGGACGTAAAAATGTTGAAGACCAGCGAGAAAGCGGTTAAGATCAATATTTTCGAGTTGCAGATGATCCTCACATAAACTAAATTCATATTGTATACATCATTCGTTTGTAAGAATTAACGACATGGCAAGGGTAAAAAAAAAGACAAAATTCTTCCTTCATTCATTGTCACAGAAACTAGACACTTACCTCTTCAAATTTATGATTTTTCCAACAGGCCTTCGCCAGATATATCCGGTTTTCTTCTCGCTACACGTATTTCGTCGTAAAGTCGTTGTCCTTAAACGAAACCTAACACCACGAGTTTGATAAGTAACACAAGATGATACGTGACGCGTCAAGAATTCATATCTTATTTCAAACAATTCCTGTGGTGTTTTTTCAAACCAAGCCTCGAGTGTTTTTTTTTGTCCCAAACTCCTTGCAACCTCACCGATGGACACCTCAAGCACACACACAATGGAAACATAAGCAGATTCTTCAAAATCCCACCTTATAAATTAAAATTTTATAGATTAAAAGGTGCAAACAGTTTGTGATGGCTCCCTGAGGGAACAATTACGTTCATTTTTAAAATCTCCGTGTAAAATCTGGTGTAATCCTTATAGTCCCCCACCCCCCTGGTGGTTCCTTCCGGACCCATCACTCCAGCCCCAAACATTTCGTTGTTTTGCTTGCCTCCAAGATAGTGTGTAATTTTAATAAATCAATGATCCAGACGGGACCAGAAAATCTTAAAGGTGTATCGTTCCGTATTTATTTGATAAAACGCCACCCTCGAATAAACGCCGCATCATCATGCGGCGTTTAGTCGAATAAAAGACACAAAAAGCACACAGTGATTACTTCTTCGATCGCAGTTTGAAATTTGAGTGAACCAGACACAACTTCTTTTGAATGTCGAGAAAGCATATCTGACATAGGATCTTTATTCAATTTATGTATTGCAGTAGTATTAACATGCAAATTGTGAAATTGAGAGCAATATAAAATATTAGTTTTGAGACAAGCACTAAAACATGTTCCTGTTTTTCAAAATGAAAATGGTCAGTTTGCAAGAAATAAATTGAATTTTAAATGAAGCCACCGTCGAATAAACGCCGCACTCGAATGACGAAAAATTTAATAAACGCTGCGACGTTTAATCAAATAAATACGGTATGCATCGTCTGCTGTGATGTATTATCACCTTGCCAATCACAAACCTTTGCAACTTTCTCTGATGCTACAGTGAACAAGATTCGCGGCGATCAACTACCGCAGCACTTAATTTTACAAAATAGCCTGTGTCAGGCGTTCAGCGGAAGTAAAACGAAGCGCTATAGTACATCATAGGAAAAGGATTATTTATCGGTAGAGATTCAAACATTTGTAGGGGTAATGTGATAGACCCTTAGGTATACCGGTTAATACATTTTGTAAACGTTTCAGTGGAGAAATAAAAAGTGGTCTCTTGCTTTAACTAGGACTTAAAAAGAGGGTCCAACGTGGGTTTGGCGGGATGCGGGATGAGGCTTAAAGTGGAGGCGGGATATGGGATATGCTTCGTTTCGAAGGCGGGATAGGGGACAGGACGGGTGCTATCGGGATCATATTTTAGCTAGAGTTGCGAGTCACACTGTCTCAGGGACATTAAAAAGTATTTATTTGCTTTAAAAACGAGGTTTATTAATGTTCCCGTGTAATTTGGAGTTTATAGGCCTAAATGACTTCGTAGTACGTCCAGTCAGTACTTGTTACGTGTGTTTACACGGCTCCATGGCATGTTCGGTTTCTCGCCTTTGTTATAATTTTGCTCTCACGAGTATTAGTGAACGCTTCTTTCTGTATGATATTATAGGCGGTTCTTTGAAGATTTCTCCTAGAGATGGTTGTTGCTGCATTAAATGCCACTTGCTCATAAGGACTTCTTTAGGGTTTGGAACTGTTGGGTAGTACTGTGTGCAAAGGGCAAGATTCGATTGTTTATTTTTCCCTGTTAGAGGACGGCCCGTTTACTTCCTTCAAATTTCACCTTTACGAGTGGGTTGTCAATGAAAAAATCCGGGTAGCCTCTCTATGCCAGTTATGATATGAACTGAAATACAAATCATAACTAGCAGAGAGAGGCCTGGCTGCAAAAGCTTTTCTTTTGAAGCCTTTCTCTGCTCCCGGTGGGTGAAATGTTGTGTAGAAAGTGTCCTGGAATACCTCTGTTGGTTTGAAGAGGATTCTCACGTCTAATCCTAAATCCCTTTTGAATCTTTTGCCCCTATAGAAAGTGGCGTCTAAGGAAGTAGCTTCTGAAACAGATATTTCAGCCGTAAATTTGATTGTTGGGTGGTATTCATTTGCCTGTTCATTGAACTGGTTAACGACACCTCTACTGGTGTGTAAGAGAGAGATTATGTCTTCGATCTAGCGTTTCCAAACAAGCGGTTTGTAAGTGCCTTTATCTAGGATTTGCACTTCATTTGCAAAATCTAGTACCATTTGCTGCCCATGGTTTTCTCCAGTAAGCGCTTTGAAATTGGGAGGGGGAGGGGTATATTTGTGTGTAAGCTCATAACGTCCATTAAAACGAGTATCACTTCTTTCGGAATCCTTTTTTTTTTTTTATGAAGTTGATGAAGTCTGTTGCATCTTTTAGATTCATGAGACTTCAGTTGTGGTGGCGATCGGCTGAAGAATTTAATCTATGTAACAGGATTGCTTTGCTGCTATTATTGAAGAGCACTTACTTCCTTTCATAGGTTGGTAATAATTTTGCATTGAGTAGTTTTTATTATTTTTATAAATTATACACCTTAGATAAGGCGTCTCTGACCTTTTCTAATCCTATCCTATTTCAAGGTATATTGCAGTGGGGCTGCAAGTTAACCAAAAATCTTTCTCGTTTCACCTTCAATAATTAAACTTGGTTTTTAGTATTACATGTTTTATTAATCTTACTATTGTTGACCTAATTTTCATCATTATTCCTATCATTATTGTGATTATTACTATCACCATTATTATATTGCTTGTATTACTCGTTTATCTCACTTATCAATTGTTGTTGTTTTTTAATTTCATTGATTTGTTTCCATACGTCTTCTCCAGTTGATATTCTCTTGGTCTTCTCTTATTACTGTAAGACCCTCCAAGAGCACCCGCGCGCGATCACGGGTATTACATATTATAAGCAAGAGATTACAAATTGAATCTTTTGTGCCAAGAGATTCAGTTTATAATATCTTCATGTACTATTGTTCTTGCCTTCCACATTCCAGCGATTTCTATTTCCAAGTCTTTGAACTCTAAAAGTTTCCTGATGTTTTGGTGGAAGAAATCATGTCTCTTTCTTTTTTATAACAATGTGTAAACGGTTTACTCTATCTAAAATTTAACCCATACTTCACACTTAAACCGTACGTCACGTTTAGCATCTCGAGAACCTATTGACCGATTTCTTTTTTAACACCCCGAGTGAACAAGACTAACATACCAATTAACAGCCTTTTTCATTCTAAATGTTATGTCAGCACTTCTCCGACAACATTAGACACAGCAAGATATTTTTTGAAGTTGAGACTGGCGTGAGACAAGGTGGTGCGATGTAGTTTCTCCTTTTCAATTTGGCTATCGACTGGGTCATGAGACAGGCAACAAGAGAAACAAATGGAATAGAGTAGTCCCTTTTCAGCATGCTTGAAGATCTGGATTTTGCTGATGACTTAGCACACGCAGGGTCGGATCCAGAGCAAAACCAAGCAGCTCAACAAATATGTGAATCAACTTGGCTTCAAGATCGTCCTGAAGAAAATTGAAGTCATGACTCTAAATGTATCCAGTCCATAATCTATTAAGATTGATGATCAAGCATTAGGAATCCTTCACCTACCTTGGTAGTGTTTCGTTTATCAAATAGGCGTTGCCTCTTGTTGACAGATTTATTTAATGACAAGAATCGTGATTAACATTAATAATATATATTGATTCAAAAGCGTTAGATTATTATGTTTCGAGTCAGTTTTTCACCAGAATCGAAGTGAGAAAGAAGTTATTTTGTTATCATTTTTTTTTTGTCTCTAAATCCTCTTGCCTGGAGAATCTGCTAACCTGTAAAGTGAGACTGTTGTAACGACCCGCCACAGAAGTAAGTTTACATTGAAGGTTTTGAATTTAGCTACGAGATTAAGACTTGATTTACGTTTGTTCTGATTGCGAATTATAAATGTATTTTTTTTAGATCGAATAATTATTAAAGCTTGGCTTGATATTATACGGTTTGTGGTGGTCATTTGATCTAACCAGTTCCGAGTAAGGAAACAGGTAGTTTCATAAAGAGTAATGGTGGAGCAAAAAGGGATATCCAGAACCGACTGAACAAGGCAAAAGGGACCCCAAATCGGATGATGGACGTCCGAAGTCAGCACAGTACAACAGGAGAGGAATGTAAGGTTACCATAGCCACTGACACTTTGTTTGTGGTACAACATTGGAAGATCTTCGTAAATTGAACGATCTAAGAGCTCGCTCTTGAACCGTCTGCACTTTTCAAGTTTCAGGAGTAGCCAGGGAATACCTAATAAGTGACCATAAATTGCCAATAGATTCCCTTATGCTAATCGACCGGTTTAACAGTATCAGTCCAAATGAAGTAGATAAAAGAAATAAAAATGGCCAAAATGCAAGCGTTGGGGGCCTACGATCACCAGGGTATGCAAATGTTTTGATGTTAGTTCGAGAGTTAGAAATGCAAATATTTTTAGAAAAATTTAAAAAATGCCTAACTTGTAATTTGTTCTGGATGAGTGAAATTGTTTTCTATCATAGAACGAAATCAGCGAGCTTCAGTAGCTTTTCAGTTTCGGAAGGAAACATCGAGTCTGATCTAGTTGAAGCCCTCACTACATTTAAGCGTTTATTGAAGGGAGACGAAGTCGCGTCGCAGATCTCAGAAGTTTTACTGATCGCTGTAGTAAGGAGAATCATGTTTACGTGACTTTATCTCAACACGTAAGTGTTTGTCCGTAATTCACGCTTGCTGCTTAGCTTCCCAGGCGTCATTTGATCGATATCAGTGTAACGGTATGTTCTGTGGTTTCTGCTATACATGTTAAATTAACTTTTAGAGGAAATCCTTCGCATTCGACTTTAAAAAGAACTATAAACGAAATTTATGTGAAATCGTCGAGTAAGGTTGTTAGATATATAGACTTCAAATGCAAATCTGTTTGCATGTTTTGCTGGTACAACCTAGGACAATACACACTTCAAGCGAAAGTTCAGGGGAAATTATAGAGTAACTTGTCTTGTTTTCTCATTGAATTCTTGCAGAAAGCTCTAAACATGGACGTGGAGGAAACCATTGCTCCCAACAACTCCATCTTACCTCGAACTGAGTACGATGATAATTTCCTCGTGGATTTCACAGTCGTGGAAACTGCTTTTGCTGCTGCCGCTTTGCTCGTCATCATGATAGCATGTTTAACAGGAAACCTTGTCATTTGCTACGTGGTTTTCCGTAGTAGACGAATGTGGACAGAAATGAACATGTTCTTGGTGAATCTCGCCATTTGTGATATCGCTATGACTTTTTTGTCTATGCTATCTCCTCTCGAAACTGCTTTAATCAGGAAGTGGGCATTTGGCACGGGGCCTGTGTGTCAGTTAAACGCCTTCTGTAACTCTGTCTTAATTTGCAACACAATATTTACGCACACTGCAATATCAATAGACAGGTTTTTTGCCGTGGTAAAGCCAATGGAAAAAATTATGACTAAGAGAAAAGCGTTTTTTAGCATAGCTGGTGTGTGGATGTTATCAGTGGCCATTACTATTGGACCTATGGTCGGCTGGGGTCGAAATGTTTACAACGCCTCAACATTACAATGCGGTTTTAAATTTCCTGAAAATGAATTTGAGAAATTTTACATCTTATGTCTGGCTGTAATCGCGTTTTTACTACCCTTAATTATCATGAGCTATGCATACATACGAATTTATATCGTTGTACGGAATCATACAAGGCGATTGTCAACTTCTACAATCGGTAATTCTCAATACTCTTTAATACAAAATCAAGACAGAATTGTCTTAACGTTTTTCCTCGCTTTAATTGTATTCGTCATTTGCTGGACACCATTCTTTGTATTCATTGCAGTTGCTGCTTCAGTTTCTTCCCGGGAAAAAATACCACGTGGCTTAGGAATTGCAGCTTACTGGTGTGGCTTCATGAACTCTGCCATAAATCCTTATTTGATCGGCTTGAGGAGTGAGAAATTTTATGATGCATTTGTAGCTGTATTTTGTTGCAGATTTCATTCCTGTAAATGTAATTCAAATGAAAGAAAAAACGAAAGCACCAATCCAAACGATCAAATGTTTTGCACAGATGGGAAAAGAGAGTCGCCATTGGAACAAACATCACAAATGGCACATGTAGGAGATGACTATGCCAATTCATTTTTGAACATGGCTGCTGTTTCTGATACAAAAGCAACTCAAGAAACGTCTGCTAAAATAACAAACGACGAGAAGACAAGACATCAAAGACGACAAGGGAGAGATGAAACCCCAGGGGTTATATATCCTTGTTATATCCATATGGTCGATGGAAAACTCTGGAATGAGGCCATTGTTTAATAAGCGTATTACTGATAATGTTCACGACAGGCCTTACTTCAAGTTTGACGGATAAATGCTTAGAGTTCAGATTATACGAACAAAATATGTCACACTATGTCTACAGTCATAGGGGAAAAGCAAATTCTAACGTAGGTCAGAGCCAAAAGTCCAATGCAAACTTTGAGTCTTTTTGCCGCTAAAACATATTTTACTAACTAGAGCCCAAGTGCCACGCTTCACAAGATAAATTTTTTCCGTTCTTCGTCTAGGTCGTACTCAATTTTTTTTCTACGAACTTTAATAACAAAGCTACTACTAAATCTAATATAATTCTTGCAACACGCTGCTTTGATTAAAATGCTAAAGGTACCATCAAATCTCTTAAATCTACAAGTCTGATCCACAAGTGATGTAGGATAGCGACACATCGGCAGAAATATTGGACAAGATGGCGGCCGCGCTTGCGCATTTCCTCCATAATGGCGTCCAAATAATATAGGAAACTGTATGGAAATTTGTAAAATTTCTAAAATATAACAATCAAGAGCTCATGGTCCCGTCTGCTCTCGATCGAGACATATTCAGTACTGATTCTGTTATTCATCAAACCTCACAGGGACTCGATAAATAAAAACCACTTACTTCCCGAGCCAGTTCTTTTGTCATTGATTATTGACCTAGGTCGCCATACAGTTCTTCAAAATCCGTCGTTCTCTATCCCAAACACTCGCCTATTACAGGAAAGTGCATCAATAAAGTCAACTGCTCTCGATCGAATTGACTGCTACAGAGTTCGAAGCGTCTAAATATCCTGTAAAATTGCCATTTCCTCCCATCAAAAAAGTTCCCAACGCGCCAGAATATCCCTTATTTTCCATGTTGAGTAAGTGACGAGACGCCATGTTGAAAACTATGACTGAAATAGTTAAACACGAGCAACGCTGATCTTCGAATCGTCGGCCATATTTTTTAAAACATTAGTTCTCGGTCCTTTTCGAAATAAAAATATGCCAGGCATTGAATGCAAATTTAGTAGTCTCAGCGCGAAAATTAAATTAAAGCAAATCAAAATTCTGACATCATGTCATCGCTCTGCCTCGAAAAATCCCAAAGATTTACTTGCAGGTCTTCTTTTCCTTTTCTCTTCATCAAATAGAAGACCTGCGGTGCTCAAATTGTATAAGTCATGGTACGAAACACTCTTCTTTGCAGATCGAGCCGTGATCGCCGGCATATTGAATTCTCTTGATATTCTATTGTTCCGGAGTGTAATACGATATACCGCTGCTAATTGTTAGCGGGCTCGAAATGTCCTTGATTTCTGGCGATGAGATAACTTCAAGTCAGTTTGGAGCTTTGCTGACTTGATCTAGTTTGCCTCACGTATAAACTAACTAGGAACCTTAACCTAATCAACCAGAATTTAAATCCAATTTGAAGCTTGAGTGTTATGTTGAAAGAGAGATGGGAGTTATGCTGGAAAACAGGTTGCGCGGAGGAAATGGTACACTAATAGTATTTGAATGATTCTTTAAATATTTCACAAATAAGGCCCGCGAGCGTATCATCTTATCTTTTATTGATGAGTTTCTCCTTCCGTGAGCAGTATGCAAGTTTGACTGTTTTAATTCATATTCAATGCGTCGAATCCCCTAATACTTTTTACCCTACTCCGACTTATGCTCTCAACTAGTTTATTCCCTTACAGGGCTACTGATGAGATTTAGCTTTCGTTAGGGAGCTGTCCAATGTCTTCTTTTCACACAAATGATTTGTGAAATCACTTCACACACAGGCGTCGCATATAGAAAAAACAAATGGTGCTCTTAATAAAATACCCCAATCTAATTATTTGCAAACAGCTCTTACTTACAGCTAAATTTGGGTGATGACGCAATAGAACTCTTTAATTTGACATGACTGATTTCAGAGCTGCAACCTCGATATGGGATAGGGTAATTCGAGAGCCAATGAAAATTAGCCATTAATAAGAGCTAGCCAAACCCGACTCCCGCTTCGCTTGGGTTTCTCCCGTTTGGCTGAAAAAAAAGAGGAGGATTGCCAAGGAGGTTCTTGTTGTGAACGTTCCGTTGCATTTAATTCATTACCAAGGCGGGCTGTAGCGTTATCAAAACTTTGGAAGGCCGTATTTTGCTTCGCTTTTGCCACACAGCATGTTTACCTTATTTCAGCTGTACATCAATTGCGCTCATTTTCCGAATCTAATCCATGCATACTTTTACGACATATCAACCCTTGAAAGTGCTGTTCACGGACAAGACAATAATCATCTGCTGCATATGCTGTGTTCCTACTAGAGATTATCACAATCATAACACAGTCAGTATGAGATAGACCAGTAAGTACTTTCCTGGCTAGATGCAAAGTCAACTTGAAACCTTTAAAGCCTCGTTCAGTGAGATAACTTGCTCATCCAACACTGAATCAGTGAGTGTTTGTAGTGAGTCCAGTCTCTTTACCTTTAATACTTCTTTAATCAAAATTGGGCCAATCAAAATCTTCAGAAATTTAATAGCCACAGACAATTCTTTAGGAACCAGGTTTTCATACTAGAAGACAATTTCTCTTTAGAGGGCACTTTTCTTTGATGAAACTCTGCACCATTTTGTTTATAAATGTTCTTTACTTAGACATATAAAGCTGATTTGCACAATTAATTTGTATTCCTTCAAGTTCAATCCTTGTTCAGTTCTGAACCCACCATCACATACTACTACACCCCATAAGGGAAACACAATTTGAACCATTGTGTATTAAACCACAACAGATACTGTCTAACATCTACACTAAAGAGCTGATCCAAATCAGATTTTCATCCTTGTGCATTTAACCATTAACAATAGCTTAATTTTAATGTTTAAGGTAGCCAAGCTCATACTTTTCTTTACCTAGTGGATAATCACAGACTGGAATGATTTCTTTTCCATCTCCACCAAGGTTACTTCCTAAAACCTTTAGCCCTTCAGTCAAAAGGCTGTAGTAAATTATGAAATACCCCTATAAAGACTCACTGCAAGTGTAAAGTATGCCATTCAAAAGGTACCAATTGACATACCTCAAAAATTACATTGGTAGATGGAGAGGAAGTTTTCATTTTAGGTAACCACTTTTAAAAATAAAAGTTTGAAATTTTAACCACCAAAGCTTACTGCAATGTGAGTCAAACATCCAGTTCATTTTTCAAAATAACATTTGAAAAATTGTAAAAGTAGTTAACCATGTCCTAGTTTGGAGGAGTCATAATTATTTGAATCAAACAAGCATTCACAAGAAAATTTGTGAAAAATTCAAGGAAATCTATGAGATATTCAGAAAGCTAAAAAATTAGGGGCAGTCCTACATGAAGGAAGAAGAATGCTTTAGACACCATGTAGTTTTAATCTCCATCAATTAAAAGTATTTGTGAATTTATGACAGTAACTGATTTCTGTGATGTGCAAAAGGAAACCTAACTTTATCAAATTGCACTCAAATGTGCCTACATTCCATGTGGATGCTACCAATGAAAATTTTGAGATCCTTTGTGATCTGTTTGGGGAATGAATGACTGGAATCTTTGTAAAAAGGCATTCTTGACTCAAATGACAAGTTTTAGCATTAACCAGAACAGCAGCTTTTTGTGACCTATGCATTATAGTTCAGGCCAAGTCACAATAATGTTTCTCCTTTTTATTGGTTGCATTCATTGTCAAATTTTGAGTACATTTGAAATCAGACTTTGACCTTTTTGTTTATTCTTAAGAATCTTGGAATGCTGGTAAAAGGCTGAGAAAGATAATAACTAAGTTTTGCAGCATTCTTCTCCATTCACAAAGAAGGAAAAGAGACCAGTAACACCCAGTTAAATCTGATCAAAATTTTAAAAAGGTATACATACAAACAATTGAGTTATCATATTACAGTGTTCACCGAAAAAATACTACTTGTTTACTTCAAGCACTGATAACTAACCCTGTAAATTTAGTCATCCTGATAAATCCTTTAATAGTAAAAAGAAAATCTTACCCTGACAAATTACCTCATTAAATACCTATAACCTTTAAATCACTTTCAATTACAATTTTTCAATTTTCTCTTAATTAGAAATTCAATGTTATGAAAAATCATTTAACAATTGATATAATTAGGCAATTAATGTATGGATCCTTTAACTAAATAAAATAATTCATTTGTTGTTATTGATGTATTTCATTAATAAACATACTGTCCAGGAAACTTCATAATATAGCTTTCTTCAACAGGATTTGAAGACAAGCTCTGTGTTGATATACTAAGAGCTCTACTTTGAAGTGGAGTGCTAAGTGAATCCAGTACAGTTAGTACTTTGGAATTGAATTCTAGTGTTCTGGCACTTGCATCATCAGCAATTTCACTAAAACTTGAAACAAAATAATTGGCATCTTTACCTCTCTCCTTTACAACTCTTGATGATTTTTCTGACACAACATCTTTCAGCATTTGAAATGTTATCCTCTCCTTTGGTGTTAATGGTTGAATTCCAGGAGGGTTTGCATCAAGTTCACTGTTGATATTGGATACCACCGATTCATTTTCAAACTGATCATTTAAAACCCCTTTTAGGGGTTGGTGTTTGTACGGTGTCTTCAGTAATCTACCATTATCTGCCATCACAGGAAAAGCCTCTGTAATGTTTGAAATATCAAACAGAAGATGTTTAGGAATGCTGTTGGCTGAAATCACAAGGGAATTGGCTGCAGGTTTCAAAGCTCTTTCTGGAGTCAAAAAGTCAGCTTCCTTCTCTCTCAGATGGATGATGAGTGAAATATAATCTTTGAGAACCTGATTTCCTGTCAGCTGAGCAACCACACTGAGATAACCTGCCACAAGTGCATGAAGTGCACAACGTATCATACTTGGTAACACCAAGTCATCATCTAATGCAACTTTCTGCAATCCAAATGTCATCTGTACCACACTGGAAATCAGTTCAAGGTCATCTGCAACCTCTGTAGTAATAACACCCATGGTTAAATAGATGGCTAGAATATTATCTACTGAATTTGAAAGCATGCAGGCACTTTCAAACAAATACCACAGTATTTCATCCTTGTTCTTTCTGAGGAAAAGGAGTTCCTGTTTTGAGCACTGTTCAGTGGTTAAGTCAATCTTCTTGCTTCTTTTCAGGATGCCATTTGCACCAAGTTTGTGAATGTTTTCATGACGATCAAACAGCGTGTAAAGAATCTCATGAGCCAGTCTTCTCACAGTTGGGTCTTCAACAATGGTTGCTTGAAGTAGAGATTCCAGAAATGTTGGAGAAAAGGTAGTTGCCAGGGAGATGGAGTTGAAGCTCTGTGCAACACTAAGAAGACATTGGAGAAGCATTTTCTGTAGCGCACCATCCCCTTCTGCAATATTGGCATGCTTGTGATTTTCTCTTTTGACATACTGCTTACTTTCATGTCTTCTATCTGGCAAGGGAAATTTTCCCATTATGAACATCATTATATCAGTTTTCTGAAAGTCAGGCAGGACTGCAGCAAATGCTCCAACAGTACTGACCAAAGACTCTTCAAATTCTCTCTCATCATCATCATCATCATCACCATCGCTGTGAGAGTCAACAGAGGACCGTAAGTGACGAAGAAGGGTGTTGAAAACTTCCAGCACTGCTGGACCTATGGAACTGTTGCTTGCAATTTTAACACAAGCTGCTAAAACTTGCACAATACTGGCTTTCACTTTTGCCTTGTCTCTAATATGATTATCCAGATGTGACAGAAGATTCTCAATGACGATGTAGTTAAACTGATTTTGTACTGAGTACAAAATGATCTTGAAAACTTTGAGTGCAAACTCATTGGGTACCCAAAGCTCGCTCTTATCAAAGTGAGTTAACACTGGATTCACAATTGATTTAATATTTCCATAACTTGCTCTGTTAATTAATTCTCTGAGGCATGATTCTGCTAAAGAAGCTGGATCCTCTTCAGTGGTGGAGGCCTGAAACTGTTGCTCACTTGAACTTTTGCCCTTACTGCTCTCTTCCATCACGAACAACAAAGACGGAACAATCTTAGTCATATGAGTATCATCCATGATGTTGGCTTGAAGGTCATCCGACACAGTTTTCCGTACAACGCCTTGTAATCCCTTTAACCCAGCCAAACGAATCCTGAAGCAATCTCGTTCATTTCCAGAGCTAAACCAGCACATCGAACTAAATTTAGAGACGAAAAAATCGTAGCGTCGATGATAGGATGGGGTGTCTTCCTCAATATTTGCAAACTTTACGAAGGAGGTGCTACCAAGAACTTGTAGTTGGGCCTCTGGGCTTTCAAGTAGTTTCTGTACCATTTTCAGAAAACTTTCTACGAATAAGTTTAAATTAGGGGCATGACAAGCCAATAGAAGCTGATCAAGGGCTTCCACGGTGATAAAAACGAACCCCAACCTTCTACGTTCCACGTCATTGTTTAATTTCTTGGCCAAATAGGAACCAATTCTATCCAATTTTTCAGGCGAAGAAAGGGCGTAAAATATTAGCTTGTCCATGTTTGCTTTCACTAAGCCTTGACGTGGGTCAGCTGGATATATATTATCAACTAATCGCTTATACCGTGGTCGTAAATTACCCACACAGGAACAAATGTGAGAGCTCGCCATTCTCGTATCTTTTCACTTAAAGCGTCCCTCAAGTACCCTTAATACGCAGGCGCTACAACAGAGGCACCCGTTTCTCCTTGCGGGGAAAGTGGGGGAGGGTACGGCTAAACGTAGGCCAATACTTGAACAATGTCCCGTCGTTCAAAGGGTCGCTGATACCGCTGATATGGGGTGACAAAGTGAGTCGCAAAAGGCTTGGGATCGAGAAGTTTACATGGCGGAAGATGACAGTAATGGACTACTTTTGCAGCGAAAGCGATTAGATTTCTTCACAAGCGAGATGAATCTACAAATAGCATTTTTTTTTCATTTAAGGTGCCTAAAGTGACTTACGTTGCTAACAGTTTGATGAGTAAGTGTCAAACAAGGAAGATGAACGCTGAAAAAGGGGACAATGAGGAGTCCAGGTAAGGCTAAATGTTCCTGGATCGAGGGGGCAATTTTGTAATGAGGGAAACACTCTGGATCTTGATAGATGTTCAACTTTTTTATGTGTTTGCATGATGATTAAATTTGCGATTAGTTCAATACTATACTCTTTTGATTGCAAAATGCATCTGAATTGACTGATGTACATCTTTACGATGCCATGTCGAACAATATTAGTAAGAGAACTCAAGTCACTATTGATTGCCTCAGCCCAACATACTGACGGTGAAACTGATAACAAATTGTAAAATGTGGTAGCATTTAAAAACGACCAAATAAAGACATAATTCCAAAAAATTGAACCTAGTATGCATATTGAAAGTATCTTGTTGAAGTTTTTTTACAGGAAAAATATCTAGAGGCCCGGGTATTTTATCCACTCAATGTGTTAAATTTCATACATTATTAGGCTGATACGTTGGTGTACTGCAATTCAATTTCTACATGATATGCGTTCAGAGTGCCTGTCATTAAATAGAAATCTTATAAACCGATGAAGTTTGCCAACTAGATTGATAGATCACTGAAATTTAAATGGTGGATTTAGCTAAAGCTTGCTGTTGCAGAGGTCCTTGCAACTGACTCCCAGTTAACCTTGCACTCCACATAATACTAAAGAGAAGAGTTATTATTGGTGTTGCAAAATACAGTTGAAACTCTGAAATATATACAAGGATGATCAGAAAACATTCACAAAAATAGTAACACCTTAAATTGATATTCTGATTTAAATTGTCAAGAAAACAAAACAGGCATGTGCATTGTGTGCTTCAATTTATACGAGGCTGGCTATTATTTTTTAGTTTAAGTTTTCAGAAAATAAATCAATCATGGAAGTCACCTGCTTGAGCAAAATGGCTGTTAGTGGAGCTTGAATGCAGACACATTTCTATACAGATTGTCTACTTAACCTTGCAAAAGGCAATAGTAGGGTTAATATTATAGAAAAGGTTTTGAATTTCATAATTCTAACCCAGTTTATATAAGAGTGGCTCCAGGTGGTATTCACTTTGTATTTACAAGTTAGTCTTAAGTTTCAGTTATCACGTAATTTATTGATTGTGCTGTATTTATAAGATTTGGACCAAAAATTGTTTGCAATTTTCATCTCTTAAATTTTATGTTACAAAGTGGACCAGTTGGAACAATTAAGAAGACTTTGGGGAAGGTAATGGTGGATCTTGAGTTTGCTTCTGTCATCTTAAAGGGGAGAGGGAGGGAGGAACTCACCAGAACTTAGCTACCAATATGTAGTCCACTGTCTTCATCAGAAAATACTAAGTTCATAATCAACATTGAATTTCAGGCTTTCATTATTCTCTCTAACCAAAAGTAATGGTCACAACTTTTGACCAAATATTATTTAACACTGTAAATTACTGTTACAAACCTCTCTTGAGATAGTTTAGTTACAGAGCTGAATAACCAGCACCATTATTTCAGCATCTTGTGAAAAGGTTTGATAAGAGAGACTCAGTTTTGCTTGTATATTAAACTGACTTGATATTTATTATTTTCATATCTATAGGTAACCTCTGAAGGCTTGATTGAGCTCCCTCCAGGTACATTGTGAGTGTAGGTTAATTTATTATAAAATACTTGGCTGCATAGTATTTTTAAAGGTATTGGATGTCAAATGCACCAGTCTTTGTCAATGATGAAAACAAGTGGCCTTCTGTTGTTGCTTCTGTCTGTTAGTATGGATCCTGATCACCTCAACAGCCCATTTATTGAGTTAAAATGGTGAAAGATAGCTGATCCCGATAAGGAAAGAAAAGAGCTCAATCTCAAATTCAAGTGTCTATGATATATCTTAATATCTAAGGGCCCCCAATAAATGAAGTGTTAAAAGTAATCCTATAATACTTTAAAATATACTTTGATGGTAATCTGTTGATGCGCTATAGTTGGCACAGTCTCTAAAAAGACTATAGATATCTTTATGAAACTGTATCTCTTAACATTATATTAACACAGTGGTGAACTTTGTGTGATGCACAAAGAGTCTGGATTTAATAATTTAGTCCATGTTGTTAAGTTTAAAAAAAATTTTGCAATTTTTTTCCCAGAAAATGTGCAAATTTCACCCAAAGTAAATATACCTACCTTCCTTTGGATTTAACTGTTCAAGATTGGTCTTTTTGTACTTTAATGTTGTAGAGCCTGGTGCTGTTAAATTTGAGTGTCAAGGTATTTCAAGGCCTAGTTCCAGCACAGCTGTCAGAGTTGGGAGTGCAGGACGTGTAGAGAGGAGCCTTCAACTTGCAAGGAAAAAGGAATTAGTAGATGAGATTCCAACAAGATGTAATAGCGCTGGAGCTGAGATGATTTCTCTGGGTAATGTTGCTCGAAGCTGATTTGAAATATGTAAATACCATAATCAATAATATTGTTATGTCCTCAGTCTCAGAGGCTTTACCAAGTAGGCAAGGAAAAGCTGCTCCTCAAAGTACATTTTGCTTTTAGAATGCCACGGTTATGATGGAATTTTTATCTATCTGATATAAAATGTCTTGAAAGGTTATTTACAATCATGGTAGTTTGCATAAAGGGATACTAAAATCCATTTACTGCTTTCAATTGCCTTTTTTTCATTTCATATCCTAATTTTTTATGGTATGCAAATAAACAAAGTGATTACAAACTCAACTAACTTTGCAGTCAGATACAAATGATGGGACAGATTACAATGCTATCCACACAAGAATGTTTCCAATGTAACCCACTAGGTTCCAGACCTCCCAAATGGGGTTCTACTTTCTAATTGATATTTGATATTTGCGAGTAATGCTTTCTCTACATAATGATACAAGCTTTGAGAGGTTTTGGGTCTGCCTCTTAGCCTGGTTTAAATTTCCCTCAATTAAAATCACAAAAATATTGAAATTAGGCCTAAGAGGACTGGAAAACAATTGCATTATCAAGTGAGGGAACTTTTGTCACATGGCAAGGTGTAATGCATATGTAACTGTTAGTTGACCAGGTGTGAATAGTCTTCTCTTGTTAATTTGCTTTAACTGATGTCATCAGGTCCCATATTTGCATAGCTTACCTGATTCTTTTTACAAATATAAAAGCTCATTTCTCTGTCACCCTTAAAATTTTAAAGGGGTGAAAATTTGACTATGGTAGCTTTGAAAGCATTTTGTTCATTTTATGGGCACCAATTAATCAACTAAAACCAAATCATGTGAATAGTCAACATGGAATCTTACTACATGTATATTCATCATGCAATGTAAAATTAAATATTTTGGGTGTCAGACTTTTGTTGAAACAAAAAAACAATTATGCCATGTTAAAATGTGACAACTTCTCTAGTTTATCTAATTTATGATGTCTGGCTGTCTCCTATACAGTCCACCTGATGAAAGACAAAATTATATTCAAATGTTTTTTTCTTTAAATGAAGAGAAATTATCAGATATTATCATTCTAGAAAACATATTGGTTTGGTATAATCATGTTCTATGTTTAAAAAAGATGGGTGATTTCATGATTTCAGGTTTTTCAAGTACCTAACTTGAGTTTTTTTACTTGATTGCTACCAAGGTTTTTGGCTTTTTTGGGGGTGTATATGTCAAATACGAAAACTTCCACTTTCTTCATGTTTTTCAGTCCTCTCAGTTTCATGTAAACTATTTGTAGGATACTTTTGGTATTTAATAGTCAGGGGTTATGGCAGGCTTGTATATATATCAGTGTATATATTCTTGTATGTAATATCTTCCTGTTCCTTTCTCAGACTCTGTCTTTGCTATGAGAAGATTCATTTTCTCATTTAACCTTTTTTGATTTGATGGATATCATCGATGTTATTTATTATAAGTAGAATTTATTTTTGTTTGAACTTCATTTGATAATGCCAATTAACTTGATAATTAATGATTCCACAATAATTACAATCATAGTTAACAGTTACTCAGCAAAGTGGAGGTGAATAGTGGTGGATATTTACCAAGCAGCAAAGTGGTGTTGTTGATATCCACCTCTTTCACTAACACAGGTGAATAATTTTTTTAGCATATACCACACAGATGCCAAACAATTAGTGTATTTCTTTCAATATACCAAAAGATGGTTGGAAATTAAACTATTGACGCGCAATTTTGTTTCATCAGCTGCTCAGAGGTGAATAGTACTTGCTATTCATTTCCAAACTAATGAATCAGTAGGTATGAAAAAGTACTATTCACTTGAGTGGTTTTTATTAATAATGAAAGTGATAGGAAAAGAATAGTGATGATAGTAATGATGTCCAAGTGACATGATCACCAGAGCTTGACTCATAGTTTCAATTACAGCTAAGGTGAAACACAGCAAACAAATACAGGAAATGGAAAACTCCCTAAGACAGGCTGCCAAGGTTTCCAATAATGAAGACAACACTGATAGTGACTCATCATCATCATCATCATCATCATCAGAGGAAATTCAGGAGGAAAAAGAGAGAACAGCTAATCAAATCCAAAACAATGAACCTTTAGATGAACTCAAAGCAGAGGTACTGTGAATTTTAATACCACATTATTGTTTTTTCTTCAATTGTTAATAAGGTTTTCATTTTTGCTTCAGTTCCTAACTACTGTCATGGATGAAAACTATGAAAAAGCCAAGGAGCTCTGCCAAAAGAGTAAGTCATGGTTCTTTTCGGCTGATGGGATATTATTTAAACAGGCACAGCTTTGTCTTCGGTACAAAAAAGATATGTGCAAGGCAAAGAAAATGCATCCTTCATTATCTACACACAGATACGCTATGTTTAAAAAGAGGCAAACTGCAGCCCTGCTGTAGTGCTGCCTCTTCAAAGAAGTTCGGTTGAAAGTGAGAGATAGAGCGCATTAGGAGTTAGTGATGTAAAACCAAAATAAAACTAATCGCAATCGCCAACATGAGCAAAGGGAAATAAACAGACTTTAACCACCTGAGGCACGGAAAAATGTAACTGACCAAGCCTCAATTGGTTTGGGATGCATTTGATTTGTTGAAAACGCGGTGAAAGTATTTCAATACAAAGCGAAGTGAAGGAAAATTAATGCAACACGCTATAACTGGCGACAATTAATTTAAAATTGCTCTAAAGAGTGTAATGATAGTAAATTTTTTTGATGTTGGCTATCAAGATTGCTTAGCAACTGCAGCCTCTATCTGGAACAAACTTGATGGTGTACCTTTCCGTTCTGTTGAAAAATCGAAACTTGAAAATGGTGCTGAAACATAACTTATCACCGCTAACCTCTTGAGTGTTTCAAATGCTTTGGCAAAGATTATAACTTTTTCCCGAAACGCGCGAACAATCTCAAATTCGATTATGCCAATGTGCTTCTTACCCCAACGACCCCTTCCCCCCGCCGCCCATCTGAGTGTTTTATACGCGGGAAAAATCTACTATTCTTGTACTGAACAATTCTAGAAAATCCGTGGAAATCTAAATTGTCAACAACAAAAAAACTACCATTCATACTGTCAGCAAAACACACCCGTCTACCCAAGTATCAGCTATCTTATTGATTTTAATATCTACGGCGATTAAATCCCGAATTGAGTCCGAGAAGTAATAAAGAACACAACAAGATATGTTTGTAGTTGCTAACTATTTAGTATTTACAATATAATATACATGTGTACACATCCCTTTGTTTACATTTTAAAAAATTTCCTCTTTTTACTATTTACTTGTTATGCCTCTTCAGTTCTTCTTCTGGAACCAGATAACAAATTATGCAGTGAATTTCACGCTGTCATCGTGGAAAAAATTAAACAAGGTTTGTTGCTAAAGCCAATACCTCTGTGTCACGAACTGCAGATAGTGAAATACTCTTGAACTAGGAGCCACGAGGTGTAGGTAATCAGCGGTTGAACCGTAAACAAAATACATATGTGGAGGAGACTGATTAGGGTACAGATTCAGTGATAATGTCTTAACAGGACCCTTGTTATTACTATTCTTCTCTGTCAACCCTAAAATGCCAACGTAAATTGTTCTAGTTGTATATAATACTGACCACTTTTTACATCGCCAAGAGTGAAACAGTTTCAATTCAATACACCGTAATGATGCGATTTAGTACCCGGGGTGCTATTAGAGAGGGGACGCTTTTTGAAACGAGTGCGCTTAATCGTATCATTATGGTACCGTAGTACAGGATAACACGACGTATCTCTTATCTCTAATATTTGAATATACAGAATTAGAATTGCCTAGTAGTTATTACCTTGTTTATTTTGTTACTAAACCTACCACTATGTGGAGTGGAGAGATAAATAAAATACAAATGCATAAGCGTTCACAGTAAGGAAACGAAACACAGGACACAAACTTTATTTACCGGAGTATGAAGAATATTTACAGCTAGTAAAGTGTAACCTGTTTTTTCCCAAGTAATGTTACAATCGCGGATGCAGGGAACATCAGATTTTTTTAAAATTTTCATTTTAGATGCAGTTAGTACTGAAGATAGCGAGGATGAAGATGAGAGTGATGAGGAAGATGATAATGATGAAAAAAGTGGTGATTCAGATGATGATGGCGAAGAGAGCAATGATGATGATGATGATGATGATGATGATGATGATGATGATGATGATGATGATGATGATGATGATGATGGAGATGATGAAGAAAGTGATTCTGGTGATGACTACTCAACACCATCAGGTCCCATTAACCTAATCATGGGTGGTTTGCCAATCAAACCCCACAATAGGTGACAATTATGGTGTGGTTTGGATGGTCAAAAAGTTAAGTTTGACAAGGACCAAACGAAAAACTCGGTTATTAATTCTGAAGTATTCTGCCTTTTTTGTTTGTTTGTTTGTTTTTTTTCCTTTTTTTTCCAACAGAAAATCAAAAACTGCTTTATTTTCACAACTTGTTGTAAAGGGAATTTTTCTCGTTTTATATATACATTCAAACAGTCAATAAAGTATGTTAAAACATGCTTATTTGTGGATTGGAATCCTGGTTTAAATCATCCCCAATAGGTAGTAATTACAATTTGTGTAGAAGTTCCTTTTCGCCAAATAAGTATCCCTGGGCTGTTGTTGGCCAGCGAAAGTATTCAACTCCTGATAGTATCTGCTGATTTAGTGGTGTTATCAGTTGGGGAACCAAACTCTTTCTATATTTTCCGATTGCTGTATACACCAGCTTCCTATTGTCAATGAAGTCTATCTTTAATTGAGGTCTCGCACATTTAGTCTGTTGCTAGAAACACAGGCACGCTCATAGTGTCCGTGTCTGAAGCATGGAAGATAATCCTACGTCCGGGCTCATCTCACAAGAATATAAGCTTTTGTTCCCCTCACAAGCAATGAAGCAATTCCAAGGCGAAAACTCCTGTCTTAAGTTTAATTCAGGAAGAACCCTTGCAAAGTTTAAACGAGCTTGTACAGCTCAAGCGCATTATTTTGTGGCCCTTGATTAAAGTAGCAGTATCCAAGTTTTTTTTTTCTTTTTTCTTTTATTAGACTTTCTCCCCAATATTTCCCATAGTTTACCACCTTCCTTAACTTAAGGTCAGGAAGTCCACTTTAACAAATCCAGGTAGCAGCATTTTTTGTTCGTTTTACCTATATGCCCATGGAAGATTTTCCCTATGGATCCTGACGTACTCTAATACCCTATTGTCGCCGTATACTGGACATGTGTCACCATGGACCTAGTAAAACGGGTAAGCTTGCCACGAGTCTTAAAGCTCAGTTGTTGAGCGTCCGAAGTATTCATCGAGAGGTGGTGGGTTCCACTCCTAATGGGAGCACCGAGAGTTTTTTCCCGAGTATGCCTTTGTCACTCATAGTATGTGGGGAGTTTGTCACCGCGGTTCAGCTCCTATGAGGAGCACTCGGTTTCTTTTTGTTTTTTTCTTTAAATCTTCGAGTATGCCTGTCAGTCACTGAGCAACATCTTCCTACACTTTAATCACCAGGCTTAAAATTTATCTTCTTCTCCAACGTCATTAATTCGCAGAAACGCCAAGTATCGACATACCTATCCTCGCACTGAGCAGGCAGTTTATCACCATGAACTTGGTTAGACGGCTTTGCTTGCCACGAGTCTCCCGCTCAGTGGTGGAGCGTCTGAAGTACTCGGAGTATGTTTTCCCTGAGTATGCCTGTGTCATTCGCTGAATAAAATCTTCCTCCACTCCAATTTTACTGTTAAACAAGCAAGTTCAGTATATCTGTGATTTGATTAAGATGAAGAAAACTCCATTTTTGCTGGTTTTTGTTGGAGTTTGCATCTTTGCCAGTGGTGACGGTTTTTTATATTGTAAGATAACCAGTCACCCCTTCGAAAGTTTCGCTATTCTTGTGAAATTAAGGGATGGAATCTACATAGCTAAGTCATAAGAGACATTGTGACTTGTAGTGTGAATTAACAAGAGTAACGGCCCATCTTTCCGTTAACAAACCGCCCCTTTGAAAGACTGCCTTGGCTGGATTTCCAGAAGTAGAGGATTTTACCACGGCTAACACTTAATGATTGTACTCGTCGCTAGCGAGTTTATGAATGACATTTCAACTTCAGCAACGGTGCTTCAGCCCGCTTTCCCTTCAAAACTTAAATGGACAGTGGACTGCTCATCGCCTTATTCAGGAAATCCTGATTTTCGTTTACTTTCGACACTCTAAACTAATGAAGCCTTCGCGACCTTTAAAACTAATTACGTCTACGACGACCTCATCCGTTGATATAGCCGGAATCCCAGTACACTCAGATGGTGTTATCTCAGTTTATAAATGTATGCCACCAACGCCTCGTTTAATCTCTTAAATCTTGTGATGCTTTCACAAGGATTGAGCAAGAGGGTTTCTAGGATCCCGAGGGCGGAGTGTAAATTGCCATGGGCACATCTTTTTAAAACAGTGGACATTTGCCCAAGAAAACCCTTTTATCAACGACGTGGATCAACCGTCGAATAAACTCACGTTTGAAAGTCGGACCTGGACTGTAGGGGTGGGAAGTGAGCTCATTGCTCTTCCAACAATATACACCAGTCATAATTTTCCAAAACCAACGAACCAACAACAGTGTTGCATAAAGTTAAAAAAGATTACCCGTAACCTCATTACTCGTAGAAGACTAGGCTGGGCGAATGTAGTCGGAATCTTCACGACATAAGTAGTCGGTAGTTCGTTTGGAGTCGTTATTCGGTCTCATCAACCCAAAGAACACTACTTCTTAATTGCCTACATCGTGTTTCTTTTATTACCTTGCTAAAACACATTTCTTTTCTTTTCGCTTAATATGACCTGATACAAATTAAACAAATCCTCTCGTGCTTATATAGTTGAGAGGAAATCAACACGCCAAGGTCCACGAACAAGCGACACACTAGAACAAGGGATAATTTACTTTTTAACGCTAAGTTTAAGCGTTGCACTGTTTACAATTAAACACCGCTCAACAGTTATAATCCATTTTTAAGGTAAAGTGTAAGTTGCAAGCTTTGTCACAATAACTCTTCTCCAGTTAGTATCAGTGGTGAAAGAGTCTCACATCAGTGAGAGCCATTGTCATGTTATGTTCATCAGCTGCCTTGACGCAAATATCGTCAGCTACAGATCCTGCTGGGCTCGCAATGAATTCCACGCCACTCTGCAAGCGAACGTCATTAATAGCTGTAACCCACATATTCCAAGCATTATTTAAAACAGTAATAAAGCTTAATTCTTCTTTTGGTCACGAATACTCTTAAGATAATATTTCTAGCACTGAAGACCATGATATATTGTTATATCCATGCCCACAAGATGGGTTCGTCCACGATTAAACACATGCTGTGAAGTGAACACTTGGCTACTCCTCAAGCGGTATTTGAAGTGCCAAATATCTCGTCAATCCCTTAAGAGTTACTGCATGTGTTTAAGTTGCTCAAAAATACATTTGACTCCCATTAGCTTACTCATTCATCACTACTTTTATCGAAAAATCCTTTACAGAATGAAAAAATTGATATTTATGATAATTCAGGGAAATGAAATAACAAATCGTTCTCATGTAGAATTTCTCGCCATGGAATCGACATCTTAACCTATACATGAAACGCGCTGGTGGCTGAGTTCTTTTATTGCTGGTATCTCTTGCTTTTATTTCATTTTATGATTTCGTCTCGTTCCAGTTCCTTTCATTTCATATCACTTCACTTCATTTGAAAAGGATAAAAACAGTCTCAGGGAACTGGAAAATGGAAATGGGACAGAGTTGAAGAAGACTGTAACAAGAATAATAAATAAGAGCACCTACCAGGTGGGCTCTATCAATGTTGTCCCTAAATGGAAAGAAAGCATCTGAACTTAAGGAGACGCCCTTAAGGGTAGCAATCCACTCTTGTCTGTCAGCCTGAAGATATCAATCAATCAGAGTCAACAGTGATGCACAGACCTAGATTTCTATATACTCATAACGAAACTCGTCTCCAGGTTCCGTATTTCACGCGAAACTGCTTCAAATGATGAAGGCAGGAGAGAGTCAAGTCGCCCACTTCGATAAGTGTCTTCAACATCTTCGATCAATTTTTAAGCAACCTTACAAGGTAGGACTAAGAGTCTTTGCAAGCCTCTTATAATTTCACCCTACCCTAACAAAAGTCTTGTCTAAAATTTGCCAATACCTGGAAAAGTTCAAAATTGTTTTAAAAAATAAACAATAATAACAAAGAAAAAAATCTTGGTTTTCAACCCATATTTCAAAGTTTTTTTTTCTGTGACCTACCGCAGTGAGAAGTGCTGGTGGAGTTTCAAACATCCCTTCCCATGTTTCTTTGTCAGTATCCTGTAGTGGGTCGAGTCAAAACAAGGAAATTATGGCTGAAGTGAATCAAATGGCAGGCTTTCGTGATTACATTTATGTTCCCTTTAACTCTTGGTTCTGACGTCATAAGATACAATCTAGATTAACCCTTCATGTAATACTTAAGCAAGGATAAACACTCTCGCATCGCTTCTGAGAAGAAGAGACTTGTACCTGTCCAACTGTACCATTGACATAAACGTCGATGGCATTTGACATCTCAGCTCTTTTAACTCCCTAAAAACAAAGAAATGAAAAATCAGTACAATAATGTAGGCCAAAGAGAAACCTGTGTGAAACAGATTCTTGCCTAAGTTACTGTTTTTCTCCTATATTCTCCGCAAATTGAACTTGTATTCAACGGACGCCCCCATCTAAAAGAGGAGGATGCTCTAGAAGCCCTTTGTGAGAGTGCTACAAACCTCTTTCATGAATGGCGGGCCTAATTGTTTTTCGTCCACACTCATGTACATTAACCTTTCTGGTCCCGACGACGTGTTTACAGACCACGAAATTCTCACTTGAGAATTTCATGGCGAGGCCAAGAGGGTTTATTTGCATGCACATAAAATAATGATAACCGTAGCGAACATTATGAAGGAAATTCAATTGTCTAGCTCAATAAGAGTCCAAACAGAACCCTTAGAGGTGAGGAAATGACGACTACGATTTTGTTACGCCCCGAGCACGGGGTCAGATTACCAAATAAGACTCAAAATGGTGGCGTCTTCACGCAAAGTCTGAGCACATTCGACGAAAACTTTCGAATGGCAAGATTACTCCTTGGAATCACAACACTCGTCTGTCACTTGGAATTATTGTAAAGTCAATCCATGGAACTCAATAAGAAAGTAATGAATGATCTGAGCTTGTCTTCCCCTTGTGATAAAGGGAATTTATGGCAAGCCTTGGTCATTCATTTATATGCTTATATCTGTAATTGATACACTACCACTGATGTCATACAAATTTATCCTATTTTGAATGTGAATACTAGTTTCTCCTCTGCAGGTAAATTCTTGAGAATGATTACATTTCATTGTTCCACATCAAAGCATACTAAATTATGTAAAATTAGAAAAGTATACATCAATTTTCACCTTTTTAAAAACCATATCAAGAACTCTTGGATGTTGACGCAGCCACCTAAAGAAAGAGAATCAAAAAATGGAAAACAAAGTAAAAGCCAACACTTTTACACAATACATTGCCTTTCAAGTGTGATTTCTTTGCAAGCAGCTGTTTCTTAGGGTGCTTATTCTGATGATAAGCAATGCATTACTGCATAGCAAAGTTATTGTTTTTGAAATAAACACACCAATTGTGTCAAAAATGAACAGCTTTACCAGATAGAACCTTGAGAAATAAAGAGAACTGAAGTCATCTAGTTGACAATAATTGTACATGTATATTAATCATACCAGTTGTTTGCTTTGTCTCCTGCCAACCTGGTACAGTGGATGCGAGACTGCTGTCCCGCACCAATGCCAATAACCTAAAACAATAATCATTACCAAATACAGAATATCAGAATAGGAGCCACACACAATGTAGGAGGCCACAGTGTAAAGAGACTCAAAAGTATGCATGCCAGTCAGCTTATTCCTTGAAGGCCTTAAAAATGAAAGTAAGTTTGAATACTCTAATATCTAATTTTTGGCTTGTACAAGATGTATGATCACATTTGGTGAGCCAAATGTTGATGTACAAAATTAGTACTGGCACAAAAAAATAGAGTCAGTTCTCATACAAAGGGAACAAACAGAATTGTGACTCCCTATCCATGGCCAATGATCCTTTCCAAAACCCTCAAATTAAAAAATCTGTCCCAAACTATGTGAGTTCTAGAAACATTTAGAGGCTCTGTAAAACGGTGATGCAAGTAGAAACACGTTTCCATGTTTCTTCACAGCGCAGCACATCACTATTGCTTCATTAGACAATTTCCACACAGATCGGGCCAGTTATTACACAACCCCTGACCCAAACCACGGTTTCACACTACCAGTGGGCCTTAGGGATTCTCATTAGGAGGGTTGATTTAGTTATATAAAAATACTGCCATTAATAGCTTTGGGGAATCTTGACAAGTTTTCAAAAATAAATGTTCAGATAAAAGGTTTGGCTATACTGAAGTTGGCTTCAAACGCAATTTTGTCTTAATGGCTAACTTTCATTTAAATAACCTGGCCATTAAGTCTGAGTTAGACTAATTTTAAATGAAAGAAGGAAGAAAGACTTGCCAACAAATACTCCCATTATAGCAGTTTGTTAGAAGTAAGAATGTTTCCTATAACTGGAGTACAGTTTTGGGTTATACTGGGTGCTTTCATTGTAAAATTTATGATTGGATTTAACAAAACAAATCTTGAGACACAGTCTATTTACTTAACTACTTCATCCATGTTTAAGTCATATCTTGGTTAATTGCCTCATTAATTGTGCATGAGTTAAAGAACCTATCATCATACCTGACCATCCCTGGCATAACAAACTGAATTAGACTGTGTGTACTTCAAGGCAATACTGGCCACAATTAGGTCTCGTAAAGCAGTCTCAGGTAACTAACACATAAACACAACTTTTCATCATTTTTCAGCTAAAAAAAGAAATGGTAAAACTTAAAGATTCCTGTTGATCTTATTCTTAGTGATCAGTCAAAGGAAGGTTCTAAATGTTTTCTTTCAGTACAATGGGGCTTAAGTTCTTAGGGTAGACCAGCTTAACAATGAACCAACACATGGTTTCCTTAGATCTAGAGTATGTTAATACAGTAAACTGTTAAATTAAATGTAAAGAATCAATCACTGTTAAGTTATTTAAATAAGGAGAATGTACTGGTACATGATTGTGTAAGTTTGTTTCTCTATGACTTACATCTTGCCTCTTGGTTTTAATGTTTCTAAAGACGTTCTCATCAATCTTGGCATTATTTCTTAGTTGTTCAAGTTGAAGTCCATATATGGTTCTGGTCTCTAGTTCTTGGGGCTGGAATGCAGGATCCATCTGAATGAAACAAGTAGCATTGCTATCTTCCTTAGGGTTACTCACAGAAATAAAACACAGTCTACAATTGCATGTGCCAACTGTTGTATAGTTGTAGAGAACAGAGTTTTTACTATGGTCAATTGACAGGCTGGGAACAAGGCAGAAAATTAATAGAGTAGATTAAAGTATTTTAATGCATTTAAAACATGCTCCAGAGATAATAAACTGAGAAGTTTAAAATCTCATGATACTCAATAAATGTATTTTTATGAAAAACTTTGCCGCTTCCTATGCCCTGTGTACCTAGTGCAACATACAGTACCGCTCACGTATACATCAACTGCTCAGACGAATTTCATACACTCTGATGCAGGGTAGTCAGACGCATATATATGATTTTTTGCGCGCACGGTTGAAAAAAATGCGCGATTCGTGTTCCTTTGTTATTCAGTGCTATAAGTTTCATTTGTATTTCATGTATACACCTACTTCTCTCAAGGCTGAAAGTGTACAGTTTTGTCATCATCATTGTCAGGTGAGTAAAAAAAAATTTTAAAAAATTAAAAAAAAAAAAAAAGGAGTTTTTCAGAAGATATTTCATTCATACTTCAAGCACACAGTATTTCCCTCCTTTTTTCTTCTTTAATACATCTAGTGCATCTGGCTCATACCCTGGGGCAATGATACCATCTGAGACCTACAGAAAGGATCACAAATCAACTTACACACATACAAACCCATAGTAACTGAAGAAACAATTCCTTTTTCATCCACCTCTTTATCCTTGACCATGAATAAAAATGCTATATTTTTTGGGAAAGGCTTCTGTTGATTCTAAAGTAACTGCACCAACTTGGCAGACATTTTCAAATACTTATAATTTTTTATGAGCTATTCCAAGATTTTTTTTTTTTAATGAACAAAGTACATTTATCACATATAATTCAATATGAAAGATTAACAACAACAAATTTCTATTTTAAATCTTTACTCAGTTTGTAATTTGTCACTGAAATAAATGTACCTCTCAGAAGACATACTTGATCATTTCTAGAGTTACAACCTCCTTTAAAGTTAAAAAGTACCATTTTCCACTTTTCTGTAAACCCTTTGTTCAAAAGTGACATCCGTGCCACATATCCCACTTATTCTAAATACTAAAGAACATCCCTGTTTACATTCTCTTGATTGAAACTCACTTCTCTAGATATAATTTTTGCTGTAGGGAGATCACAGATGTCAGAAAGCGCCACCCAGTCACCAAAGGATGACATCCTGTCTGCCCCTCTGGCTCTGGCATAAGCTGTGGCTAGTAGTGTCAAGCTGTCAATCATATCTTCCACCATGCAAAGCTTTGCCTGCTCTGTTGTAAGTTTCACCCCAACAGCTGCCCCAGCTGGGCTTACATGTTTAAATGATGCTGCAGCTGGCAAGTTCAGGGATTGGCGTAATTCCTGTATATGATTAGATTGTAAATAAGTAATAACCTATTATTAACACAGCATCAACTTCCATAGTTTAATAGACCACAATATCCACAATGGTTTAGAAGAAGCCATTTACAAACTCAAAGATTCTCATATATATGGAGATTTTCACCTCTTCTAAAGGCTAAAGAACTCTTTCATTCTAGAGAGATAGACCCTAGAGATAATAAAGCTGATGAGAAATAAATTGATCATTTATAACCTTTGTTGTCAGTTACATCATTCAGGCACTGACACACAGCTGAATATTCCTGGTTGGAGAAACTTACTTGGACCAGTTGCCATGAATTTAGAGCATCACAGAGGTTTATAAACCCAGGAGAGCCATTGAGGACATTGACTGGAAGTTTGGTCTCTGAGGTGAACAGCTGTGCTGGTTTTTGATGGGGGTTCATTCCATAACGTAAAGGAATGTGTGACACTCCAGTACCATACTGTTTTCTGAAGTAGTCTGAAATGGCTTTATCATAATTTGCAGTGTGGCTGAAAGCCTAAAGGTACAAATAACAATGATGAAGTCTGCCTAAGAAAAATTCATCTCCAATACTGTTCTGTAAATTTTCATAACTCTATAAATTCCATGACTTTTACAAAACTATGAAAGTTATCAAATATATCCCATAGATTTACTGTTAGGAGATCAGTTATATCCCATATATATTCCATGAATAGGTGATGCATAAAATTGGGCCATAGCACCAATGGTAAGTACAGCTGAGATACAAGTACACTTAACTCCTTAATGAAGCCAAATACAACAGACTACAAGAGAAATTAGAGTTTTAAATAAAGGAGAACACAGGCTGTACAAACTCAAATGGAACTGAATGAATTTAAGCCAATGCATGGGAATAAATTTACCCTTAAATTTTGTTGTTTGTACAAATTCCCAATGTAAGTGATGATACTTCTTATTTGTGATGTGCCCAATGCTCCTGTTTGTTTGTTTCTGGGGTGTCATTTAGAAGCCATGTTGAGCAGTTATTTTGTGTACTGTCTCCACGATTCTCTTACCTTTAAGGCAAGCATTTTCCTTGTGCTTGGCAAGGTGTCATGGTAATCACTTGAGGTTAATTCATCCACTACCCTGTGAATAAGGTGATAACCAATAACAAAAAAAAAAAAAAAAAAGGATAGACTTATCCTGTCATCCTGTCTTTACATCCTCACAAAAAACTGCCAACCAGTAAAAAAAGTAGAGACAGATTATCTTAAAGATTCACCTTTTAAAGCAAAGGGTGTAACAATACCATAGCCAGTGGCAAAGGTAGTTGAAACATTCAATGATTACCTTCTTAATTTCATTTGGTAGAACAAGAGGTTAGACAGACATGAGAGCGCTACCTCAAACTCACTCAGTAAAACAATTCAAATTGTTCACACTATCTTCTGCTGATGAAGAAGAATATTTCCAAAAGACAGCACCCCTCAATAAGGGTTGTTTCATGCAATACAATTAAAAAATGTTCCCCCGTGAACATTCACATTTCTCGTGGAGTGAAGAAAGGAAGAATGCCCACTCACGATTTATAGGACGACTTTGGTTGTGTTTCATGCTATCTAAAACTTGTCCCTCAATATTACTTTTCAAATTTTGAGACTAATGGTTTTAAGGGCTTATTTCAAGCAAAATTTTGTGTTTAGTTTTAAAATTCAATACACAGTAATTGACAGAGTCAACTGTAGCCTCATTTACCTATCATAGTCAGCAGGATCACAGACAACTGTGACACGAGCATGATTTTTAGCAGCAGCTCTTAAAAGAGTAACACCACCTAAACACAAAATAATAACTATTTAATAATTTATATTACAGCTGTGCACTGGTTAATTTCAAAGACAAAGAGGTGATATGAGGAAAGTAAAGAATAGCATAAATGTTGTAAGTTGTTATGTCCTGATCCCAAATTTAAAAGTTAGGAAAAAAGAAAAATATCAATGCAACTCTTCTGGTTGAAAAAATTGATCCTGATAGTGAATCTCAACCCGTAACCAAACTGTTTGTGACTGAGTGATGGACTCACTCTTTACAAAATTATAAATATGTTATAATTTTAAGATATCACATACCAATGTCAATCTCCTCCACTGCATCTTCCACAGTACATTCTTCCTTTGCCACAGTGTTTACAAAAGGATACAAATTACACACCACAAGTCTGAAAAAACATGAATGCACCATAAAATTATCTATGGTTGCTAAAACCAGTGAAGCAGTTGATTTGACTTCTTAAAATGATAGTTACATCATGTCAATGTAAGAAATCATTTTGACACAAGCCAAACTAGGGAGCCTTTAAACTCCCAACTCAAGTCACCTTTAAAACTTATCAAGCACTGGTGGTGGAAGACTCAGTAACGTTCTAGCCACACAGCCCTTGTCACATACTGTTGGCTAGCAAGGAAGTAGAACATACGATGTTAACTATAGTAGTTCTGACTGTCAGATGTATACAGATTGTTTTCCCATATTTCTGTGGCATGTACATATATTTATTCTCATTGTTTGTATTTGTCTAGTTTTGTCACTGTAATCATCAAATTAAGAGAATGAATGTAAACTTAATTTCAGTGAAACATACAGTTAAGTTTAATTTAACAAACCTGATATACTCATAACTTTGCTTTTCCATGTCTGATTTGTCTCCTTCAGTTACTCTAGCAAGAATCCCTAAGACAAAACAAACCATTCAAGGTAACATGCATATCTTTTGTGTGTGTGTTATGTGAAGTCAGAAATTAAACTTGTTTTTTGTATCATTACCAGAGTTATACCTCCAAATTATAATCCAAATAATATAGTTTATGGGATAAAGGGTGGCAAGCCTGCTGTAACAACAGGCTTGCTCAAAGAAAAGGATCAGTATAATGTTGAAGCAGTTCTTAGAGTGAAGCAGAGCAGCACTTTGATAAAATAATCTCCTTTTAAGCTATGGGTAATTTATTTTCCAGTTATTATTTTTAAACACCATACTTATGTGTGTTGGGACAATAAAAGGGCAGATACACATAGTATTAACTAATCAAATGCTTTGGAGCATTCAGTAAACAATCACCCATTTGAAAATGTCCAGTATACCTCCATGTATAGCAGGATGGAGGGTTTTAACCCTACCCCCTAACATCTCAGGAGCACCTGTCACATCTGACACATCCCTGTCAGAGAAAAAAATTACATATATATGACCAACTAGCCCACATGGTCTTTAATGCTCAATTTTTAGTCCTCATTAATAGAATTTTTGCTTGCAGATCTTGGAAAATACCTACAAAGAGTCTTTCTGCCTTATTTTGAGGCAGAAATCAAACCAGATTTTGGACTTGATATGGAGTTAGGATGACCAAATCCACAAATGAGGCAGAAAATACCTTTGGCAGGAATTTCACTAGATGCAGAACATCTATTAGTAAGAACCACAAATCAGCCATAACAGACCAATTGAATGGGGGTAACAGAGCACACCAGCCATCTGTATGGACCCAAGTGATTCCCACACAGATTATTATCAATCTTTTATATCCCCTATGGGACAAAGGTTACATCAATATATTTCCATTTAACCCTGTTTAGTGAAGCAATTTGTTGTGCAACACCCCATGTGAGTTCTACTCTACCTCATTGAGCACAACTGACTGTTTGGAATAAGTATCAAGATGCTACCACTCTCTACACTGGACTGTTCTGACTTTGCATGCATTAATAATATCACAATTAAGACCTCTTGATGATATTTTCTGTAGTTTTTAGAGAGATACACATATAGCTGAAAGCTTTTCAAACTGTCACCTAAACAAACACACTCTTAAAAACCTGTGACTATGGTTAAAGAAATTTTGTATTGGTTTATCATTGTGTACTATTACATAATAGTCAGTCAGCAATGTATCATTCAAACAAATAAAATAACATGTTGCAAGAAACTGCACATACACTGTACCTGACAGCAATACCAGCAGCACGGATTTTATTTGCTGTTCCTCCAGATGCAATTAATTTAAATCCTAATCCATCAAGCTTTTTGGCAAACTCTACAAGTCCTTGCTTATCAGAAACACTCAGAATTGCTAAACAAAGAACAAGAAAAACATGATCTACAGTTTAATATTATTGTTCACTGAATTACTAAGATAATCAGTTTGTCATAGTGTAGTTTGATTGTCCAGGTGAGTGTTAAGTCCTGAGAAAAACTGTTGTCAGTAGAGGTGACTGACATTTTGACAACCTGAATGGAAGTCATCATCAGAGTCAAGGGCAGATTGGAGTTCAGTGACAAAGTTTGGATTCAGCTGTCCTTAGTTTCAATGAAAAACTAGATACTAAGAGCTGTGAATTTCCATGTATTTACCAGAAAAACCAGCCAAAACAGGTCATGATTGAGAGGTGAATACTTCAAGATTTCTCCACTACTAACTGACAACAAAATAGTCAGAACTGGAAAAGTTATTACCACCTATAATGGCTCGACAGACACACCATTTACATGCATGTGATTTCATTACCTACAATGCATCTTCTCAAAATGAACAAAAAAAAATTGATGATACTGATGCCATTATTTTTTTCTTACAGAGTAGAAAAAACATCTAGAAGCCAGCTAGTTGCTACATATTTCTTAATTAAGTCCATTTTAAAAATCTTTAAGTTGTCCACCTCTGTTTACTATCCATGTAGTTTGTATGTTTGAAAAGGGATAGCCTCTTTGAATTGACATTCATTCGATATGATTCCACTTTTGTAGTGATTCAGCTAGTATCCAACTGTGATTATCGACCATATAATCTTAGACAGATCTTTTCAGTCAGAAGTAACAAATGATTGACAGAAATCATTCAACAATCTGCACAGGAATGATGGCTAAGTCCATGGCTCTTCATGGTATCACCAACCAGAGAAGTTACAAGAACACAGAAAATGGAAACCAAATTGGATCTCACATCTTAGGGCAACTTTCTTCCCGATAAAACTTCAGCATTTTGAAACCATAGTTACATATCATTGAGAATTTGAGAGCAGTAACCTGAAATTTGTGTTCCACCATCAACCTATGGTAAACTGTGTAATAACTTCAATTTATATTCTTCTTGTTCTTTTTCCAATTTGCTTATTTCTTCTAGAACAATGTAGAATCCCTCCGAATTTCTGGAATTGCTGATTTTTTTCCCCTGCCTTGCTCATGACGTGATAAAATGCAAAGCGTAACATATTTCACCTTTTGGTATCAGTCAGGGTTTCCCTTGGTAAATTTTTTTAAAAGCAGAAATAATTTGGACAAATGAGAAAAGAGGTTCTATGATGACCTTGCACCTGTACTCAAACTTACCTAACTCTCCACATTCACGTGCCGCCATCTTGATTGAACCACGTGGACGAACAATTTTTGTTTCCAGGGACGGCTTCCGGTTTTTTCAAAGACCGCCATTTCTGAAAGACGACCGAGAAAGCCCTGGGAATGAAGTTGTAAACAAACCTAGCATCCATATTTGGTCTAAACAATCGTTAATGTTGTTTTTATTGGCCTCGCTGAGTTTGTATGGCACTGCACTTAACTACCCCTATGTTAATGATATGCTGTATTTACAAGATTAAAAGTTCCTGCCGAATTATGAATACGGTATGAATCAAAATTTCTCACAGGTAGTAGTTAGGTCTGTTCAGCGTTTGTTATTCCATGTTCTGCGTACGTACAACTTCCATTTTCACTGTAATTTTCTACTGTGGTAGTTATCAGGAAAGTTGTGTCCCTTTAGGTTTCCCTGTAGATTCTATGCTACCTTGGGTCTGTACAGTATAGGTCACATAGGACGTCAAAATGCGGAAAGAACATCAATGACACTGTGCCACTTTTTTGTTTTTACCACATTTTGACTTTAATCTATCACTGAACAGACGCACGTTCAAAATTCTTTTGCTCTAAGGTACAGCTAGTTCAAAATTGAGACTGTATACTACAGATTGCATATTAAATGCAGACTAGGTACCAAAGGCAGACTGCAGACGAGGACCAAAATATTGATAGCATATTGTAGACAGGGTACAAAATGCAGACTGCACATTACAGACCAGTAGAAAATAAAGACAGCACGTCGCAGACTGGGTACAAAATGCAGACTGTGGATTGCAGTCTGGGTACAAAGTGTAGGGATAATCAACACTTTTTTAATTTTTATTTGCATAACTTGTGTTATGTGTATTGTCAATTGCATTCTTTTGGAGTTTTTTTGCCTAATGTCCTTAAATGTACTTCTCAAACAAAGTGTTAAAGTTTTCTTTAAGCCTTCACAGTTGTGTACAGGTGCTTTGATTATGCAGTACATTAAGTGTTATCAGATCATATAAAAAAAACAGTATAATTTGGGGTTGAATTTTTTAAGTGTCATCTTGTTACAAAGATATGCTTGAAATGGTGGTCAAAACAAGCATATTCTAATGACTCAAGAAAATTTGTCAACAAATGCAAATTGTCATGGAAGACAAATGGCTAGTTATTAAATGTCACCACTTCTAAGGTAAATTAAAAATGAAATACTGTTTGTTATCAGCCTGCATTTTGTACCTACAGTAAAGCTCAAAGATAAAAGGGGCCAAAATATGCAAAACTTAGAGGAGTAAGGTCCAAGACCAGATACATACTAATCTTGTACCTTGTCTATCCTTATCTATCCTCAGAAGAGTGTATGTATTTAGTATGTATAAGATAGCCTAAAACTATTCCCTATATTATCAGGATTTGTTGGTAAAATTTTTAATGCAGTTGGTTCGTTTTTCAGGGAAAAGTCAGGGAAATTTAAAAAACCTGATTGTGGCAATCATGCCACAGATTGTTCACAGACAATAGACAATTCTTGGCCTTGATGCTTGTTATCATACAAAAACTAAATCCATTAATTGTTAATAGTAATGCTCCAGTTTATCTTGACACCCATTGAGGCACTGTCTTTTTGTAAACCAAGGCATGTTTGCATTGCCATAGCTATTTTTGGATGAGAGAAGGGAGGATTTAGAGCCCTCTTTGACCCATTGCCTCTCTGTATTTATATCTGTGTGACTTGCACTGGAACTTATCATTTAGAACTTAAGTCATGTTTTTTTCTAGTTTTGTTTTTTAATCACAATTTATCCTGTCATTCTTATACCTTCATATAGCATTCTTCAAGATTTTTTTATTTCTTTATTTTTTCACCATATTAGAGAGTAGAAAGTGAGCTCCTCAGCCTTAGTGGATCTTACCGGAATCCTTACGGTGAGTCACATGACAGAACCTATGTAACACTACGTGTTCCAGGCTGACAAGTTATTCTGCTGATTCATTTCTCTGTAGTTCTATTTTTCTATCTATTGTAATCTTGTAATCTGATCCAGATCTCCCTTAATCTCTGTCCCAGTGCCTTCAATAAAACTTGAAGTAGGTGGCTACCTCAGTAAAGCAGCCCCTGGAAAATAATATCGTTAGCCCATTAGTTCCATTTAGAATATTAGCTGGCTTCAAACAAAGTATGTTTAAAGTCAACCAAAAGAACTATAAAATATCTCAATGTGTTCATTTAAAAGCTTCCAAAAAGTCAGAAAGATCCAGAAGGATGGTAATTGTCCAACATCACATAATACTAAACACTTTCATTAGGGAGTCTACAAAAGCAATACAAAATAATATCTTGTGTGTATCAAATTTCCATATGCATATGTTCTCAAATTTTGATGATAGAGTCTAATCCTTTCTTCACCTTGCCAAGCCAGATTCTATGGTTTTCTTTTTACAAGTACATCACACTTTGACTCACAGTTGCTTAACCCTTTAACTCCTAGATCAAATTTGTAATTCTCCTTACTGTCAACCATACAATTCTTAGAATGTTATTTCAGATAATTTGGTATTGGATCAACTAATTATCCCCAAATTGAAATTTTTCTTTTTTCTCATCATTTATTGGGTTAATATTACATTTAAAGGAGAAATTCTGTCGTGGTCACTCATGGGAGTTAAAGGGTTACAGTATTTACATTTTAATGCCATGATCTTTGATGACAGTGTCTTCTTCTGCTTGTTATTTGAAACAAATCCTTATTTGATATATTTTTGTTCTGTAAATTTGTCTTGAATGTGGCAAAGTATATCCAACAATTCACGACAGAATACCCGCTAGAACTCTGGTCAGTACAGCATCTTATTGAAAGCACCACTGTCCATGGTCACAGTAGTCCTTCCTTAAGTCTATGAAAAAGTGTATGCAAAAATTAAAACAGTTATTTCTGCACACGTCTACGTAAAAGGAATTCAAGAGAGAGGAAAAACATTTAAAATTGTTTTCTGGCTTAGAATTAGTTCATTTCATGTAAAAATAGGATGAAGGTTTGGAAAATGCTGCAAGAGGCAGACCTTCCAGCTGGCAGGCATCATTATTAGGTATATTGTGTCAGTGTAAAAAGAAAATATTCTTTTCAGTAATTTGTGTTTCATTAAATGTGATCACATTTTTATTGGCAGAACATGGCTAAAAAATGATGTGTTATTTTTCCTTACTGGATGAGCGGTCAGAGTGCTCCAAACTAGTTTGTTTGTCACATTTTAGTCATGATAGCCATGGCTTTTATGTGAACTGTTGAACTTCTAAGGGTGGTTTTGTCACAGAAATACAGTGTACCAAGCAATTTGAAGAAAGGGAGCTATTTATGTTCTTTTGACTTTCTATACTTAAAATTTCCTATAAAAGGGTAAAAAAATTCATTGTAAATTTTAAGGTGCTATAGTGGAGAACTACCTTCCCCAGCACTATAGAGTTTTATCCATTGTCAGTTGAGTAGTACTCTTGGTTGCAGCCCTGTACAATATTGTTAAACAAAGAATATCATATTAATGGCTTTGGTACCATTTCAATGCAGTGTCCTTGTACTATTAGTGCTTCACACAATCTTTGCGTCTCATACCATTTAAACCTACACTGTGCATCCTATGTAGATCATGGAAGGAGTAAGGATGACAGTCCAAAGACAGTAAGTTACCAGTTGAACACAATTCTTTTTACTGAGTGGAAGTTTCTTAATCAATAAACTTAGGTTAGGGTTTCTTGAAATGCAAGTAAAGACTAGCAACATGAAGAAGAACCAATTGTTCCAGTGTTCAAATAGGATGGCTCCTAAAAGAGCTGGTTTTGTTCATAAATATTTGCTTCTATTTCTTGCTCTTGGGTGGCTTTGGACCTTCACTAATAGTCACTGCATGTGCTTAAAAAATGTCACCATCCAGTTGTCTTGGATGAGTAGATTTCCATCTCAGGCAAGTAAATTTCTCTGCCCACTTGTCCACTGTGCAAGCACCCCAGGAAATCAACCATTTGATTGAGTAACAAAGCAAGTGCCAAAATTTTAAATCATAATGGATCTCAAACATCAAAAGGTTGCATGATTTAAATAGTTATATATCATTCACTGAGAGTAATGGTACTCATGTTTATTTCAATTATCTGTGCTAATTAACAATGTGCTAAATTTTGTTCTGCAAAAATAATTACCTACAGAACATGTCATGTTTTGTAGCATTGTTAAAGCTCAGCTCAGCAGAATAAACCCAATTGTTATAATTTATATACACCAAGAAAGTAAACCAACTTAGAGAAATTTGAAAAACAGTCTTGTTTCTGAATTTCATTAGGTTTTAAGACATATTCTATTTTCTTCTGATGAGAAAAAACCTCCTTCCCCTAAAGGAAATGACTTTCTTATAAAATCTGGCTATTTCTTTGTTGTTCCTGCAATTGGAAGGTCCTTTGTCATATTTGGCAAAATGGTTTCCTAGCACATGTCCAACATTTTCTGGTAACCAAATTTCTTTGTGTTTTTATCAAAACAAATTAGAATGGTTTGCAAACAGTAAAAGTATTTTCAATTTAGATAATCTTAGTGAATTCATGCACATGTACATTTGTTGAGGCAACCAAAATGAGGCAAATTTCTGAGACTCTACTTGTGATATCTTTTGATTTCTTTGCAAAAGCTTTTTTCTCAAAATTTGAGTTGCCTAACTGGGGGTGCAGCTAATCTGACAGTGTGGCTTATAGATTTGTGTTTTCATTATTTTTTCTTCTGAAAGGCAGGTGTGATGGCTGATTGGGGTGCAATCAACCGTAGGCTTATGTATCATGGTTATCAACCTGTCATGGTGTTTCCATCAGGTCAATTGCAAGAAAGTCATGGAGGTAATGTTATGTTTCCCGTACCAATATATGCATATGCATCAGTACTGTACACTGTGACCACAAAAGTAAACTTCAGACTTTGACACTAACTTATTTTTAATTTACCCTCTAAGGAACCAGGTCCCTAGTTTAATTGCCCAAGTGTTGTAACAGCTGTCTTTTTTATTATTAGTATTATTACCCATCACCTCATAAACATACTATCTCAAAACATTGTTGAGGTCTGTTATGTTAACTCATTTCTACCTTTGTTTTAAAGCTTGCCATTGATTTTGGAAACAGCAGTTTCTAACATTTCTTCAACTTCTGCCTCCATAGCAGCTGTTGCTTTAGAGGAGCTTTCATCCAAGAATTTACAGAACACTTTGGACAAGTTGATGACTGAGAGTGACCGAAGGCAGTCAATGGTGCAGGAGCTAATCAGCTCTTCAACCAGAATTCAGTAAGTATTTTGAATTATCATTTTTCACATAACACTTGATGTTTTATTGGACTAGTTAAGTATAGCCTTTAATTGACAGATACTGTAACTGACTTTTTTTATTCCTGACTGTGCATAAGAAATATGGATACTTAAATTATAAATCTTTACCAAATCCATGAAATATAAATGTCCAGTTTGTCAAGTTTAGTAACCCTTTACACCCTGACATATTTTCCTTACTATACACATCTTCTTTCTTATGTTACTGACAAGTAAATAATAGTCAAAAGCTACATAAGTTGGTGATCATTTTGTTTATTTCCTTGACCTTTGATGTCTGGGTAATACTATAAGGAGAAATTTTATGCTAGTACTCTTACAGGTAGAAAGGTTGGGTATGTTTACAAGCTTATCTCTCCTGTATTTTTAAATCAATTGAAGGAGAGATGCCGATGAAGAAAGGGAAAGGGTTTATCGTCATGAAATGGAGGTGTGTATAGAATTGTGGTACTATCCACACAACTCAAACCTGGAAATTTATGATGTTCAAAAGCTGCAATTGGCACATTTCCAAGATGCATTCCCTCAATAATTCACTTACACAAGGCTTTGTGTTGTTGTATTTTCTGATTGTCAGCATCCATCCTTTTGTGATTCCTTCAGTTTATGCTGCTGTACAAGAAAGTCTTCTCCCATTTGGTAGAAAACCCTGATGATGGATTTAAATAAACATTGCACCCAGGGAATTTTTAGTTCCATAAAACATTCTTTTTACCTAGTACCCAAATTTTCAGATTCACAAGGTTACTTATTACCTGACAATCTCCCCTTCTTGGTGTTTAACTATTATTGTCTTAGTTAGTAATGAACAATAACTGTGTAAATTGGATACTAACGAGAGTCCCATGAACCTGGACTAACATTGGTTTGACCACAAAAATAGTTTACATCTAATTCTCTTGCTGGGAGTCACACATGGTTTGGTAAAAAGTGCAATTTGCTCAAATGACGCTCCCAACACAGGGAAAAAACCTTGATACCTCATTACTTTGTGACCTTTGGGGTAATTATGATTATTATTATTTCATCTGTAATTTTTATTTTAGAGCAAACTGGGATTAGAATTAGTTATTTATATATTCCTCATAGATCAGGGATCTAAAAAGAAAACTGGAAGAAGAAAAGCTTAAAGTTCAGGTTAGGCATAACTATATGATTACTTCAAATGTAAATACTTAAAAAATGCAAGTGTAGAATAATTTTAGCACATGCATACCAATTTTTATCCCCATAGACCAGAGATGAGGATAAGCACAAAAAAATATTGCAATACTTGTTTGATGAACATTGCATCTACTTTTATGATCATGACAGTGAAATATTATGCTTAAAAGGGCTCAGTGTACAACTTCAGTTCACCCTTTTCATGTTATCCAGCATAATGATATAGTTGACTAAGATACCGTTAACCCCTGATAACTTGAACCCTGGATTTCCATTATACATCTGTTAAAGCATGACAAATCAAAGCAAGCAGTGTCCTGCAGTTGAAAACATTAAATTTGGTTTGAACCAACCAATTTGTAATCTGTGTTCTCTTTTGCGCTAATGTGTCTGTCCAGTTCAGTTTTTATTGGTGTGGCGACATTTAACAATAGCAGCTGTATCTTCATAAATAGTGGCTGCTTAAGTCAATCATCATTATATGTAAGTCTCTGATGTCTCTCGAAGTGCAGTGTATGAATAGAAAAACAATATACAACTTTTTTCCTTTATCTCCACTCCTTTGTTTTCAACTCCTGTCAACTGGAACCTTTTTCAAGGTTTGACTTTAGTTATAATTCACTGATTTGGAATTTTCAAAAAACTGATTTAAGCTTATAATAAAACTTTTCCAACCTCAAGGAAATGGAGGGAGTTCGATTAATGGAACTTCAACGTCATGGAAAAGAAGTACAAGAACTAAAAAGAACAAAAACTGAACTTGTGGCTTTGCAGATACAGCTACAACAGAAAGTTGCTCAAAGGGAGGAGGAAATCACAATTCTTCGGCAGACATGTCAAGGTCTTGACAATGTGGTATGTAAATTAGTTGATCTCATATAGCACTTTCATTCCAGGATGTCCCTTTTAAAATAGGTGTTGAACAGTGAGTTTTTTCCCCTTCTTCACTGTGTTTAAATATGTGAAGGTTGCCAAGGGTTAAAGGTTGTGAATTTTTTTTTTTAAGAAATTTTTTTCCTCCGGTTTTAATTGGATAGTGCCTTTGCTTTTTAGGACGTTAAAAGACTTGACATAGAAAATGATGTTAGGGGACACTTCTGGAAACAGTCAGCAGAGAAGAGAACTGCACCAGATCAAAAGTTAGGAAGTAGCTAGTTCTTAGAAAATATTTGTCTCCTGCATATAAACAGTTTAATATTAATAATTGCACACATGGTTCATAACCATACAAACAAACAGCATATAAATATTATTGAGGTAGTCCTGAAAACTAATTTGGCCAAATTTGGACAGTTTGCGAGAGAGTTAATTTCAGAGATGTATATATTCAACCATTTTATCTATGTAGACCATTTTAAGCAGTTTGACCATTTAACTGGATGGACTAATCAATTCCCCCCAGACCATTTTAAGCAGTTGGACCATTTTATCCAATAGATCATTTTAAACAATAGGATCATTTAACCAGTTGGACCATTTCCTCTAGTTACACCATTTTTACCAGGTGGAGCAGTTTATCTAGTTGGACCATTTTAATCGGTAGACCCATTTTTGCTGGTTTATCCATTTTAAGCGGTTGTATTATTGTGACCAGTTGGACCATTTAGTTGGATCAGTTTGACCTAATTAGACCTTTTCTACCAGTTAGATCATTTTATCTTATGAGACCAGTTTTTCTAATCAGACCATTTTAACCAGTTGGACCACTTTATCTCATTGGATCATTTTAACCAAATGAACCATCATAACCAGTTGCATCATTTTATCTAGTTAGATCATGTAATGCAGTTGGGTCATTTCATTTAGGTACCTCACTTTCATCTTTTGGACAATTTTAACAAGTTGTATCAATTAAGCTAGTTAGACCATTTTAAATGGTTGAAACATGCAAAAGCTGTGGGTCATACACTTCACTAAGTGTGTAAGAGAAATATGACCATTGGAATTGAATTTTGGTCCATTCTGTTCCATTACAAAGAGATTTTGTCTGCAGATGAATGAGAGTGGCTCAGTTGAAAAATTACAGCTCTGCAAAGTTTATTCAAGCAAATTTACTTTCTCTTGAAAAACTTTTATGACCATAATGAAGACTTTCAAAAGCAAAAAAAATGTCTAAAGGGGGTAAGTTTCTAGAGAAACTGTGGTGCTGCGTTGGCAGGAGGGTATATCAGCTGAGGGTAATTTAGTGTTATCAACTAAGTTGGTAACACAAATTGGCCACCATAAAGAGCTAAATAGCTGACATTTCAAGCATTAACCCTTCTTCATGGCAATGGAATTGCTCTGACAAAGGGCTAACACTCAAAAAGTCAGCTTTTAAACTCTTTACGGTGGCTAATCTATGTTATCAACTCAGTAGTTGTAGTCTTTGTCAATGAGTGACCATCCTTGACAAAGGGTGGTTGTTTGAGAGAGGAATCAAAACAATGAGTCAAATAATAGATGGATCCACCATTACTCTTTATTACTTTATCAGTTCTAATAGAATAAATTCTAACCTGCAAGATAAATTGTTTCTGCTGCTTAGTTATTAATTTGCACACATTGTCAAGGTGGAAACTTAGAAAGATAGTATTAAAAAATTGTGTATTAGACTTGGCAATCAGGGCCCACCCAATTTTGAATGTAGCAACTTCTTGGCAAATTATGCCAGAAGCCATGCTCAACAATGCTGCATGCCCTTGATATTTTGGGTATGCTGACATTCAGACAAAAACAAAAAGAGACCTCATTGCACTAGAGTCACAGTTTTAATGGTTGCCTCAGTCTATTAGCAGTAATAACTGAAAGATTTTATTACTTATCCGCATCAACACCTAAAACAATAACAGCTAAAAATAAAGCATTCAGACACTTATTAAAGAAAAAGAAAGGGGACCTTTGAGAACGCTATCTTTCAGGTTTTCGGATGTAATTGACAGCTATGAATCAAAGATCTTTGAAATGCAGCAGGAACTTAAAAAGTTGAAAAAAGAAATGGATAGTAAGACTCTGTCTCATGTTGGAAGTCAAAGCCCTACTGAAAGTGAGTTGACTGCAGGAAGTGAAGTACCTCCATCATATGCAGACATCAATACTTCAACCAGTAAAGATAGAAAGACTGAACGTAAAATACAGAAAGAAGAAAAGGTACAGGTGAGTCAAGTGGAAAATGAATGATTCTCTCCTTCTTTATGGCTTTGGTTATACCTTTATTAACCTTTTTGTTACCTTCCCAACCCAGATATTGCACAGTAAATGTATAATGCTTCCAAGTAACAAGGAATGATGGAAAGAGGAGTTCACAATTTTTTTCTCTGCTATAACCTTACAAACCAAGCTTTTCAACAGACAAGAAACTAGGCAAATTCTTTCTAAAAATATGGAGTGTAGAGTAAGGGCCAATATTAACTTAGTACAATCCTAAGAAACTATATTAGTAACTCTTAAGGTTTACATAATTTCTATAGTTGTTTGTTTTGGCAGTTATTTGGAGCCCTTTTAAGTTTTTTTTGTGGCAAAACAATAGCTGGCTGACTGGATTTCCCCTTGCCCTCTCTATGATCTGACATAGAATACCAACTAAGATAAATACACACTCTAAAGGCCAATAAGAACTGATCAATAATATTAACTGAAGATTATCATGAAAATGAAGAGGTTTTATCTCACTTTTCCCATTTACCCAGTAATAGAGATTTTTGCATGCTATGAATTTACAGAACTGCCAATGTTCTCTCTGTAATTAAATAAAATTATTTGACCACTGCTTATTCATACATGTATACTGCATCTCTGGCACTAGCCAATTCAAGTTTTTAAGTCAAGTGAAAAGCTAACATTGTACTCATCTGAAGTTATCAACAAGTTAATTAAAATTAACAAGTGTTCTAAGTGTGTGATCCCAATGGAATGGCAGAGATGATGGTCATAGGTTCCTTTAGGCTGATTAAGCATTGAATAAGCTGATACTTTGATTGGGCAATGCTTACCTCCTTTAAAATATCTAGAACATTTCATCCCTTTTTCTGTCTGCCTCCAGCTGACTGTTTCTTTTTGTTCACCAAAAATAGAGCAGGTGCTGGTAGTTGAGATTCAAATGACAAAAAAATAGGTGGAACATGATTCCTTTAGTGGAGGCAAACAACCCTTTAATTTCTGCCATCTTGTAAGATTTTTTCCAGTTGCCAGTTGATTCTGGGAACTTTGCAACAATATTTACTTATTTAGGTTCACTGGAATCATTGCAAACTGAAACTGTAGAATTTAAGGCTCAAAGACTAATGATACAGTTAGCACCCCATATAAAACCAGGAGTGAGTTAAGAACCTACAGCCTCTAATATAGTCTCTGACATGTTCATGATAGTATTCTCTCAATGGCAAATCTTGGTAATGCAACTGTTATACACTGTGGTACCAATTTTATCTGTGTTCATTAGATAAAAAGTAATCACAGCAGCTTCTAACATCATAACTTATCCAAATTTGCACCAAACTGCAAACAACAGTTTTCTGGGGTTCATAACAACATCTCTAAGTGGTTACTCATGTGAACTTGAAAGGGCAAACACATGATCTGTCAATCCAGGTGTTTTTCCATCTCTGAATTTGAATATTTTGTGACCATTCACCATAATTCCAAAAGTATAGCAAAAATATAACACATTGCTGAGAGCAGTGAAAGTGTTTCTCTTAAGGTGAGTGTGATTGTAAGAATGTTCCAACCTCTTTTACACACAAATTTTCCATGGATGATTATCTATAAGTGATGGTAATGAAAAATTTCAAGTGATGGATTTGACAGAAGGATGAGATGAGAGATGGTTATCAAGATTCATTAGTATTATTTTGAGAATAATAGAGAACAGCTTTATGTCCACAGGTATACTTAATTATTCTTACTCTGACATTTACCCCTGATTTTTATATTTATGATTTGGTACTTGAATATCATAGTGAACTCACTGTTGCTTGTTTTTGGGTCAGTCTACAGAGAAGCAGCTCAAAGAGTGTAAGATGTTGATCAAACTTCTTGAGAGTGAAAACACCCAACTCAAACTTGAGCTGGAATCCAGGTCATTTACAATTGTTGTAATTTTTACAAAGAAATAGGGTGTTTCTAAGTGTGTTTGGTTTCTTCAATAACTTTCTGATATAATTGATTCCTTTACATAAATGCTTCTAATTGATGAATTTGAACAATAAAAAGGTAATTTTGTTCAAGGTGTCCATTACTTCACCAATGAGAAAAAGTATAGACAAAGTGAAACACTGAAACATTAAAAAAGGAAAAATGTTATGTTTGTTTGATTCCCCTGTCATTCTCTATTCCAATTCCATTATGATGATTATTATTTTATATATGTTTTGTTATGTTGGGATTAATTTTTCTTGGTTTGGTACCAGATTGTGACATGATATTTGGGGCACTGTGATACTTTAACCTTGAATCAACAAAATCATGGTGTTGCTCCAAAGTTTTACTGTAATATTGGCTGGGCTGGAAATGTTAATTGGTATAGGGGAGATTAGTGTATCCAAAATTGTTTGATAGAAATTTTATTGCTAGCTATATGCCTCATCTTTTTAATTCTCTAGACCTAAATTCAGTGATTGGAAGAAAGTGCAAAAATACAATAAACAGCTCGAAAGACTTCTAGCTCAAAATAACCTGAGGTATCTATCAACTCATGTTAAATTTTATTTTTCATGTATTCAGATATATTTTTTATCCTAATGACCAATGGATAGGCATTTGCTACAACTAAATGAAAAGTTCCCTCTTATTGTGACCATGACAAGTTTGAATCTTTGGTACATGAAATAAATATTAACCTCATTCTCTCCTTACCTTCACCCTTTTTTTTTTTTTTTTTTTTTTTTTTTTGAGAAATCAAAACTTGCAGACTAAGCCAACTGCAAATTGGGAGCTGGTCCTTATGTTGGTTTGCAATAAAACCATGAAGTAACTAATCAACATGATGACCAGTTCTCACCTGGCTTGTTAGCTCATTTGGTAGAGCATGGAACCTGTATTGCAAAGGTCATGGGTTCAAATCCCGTACAGGCATGGGTTTTTTTCAGGCCTTATTTTTACTAGTGCTTAAATTGTATTTATTACATAACTACAAGGTCGTTTTCATATTCATATCTTGAACCACAGTTCACATAAATGATTTTCATATATTAACAGCCATCTCATAATTCACTTTTTAATAACTGTTAGTTTCTGTACAGTTCTCAATTTTTATTCTGGATCCAATGAGATGTTTCTGAATTATTTTACCTTTTTACTCTCAGAGCGAATTGATAGTTATGTGTTAGTTTCTGTACTACATTATGCTATTGTAAAGATTAATATACATAATTTTTCCTCTAGTCCACCTCACAAAAAACACAAGGATGGAGGGTCTAAAATGGATGATGTGACTTCTTTGAAAAAAAGATACAGCAAACATGTAAGCTTAGCAAGACTGAAATGGTATAATGCAATAAAATATACTGGTACTTAGTTGATTAAAATGTCTATTGACCTGTTCTTGTGGTTGGTGCAATATCCTAATCAATAACACCCATTTCACTCCACAGCTTATACTAGGTTAACCATGATCATTATGATATAGTTTTGTTTAAATTTTTTGGAAAATAGTTTGTGCATCTATTTTCTAATTCAATGTTAGTATCATGCTTAATTTAAGTTTTAACAAAATCAATTTATCAAAGTTCTGAGGTACATGTAGTTTTTCAGGTTCAAATGTGTGCATGAAATGAAAAGTTCAAACTTTGATGTGATCCTGAGGTTTTAGGAGGTTACAGTGTAAGGTGAACAAACAAGAGAACAGAAATGCTTAAAAACTAATGAAAAAAGAAATTATACAGATTGTTTTCATCTGAATTCTTTGAAGCAGTTTCATACAGTAACTATGATCATCCTAAGAGTTACTCTAAACAAGACAGTTGTGTGGTAATAAGGAAAGAATGATGGTACAAAAAGACTGAGTTGAAATTTTCACCACAGGATACCAATAGCTCTAGATGTATTTTTAAATGTTTGTTGAATTTGCTATTTCCATTGAAATGAGTGTCATTCAAGACTGGCAAAGTGAATAACACATCTCTGTTTATTTTCTGGTTTGCCATTAACTTTTCTTTTTGGTAAGAATGAAATCTTACAAGATATGTTTTATCTAAAGGAAGAACTGAGTTGTTTGCACAAATGCATGAAGATAAGAAAAGATAGATGAGGTTTTGATACAATCATCATTGAAATTGAAAAAAAAACAGGCCAAATACAGAATCATGTTAGTCCATGCATTTTATTTATTCTTAATGAGTCTGAGTCTAAAAAATTAGTAAAATAAATTACTCCTTTTTGCCTGATGGGAACCTCTCATTTGCTAAACAAAGAATTCCATGATTTCAAGTTTAGCTAAGGGAATGCTATTATCAAGAAAGCTTTTATGATGGAAGGCTAATCAAAAGGTCCAAAAATATTCCACGAGTGTGTAGTTTTGCTTCACAGCCCCATAGAATTATTATCAATACTGTAATAAGCAAAAGGTGAGATGGCAATAATTGATTTCTTGTACTATGGAATGGAAGACAGGTAGGCATAATAGGCAAGACCTTAAAAAAGAGCACAGCCAACACTTTTTTATGATAACAGATAACAGACTAATTGTGTTAAACTTTATGTTATCTGCATTGAACCAAGTGTATCTAGAAAGAAAAAATTGGAACAATTGGATTGCGGTTATAACACTGAAAAATCTAAAATAACTATATGGGATGCCTTTGGCACCACATTAAAAATTTGCATGTGTCAGCATAGTTAGGTATGGAAATTTGAGCAACAAGCTTGTACTTCTCACTGAAGTTAAGCTCTATTGGCTGAGGTAACTACTTGGATGGGTGACTGGGCATCATATCCTGTGTTGTTGAAGTATTTTTGCTTGTCTTTGTTTTTATTTGATTAGTCAGAATAACATTATTTTCCCCATAAAGCCACTGAGAGTGACTGTAGATATGACCAATGCATCCCAAAGTAAACCTCCGAGCATCTTGTTCTCATTAGAATGCCTTAAAACTCCATTGCTTGCATTGAGAGTAGAAATAATTTATTGTCATTTCTGCTATTACTGATCTTTTACGTTATCGTTAAAGGTAGAAGATCTTGATTTTATGCCCATTGATGCATGCCGAAAACATTTGAAGGTAAGACTCTTAAAAAGGTATTGTATAGAGAATGTTCCTTTGGCTGTTTAGCTTTTTTTGTTTGATTATGTGGCTTTTTTTTTCTCCTTTATTAGGAAGTGTGTTCTGGGCTAAGAGTCACTGACCTCAGAGATATCACAGAGAAAATAAACTCGCTGAATATCATTGCAGAGAATCATTTACCCATGGAAAAGGTTGGTTTACTTAATGAGTGCTGTACACAACTCACAACTAGGTGTTAACTTTCTCAAAGTATTTTTTTTTCAGATTACTTAATATTTTATGAGGCGTGTTAATTAGCTACCTTCTCTTTCAAGTCGATTTTAGACATTTGGTTTCTTACGAATTTGACCTCATAGGGTTATGTATCATTGTAAATGGAACTAAGCTTGCCTGCCCTGTAAAAACTGAACCATAATATGTTGTATGATCAACTTCTATGTTCATATCGTGAATAACACAACACCCCCCTGTGGGAAGGGGGAGGAGGTACCTAAAAGAGAGGTGTACCACCCAGTTCACCTAAAATCTTAACCCTATTGTTTTATAAGTAAACTTGCCACTTTTCACACCCCTTTTAAAACTTGGCTACTAGATCTATTTCCAGACATGGCTTCTGAAAGTTGTATCATACTTGGTTTAGGAATCCACTTTGCTTTGTTCTATGGGGCAATTAACTTCCTTAGAGACAATCTCTGGTTTGCATAACTTTTGATAATTTTCCACTCCTATCTCACCCAAACAGTTTAAATGAGGCCATGAAAACATGGGAAAAGATCTTGTTTTTTAAAGGAATTGTTCTCAAGAATATAAGAAAATCTAAACCAAAGAAACTTTGCCTAAAGCTGCATGCTCTTATATTAACACACCTGTCAACTAAAGAGAGTGTGCCAGGTATGTCAGTTATTTTGAAATTTTTATTCTAGATCATGCAAGACATCATGGATATTATTAACTCAAAGGATACCCCTAACTTATCAGTTGAAATTCTGCACCAAAATGGTGCTTCACATAAATCCCACTGTGAAAAGGCATGGCAGTGTATTGTTCCAACTCTGAACCTCTGGCTTACACAACTTACAGGACTTCAAGTAAGCTATTAAAAATTCTACACAATTGCTTTCCAATCTATTTGTGAGAGTTTAGAGCTTAAATGAAGAGTTTTTTTTTCTGCATCATACAATGATGCCAATTATATATATCATACTTGTAAACCTGACGGAGTTTTTGATGGGACAAAACACTTGCAGACTTTCCTGCAACATTGAAAATTGAATGCATAGAAAGTTATTTGCAATGGAGGTGATAAGCAACAATAAAAAGTCAGTCAATGTTATCACACTAAATAATAGAGCAACATTTTGAAACTGACTACCATCTTCTGACAGCTGTTGTGATCTCTTATTGTATTTTTAGGATCTTCAGGGACCAATCAATCAACTGTCATTTAACTTGATGCCATGGAAATCAAACACATTGTTTGAAGAGGACGATACCAGACCTTTAACAGTACAGAGAATCAAAGAGGCACTTGAGTTTCTTTGCCTTGAAACTAGAGTCAGCCCAAGTGAGATACAGACTCACACTGCAGAAGAAATATCACTGGATCATCTAAAAAGCATTGTTGCTCACTTTCAGAAGCTGTTTGACTTAAACACTGTCAGTGGAGTATTTACACGAATGAATGAGCTCTATATGCGGCTTGGAGAAACATGCAATGCAATGAATAATATGCGAGAATTTCTTGGCTTAGGTGAGATTATTTACCAAAGAATTCTGTGAAATGTAATCTCCAAATTTAAATTTTGAAGATCTGCTAGATTCGTGTTATCCAGTTAGATTAAACTGAATGCCATTGAGGTGTGGCCTCTCTTTGATAACTATAAAATGGTCCAGATTATGGCCATTCCAAGTTATAAAATTCTTTTAAATAGAACAGCATGTTGCTGCTTTTAAGATTTGTTACCCTAGAATTAATATATTATTATGACTATTATTATTATTATTATTATTATTATTATTATTATTATTATTATTATTGTTATTGTTGTTGTTGTGGCTACATCATGTAGTTTTTGGTAGGTATGACCCTTTGATTCTCCTGTTTGGGTTGAATGCACACCATTGCAAACATTGGATTAGGTTAAGGGAAATATTTTGATTTTTCATTGGAAAGCATGCAAAGGCAGGTAACTGTTTCTCAAGGCTGACAATTCACAACATTTGGTAGAATGTTTCCATATGGCAGTGCTCTCTTGCATCAACTAGTAAACTGTTACAGGCCAGTTTTAACGGACATTTTCTTTTTACTCTAGATCCAACTTGCAAAACTTCTGATGTAGTGAATGCAGTTTCTAAACTGAGTAAAGCTAGACATCTCTTGAAAGTCGAGGACCTTCCTAAGTAAGCCAAGGCCATTTATATTCCTTCCTTTTATTCATTTGTTATGCAGTTCTTCATATGAATATATCAGAGTTGGTGGTAAAAGATCTACTAGGAGTCAAAGATGTAGCAAAAACAAATTTTGAAAAGCTGATGTTGATTGATGCATTGATAAGCTGTCCATCCCCATCCACCTCATCCTGAGTCAATGAGTATTTAAATTATGACCACTGCTCTTTCTCTTTCCTTTCTTCTTTTAATGTGCTCCTCACCATGCACCTTTTTGTGCTCTGCTCACATCATCATGTATGGCCTTCACCTAAGGGTTTTTTTTAAAAGTTTCAATTTACTGCATGCTAAGGGTTATATAAGCAGTGCCTCCTTTTCAGTGAAGTCCATTGCACAAGTTAAAAGAAAACAGAGAAATCAGTGAAAAAAATGCCACTCAAGAGCCCTTGGAGTGACATTGATGCACTGCGGAAGCTCCATGATTAAGGTGCTTGAAGAGTAGGGACTACAGACTAGGTCCAAGAGGTTGACCTTGCACTGCTGAGTGGTTTTCAGGTGTCAAATTTCAATTTCAATCTCAATCAGGCATAACCAATGAGATATCTCACCTTAATTACCAGTCAATCTTCATGTCATTGCAACATGAGTGATATTGGAAAATTAAACCATTTCAAATTTCGAGGTGCACAATAAACTGGAGTTCTGTTAAATGTTTCAGTAAGATCAGTCTCACAGACAAAACTCCTAAGAAGATAATTAGGAAGGGTAGGCTGGTCAAGGAACCAGCATGGAATAACTTTTGCCATGTGTATGCTTGTAATTTGTTTCAGAAATAGCATTCATACAGTCTTCATCCTTTTATGATAACTTTACCCCTGGAAGGCCACGTTCACTGAGTTTGCCAACTTGTTCTACCACAGTGCTGCTAAGCTGTGAAATTAGAAGAACACATGCTTTAAGATGAAAAAAGGTTTTGCAAAAGGGCCTTACCTGGTAAATAAGGCTCTTTCACAAGCAGGCTGGCAAAATTGTGAGAACAAACTTGCCAGTGATAAGAACATCTAGCACCTCAGGCGCTATAGATGCTCTAGTTTAAGCAAATGTCAGACTTTGCCAAAAAGGAAAGACAGCTTGTAGTCAATATTTTATTTGCTTATTCATTTGACACATCTCACTATATTGTTTTATCATGTTCAATTTGTGCCATTTAACCAAAGGAAGGAGATTGCTTTCAGGAAAAAAAAAAATTTTGTGGGCCCATTTCTAGATGTATTAATCTTCCTGACTGTTCATTTTTTAAAAACTTGGTTTGAGGATTTCCTCTACTGTTTCAAACTAAAAGTTTCAAGAATTTACCTCGAAAATTGGCCCTGGCTTCCTCTTAGAATCTAGGAGGTTATGAATGCAAGAAGAGAGGGGGATACAGAAAGAGCAGTATTCATTTGAAAAATGCTTATTGACTGAGTTTAAGGTTGGTCTGAGCAGGAAAATACTTAGCCCGATACCATGACATAATTATGAGCACCACAAGGTTCATACATCGTGACCTAGAGGTAAATATTCCCCCATTTAGCCCAACCTCACTCTGTCTCATAAGATGATGCAAACCAAAATCTATTTGCATACAAAAACCTATAATAAGCTTTGGCAGTTTATCAATCATCGTCAGATAAATTTGTATCTTAAGTGGCATGACTCCTGCTTACTGCAGGGACCAACATGTCTAGTACAACCTTGGTGAGCTTAGTTCTTTATTCAAGACATAAGGAACTCTCTTCAACATAATTAATTATCGAAGATACAAAACCCATCTTTCTTACATGTCAAAGACTTAAATACATGCATGAAACTGAGATCAAAATAGCCTGTGCCAAGTTCTTGGTAAGTACAAAAGAGCAAAAAAAGCAGGCATGTAATTAAAAAGGGCAAGGTTTGGGTAACAGCTGCTGTTTGTAATTCTTCTGCCCCAACTGAGAGCTTAAAAGTAAGCTTTGATTTAAGGCAAATTAATTTTCTCCCAAAAAATTCTAATCCTGATAAAATCTAATTGGACAACTTTTCTACAATTTGCTCAGCCACAGTACGGTACCTGTTTTAGTTGCAGTAAAATAGCTACTTCCAAGAGTCAGGTATTTAATCATTGATTTGAAAACCTTGACTACTTGATCACATTATGTATTTTTGTTCATCATTAGCATTATGAAACGCTTGGATCAGTATGATGAGTTCTACCCAGCTTTCCAATCAATGATTTCTGAGTTGAAAAATCTGTTGAGTGAGTAACTGTTTTGTGAGAAATTGTACCAGAATGTAGAATCATCTGTCTGTACAAATGTAAATAATTATGTATCCTTATTTGGTTCTTTTTTGTATTTGTTTAAATTTTTTTTTTATTTTATAGTTATAGTTTTCTTGATTTTCTACTACATAACCTGGGGGGACACCGATTTGCTGTTTATGTCATGCAGATTAAAATATATGAATTTGAAAGAGTTTTGTAATTTTAGTTTGAAAATGTTGTTTTTTCCTTTTGCACTATCTGTTTCTTAATTATGGTGGCAACTTACTGAAGGTTTTGAACCCCTTACTGTATTCAGAAGCATTTTTGTTGGAAAATGGGAAGACTATAAGGTTGGTGGGTTCTTTAGCTTCAGTAAAATTACCCCATTTAATGTTTTAAAGCCCGTAAGAATGTTATTTGTGAGTCATGTACAAATGCTTTTGCTTTACCATTGCAGGAGTTCAAGACATGGATGAAATTGTCACAGCTGTAACAGCACTCATCAAGTTTCCACCCTATTGACTTTGCTAAGTTTTCCTTACAACCCTTTTACATTTAAAAAAATTATATCACTGAGCAGATAATGAAGTGCCTTGTTCCCCACAGTACCCTATTCTAATTCTGTAGTGTTAATTTTCACTCAATAACCTATTTAGGCCAGGACCCAAATGGCCCAGACACAATGTACTTTCTCTTAGTTTTAAGGTGACAGACTATGTCAATTGTATCACATCATAACAATTTGAAATCTTTCTTATTAAACCACAGATTTTTTACCTTTTCATTGCATATTTGAAGTCAGCTATAACCTCTCTAACTCCCTTGTTGTCTTTCCATCTACTTGGCCTGTGTTTCTAGTGTCCTTTGGGCACCACATGAAAAGCAAGACAAAAGACAGGAGGCAGAGCTTTTAGTGAAGAAAATTCTCTCCTTCCTTCAGCAGCTGAAAATTCCTAAAAATAGCCAGCTACGAGGGCTAGCTCCTTCCTGCTTACCAGTTGTTTCATGGTCTTTGGTAGCCACAGTCATTTGGTTCCCAGTCATTATGTATCCAGCTAGGACAATTCCTACCCAGTGACTTGCATAATTTCATACCCATACTAATAAAGTATTTTTCCATGCAGTTTCTTTAAAGCAAGATGAATACCATTTAATTGTCTGCTTTAAGTGAGTTTTGTTTATGTAGCACCCATTTTTGACATGCTACTACCAAATGTAAGGCCTGGAACCAAAAGTGGGATATACCAACTGAATGGAAAATGCTTTAACCAAAATGCTTGGACCAAAATACAAAGGTTATATTTGCACAAGTGAAGAAGAATCAAAGCAGTGGCTTTGATTTGTTATCTATTGACATAGAAGACGCTTGACCCTTGGAAACACAAGTCTCCTGGACTTCTGACTGGTGACTGGATTTTTTTGGATGAAATTAAGATACTTTAAAACTTTGACAAGAAAAATTATTTTGGAGTTACATTTTGTAGTAATGTAAAACAATGGGAATATGAAAGCAACGAGTGCATCTACTGTATGAAGATCCTTGTTTCATTCAACAGAATCAAGCTTCAAAACATTGTAGTTTTGCTAGCAACTAACTTGCTAAAGACTGACATTTTGACTCCTTTTTCAGGTCATGCTTCAACTAATTAGCAGTTGAGAGACTTGATTAACCATGCAGTAATTCCAAAAATGGAAGAAATGAATTGATCTCTGAGTGTCACCTTTCTTCCTGCAAAACTCCCTATTTTTCAGTTTCTCTCATGGACTGATGAATATATATACTCTAGATGATTTCCTTTGAGCTACCCTCTGTTTCCATCTACATTTCTTTCCGTCTAGGTAACTGGCACCATGTCTGTTTCTGTAATTGCAACTGTAACTGCCACTGTCAATGTCTCTATCTCTGTCACCATTGCCACCACTGTTTATGTCACTGTCATGGCCTTTGTCACAGTCCCTGTCATTATAAGTGTTTCTGTCTCCATCTATGTCCATGCATCTGTTAGTGTCTCTGTCACTTTCAATGTCACTCTCTCTACTTGTCACGGATGCTTTTCCTGTCACTGTCTCTTTTTCTGTCGCTGACACTTTATTTTGACTGTTTTTGTTCCTGCCAGTGTCTCCATCTCTGACACTTTTACTGTCACTGTCATTGTTTCTGTCACAGTTACCATCACTGTCACTCTGTTTCTGACACTGTAATTGAATTATTATTTCCGCATGCTGTCTCTGTTATTGTCACTATCAATGTCTCTGTCTCACTTTCACTGTCACTGTCTCGTACTGTTACTATTCCCATCTGTTTCAAAGCAAATGTAACTGGCTGTCACTTTCAACATCCTGGTGACTGCTAGTATCATTGTCCTTATATCACTGTCACTATCTCTTTAATGTCTGTCTCTGCCAGTATCGGCTTGTCACTGTCACAATCCCTTTATACTCACAATCACCATCACTGTAATTGTAACTGCCTCTGTCACTGTCATTATACTAACACTGTAGCTGTCATAGTCCCTCTCACTGTCACTGTCTCTCTTACTGTCATTGTCACCACTGTCACTGATTGTGTTACTGTCCCTACCACTGTCTCCATTACTGTAACTCCCACGGTCTCAATGCTAACTGTCTGCTAACTCGCTGTAACTGTATCTTAGTTACTGTCTCTGTCACTGTTACTAACTGACTGAATCACTGACACTGTTGACATCGCTGATGTTCCTGTCACTTTCAGTGCCACTGTTACAATGTTATTGTGACTGCTAATGTCCCAGTCACTGTCACTGTCACTGTCTCTTTCTCTGTCAGTGCCTCTGCCACTGTCACTGTGTTTGTCTCTGTTTCTATGGGCTACTGCCACAGACACTAACTGTTTCTCTTTTTGTCACTCTAACTCCCCTGTCACTCACACTGTCATTACATTGTCACTGTCATTGTCACTTTCGCTACCAATCTCCCTGTTCCTGTCTCTGTTAATTTCATTGTCTCTGTCAGTGTCCCTAACTCTGTCACTATCACTATATTTATCTCTATCTTTCTCTTTCTTGCAGTCGCTTTTAATGTCTTTCTTATTGTTACTGTCACTATCAATGTCATTTTTGCCTCTTCATCTTTCTCTGTCTTATATATGCTTTGTCAAGCCCTGTGTTGCTGTCTCTATTAATGCGGTGGTTACTGTTTCTGTCATTATCTCTATTACTGTCCCTATCACTTTCTTTTTTTCCATCTCAGACACTGCTACAGTCACTTTTAATGTCTCTGTCACAGTAAATCTTACCAATTCTATCCCTGTGATTGTCTGCTACTGTTACTGTCATTTTCCTTTCCTGTCACTGTTTCTTTCACTATCACACACTGTCAATGTATTTTTATTTAGACTACATTTGTCTCCACAGGTTACTCTCATGGTAACTGTCAATTCATTAAGATTGTTTTGTCACCATACTGTCACTGTCACTGTCACTATCATTTTCACTTTCTCTCTCCCTGTCAATGTTACTTTCTTCAGCACTGTTACTGTAAATGTGTCTATTTTTCATTCATTGGCAGTTCCATTATTTCTTTCTCTGTCACCGTCACTGTCAATGTCCCAGTGTCACTCGGTGTCATTTTCCCTGTTGCTCTCTTTGCTACAGTCTTTTCACTCTGTACTGTCAATGTCACTGTCTCTGTCAATATCAGTGTCACTGTTTCTATCTGTCACTTTTAACATCAATGTTAATATTGATGTCACAGAAGAATTAAGGTTCCTGTAGAAGATTTCTATCCCTGTGTCTGTCTCTGTTTTTGTCACTGTCACTATCACTGTCTCTAGCACTGTCACTTACATTGCAACAATCTCTTTGGCACAGCTTCTTCATTGTTACTGTCTCTTCTTGTTACAGTCAATGTCACTGTTCCTAACACTTCACTGTCACTCCATTTGTGGCTGTCTATGTTCCTGTCTTAATCACTGTCTTTCTCGTTGTCCTTGTCATTACTGGTCTCATTTTCATTGGCTCCTTTGCTGTCTTTGTTACTGTTGCTGTCTTTGTCCCTGTAACTGTTTCTGTCCTCATGACTGTCTATGTGTCCTTCTCTGTCACTGTCACTGTCTCTGTCACTTTTAATGCAGCATTTTCTATCTTTGTTATGGTTGCTTTGTTGACACTGTCCTTACCACTTTCACTGTCAGTATCAGTGTCACTACTACTGTTACTTTCACTACTGCTTAAGTAGTGTTCATTATGGTGAAGATCACTTTCATATTCATTTCTTTATCCGAAGTTCAAATATATGATTTTCATACATTTACAGGCATTGATTCGTCACTTCACAAGCTTATTACAAACCAACATACTGTAATGACCAGCTCCCAGTTGGCTTGTTTGCTCAGTTGGTAGAGCATTGCAGTAGTATAGCAGAGGTCATGGGTTCGAATTATGAGGTTTTTTCCGGCCTTATTTTCACTATTGCTTTCAATTTCGAAGATTGATTTCATATTCATTTTAATTTCAGTGTCGTTGTTTCTCCCACAGACATTGTCATTGATGCTGTATCTGTCCCTGTCACAGTTAATATTGCTGTCACTTTTGACACTTCTACTGACAGCATAGCTTTCTCTGTTCATGAGACTGACTGTCTCTGACTGACAGAACTAGAAAGGCGTTCAGTATCTTGGGATGTAACAGTAAAAGATCTTGAGCAAAGATTCAAAGCATTTTTTTGGCGGAACAGCCCACTTGCCAGAGGCAAGGGAAGAAGGGGGTTGTAAGAACACTCCTTTTTAGAAGGGTTGTTTTCGCTGAGTGGATGGTTCTCTCGGGAGCTTACTTTCTTAATAATTCTACGGTCTTGGTTACTTAAAAGGTACTTAGAATAGATCTAACAAAATAAGTTTAGATTACTTTATTGGGGAATCATGTATTGGATCAAACTGACTGCTATGGCAGTCAGTTTGCAAATTGTAAGGAAGAAAATCAGCAGCATACTGCTGATTTTCTTCCTTACAATTTGTTCCGTACATTCACATGGAATGTAAGACATCTTTTTCTCTTTGAACCATGTCAAAAACCGTTCGACTAGGCTTACAAAAGAATTGTATTTGTTGTCAACAGAAGAGATTATGGTAGAGTCGTCTGCATATTTGAAAAGGGGCCACAGTACCACTATAAAAGACGTCTAAATCATTGAAAAATATGTGGACCACTTACACTTCCTTGACTGGTTTCCTTATTGACAGCCTTCCAATCACAAAAATAGATGTTACAGGAAATGCGCGGTTGTCTTGGATGCAAGAAGTCGTGGTACTAATAAAAAATGTAGCGGTTCAGCTGTAGCTGAGCTTAGCTGCTTCAGTCTAGCAGATAACATACTACGATTCACAGAATCGAACGCTTTGCTGAAAGCCATTGTAAATGGGCGAATTGTCAAGGTACTTATATACATGGTGTTGAATAGACAACAAGGCAGTTGCGCAGATATCTTCTCGCCCGTAAGGAAACTTAGGGTGGGACTTGGGTTCGTCTCTATGGCCAGAACTATTGTCATTATACATCTACTAACTGAGACATGCGCGGAAATCTCATGTCATAATTTTTTGAAAAAATTATGACATATTAACCCGTCAATCTTCAGTATCAGAACACATTTAACCGTTCGACAGGATCAGCATCAATCTTGTATCTTCTCGCAAGGAAGTCGTGGTGTGCCTTAATCTGCTCTTCTGTCATAACAGTGCGATCATAAATGAGGTCGCATTAATAGGTCACGCTTTCAAGCTGACGGTTGACGATGTTGAGCAGGGCATCTGAGAGGAAAAAGATGTGGCCTATAACATTCCCCGGACCCCACGCCTTCCTGTTGATTGCAAGCTAAATTCCTTCTTTCGTATTCACCAATCTCAATCCACTCCCATGAAGGTCACTGTCTCTCATACTCCTGAGATCGATGAAGAAAGTGAATCTGCTTCTACCATAAACGTCTGCTGTATTCATCGCGACCTTTTCCTTTTTCAAATCTTCTGAAGACCTCTTCCCACATATCTTTTGTCTCCATTCCTTGACTGTGAACCTTATTTGGGATTCCATTGACAATCGCCTTCTTTTAATGGTTTTTTTCAAATCAAAGAATTCCTTCGGGAGGCAACTCGGTTCCAGGAGGAACATTCTGAAGCTCCTTTCTGACGAAACCACGCTTTGGTCCATCTTTCAGATGGTAGAGAACAGGCTCGCCTTTATTCACAAGTGACTTTTCGATATTGAAGACCTTCAGAGACCAGATTGGATCTGTGGCTCGCCTCTGACCACCTTCCAGCTCACCAGTGGCAAAGAAATATCGCTAATTATTTGAGGAGTCGTGTCTCTTTTCCTTCAGGCAAACACGCCTTTATTAAATTGTTTAACTCTCTGCGTCAACCGACGTGACTTTGATGGCATTCACAGCTTTCTTTCCAATCAATATTTTCACTTCACCAGTCAAAGTCAACACGACTTCTGGAAGCCTCTTCACCCGTTCCGTCCCGTTCAGTTTCTTCACCAATACTATTCTTTTCCTTATCCTTTACCTTCTTTGTTGATGAAAGAGCCAACAATGCCATCTTTGTTAAAAGTGATAAAATTCTTCCTCATTATTTGGAATACATTTGATGTTTCCTTTGTTTTTGCCGCTACACGACCAGACGGAAGGGTTACCGAAATTCTTAACGAATAGATGAGAGTCATAACCAGCCAAGTTGTGAAAGATGACAGGAGTGAACTTCACGATACTTCCCTGTGAAATGGCTGTGGTCCCCTAACTTTGTCATTGGCATCGTCAAATAAACGCTTACAGATCCAGCAGTATGTAGCATCGTTGAACTCATGCTTATCTTCATCCTTGAAGATTATCTCCTTGCTAAAGTCGAATTTCTCATAAACCTTCTTGATGTTTTCTTCAACCATTTCAACGAAGATCTGACCAACATCTTCATCCCTGGTATTGGTAGAGCGCTGCACCGGTATCGCAGAGGTCATGGGTTCAAATCCCGTACGGGCCTGAAATTTTTTTCAGGTCCTACTTACAACTACTAGTTTCAGTAGTGTTCTTAGCTGCGAGGATCTTCTAATTTCATCTTCATCCCTGTTGTTTGCTCTGTAGATGATTGGCTCTTGAGAATAACGCTTATCATCGAAGCAAACCGATGTGAAAGCAGAACCTACGTGGTTTTTGCTTTTGATACTGCTTAGTGAAGCTCTTATCACTACTGAGCTCGCATGTGTCAATCGGGTCTGTTAATAATTCAAATTCAGCATAAATTACGAATGGAACTCTCATAAAACGATTGTAATTCTTGAATTTGATATACGGTATTATTCCTTTACCATTTACTTTCGGCATCACGATCAGACGTATTGCTTCATTGTTTGAGCAGTATAGATCGTGGATTGCTAATTTTTCTTTATTTGGAAAGTGACTCAAACATCTTTGAGCAGTATAGATCATGAATTGCTAATTTTTTTCGATTTGGAAAGTGACTCAAACATCTTCGGCAGAAGAACAATGAACCATCGTGCTTTCTGACTTGTTTCGAGAGTAACCTGATGATGTTTTTGATCAAGCAGTAATGCTGATTACCTTCTTCTTCTATTAAACGAAGATCAATGATCAGTTTTCCTTCCTCTTCTCTGATATTCTTCTCACTGATCCTGAGAAGATGGACTTTTGCGCCATCAAGACCAAACACATTCTGAAATCCTCTCAGGGTTTGACTTGAGACGGTTAAGTGCTCATGCTATACACTACTTGAAGCATTAATTATCTTTGTTCTTGATATTTATTGCTGCTTTCTTCTTTTGAATATATTCTGGGAGTTTAATGTAAGAGCTGCCGTTCAACGGTCTGAATTCCGCAAGATAGATGTCGAGAGATATCACTCTTTGAAATCTGCAGTTGCTTCCTCTTTTATTAAAATTCTGAATTCTTGCGTCAAATGTTTGCATGACAACATCGAATACGTGTGATTCATCTGTTGACCTGAGATTTTCGATTACTTCGTAGTGGAAAAATGCATCCTGTAGCTGGACTGAACCATCTTCATTATATCTCACCACCTCACACGAGAGTACCATCCTAACCTTCATTTGACAATTTAAACGGATTATATCGCTATTCTCAACAGTGACGAAAATTCGTATGGCTGCGGTATCATTCCTGGGTGTTATTTTTCGTAACACAGGATTAGGCAAGGAATAATTTACCTTTTCAAACTTGCTCTCAACAATGTCAAAGCAACCAAGAACGCTTGAGGGTTCCCCATTTATTAGGTTTTCATCCTTGTCCAAAAGATCATTGTGGACCAGGTAAGTGTTGAATGAAGTAAATCGGCTGATGAGACTCTTCTCTGCAAATGTTGATCAATCCCGAGGTTAACTTTCTTTTTGTAGAGATTAAGGATTAACATTCCTTCTTTTGAATGATTCATTGTGACTTTAAATCCTCTATCTTCACTTAATATTTTCCCAATGCTCTCGCGAGGCTCTCAAGAGTGCATTGAAGGAATCGTTTCAACAATTGCGTTGAAACGCAATTTGTCTTGTCTATCGAGGATAGATATTTCTCCTTTTTCCCTCAAATTATACCATGAATTATGGAGAGAACAAGTCAAAAGTCTGATATAGTCTGATTTATCGAGAGGTTCTCTGAAGCGAGCCGTGTGATCATTGGAATCTGCAATCATGGTCAAAACAACCATTTTTATTATAAAAGCAACACAAGGCGTATGCGTGGCTGAGGTCAGATGAGGCGATCAAAATTGCAGATAAAGCAAATATAAAAGCCTGGAATGATTTCGAAGTACGATATCCAAATACAGACCTGAGAAAGCTCGTGCGTAAGTGTCGTTCGATGATAAAAGACAGGCAGCAGCTAAAGAATACTTAAATCGATTCGACGGAGTTCAGACGAGCGTCTCGAGATCAGATGGAAGATATTGGGATGATGACATGAAGAAGGCTCTTGGAATTGGAGGTTTTCCCCTTGAAATCACTCTAAATCGAATTGGAAAGAAGGAAGTGCCGGCTGTTCTATTTAATGAGAATGCTGTCTGCCGCTTTAACGAGGAAATTGAGATCTTTGTTACCCCAAATCAGTACTTCAATGTAAAATTTAGAGGAATATTCATAGAGATGAAAACTCAGCACAGCTCAGGCGCAGAATCAAAGGATGGCTCGCGGGGCCGAATATCGCAGTATGGTGCGCAACGACAGGCTGTGGAATATCTCGTTAAGTTCTCGATAAGGTTCCAGAACAGATAGAGTCGTTTCTAATGTTTCACATCTACTTCACGGTCAGAAGGATTCTTTCTGAGATGGGTGGAATTCAGAGTGAATCGGCTCTTCCAGGTGACTCAACTTTTAGCTAGATAAATAATAGCTATGACACGCCATCGTGCAAACGAATATGTGCTGAATTTGGAATTTTATCAGACGCGAACTTCTGCTTCAAAGGAGTTGATAATCACGGTGTCTGATCTGTTTTCATTTATGTGACAGATATTGATCCTTGAGCAACTTCAGACACATATCCGAGTTATAACAAGCTCGGCGATGGGGGCGGAGAAGCCCTCAAAGGCAATCTGATCTACTTCATAAGGAATGATAATGCGAAAGCTGAGAGGCAATTCGACCTCTTCTTGGCAGACAAGTCAGAAGGTCTAAGGCAAGCTGGGATAGCGAGACTGAATCAGTCGATTGAGGTATTCGTTTATTGCACTCTCGGTGCACAAGTCAATGTCAGATCGTCAATCTTAAGTTCATCAGGAAGCGCAAAAGAAGCTCAACGTGAGTTCCTTGTATTGGTTGAGGATGTGATCAGAGAGCCAGAGAAGAGCGTTCAGTAATTTCAGCTCGCCATTGATGAGGCAGAAGTCAGGCTTGATCTTGCAGTCTCACTAGGCACTTGACTTATGCCCTCAAATCTTCCTCTTAACACTCAGAGTACGGTTGGGTTTAATAACAGCCTGAAGACGGCAAGTTCTGACATGAAGCTGGAAAACAACAAGTCAGTGAATTTGGAGATTGAATCAGTCGGAGTAAGGCACATGAATGGGGGCTCATCAAAGATCCACAGACCGAGATCCGAAGGATGGAGGCCTTTAGCCGGGTCCCAAAAGCCATGTATTTCGATCGAGAAAGCTGATCACAGATCGAGAAGTCTTGAAAATGAAGCCGACCATTAAACCGATGAGACGTAGCATAATTCCTGCGATCTTACTTCCAAGAGTCTTGAGCCCATCTCCAACACTTTTGACAACAGACTTCAGGCTTCTTGTCAATGTGCTCAAAATCACTCCAATCGTAGTTCCGACTGCGACTAAGTACAACAGCTGAGACTGTGAAACCGTATATCTTGAAAATGTTTCTCACTCTCTCTCTCTCTTAGTGAAGTGCCTTCTTCAAGTTCTCTTTTATTCTTAAGTGCATCAATCCGCTCTTGATTTTCAGTTATCTTTCTCTTGCTCTTTATCTTATAGCTTGGTCTTCACTTTCATCATTGGCAATTCCCCGATACTCCTGAATAGACTTCTGCAGCTCATCAATTTCAATCAATCAAAACCTCTTACTCTGGGCCAAGTGAGGTGTTTATTTGTTTTGGGAGTGATGTATTTAACCTTTGCTTATTCAAACTCTTTTCTTCAGTAAACAAGGGATATGTCTTCTTGCCTTAGCCAAACATCTTTGCTTGCAACCGAAGTGATGACTCGCGAATAAGAAGTATCACCTTCAATGAAATATGTTTCAGCAGTTTCCGATGCTTTCTCTTGTCCCCTGGTCATTGTCGTCATTGGAATGTCTTCACCTGATAGCCCTGGATTTGAATTAAAGTCTGGTTTAAAAGGTGTTGTTGTATTTCCTACATCTTCATTACCATCATTATCATCGTCATCGTGTTCAAAAAGAGGATCGGTATCTCCAAAATCAGCCATTTTAAATAAAATATCTATTTTGAAATGGAAGTCAGTGAAAAAACCAAACCAAATTTTGAAAAAAAGACGTCAAATGCCCTCAAGGCTGACTGCTTAGTTCACAGAGTAACATTTAACCCTAATAGGGCATCTCCAGGTGAAGTCCCTAGAGTTCCAGTTCCAAAGCTTGATGACGGAGCTGTCCTTGTGCTAGGATCTCTTTATCTCATCTTTGACTTGGCAGTTTGTGGTCACGCAAACAATTATATCGTGAACAATGTCGCAAGGGCTCTTGTTGACGGGTTGACTGTGAAATTCGTAGGAGAAATTGTGTAGGACACTGATGGTTAAGATTTATTCAAGCTCTATGAGGACCTCTTCTTGACTGAGAATGAAAGGGCGAGCATGTTCAGAGAAGGTATTCAATCTGAAAATCTTTCTGAGATGGAATTCTGGGGATAATAAGACAAGGAGTTGACAAGGAGAATAAGCTCAATGACGTCTATGGGAACAAATATCGGATTCTACTGGATCATGAGATTCTGAAGGATCATGGGGTCTTCTTTCTAAGAGCTCTTTCTGATGAGCTTCTTTACAAGCTCAGGATTGCACCTGTCAGCAATGATGTGATAGGATCTGACGAGACACAGCTCGCCTATGAGTTGACTAACATCCAGCCTGAGTATGAACTCATTCACAGTCAAGAACTCGCTGATGAGGTCTTGTCTAACTACAATAATGGAAAGAGATTCATGTACGAGTACGTCACTCATCTCAATACAATCTCAGTAGATAATGGAACAGACACGTTCATCGATGAGAGCATCAATGTTCCAGGGAGGTTAATGAAGGGACTTTTTCTTCTTTTTCACGAGCCATATGCCGCCGGTGCGAGAGACAGTGAGATGACATTTAATCCCGTCATCACTGAAACGAAGGTGATTGCCAATGGAATCCCAAATAAGGTTTACAGTCAAGGAATGGAGACAAGAGATATTTGGGAAGAGGTCTTCAAGATTATGAGAGACAATGATCTTCATGGAAGTGGATTGACATTGGCGAATACGAAAAAAGGAGTTTAGCTCGCAATTAACAGGAAGGCATGGGGTTCAGGGAATGTTATATGCCACATCTTCATCCTCTCAGATTCTCAGCTGAACATCGTCAAGTCGTGAGCTTGAAAGCGTTACCTATTAATGAGATAACTTCTCGTTTATGATCGCACTGTTTTGACAGAAGAGCAAATCGAGGCATACCACGACTTCTTTGCGAGAAAATACAAGATTGATGCTGATCCTGTCGAATGATTAAATTCGCGATGATACTGAAGATTGATAATTTAATACATCATTGTTTTTCAAAAAATTATGATTATTAAGAGATTTCCGCGCTTGTCTCAGTGAGTAGATGTATAATGACAATAGTTCTGGCTCAATACAAAACCAAGGATAAAAAGTGTTTTGGGTAAAGCTAGGTGCTTCGAGGTGAGGGTACCGCAACGATCATTGCTGGCACTGGAGAAGAAGGAGACGAGATTGGGTCTGGTCGCTACGCGGATTTTGGCAAGCCCATCTGTTGCTGTACCGAAGACAAAAACATATTCGTGACGGATGCTCAAATTGGCTCCGCTTAAATAGTACTCAGTAAAGTTCATAGAGAACTTTGGAAAATTATTTGGTGCCTTTTGTGCACACTTAAAACAAACCGGATAAAGGCACAGTATCGGGGAAGCCCACCACATGGTAAACAATGTTTTTCCTATAGCAAATCGACCGTCAGCTAGCAACTCAGATGCTGTAACCAAAGGGCCCGAGAGTACCGTAGCAACTGAAACAGTCATTCTGTACAATTGGTGGAGAAAGGGCTACACAATCTGAGTAAATACTTAACGGAGGTCAAATCCAAGTTTAGCATCGATTCTCAAGTCTGCTCAACCTTCCAAGTTTAGTTGCATCATGCGAAATGCTACTTAAAACATCCTTCGTGTTCAGTTCTCGTCTAAACGAGAGACTTTGGGAACACCGCTCACAAATCGCTCAAATGCACATCAGAATCCTCGTGTTATCCAGTGCCGGAAAATCTAATCTGTCTAAGAGAAATTCCAAAACTTTTACCGTAACCTACTAAGAAAATGGGTAAAGACAATGAAGTCACCACGGGAAAATGGTTATTAGAGCATGGAAAGGCAATTCAACAGCGAATAGTACGTCAGTGCACCACTAAACACAATGTGGGAACCCTTCCCCAAAATGTGTATGAGAAAGAACTCCCGATTAAAGAGAAAGAGACATTGAACTATTAGAAGTCGGAAAATGTCTTTGACTCTGATCAGCAGACAAGGGATTTAGGTCAAGAGGAAGACGAAGATCTGAAGAGTAAACCCAGCGGACCTAAAGGGCTAAACAAAGGCTATCGCAACGCTATCATGTAAAAAAGGAATATTTAATCACTAACTATTTAAAGTTGCGGATGCAGACTTAAGTTTGAAACAGTAGTTAGCTCTTAAGGGTGGAAAATCATGTGCGAACTTAAAAAATGCTGAGAGGTCTAAAGCATTAGTCTTTTTATTGTCTTATAGCACTCTGTGAGCGAAGAGAACAATCTTCTTGTATGCAGCGTTTGCTATTTAAGGAACTTTAGACGTTCTTCGTAGGACATGTCCTGCCCAATATTATAAAGCACACATTTAGATGCTCTGCGTTGTACTTTCTCTAAGACTTTTAAGATTTTTTTGAGGTGTTGACACCAAACTGGAGAACTATTCTCTAGTATTGGACGTAGTAGATTCTTATAAAGTTGCGAAATCAACTCAGAATTACTGGGACCTACTGTTCGTGATATAAATCCGCGCACTCTATTTTCCCTATTGGCGTATTTGTTGGCTTGTAAGCACTATGAAAGGTTTAGAGTAATGTGAATCCCAAGATCCTTGACTTCAGATACAGTTTCCAAGTGGTGGCCGCATAGATGATTTTGAGGACTTTTGTAGACACCAAAGAAAATGGAGGTCCATAATGAATAATCCCCCCGTAAAATAACTCGATGGTATCGACTTGTTAAGAAGTATTTTAGCCAAGATAAGTGTGGTCCTCGGATATCATGAGCGTGTATCTTTGACATAGGGCGTTCGTGAGGCACCTAGTCAAAAGCTTTTGAAAAATGTATGTTATGACATCAGTTGGCAACCCCTTCTTCCTCTTAAGAGCCCAATCGTGAAGCGAAGATAATTGTTGGGACAAGACTTCCTTTCCCAAGAGCCAAATTGCTCAGGAATAAAGACCTTATTAGTTATCAAATTCAATTCAGCGAAGTGACACACCTCAAATAACTTGCAGATAAAATGAAATCAGATAAACCAAAACCGGCCATTGTTGAATTGTAGAAAATCACAACGAAAAGGAACAACTAATTACTGATAGAAGGAGGAAACGAAGGTAGTGATGATCATATCATTGCATGAGATAATAAGAACAGAAAAATCTTCTCAATGCTATTTAGATCATGAACTAGAATAACACAACTGTATTATGAATATATTTAAAATTTTTCTAACAGACAATTAGTTTGTCAGTAAACACATCTGCTACACAGAAGTATTTTTTTTGCCCTTCATTTATACATGTGTCTCACTTTAACAGCCCTAATAGGGATGATGTAATAGAAATTCTAAAGGCATGAATACCCACGATCACAAAACAAAACAACAGGAGGGTAAGAGCCGTATACTAACCAACCACTGAGTGAACACAGGACCAACACGACGTACTGAGCTAATCAGAGCATTGGAAGACTGATATATCATAGTGGTGCATCATACTTCACAGGATGAAGCGTTCCAGTCACACAATAGCTGTGTTCTTTTGCGATACTTGATCATTTAAGTTAAGGTCAAATTGGGACTTTTCCCTTTTTACATTCACTCAGTGCGAAATTCTGTCCAAGGTACTCGTGTTTAAGAAAGATCGAACCCTTGTACTTTACGATTAGCTCTGAGTCATCGAGTAATCATAACTGTCTGACTTGCTTACCATGTGTGCGTGTGTATGTCTGTGGGAAATTTTTGTCTTGCTTTAGTGACTTTAGCAATGTTACTACATATTTATAACGAGTTAGTGCAAGTATCTTAGCAGCAGTGAATCTATGGGTTATGAATAACTTTAAGAGTCTGTCCACGAGAGGACCAGGTAGGCGTGACACATGCCATCTCACCGATTTCTCTCAAACTTTCACAGATGATTAAGGTCATAAAGTTATTCAAGAGTCCAAAGTAGTTTGGGCTCCCGGCTAATCCCTGGGGTACAAGGGCTTTCACATCAAATCCCAGGGATAAAACCCCAAAATTAGCCCTAACTTTTGTACTTCCAAAAAAGATCTCTCACACTTATAGAATGCGGTGGATTTTAATCTTATTTTATCCGACAATTGCTTGAACCTTAAGCAATGGAAGGTTCGAAGTTGGATTGATTTGAAGTTATTCTCGCCAGTTGAGAGCATTTCATAATTAACCATGTCATGCGACAATTTTAAGAGACCGAAAATTAGGCTTTTTTAATTGCAAATATCTCCAATGGGCAACGTTACATGTCGATCAACATGTGATCTCAGTAAAACCCAATAATAGTGTTATGTTTCTGATGAAAAAAAATTTTGGCCTCTGTGAAATATTCGTGATCACATTCCTCCGAAGTGCGTGACAGGCAAAGTTAATTTAAGCACTTTGTGACCACAAGCTGCTGGTTAATGAGCTTTTTTAATTGCAAATATCTCCAATGGGCAATAATGAGCCGAATCAAATTGTGTAATGGTATATGTGATGCCAAATGTTTTGTTTTTCGGCTCTAAAAATATTAAAAGATGTTTAGTTGCATAGCTAAGGCGTTGAACTAATTGTACTAATTCGTAGATATTGACACAATTCACTGAGAGTTACTAGTAAATCTAATAACACCGATTCGTGTTTATATACTGAAAGTCAACAGCTGAAAGGAAAGTATGCCGAATATTTTTTGCACAGTTTTTTCCTTTCATACTTCTTAAATTTATTTTCAAACATGGAGCGCGCTTAAAGTAATTTCTTTACAGAAGAAAAAACAGCCGTCATGTAAATTTAGGTGTGTGGCGTGACACGTGTTTCTGTTACATGTACTTCAATGCATGAATTCAGAAATAAAACTCACTGAGCTCGAAAAAAAAGTCTCTCTTTGACAGGCAATCCATATTCGACTTAAGGTCAAGTTATTTTCGTTTACTGTACTAAAATCTAGTTGCATGAGTATTTTTCTGAAATCAGGTTAATCTAAACACCATCGCCATGAAAAGTAAACAAAGATGAAAGAAAGCACGTAGTCAGTTTCCTTGCCACTTTTTGCTTGTATTCATCATAATTTTCTCTATTTCTATTCAACTATGATGTGGCAACTAGAGTGATTTTACTGGACCCATGAAACTGTAGTTACTGCACTATTAGTTAGTATTACGCACTATTTCATTGTTTTCTTTTATTTAGTTTTGACTACTAAGCACTTACTGTTAGATACTATTTCACTAAATTATTATCTTCGCGCCATAATCAATCCTTTAAATTACGTTTTGTGGTATTATTTACCAATCCGAGAATGATAAAAAACGGCATTCGAAGATTCATTTTTCGTATGCAATATTTTCAATTTTGAAAGACTAGAAGTGCTAACGAAGTAACTGAAAGCTTATTACAAAATACTTCAGTTGTTACAAAATTTTAATAAGTAGGGAAAGAGCTGCTCAAGTCTATAAGCTAGATTGAAAGATACCCCGGTTATTTCGATTTTTGCAGTTGATCTTGCTTTGGTAAGTGTTTGTGGAGTATCCCATAATAGTAGTCTTGCTCACAATTATTCACGTTAGGACTGGAGCTGGCCTCTTATATGTATTTAATGGACATAAGTGCTAAGCTTATTTCCACGTTTCACTGCAGTTACAATTGAATTCGCATTGCTATATATGTTATGTGGTAAGGGGTTGCTAGTAGCGTTGTGGTACTCAAATGTAGCGTAAGTACTAAAACAAGGAACGACCTAAAACCACCTAAAACCACCTAAAACCACCTACAACCATCTACAACCACCTCAAAAATTTCAACAACCACCTACAACCACCTAAAAAACATTTACAACCACTTGAAAACTATCTAAAACCATCTAAAACAATGAACTAACAAAAAATAATACATTGGGAATCATACATAGGCGCGCGTATATATGGAAGTTTTTGTAATCATGATTCAAAGCATTTTCCATCTTAAGAGTCAGCGCCAACGCACTCTACGATTGTTATTCGAGGATTGTCGATTCATTTATTTGCATTCATTAATGAGGTCGAATTTTCTTCCCAGAAAAGGGCTATTGTGTTTATATGATAAACAAAATAATACACGGTTGCTTGTAGATATAGAATTTCTCTTCACGTGTTCAACTCGACATCTCACTCGTTCACTGCGCTCTCTCGTGAGCTATCGAGTTAAACACTCGAAGATTAATTCCATATCTACGCGCGCCCGTGTATTATTACCTATTTATTATTTTTTGTAACTTGTTAGTTCATTTTGTAAAGTTCTTTAAGTCTTTTGCTGAGGGAATATAAAATAATTAGCATGCTATCGCATTTCATTTCGTGAGATAGTTGATTATACACGGGACCAGGGAGAGTAAGATTTCAGGGGGAGGTAGAGGTTTCGTTCGATTCTCGTATTTCGTGTACGTGACATGTTGTCGTTTCGCCTTATTTAGACATTTATGCCTTGTTTTAGATGGTTTTAGATAGTTTGCGAGTGGTTGTAGATGTTTTTGAGGTGGTTGTAGGTGGTTGTTGAAATTTTTGAGGTGGTTGTAGATGGTTGTAGGTGGTTTTAGGTGGTTGTAGGTGGTTTTAGGTGGTTTTAGGTCGTTCCTTGTTTTAGTACTTACGTCAAATGTAGAGGGTTTTGCTTTCCACTGTTTTGCCAGGCTCCTCGCCAGACATTATAGACAATACTTTTTACCTCACGGTATTTACATGGAAAGAGTATGTGTTTACATTAGCCTGATTGAAGGATCTCTACCTCGAAAACAATCATGCAATCAGACTTTACAAAGGTAAAATAAAATAAGTTTATTTAAAGTAGAATGTGGATTAACTTTCAAGAAAGACTTTTATTTTATCGTGGTCTGGGAATTTCATCTCTGAATTCATGCAAGTACATGTGACGGGAGCACGTGTCACGCTCTTGCTCTCGATTGGCGAGAATAATTTCAAATCAATCCAACTTCGAACCTTCCATTGCTTAAGGTTCAAACAATTTTTGGATAAAATGAGATTAAAATCCACTGCATTCTATCAGTGTGGGAGATCTTTTTTGAAAGTACAATGTTAGGGCTAATTTCGGGGTTTTATCCCTGGGATTTGATGTGAAAGCCCTTGTACCCTAGGGATTAACTGGGAGCCCAAACTACTTTGGACTCTTGAATAACTTTATGACCTTAATCGTCTATGAAAGTTTGAGAGAAATCGATGAGATGGCATGTGTCACGCCTGCCTGGTCCTCTCGTGGACATACTCTTAAGTAGCCGACCAATTTTGCGGTTTAAGCTACTACGTTTTCATCATACCACATTCTTACCCCAAATAGAAACCAACCGCTGACTCTCATTCCTCGATACCCTTCATAAGAAATCCACAAAATATATACTTGTCATTGTCAAAGATGGCGGACCCTCGAGGAAGGAAGCGGAAGAAAGAGAAGCGTGACGAATTCCTCCATATACAAGCTAAAGGACAGTACTTGAAAATACCGAAAGGTCAGGAGTGGGATGAGAAAGACCCTTCAACAGTTGGAGGTAAGTTGAATATGGTAGCAGTTAGTATTTTCAAAATGATTATCACTTGCTGAGATACAACATGTTAATAGAATGGTAAAACACACTCTCAGACACTTGTCCTGTCTGGTACATCAAGATAGCTTTCATTTTTGACGAGGTACCAAGCACTAATTCTTGCATCTGGAAGATCTGTGGTAACGTAAACTCCAAATTTTGTTCACAAAATTTCCTGAAGAATTGGCCATCGCTCATTTTCCTAGAAAAAAAACCTTGACCAGTGGGTCGAGGTAAATTTGTGCACCTTATGTTGGAACAACTTCCTCTTCAAAGCACTTTCTTATGCATTGTAAAACTAGAGAAATACAATGTTCAAACTTTTTGGCCCAGCATGGGAATCAATTGGCCATCACGAATAATACAATTGCAAATCATCACAAGTCTCAAGAAAAAAGGGACAAAACAAAAGCAGTACAAATGCAATGGGTTTACAAAATCTGTTTATGAATGGCTTGTCAAAATAAATTTCATTTTCATTCAGAGCTTTGCCAGAGGAACTCTTTCTCATTGGTCACTTATCTTTGACCTATCAAAAGTGTGCAATGTCTCTCTTTGTCTCATGCAGAAGAAGTAGAATACCAGGTAGTAGAAGGCTTGCTGTATTAAACAAAATTGTGAAGTTTGATCAAATTATCTGTGAAGTTTAGACCCTATATGTAGGGTAGGGAGTCTACCCTGAGTAGGATCCTGTTACCTGATAATTTTTCCCATTAAGTATCTGCATGGTTTTTTGCTTCAATATCCAGCATGCTAATAAGTCTTGATAAAGCATCTGTGGTCTTATCTTTTAAGGTGACAGCTTAATTTTTCCTGTGAAGTTTGTCAGTTGAATTTTGGAAGTTGGTTCTTTTAAGTGATATTTCTCAATTATCACCATTTAAAATTCTCAAACTATTTTATATGTTTTTGTTATACAACAAAGTGTATCATAATTAAGGGGGAAAAATGTTATTTAATGGGTTTCTTAAATGTATGTATAACAATATTAAACATTTTGTGTAAGGGAGGATTATGAGGTAAATTGGAACAGGCAATTTATTTCTCTTTGGGAATGATAATAGTCCAGGTAAATAAATAGTCTATAGGTTTATAGGTGTGTGATTATTATCCCAATATGTCTGCTGGATAGCCATTGATTTGTTGGATAGGGTTACCTTCCATTTTAAAAACCAGGCTGTAGTAGGTTTATTCTTTTTTTTTACTTTCTTATGCAACAAAAACTCAGAATGCCCTTTCTATATCAGATCTTGTTCAGTGTTCAATGCATAGTTACAGTGTATCTATTGAGCCTAGTTTGGAAAAAATAACTTCATAGTCCACTATTTTGAAGGGAATTTCCTGCCATGATAAGTATAGGAATAAGCAAATCATTGGGCAAGTTTTTTTGCTAATACAATTTTTGTACAAACCATCCTTATTTCAGTCTTTAATCACAAAATAGGATTTTTTGCTAGGAATGTTTACCTGCTTTGTCCTTTTCCTGTGTTTCTGGTTTAGGAAAACTTTCATGTTCCATCTCGCCCATTTAATTACTAACAATAATTTAATATGCCTTAGTTTTTAAGATACAATGTTTATTCACAAGAATTGAATGTTAGCTCAGTATTTTTACACAAATTATTACTTGACTACACTTGGTTATATTACTTAGGGAAGGAGAAAACAAGAAAATCACCAAGCAGAAGAGATAAAAGACAGCAGGCAAGAGTTCAGAAGAAGGCAAGAAAGGCAGCTTTTTTCTCCAATAAGAAAGGGAAGGTATGTATGATCTTTTTGAGCAAAAGTTGATGTAGATGTTGCTTTTCAACTTTATCCTTTATTCACTTTTTCTGAGTTTACTTCATAACCACACCACACCAAATTGAAAACAATAACAAAGAAAAATAAATTATTGAACTAATTTGACAAAAGCTTGGCAGATAAAAAGAAACTTGAACTATGTTTTCTAGACTACGAAAATGTTGAGTGGTGGATGCATCAGAAACAAGCCAAAGGAAGGCAGTGATTTAACAGAGAAACCTACAGGGACCAAGCTTTCCATGGTCTCAAAGAAGAAGAGGAAAAGAAAAAGAACTAAGGTATGTTTTATATGTGACTGTTGGCCTCAGTTGTTTATGAAGGATGTATAACAGTATTAGTTACACCAATGGTTATCCTATGAATGAGAGTAAAAGAAATCAAACTGCATTAGGCAGTAAATGGTGTTGTGCCTCCTTTGAACAGGCAGGGTATGCAGGGAAATATTTAATGTTGGGGTTTGTTTGATAAGGATCAAGAAGAGGAAATAAAAGCTATCATCATGTCATTAAAGCATATAAAAATGTAAACAGTATGCATTAGGTGTCTGATCATGGTTTTCCTTTGCCCTTTTTAATCCTGGAAACCTTTGTGCTAAATATCTCTATCCTCCTCTTCTTAAAAGAGTAGTATTTCAGAGGTATGCTCCAGCAACCATCCAATTTTTTATCTTTGCCATCTAGAAGTATAATTATGTGAACATTGAATACTCCATGGTTGTTGAGATTCCATAGAGTAAACTAAGATTTTGAAAATTGTCTTCCAGTGTGCCAAGAATTTAACTATGGATGCTGCAATTGTGAAAACAATTTTTTCAGTTACTGGGCTGCATGTTAAGGACTTTTTAAAAACTGATTAAGAAAAAGGCCCCTGTTTATTATAGAAAAAGAAGCATTATTTGAGTTACACAACTCTTTTGTATTGTTACCAGTATCCAGATAAATTGTGAAGCATTAGAAGAAAGGAAATTGAGACTGTGTAGCATGGCATGTAATGCATGTGACTGAGTCTTTAAGCAATATGCAAAATAGTGTTGTCCATTGTAGAATTTTTAAAACATGTGAAGAAAACTTTTAAAAAGGTGGGGTAATTTATAGGATTTCAGATAGTGTCTGGGTTGTAATAACTACTTGGGTTGTTTTTGTTGGCAGAGATGAACATTGTATGTTTCCAGGAACATGTATATCCTTAAAATTATGTTTCATGATATTTTGTTGCATGTTTTTCCTGAACAAGGAGCTATCAGTCAACAACCACATAGTGACCAGCAGTCTTTTATATTGCTTTAGTAAGAAGCATTCAGATCTTTTCTAAATAAAGATAGTTATATCATCTCTTATACAGGGTAAATTACAATCTAATAGCAAATAACAATACTACACAATGACATGCAAGAGAAGAGGTTATGTGGCCCCTTTTGGAATTTCCAATTGCCTTTCCATTCAATCATTTAGAAGGCATCAGCACAGGCATCTAATAATCAATATTAAATGTAACTTAATGTCTGGGTTGACCAAAAGCTGAATTTGAAAATATTACATCATGCTGAAGGTAATAGAAATAAATTTCTTTATTATGCATCAGAACATTCGTCAGGTAACTGGATGCAATGAATTTATTTCCAGAAAGTCACAGAAGAACAAGAATTCCTCAAACTGAGGCTTTTAGCAGAGAACATGAAAGAGGACAAGGAGATAAAGAGGCTTGAAAAGCTTTTAAAACTTGGCAGTAAAGAGAAAGTTACCTGTAAGAAATTCAAAGCAGATGGTCTTGATTGTATCTTTTTGTTATATACTACAAGTTTTGTAATATGAAGTTCCCCTTTAGTTGTTGGGTGCAGGTTCCAGACCTGACTGGGTCATTGTGTTATGTTCTTAGACAAGAAATTTTACTCTGACTGCTTCTTTCCACCCAGGAGTATAAATTGGTATCAGTAAACCATCAGGAAAGCCTGATAGTGTACTGGGAGGAAACTTGCAATAGCTGACATACATACTCCTAATTCCCTCTAGTTATGGGAATGTCAGTTATCAGTTGTCATGGATGAAGTTAATGGCTATTCAATGCCAGTTTTCAGTTATTTTGATTCAGAAAGCTTGGTGAATTGACTAGTTAGATTATGGGTAAAATCCATATAAATTATCTTGTATAGGCATGAAGCAAGATTGAATAATCTGATTTTTCTAGAATAAATCTGATAGTCTTCCAAAAGTAAACAATAAGACAGGCTAGTGGTGGTGTCACTTTATTTAATTTACTAACACTGTATGGCTATCCATCATACTCATTGCCTAACACAGAATAGATAGTGAGTTCCATAGCCAATCAGATTGCAGCAATCATGATAGAATACTAATAGATTTAATGTGGTTATTATCAATTATTGGATGATATTGCTCTGCCAGAGCAGATGGCTTAGATTGACATCACAAACTGAGGCCTGGATAATTCTGGCTATCAAGTTTATCCTCATCCAAAAATAGACAAAGCTGTACGAGTGTAGGGTTATGATGCCGTCTGGCCTTTCATCTCTCAGATACAACCATAACAATGTAGCTCTGTGGGATTACATGAGTGGGGCCTGACAGGGCATATTATATTTGACCATATTAACTTTGCCATTTCTTTCCAAACATTTGGATATGGCTATGTTGTTGTCTTGACATATCTGACACTAGATTTATTAGAAGTTTGTGAGCATCAGCAAAAGGAACATGACATAGAAAGTGGTGAAGGTTTGGAGTCAAGAGATGAAATGTTTTCCAGGGAGGTAATTCTTGACATTTACAAATATTTCAAACTGTCTAGGAGTAATTCTCCAAAAATGTTTTCATTCTTTATTTATATTTTGCATAACCAGGTAAAACATAGTGACATCATGGGCATTGATGGAAATTCTAAACAAAACATGAGTGAAAGTGCACAGCATGACAGTGATGATAGCTATGCTGATTCTCAACTTAATGATGATGATGATGACATTGGTCACAATGCTACTGATGATGATGAATGCAATGATAGTGATTCCAGTTATGGTGATGATATTGAAACCAAACATTACAGTGGAGGTAGTGATGACAGTGGTCATGGCAATAATGATGATGGTGAGGGATGTGAAGAGGGGGATTATAGCACTGATAAGAGAGACTTAATAGAGACATTTGAAAATGACAAAGAGATTTACTTTGAAGAGGAGGACAGTGGCAGTAAAGCTAACAGTTGCAAACAAACAGATGACTTTAAAAAATATCTTCCACCCCATTTGAGAAACAAGAACTTGTCACAGACCCAAAATGAACACTTGCACAGACTATCATGTCAGATTAAAGGTCTACTGAATAGGTGAGAGGTACATTCATAATGTAAATACTCTTAAATTACCCGCAGTGTGATGTAGTTACTCCAGAAGGCTTTCTAAAATACTTTTTTGTGGAAGACTCATGAATAGAACACAAAACACAATTTTCAGTTCCACAAAGAGGTTATTAGATACAATGTAACTCAAATGCATGCAACTAAGATAGCCATTGTTTCAAATTGTGATCAACTTCATGAGTCAGCTGTATTTTTTTTGTTTACAAATAGTTGTGATTTTGCGTGAACATGAAATAATGTCACTTGATTTGCATTAAATACTTGTTGGAATTTATATATTTTTATTTATGACAGGCTGAATGAGGGAAATATGTCAATTATTAGTAAAGAGATTGAACAAATTTACATGCAAAACAGTCGAAATGGTATGTTAACACTTTTATTTCCTAATGTAACAAGTGCTACTTGGAATTTCCCAAGAAGTAAAAACTGTAATCATATGTACTAATAATATAACAACATGTTAAAAGTAAGGTTAAAGGCCCAAAAAAAGGGGCTTTAAAAGTTCTAACAGTTCTGTGTGACTCTGGTGGCAGATTCCACTTGGAAATGTCTGTAGGTTGTGGTGTTGACCTTAGGTTTTAGTTTCAGTTTTAGAATGTCAGTTCCCCTCAGATCATATCTGGTGTTTTTTATATGTAGTAACTTTTTCATGCCTTTAGGAGCTAAAATCATAATTAATAGCTTTTAAACCCATACAAACTGTGTTTGCAAGTCTTTGATTAGTCAATGATGGTAAGCCTATCTTATTGCGTAGTTCCTGGTAGTGCATTTATTTTTCATTAGAAAGAATCAGAGCACACATTTGCTTGCTTTTTCCAGTATGGCACTGGCACTATTACTGCAGAAGTGCCAGGTCTCAAAGCAATAGTTTAAATGGGAAGGATGAAAGCAGAATATATGTATTTTTTTGTTTCAAAGGGGGACAAATTTTTTCATATGCTTAAGAATGGCAACTTGCTGAGAGACTTTTCTGCACACTTTGGCTTCATGCTTTTCAAATTTTTAGTTTGTCATCTATCATTACTCTAAGCATTTCAAAATCTTTGCTGATGTGAATTTCAGTGTTTCCAAAAAAAAAAAAACAAAATGAGGCATGGTTTGGGTCTTAAATTCCCATGACAATTGGTAACTTTGTGGGGTTTATTCTCATACCATTTCTCATTTTAAATTTTCATGGCCTCTTTGTTTTCATAAAATATCTGGGTGTCATCTCCATAGGCAGAAAAACTGCTTTGCTTGATGACCTCTAACCTACCATGTTTTACCTAAATTAACCTCAAGTTAATTAAAAATAACATTACATTTTGGCATTAGATGATAGAAAAAATAGAGGACTGTCAGGCTAAATGCAAAAATATACAAACACCTGGTTACTCATGTAATAATCTGATATACACAATTCAAAGATGGGTAATTTGTTTTTTTATGAATGCCAAATTAAGGAACATTTTAATCATCAATAAAAAGATTACATTTTTTCAAAAAAACTTGCTGTGAATTGTTTACCAAAGTTTAATTTGTGATAGCTAAAACAATGTCACAAGAAGAGCAAATGTGGCATCAAGTAAACACAATTGTGCTCTACTCTAGCAGGAGACCTCAAAAGACCTACCATAGAAACCTTCTTCCCATGTTCCACACTTCCCTGACCTTGCACACATTGTTGCTACTTGCTAATAAAAATGCCTTGACATAAACCTTGAACTAGGGCTAGAAATTGATGTTGTCATTTTTCTATTTACCTGAGTGTTTACAGAGCTGGCTAAAATATTTCTTTTTTCCTCTTAGATGTTAACAAGATCCTAAGTAATCTTATTCTGGCCTCGTGTGTTTCTGTATCCATGATGCCTGACAAACTTTTGATGGAGCATATCATGTTGTTGGCAATTCTTTCAAGTCATGTTGGAATTGATGTAGGTAAGGTTTCTTTTATCTGCCATGAAACTTCTTGATGAACATTAATATAGGGTGCCTTGGAATTCTGGAACCTATCAGGTAAAATGTGATTTTAAAGGACTAGCATTTTCCCATGGAGCTGCATACTTTTGTGTGTGTGTGTGTGTGTTTTGTGAACACCAGGGATTCAATAAACATTATCACATCACTTACTAGTGGTTTACATTGTTGGCTTGACAAGCTTAAAGAGTCCTGGAAGGTGAAATTTGAACATTTGGCTCCTCTGATGAACAAGTACGATATGTAGAATTGACTTTCCCTGAGCTTCACTTGGGACAAACTAAACTGAGATGAAATTAAGTTCATGTTAAATTTGAATCAGTTGAGTTCATCCAACTGAATTTGGATCCACCAACATTTTCTGTGTCTGCTTCAAACAGATAAAACATGTGAGGATAGATATCAATATTGAACTTAATAAATAAATCACAAATTGCCTTATTTGAAATCCTGCTGACTGGAAGACACCCTTTTGCTGCCCTGAATTTGGTTTCATGTATTCTGTGTCAACCAAAATTACAATTTAGTCATTGCATGTGGAGTTTGATGTGTGAACTGGGCCCTAGATACTTCTCTAGAGAAAAGCTCCATGTGTAGCTTGTTTTGAATTATTCAAGAAACCAATCACAAAATTTAAAATGGAGTTTTACATATGACTCACAGTCATCTTTTATTGTTGTTAATGTAGTCACAAACAAGTGTTGATAGGACTAGTTGTGCCTGACCATTACGACATTTTACTAAGTCATATGTTTTCTGTAGGTGACAATTGGAGGGCTCAGAGCACATGTGTCCACATGCCAAAATTCAGCTACTTCTGAACACTTTCAAAAATGGCCGAAAAATCAAGGGATCGTTCTTGCTCTGAGCCTTTCAATTATTTTCATATTAGTTATTAAATCTTTCTTTTGGTGTTTATTTCAAGCTGCTTTCTTCATTGAGCGACTGGCAGAATTGTTTGATAAACTGCACAAGAGCAACAAAGACAGTTTTGGACAGGGGAAAGAGTGTTATAATGTTATAGCTCTGTTTTCACATCTGTGCAACTTTAAAGTATGTGTACTTTTTGTTAAATAATGTATTTTTGTAATTGCAGTAATGTTTGGGAAAGTGAAAGAACATAAAGCACATCAACAGGCTTGAATTTAATCATTTGTTTAGAAAGTAGAAATCCAGTGTACTAAGGAAAATATGACAAAGGAAATAGACCTCTCTTACTCTTTAGGCACCTCTCTTTGTTGAAAATTCATGTAATAACAAATAGTTTTACTGACAGAGATTTGAAGTGTTGTTACATGAATATATTGCTAAATGTTTTACCTTGCTTTTGTTTGACCATTTGTTCTGCCTTCTTCCATTCCTTCACAGGTTACTCACTGCTGTCTCATTTATGACATCATTCAAAGGCTAGTGAATTCCTTTGGTGAAAGAGATATTGAACTACTTCTACTGCTTCTGAAGTGTAAGCAAGAGAATTATGATAAATTACAATAAGAAGGGATTTCTGTTATCCTTTCTCTGATAGAGGTGGTCATCTTTTTCAAATTTGGTGGGAGACATTGATTTCTCTTATTGGAAATTTTAAAAGTTGTGTTCGATTAATTTCCCTTTTTGGCTTTTTCTGTCTTAATGTTCATTTAATATGTCTTAAAATCCTACCAAGTTAATATTTTCATGTTCTGGTTATATCCCACTGTAACAGTAGTAAACAGTCACAAATTGAATACAAATTACGGACTCTATTTTTGGTTGGTATCAGCAAAAGATTAAGTGATGTTCTCAAAAAATCTAAAAATAAAAAGGAAGGAGTGACAGTGTTACATGTAGCTTGGTTGATTCATGTCATAATGAACTTTAGGAAAAACTCCAGAATAAATGTAATAAGATTTGTTGATTGCTTATGTTCTGACAAATGTACTTCAAGAATTTTTTTTCACATTGCCTTTTGCTATTTTTGAATGAAAGTTAATTTACGGCATTCATATTTTTCTCAATGTTACCCTCAATCATTTGATGGATGGTCCTGATCTTATAGTCTATTATTATTTCATTTTAATAGTAGTTGGAGCAGAAATCAGAAGAGGTGATCCATCAGCTTTGAAGGTGATAATTTCAGTACAATTACCCATTCATGTAATCATAACTACCAGTATGTCAATGCCATTAGTACATATGGAGAGGAATTGAGGAAAGGAACTGTCAGATCACCATTATCATTATCGTCTTAAACCACTGATTTGATTCTGTGTCATGTCAATACATACTAGTTGCGGCAAATGAAGAACTCATACTTCTGAAGCTATGACAATCAGATGTAGGCTCCCTTGAGTAATTAAAGATATAAGTGATTCGATTTTTAAAATGATTGTTTGACAACCTTCTTGATAAAGAATGAGTCATGTCTAACATCAATAAAGAATTGGTCCATTCTTAGCATGCATATATTGAGATATGGATGCACACAGGGAGTTTGGAAAGTACAAGAGAAGCATAGGAGTTGCTTGAGGGGCAGCCAAGAGCAACTCCAGCTTCTAGCTTAGTACTCTCTAAACTTCCCAAGTGCATCTATGACTCAATATAGTTACAGCTGAGGCATAAACCAATTCTTTGTAATATATCTATCTATAACCAGGTTAACCAGGTAATCATGGTCTTCCTGAAAACTATGACCTATATGAGAAGGCAAAAACAACCAAGAAAAATTCTAAATCTTTACTCAAAGAATTGTAAATTTTCTGCTCTGAGGCAAAAAAGAAGGAATTTCTTGCTTGTACAAGACTGCATAGTAGATTCAACAAGCTTGAATTGTTGTTTATTAGAATTCACAATAAAAAAAATTGCATAGGTTTGCCTTGAAAATTTTGAAAATTCTCAAATTGTACTATTTTAAAATTAAAATCTATTGAATGATAGTTTTAGGAAATATCAACCCTTAAAAAATAATATTGACTGTTCGAAAAATGAATCAAAAAAAAATTTCACAAATCTTGCATTTACAGACCTGTGTGGTGATTAACTCTGCTTGAATAGTTGTTTACCAGAAGTTGCAGCCAGAGAATTGCAAAGCTTTGTGTTGAAAATTTTGAAAATTGTATGATTTCAATTCAGAATCTGCTATTGAACAAAACGTTTGGAAATATCAAGACTTCAAAATAATATTTACCACTACCTAATGTCCCAAAGCTCTAGTTGAAGTCAGAAAACTCAGTTTTGTTTTTCGGCCATAATTCCCATCGCATTTGGGGTTGAAGTTTCTCAACTCTAAAATTAATTTTGTTGCTTGAAAGAGCTACTTGCTCATTGTTTTTGAAACTAGTGATGGGCTAAAACTCCCTGGGCACTTTCAGCCCAATTGAAATCGCACTTGTCATGTGATGGATGCATAGCGATGGGATACATAAGGATTTTTACCTTGGTAGCTGCTTAGGAAATAGGTAGGCCTTGCACACATGCTATGTTATGGTATTGGTGCGCCTCAGAAAACTGCATACACCACTCTAACCAATTCCACTCTAACCTGAATTCTAAATTTTAAACTGGGTGCTTGATTGCTGTTGTTCACAAATGACTGTGTTGATATGCAAATAATTTTAATAATTAATTATTAATAAATTCAATGTTTTTCATTTTTTGCTATTTTCAGTGGGAGTTTATTTATGAACTTTTGATTTTTATCCTTTGTAGGAAATTATACTCCAAATTCAAGCAAAGGCAACTTCCACGCCAATCTTGTCTAGTGAGTAAGTATGCAACTCTGTTTCTTTAAATGGTAAACTGACAAATGTAAATTCCAACTGCAAGCAAATTGCGTCAGGCAGGCTTACATCTGTCAGGGCACATCTTTAATGTCTCTGATATTTTGTGATTTGTAATGTGTAGTAACAAAAATAAATGTGCAGCTTAGAAAAGAGTCTTTGACTTTCAAATGAACGGAAAATGGTACAAATGAAGGAACAAAATACTGATTGATTTTTGTTTATAAGGTTTTGCTATCGTGGATAAATAATAACTTGCACAAGTTACATGATGCACTGTGTAGGCCATCATAACTTTGGATTCATCCCTTAACCCTTTAACTCCCATGAGTGACCAAGACAGAATTTCTCCTCACAATATCCATACATTATCAAGCAGACAAGTGATGAGAATAAAGAGAAATATCAATTAGGAGATTATTAGTTGATCCAATAACAAATTCTTGGAACTAAAATCATAGGAATTGTATGGTAGTCATTAAGGAGAATTGCAAATGAGATCTTGGGAGTTCAAGGGTTAATGAACTGAAAAAATTCAGGGTCAAGCAAAGAAATGTTTTGGAAGTCGGTCATATTCAGCCATTACTAATGAGCTAATTTGGCATTAGGTTCTCCATCTAATCAGTTGTATATGGGTATGTATCTTGTGACTTTAAATTGTTATTGGACATAAACATAGTGCAAATCTCAATGGCCAAATAAGCGACATGTGCATTAAAGGGCAAACTGTCAGCAAGCACTCTCCATGTTGTCCCTGGATCCTTCCTTGCTAAAACAAAGAGCTAAGGAATTGCTGCAAAATTAAGAAAAGATTGTGAAGGAACTGTGCACCCACATGGACAGAATAGTTGAGAGACTGATACTAAGGTGACTGTTTTTGTAATGGGGTTATAAGAGAGCAATTAAGCAAAGATGAACTATGGTTGGTCTCGATGTACATGTACTGTAACACCGAAACAGAATAGGGGCCCTTATCTGAATATGGACACTTATTGCAATGAGGGTGCTTACTCAATTGGGCTGCTGATTAGAATAGGGGCACTGTTGTGGTGCAATCTAACCAACAGAAAGTACACTGTACCTTAATAAACTCAACTACTTTATTAAACAACTTGTGATATTCTTAGGGTTATTAACAAAAACAAATTTGGGGGAGGGGGCACTTATTGGAAGGAGGGTGCTGAATCAAATCTTTATGGTACCTATAAATTGTTCTCTACAACTGAATTTAGCAAAGTAGGTCTTCATGTTATGGGTTTGTAAAAGAATGACTTGTATATATTTTTTGGTGGCTTTTTGCCTTATTAATACATTTAAGTTTAGTCAGCTTTGATGTTCAGATACCTGTCAGGTTATGTTACCTTGCAAATGAAGTGGATCTGTGAGATCATTGTAAAGCAAGTAACTTGATGACAGACTTTTTACTCCATCACAAACCACTAGTCTTGTATTCAGTCCTATTTTGAGAGCATGTGACCATTGGTGTTTTATAGCACAGTCAAACCCTTGAATAAATAGATAAATGAATATTCCCTAGTGCTGACTATGTGTGGCTACCCACACAAAAATTAGCTCAGCTTTAACAATCCAGGCTGAATAGAAATATGGGTAATTCTGGTATAAGTGTGAATTGTAAGTGAGGTTTTTACCAAATATGTGCCAGTTTTACAATAAATGAACAAACCTAAGCTTCAGACTTGGCCTGGTATCAATACCTGTTTAAAGTACATCAGTACTTTATATTAAGAGGATGTTTGGAGACAAATATCAAGCCCAAATGAGTGGAGAACAAGAACAACATATGTTGATTTCCAAAGCTAATAAGTTGTTCTGTGATATAATAAACTAATCGTATGTGCCTACATGTGCTTGGCCTGTTTAGCTGATCAATTTTCATTTTCTAGTTCCAGAGTTTGCTTCATGTTGGAAATAATTGCCAAGCTACGCAACAACAATTTAAGAAAGATACCAGGCTATGACTCTTCACAAATAGAACACCTTAGAAAAACTCTTCATTCATTAATCAGAGAGTCAGGTATTATTTGTAATTTTTTATGAGTTTTGGAGTACCAAAACTAAATGAAGTGAAAAGCTTAATTAAAGAATTGTAGAAAACAAATTAAAGGTTAATGTGAACTCAAGGGGGTACAAAATTCATTATGAACCTTGGGAATACAGAAGTGTAATGCATTTTTTTGAATTAGAAAGACCAAATAATGGTTCTTACAGGTCAATGAATTTCCAGGCATAATCAGAGAATTATAGAAAATAAAACTTATGGTAAAACATGTTTAAAGGAGTAGTTTTGTACTTTACAACAATTATTTAAGAGCTGCAACTTATATGAGGAAACCCAAGACAACATAAATTGCAATACAGGGTTCCCATGTTATTGCAAGTTCACTGTGTTAGCAAATACATTAGAAAATACTCTTTGGTAATCTCTTGATTGAAAGTGATGCTGTATGTGACATTCCACCTTTCAGCCAATCTTACAATTCCTTACAAATCTAACAGATATGTAAAATGCTCCCCTGTAACACTTATTCAAAACATTGTTAGTTACAACAACTCGTAAGCAAATCAACTTTGATGTGGATTTCTTCTATTTAAGGATGTTTAGTCTCCAATCAGCTCAAAGTTAGTCTAAAAGACTTGCTGAACATCAAATTGAAAGGTGAGTAATAAAGAATGACCACATTATTACAAAGAAACTACATGCATGCCATGAGCTAACATATGAAATAAAGATTTTGGTTTTCCTTTCCTTGTATGTTTCATGCAAAACATATAATAATCTTTGCTGATTTTCATTTTCTCATCAATTACATTTTGAGATCACATAGTACACTTATGACATGTTTTCTCTCATTATAAAGTTCTATTCAAAATGTCTGAAATGACCTCATTTCAATAAATGAACCAATGTCATTTATTCTATTCCTTGCAATGACTGTGACAATGAATACATCGGGCAGACCAAACATCAGTTTGGTACACATTTGAAAGAGCATCAAAAAGCTGTTTTCTTTTGCAAAAAAGAAAATTCAGCTTTACTGGAGCACACATGCCTAATCAACCATACAGTTGGGTGGGATAAGTCTAAAATTATCACCACTAATTGGTGTTACCACCAGTGCCTTTGTTTGGAAGCTTGGCATATGAACTCCACCCACACTCCTTTAAATCGTGATGATGGAGGTTTACTTCCTAATGCCTATTTACACCTCGTCAGAAAAAAAGAGAAAAAAAAAAGGCAGCTAATTAGTGATCATATAAAAGGACCTCTTGTTGCAACATTTAGTTCACCCCTGATGAAGGCACTAGACAGGAGTGTCAAAACGTTGGGTCTATGAATTGTAACTTCTTCAATTACATTCATCAAATCTGTAAACCAGAGTAGCATTAAACCATGTCTGATTGTCCACCTGGTTGCCATGTGAACTTTAATACATTCTGTTTCAACTAATTGTTAACTCTGTAGCTATTACCTACATTGCACAATTCACTTTGTATTGGTGAAGTAAACACTAAAAAGGATTCTTTAGGTATCTACTTGATACAGGAATTACTATATTTTCAACTCAGTGTTCTAAACCTTTTTGGAAGAAAATATCAACGCAAATTTTTAACTATAGTGCAACAATATAGAAGAGCAGACACCTTGAAGCAGTGCTCTCAATAAGACTCGGCACCCACCACAGCTCTGGTGAATATTCTGTTGGCAATCGCTGGGTATATTTTGCCATGTTCAAGTCAAATTTTCAGAACAAATAGATAAATAACATAGAAAGTAATTATAGTCAATTTAGTATTGGAGGCCATGTATTCACCTCATTTATTTTTACAAATTCTGTGGTCTTTGATTGTTAGATTCATTCTTTCACCAGTGGTTTTCTTTTTCTGCTTGTTAAATGTGTTCTACATAAATTCATTATAAGGGAAGTAGGAGTACACATCGTCTTAAAATACATATTGAAGGGCATTGAGTATACATTGACTCAAAATAATTTGCAAGCAACTTTGTGCTTAACTAAAATTATCAATATTTTTGGACAAACAATAATTCTCAACTCCTAGTTCAAAAACAAACTTGAAAATCAAATTTATCAAAGTAGTGTGTTTGCTGATAACAAGCATCAATCAAATTCAGAACTTTTTAGGAAAGATGTTTTAGAAGTTTGTATGGAGAACACTTAATCTAGGCTTAACTACAAAGAGAGGAACAAAAACAGCTATTGAACACCTAGCATCTAACCTTTATTAAAAAATAAGAGCTGCATTTGCTGTGAAAAGCAAAGAACTTCGTATGGTTACTGGTTTGCTAGAACATAGCCAAATAGGTGACTTTTCATTATTGTGTCTACTGCTTTGAAAAGCAGTAGACACTATAGTCATCAAAAAAGCTGAGCACCTAAGTTAACAATAGAATCACTCCATAACTAATAAATCTGATGAGTGAACAATAGATAAAAACCAATAAACAAATTCAGAAAGTTTCACTTGGACACAACAACCTTCCAACCAATCTTCATTTCTGTTGTGTAATGCTTGTATTTAGAAATGCCAGTGATGGATGGTGTTGGCATGGCCAACTTTAAAAAATTTCAAGCATACTTTCCGTTAGACCTGGAGCTCCAAATGGAAAGGAACAATGCTGCAGAATACTCTGCTTGGAAGAAATTGATACCAAAGTCCTAAAAGTGATAGAATAAGCTTTCAAGTCAACAACCCTTTGATTCACTAAAGTGATACGAATTATGGCCCAAAGTTAGATCCAAAGGGAGGCCTAGATTTGGCAAATCATGCTATAAGTACCTGGTAAAAAGTTAAATTCCACCATGTGCTTCTCCAAATATGATACAGTTCCCTGCAAAGACCTCCTTTTCTTGACTTACAGCTATAAAGAAAATACTTTAGAAAGCTATAGTATGAAACATCTGCTTCATCCATAAATGTAAGGCCTTTCAAGGTGTGGAAGTAGCCCAATCTACATGAATAAAAGAATTACCTTTAAATTGCTTAATATGATTACCTAGCATAAAAAGGTTTTCTGTTTGTGCCTTAATGCATCATTTGTCTCATGTCTGGTCTCACAGTGCATTTGCAACCTTTCATTTATTTGGTAATTTAGTGTTAACATCTGAGTTGAAAATGTAAATTGGCCTCTGTAAAGAGTTCGATACGTCAGCTTTTTACTCTTTACGGTGGCCAATTAGTCTCTTAGTGTAACCTAAAGACGCCTTAGAACCAACAAAACAAAAAAGTATAATTTACAAGATCCCATGTGAATGCTGCAATGTGTATCTTGGTGAAACAGGGGGATCTATGCAAAAAAGGATAAAAGAACATGACAGAGACAAACGGTTTGCTTGTGCTCAGACCTCTGCGGTTTCAGAGTATGCTAACAAAACAGGGCATATTCTCCTATTTGGAGCAAGGTTAGGTTTACAGATCGTGATCCTCACTGGTACACATGTAGGTCAGCCCATCAATGTGGACCTGTGAGGGAACACCATCAAACAACCAGAATAATAACAAGGATCCAAATGCACCAACAGCAGCAAACCAACATCCTTCAAATATTTTGCAACATGCATGAAAAAATGTTTACAAACAGCTTACTGTTCTACATGGGATGTTTTCTTTTGAGTGTTCTCTGGTATGACTTTGTGAACAAACAAATATTTCCTGTCATCTGTAACAACCATAAATTGCTCTCTCGTCTTAAATTGGATTTTAAACAAAGACTTACCATAGTGCATGTGAGGTTTGAAAATTGTAGAGTGTCCCTCAGTTTTGGCTGGGGAATATTTATAATTGTGATGGGTTTAGACCTATCATGTCCAAGCAAAAAAATTTGATGGATCATAGTCAAGAAAACACCCCCAGTGATATTCCCTAATTTTGAAACTCTATATCATTATACAATAAGTCTTGGTTTAAGATTAATTTAAGGTGAGAGTGTCTTTTGTGGTTGTTAAAAAGGAGGGAACATGTTTGTTTGTTCATAAAATCTTACCAAAGAACAATGAAATTGAACATTCCATGTAGTTTTAGGTCAACTTTTTGTAGACACTTTTTCTGTAATTTGCAAAAATATCTGAAGGATAATAACAAAATAGCTTCCATTTGGCATGGAAATATACTTGTTCATTGACAGTTTAAAGAGGAGTTTACTCTGGAAGTTGCAGAGTTGGTTGCACACTTGCCATCAATGTTAAATTACCACTTGAAACCTGATAGCTTTCTTATCTGTATGGTGTGTTATGGAAGCTTTCAAACAAACTAATGAAGTGAGACCCAAAACATCTTGAGATCTTTTAGAGGTTTACCTCAATTAACAAGTTTTTTCATACATGACATTTCCAGGAAAAAAATTGAGTTTCCAAGAACACATGGACTTAAATTCCAGTAATCATTTACTGTATTTCCTTTTTGCGTGAAACTTGGGGAGCAGGTTTCCATGTCAGCAAATTGAAGATTTTGAAAAGAAACAAAAGGATCAGTTAAACAATTGTTAGAAAGAAAATGAAAATTTAATGATTATTTACAGAAGTTCAACACTGAAAACTTCATTTAGAGCAACTTTATTCTGAATGGGTCTAAATGCCCCCAATTTTACCCCCTGGTGGGTGCTTTACCTAGGTAACCACCTACTTCAAATCTTATTGAAAGCACTGCCTTGAAGGGATATGTGGAAACTTGGGCCTGAAAGTTAATTTGAATGTTCTTTGTTTAAAAGGCCGCTGGTGGACTGTAGGGTATGCATTGCCCCAGACACCACAAAGTAACTCCATGGAAGTGTCTACTTCTAAACTCCAAAACACCAAGCTGTTAGAACTGGCAAGGAAACAACGCATGAACACTGATGTCCGAAAGAATGTTTTTCTTATTATGATGACAAGTGAGGTGAATAGGAAACTTGAACTTGATCACTTTTGCACTTGCAGAAAGAGAATTTGTTTTGGTGCTTCTCTATGCTATTGTTTTGTGTTTTGTTTGTCTGTTTTGTTCTTTCTGGTATGTGTTTAACAATATCCACACTTTCTGTTTGGAAGTCGTCATTATTTTATTCTATCATTATTTCTTTAAAAAAATTATCTGATATTACCACTTCAACCTTACTACAGAGAACGTTCTGTCATTTTTTCCAGGATTACATTGATGCATTTGAAAAGTTGATTCGATTGAACTTAAAAGATGTTCAAACTAGGGAAGTAATCCATGTTCTTATTGACTGCTGCATTCAGGTACATGAGTAAATCATAATTATGATGATAAGTGTTGTTTTAACCCTAGTGCCCTGGTTGTTAATTCATGATGATGTGCTTTACTCTTTCCTTTCAACTCTTGATGTTTTACAGGAGAAAATGTACAATCCTTACTATGCCTACCTTGGTCAAAAATTCTGTGAAAACAGCAGAAGTTACCAGGTACATTATCTCTTGAGGCTTTCACTCCTTTTTATGAAAAGAAGTAAGAAAATTATCAACGAAAGTTTTTAGCACAGGTGGCATTCCATTGCAGTGAACCAAATGATACTTGCCACTTTACATTTCCAGTTTAGTCTGAAAAACACCATGGACAATAGTTGGGTTTGATGATAACTCACTTTCTCCATAATCTACCTTCTAAATGTTTTGCCGCAGAAAATATCATGTCAAGCTGTGAGCAGTGGATAAGCAACAAACAGCACTTTTTTTGCTCAGTCTCAATACAGAGCACACCCCATTTAATGATCCTATTTTTGACTTCTAGCATTTTGTTTGTTCACACTTGAATCTTTACATCACTGTAGAAACTCTAATCAAAAAAGGAAATAACATCCTTAAATTGATTTTTATTGAAAATGGAATTGACCACAGTCAGCCAAAATTTCACTGATGTACTTGTCAACATGTGATACGGGTTGATAAAGCCACAACTTTGCTTAGCAGCCACTCACTATCTAAGATAAGGATAGGCTGTTTATAGCAACATTCACATGCCCTGAGTACATTGCAGACTTCTCGACTGCTAAGTAAGGGAGAAGACACGATCATTGTGAGAATGAGACACACGAACCTGTACTATTGGAAAGTAACCCAGTTTGACTGACAATTTTACAGTTTAATGCATTCTGTTTGTTCAATATTACAAAGTCAAATGTATTTTCAATTTTTTAATTTATTTTGCATTCAAAGTATTTTTACAAACAACTACCAAAACAATACTTTTTGGTTAACATAGAAAGCTAATTTCAGTAAAGTTTCATTTCTTTATGATTTGAACTTTTTTTCAGGTTACTTTTCAGTACTCTTTTTGGGACAAGTTTAAACTACTAAGCAGCTTAGCACCCCATTGTCTTGATAACCTGTTACATCTTATGTGTCACCTCTTTGCTACAAGAGCATTGTCTCTATCCATTCTCAAGGTACTCATGAGCAGCCTTCATCTTGACCAAATTAAATCAATAGTTTTAGTGACTGATAATAATTCTCTGACTTTAATTAGTTGATGACTGTCAAAAAAACCGAACGACATGATACTTTTTTAACCTCAAGGGTAATTTTTGCCTCATGAAATAGGGCAGGTAAAGTCATGTTCATTTAAGTCTTGTTTTTCTTCAACTCTCATTTCCACCCTATATTAATTTTAGGAACCTGAGTTTGCATAAATTTTGCCTAACCCTTTTTGACAACTGAGAAAAGAAAAAGCTCTAGTTTCAGGATGGAGATCCACCAGTATCTCCCTTCACGAACAGTGTCACTAATATTGTCCAGGTTGCAAATTTTATCCATCTGACTATGCCTTAATTTTTTGCAAGAAGAAATGAATGCCAGTTTACATCAATGTTATTTAAAACATAGTAAAAAGAGGAACTGTTTTTTACAGTTGTCAAAAATGCCTGGGATTTCTGAAAAATTGAAAGGAGCTAAAGTTAGCATGATTTCTGTTTGATAGGTTGTCAACTTTATGGTTCTTGAGAAGACTTCTGTTCAGTTTTTCACTGATCTTTTTCATCACCTTCTCTCAACTTATTCTAAAGATGTAACAAGGTGAGATTTGTCTGTATGCTTTTAAGCCTTTAACCACCAGGAGTGATTACCGGTAAGATGTACCTTGCAAACAGGTAATAAGAATATGCAAACTTTATCAGGTAGAAGTTGTTATCTTGATCTAATACCATATTCTTGCCACTAATTTACAAGGGAATGTGTAGGAGCCAGTAGGGAGAGTTATCAATCAGATCTTGGGAGTTAAAGGTTTAAGTGCTCAATGATGAATCAAAGTTAGTTAGCTTTTAAATCCTCGTTACAAGTTGGGAAATGATTATTGTGATTCCACTCCCTAGGAGTCCCTTTTTTGTAAACGTTTTCCATTGACAATACTCTTGTCAACTGTCCTGTGAAGGTACATTGCAGTCAAGCATTCTGAACCTAATTCTGATTAATGTTTCCTGGCTCTACACAACATATTATATATATATTTACCGATGAGTACCAAAGGAAAACTTGAACATGAATTAACAGATGTGAGGGATTTCATGTCACTCTATGCACTCCCTTGTATGACCTTTCCAATTGTAATGTCTTATTTCTCTCTTCTCTCTTCTCTCTTCTCTCTTCTCTCTTCTCTCTTCTCTCTTCACAGATATATATTTGAAAGAATCTCAATGAAGAAAGAGCTAGCATTCCTTTGTCAAAACATTCGAATTTTTCTTCAACATTTTGTGGGAGCAAAAAAATCCAGTATCTTAGAAAAACGACTTAACCTGGTGGATGGTATTCTCGCAGCTTCACACAAAACCAAACTTTAGATCTCTTATTATTGTCATTAATATCATGAGCAATTTCACCACGATTATAATTACAATTTACATAACTTATATTATTTCTATCATTACTGAATAAACAATTAAACTTTATTTCTTGATGACTTCATTTAGGGGGTGTTCAAAAAGTAATTTCTGCTTGTTAACACACAATTTTCCTGAGACGACAACTTTAAGGTAGAATAGGGGGAAAAATGAAATTTATGCTTGTACCACAATTAGAGAGACAGAAAACTGTATTTGCAGAAGATACTAGACACAAATATGTACCTTATTCACATTTTCATAACAAAATTCAGACATCATTTGTAGTGCATTCTTCTACACCTGTTCCAATAGCCACTCCATCCATGTGCCAGACGTGACTAATAAATGTGGCAGAAGAGTGGTGTTTGAATCAGATTAGTTCAGCATTGTCACATAGTTGATGTTGTAAACCTCTAATGGGATCATGTGGTATGATCATCCGGATAAGGGTGGAAGAACTGTTGAAAACAGTGGTGACTGGTGTTTCAACAACCACGGGGATGTCATAGTAGTAAAGTGTTATAAATCTGGTTCAAAGTAGTGAACAGGTCATCTTTGTGGTGCCCCTGGTTGTTTACGTCTGTTGAGGAAAGTCTTTTCTAATCAGCTTTTCAGAGTCAGAGTCCCAGTTACGCCAATTGGACCATTTTATCTAGTTAGACCATCTCAAGCTGTTAGACCATTTCAAGTTGTGTCGTATAGTTACCCTACCTTAATTAATTGGACCATTTTAACCAGTTAGGCCATTTAACAAGTTAGACAATCATAACAAGTTGTGTTGACTATTTTTACCAATAGCATATTAACCAGTTTTACCATTTTAACCAGCTGGATCATTTAAACCAGTTAAACTATTTTCTCTAGTTGGACCATTTCAACTGGTTGAACCTGTTTAATCAGTTGGACCCTTTTAACAAGTTAGAACATTTTAACTTGCTAGAACACTTTAACCAGTTTGGCCATTTTAACCATTTGGATCATTTATACCAGTTGAACCATTTTCTCTAGTTGGACCATTTCAACTGGTCGAACTATTTTAACCAGTTGGACCATTCTGTGAAGTTGGATCATTCTATCTAGTTAAACTATTTGAACTAGTTATACAATTCTATGTAGTTAGACCAGTTAGCCAGGTTGAGCATTTTACAGATTTGACCTGTTCAATTGGTTGGATCCTTTTTTAATTAGACCATTTTAACAGGTTGGACATTTTTTAGTTTGACCGTGTTAACAAGTTGAATTACTTTAACCATTTGGACTATTTCCTTTATTTACAGCATCTCTACCAGTTAGATTAGTTTATTTAGTTAGACCATTTGCAACCAATTGGATAATTTAATGCAGCTAAATCATTTTAACTGGTTGGGACGTTTTGCTTGTTTGACCATCTTAACCTGTTGGATCATTTTAACCAGGTGGAGCACTTTTCTGGTTCTCTCCATTTTTTAATAAGCTAGACTATTTTAGCTGTTTTATCCAGATAAATCGTTTTTACCGGATCGACCATTTTAACCAGTTGGACAATTTTTTTGTCTGATTAGATTATTTCTACCAGGTGGGTCAGTTTCTTTAGTTAGACTTTCTTAATCAGTGAGACCATTGAATCTTACTTGATCGTTTTAACCCATTGGACTGTTTGGACTATTTGGACCAGGTGGACCATTATGTAGCTAGAGTACTTGTACCACTTGGACCAAAATGAAAAGATTGTATTGTTAGACCGTTTTCACTTGATTACCATATGACCAAATTAAGGCCATAGTAGGACCATTGTAACACTCACTAGATGGACCAGTTCATCTAGCTAGACCCTTTTACTCAGTTGGACAATTTTACCTTGTTAGGACCATTTCTACCACCAGGAGGAACAATCCTCTGGTTTGACTATTTTAACTCATGAGATTAGTTTAACCTGTTGGATTTTCCTAACCGCTTGGATCCTTGTCACTGGTGTAACCACTCACTGGCTGGACCGTTTAGATCTACTTGCAATTAGTGTCAAAAGTAGTTCACACATCATGTTTGAAGAGTCTATTCATTCGTAGGGAAACACTCCTGTTTCCACCGTATTTTAAAACATTGACAAAACCCCCTTCCCATTCAATGTTGCTTGTACATAGCTAAAAGTTCACAAGAGAATCGTGATACAGCATTTGTTTTTGGGTAAGGGGGCAGATAGGTTAAATTAACAACGGCGAAAGAGATAACATAGAAGTAATAGGTCGAAAAGGTCAATGTGTCACGAATTTTGTCGCCGATTGGCTGAATGACAATATCAAATTTTCTTGAATATGAAGTTTTAAGGAGACGTCTGTTGTAATGTTATTTCAATTACTTCATGTATACTTTCGACTGATTCATTTCTAATATGGGTACCATTTAGTACACGCTAATGAGGATCGATTCTATAGTTATCTTGTGACGTTACAGTCGAGTTGTAAGCCTCAAAATCTTTCAGCAACATGTTTTTCAGGGGACAATCCCTGCACGAGCCGGTGCACTTGTGACACAGACAAAAGTAACGGAGAAGTTTGGCCTTTTGCAATCTACTGTTCATATGATTTTAAAGAAGATAAAAAGAAAACAAATATGTCATGCACCACGAAAAGCTGCCTGCCGACCAAGAAAGTTGAACAAGCGCCAAGAAGGACTCCTTATAAGGTACGTCACCAGTTTACATAAGGAAGATTGTAATTATTTCACAGTTACGAGACTGATAAAAAAAGACAAATTTAAATATGCCACAAGTCTCTTGTGGAACCATTCAACACTTCCATCATTGAAATGGCTATCGTGACGAGTTTGCGTGACATGTTCAGATCATCACCCCGTGTATAATGAACTCCTTCGTTTCATCGTATTTCTCCCATAAATTTTCACTGAAATTTTCAAGCTTCGCTCTCGGAAAGCTGTTCGCATCTTGAAACAGGGAATGTCAGCAGTCAAATATTCGTACATATTTTCGCGCCAGATAGAGTCTATTATTTATATAAACTTCATTTTTCATCCAAGCAATAAGTTTGGTTTGTTGTTTCAAAGAATTGTAGCATTATCCCAAGATAAGTCTCAGACAATCAGCATCAATATTAGTTGCCACTGCAATTACGGCGTTAAACCATTTTATGTAGTTATATCATTTTATCTAATTAGACCGCATAAGTAAGTTGAACCATTTTATCTGATGAGACCATTTTATATAGTAAGACCATATTAATCAGTTGGACCTTTTTCATTTTTCCCACGCCATTTTAGGCAGTTGGATCATTTTATTTCGTTACCCAACTTTAACCTTTAAAATTTAAACCATTCCTGCCGTTGGTCCCTTTTTTCTAGTTAGGCCATTTTGATATATTGTTTGGATCCTGTTGAACCAGTAAGACAAAATTAATTGATTGAATGCTTTTAACTGGTTTAACCAATGTATCCTGTTATACCACTTTAACCGATTCGACCATTTTAAACAATTAGACCATCGACACCCATGGACCCCGTTAACCGGTTGATTTTTCTTAAACCTCTTCGACCACTTTTCTAGTTGCACCAGAATAACCACTAGACCATTTTATTTAGTTAGCACATTTTTAACAAACTGGCTCATTTTAGCCAATTAGTCCACTTAATAAGTTGGAACACTTTTTCCATTGAGGCCATTTTATTTAGTGGGACTATTTAATCTACTTACCCCACTATAACCAATTGGATCATTTGAACAAGTTGAAACATTTGATCCAGTTAGATTAATCGAAGCATTTCGATCATTTAACCAGTTGGACCACGCTTTTTAACCCATTGACCCACTTTAACCAGCTGGGCCATTTTGTCTTGTAACGCCATTTTAAGCAGTAGAACCTTTCCCCCCTTTTAAATGATTGAACCTTTTAAATAAGCTTAACCATTTTATCATGTTAGATCAATTTGAGCCATTTGACCAATTTATCTACGTAGATCATCATAACCAGTTGGATCTTCTTAATCGGTTGGATCCTTTTTCAGAATTTGACCATTTTCCCGGTTTGAACAGTTTTACCAGTTGGACCATCTCATGTAACTAAGCCATTTGTACCAACATGACCACTTTAGATAGTAAGACTATTTTAAACGGGCATCATTCTTTCTAATAATATTATTTCAACCAATTGGACCATTTTAACAAGTCTGACCATTTTCTCTAGTTAGACCCTTTTTTACTAACTGGCTTATTTTCTGTGGTTACACCATTTTATACGGCGTGCTATTTTAAATGATTAGATACTTTTACCCAGCCAGACCATTTTTTTTTTTGGTTTAACCATTTTAACTGGATATATAATTTTAAGCAGCTGCACCACTGTATTTGGTTGGACCAATTATACCAGTTTTACGTGTCCACCTAGTTTAATCATTCATGCGGTTTGACCATTTTAGCTAGTAAGACCACATTAACAATTGGACCATTTCAACAAGTTTTAGCATTTTAACCAAATGAGCCTTTTAGTCAGTTGGACTATTTTATCTAGTTAGACCATTTTAACCCATTGAGCCATTTTATCTTGTGAGACAATTTTAAGCGATTGGATCATATCATCTAGTAACCCATTTTAACGCATTGGATCATTTTAACAACTTAATCCACTCTAGCTATCCGGAGCATTGAAAGCTGTTGGTTCGTCACATCTTGTTACTAAAAGCAATTGGACTTTAGACAAATTGGGCCATTTAATCTACTCAGATCGTTCTAAGCAGTTGGACATTTTTATCTGGTGAGTTTATTTCAAGTAGTTGCACCAATTTACCTTGGTAGATTATTTCAACTGCATGGACCATTTTAACTAGCTTAACAATTCTTAGTGGTTGGACCATTTTCACTGACTGATCCTTGTTAACCGATTGAACCATTATCCCAGGTTAGACCATTTTTATCAGTTGGACTTGTTTCTCTGGTTAGACCATTTTAATCGGTTGAACAATTTTATTCGGTTAGACCATTTTAATCGGTTAAATCAATTTAATTTGCTGGACCATTTTAATTGGCTTGATCATCTCATCTAGTTCGAGCATTTTAATTACTTGAATTGTTTTAAACAGTTAAGTAATATATCAAACATGAAGAAGTGTGTTTTATCCGATATCTAAACGCCGATAAGTGGTTGAAAAAACGAGCCGCAGCCGAGTTTTTTTTAACCAACTTCAAGGTGTTTCGATATCGGATGAAACACCCTTTCGAATGTTTGATAGAGCTTCTCAAACCATTAACAATTCTTGGAGAAAATCAAAGCAAAAGTTCACCAAATTTTACGATAATTAAGATCACATATCCAAACCTCCTTCACTGTTGTAATTTCCTTTGCTTTTTTGCATGAATTATTAATGAGTTTGAGAAACGATTTCATACAGGTAGATGAGTTTTATCGGTAGCACCATTGTATATAATTAGACCATTTCTACCTGTTGGAATATTTTGTTTTGTTAGACCATTATTACTGGTATGACTGTCTTAAGCTTTTAGACGATTTTGAACTAATTGTAAAGACGAAAAGCAGCAGCAGTTAGTTTGATCCAACATTTGATAACTCTCACTGTAGTAATAGGTGTTAGGTGTAACTCTCCAGAGTAACTGGAGAGTTACACCACTCATGTAAATCTTAAATTCGGGACAGGAAACAAATACCTCCATGTTTTACGGAACTTTAGCAAAGATCAATACTTTTAGGTGGAGATAGATCATTTGTTTACTCCTCTGGTTTTAATTGGCTAGACCATTTTAATTGGCTAAGCCATTTTATCTGGCTAGAGCATTTTTATCCGTTGGATTGTTTTAACCAGTTAGACGATTTTATATAGCAAGATGATTTTTACCATTAAGACCACTGTATGTAGTTAAATCTTACATTTAGGAAAGGAAACAAATACGTACGTGTTTTACGGACCTTTGAAAAGGATTGACACTCTTAGTTTTAGATAAAATTCAGTATAACAATTAATGGGCCTATTTTTAGCTTGTTTTTTAGATTTTTAGGGAATTTCTAGATTCTCCGTAACAAAGGATATGTAATTTATTGTAAGTAAATACTTTTATAATCATCACTATTATTTTATGTAGTTTTACTACTTTAACCGGTTGGATCATTTTAACCTGTCAGACCATATGTTAGATTTACACGATTTCTACCAGTTGGACTACCTCATATACTTTCACAATTTATACAAGTTGTTCCATTTTATGTAGTTCGACATTTCTAAGCAGTTGGACTTTGTCATCTTGATAGACTACTATTTCAACCACTTAATACATCTTAACCAGTCTCATCATTTTAATCGGGTGGATTATTTAAAAAAGTTAGACTATTTTCTCTTGTTGGAAGACTTCGATCGGTTGGACTTTTTTCCGTACCTAGACCATTTTAACCGGTTGGATCAATTTCTCTGGTTAGATCATTTTTACTAGTTCGACTAGTGTATCTGGTTAGGCCATTTTGATCGGTTGGACTTTTTCATCTGGCAATACCACTTTAACCTTTGGATCATTTAAACGGTTCGCTTACTTTAGCTATCGGCCTATTGTTCTATAAAGACCACTTTGGGTGGTTTGACCAGTTTATATCTCTTAAGATCATCATAGGAAAAGATCGTGGCCAAGGCAAGGAGCGGCTGCGTGAAAAAGTCTTAGCGGGCAAAGGACGTTCTCGAAGGCGTTGTGTCAGGGCCGAAAATTTCTTGCTGTGAGAAATTGAAGATGGTAACGTCTCTTTGGATATAATGTGAAGACTGGCGGTGAAGCACTAGAGTGGAAACGTCATTTCAAAAAAAATGTGTTAAGTACCTTGGCATTCTCATAGACTGTCATCTCAATTTGAAAGAACAATTCCATCAAATTTCCAAAAAAATATCAGGGATATTGGCGTCCTATCTAAGATTAGACATTTTGTTTACATGAAAACACTAGTTCAATTATGCCATGCCATTATTCTTCCTCTTCTCTCCTATGGCTATATATTTTAGGGCAACACTTATGACCATAACATTAAACCACTTTAAATAATACAGAGGAAAGCAATCCGTCTAATTACTTTTTCCAATTTTGATGCACATATAAGTCCTTTGTTTGCTAAGCCTAACCTTCTCAATAAAGGGGTAAGTTTCTAAAGAAACTGTGGTGCTGCGTCGGTGGGAGAGTATAGAAGGTAATTTAGTGTTAACAACTGGGTTGAAAACGTAAATTAGCCACCGTAAAGGGTAAAAAAGCTGACGTTTCGAGCGTTAGCCCTTCGTCAACCCAGTTGTTAACCTTCTCAAACTTCAAGATCGCATTAAGCTTCAAACTCTCTTTTTTATACATTAATTTAATACCGGCAAACTACCAGAGATCTTTGATTCGTTTTTTGTTAAAACATCTTGTAAACATAATGTAAATACTCGCTTTGCATCTAGATTTACTTTCTATCTTCCAAAAATTCGAGCAAATTATGGCAAATTAAATATTCGATTTAATGGACCTAAATTATGGAATGAACTCGATGAAAGATTCAAGTGTTGTACTTCCAATCAATTTAAATAAGACCTAACTTCGTTATATTTATTTATTTTGTTTTGTCTTGTTCTGTATATTTACTTTTGTACCAGATTTATAATATTTTTAATTATCATAATTGCGGTCACCCGGCTAGTTTAGCTTTTTAGTTATTTTGGGTGTCCCAAAAGTTATTTATTTATTTATAATTTTATTCTTATAAATTATTCTAGTTGTTTACAGTAGTAGAAGTAAACTATTGTTGTTGTTGATGTTGAACTCCAGTTGAAAGGTTGACCGTATAAGTGATGATGACTTTAGCTCACCAGTCAAACGAGAAAAAAGACACCTCTTTTTCATTATTGACCTGGTAGTCGTCTTCACTTCACCGTCATCAATAAGGTGGATATTGGTCAAGTCCAGATTCATAAAAACGCAACGAACGAATTGGGCCACTCTACAGCCACATGACCAAAAAAGCTCGGTCAGTGACCAATTGATTTCATGGCAAACAGATAAAACCAAAGTGTGAACACAAATATGATTATCAGCATACTGTGGTGTAAAACACGGAGAAAGAAACTGGCATTAGCCGAAATACGATCTTATGGACGTTTATTGACCTTTCGTATGCTTCAACATCCATCTCCAGTTGGTGCGTGATAATAAATACAATTGGATCCAACATAATGACCAGACCGCTGCACCAGTATCGCAGAGGTTATGGGTTCAAATCCCATACGGGCTTGAATTTTTTTTTCAGGCCTTATTTCAACTACTGGTTCAGTAGTGTTCATAACAGCGAGGATCGATTCTGTATTCGTTTCTTTAACCGCAGTGCACATATATGATTTTCATATATTAACAGCCATTATTCACTACTTGGAAAGGTTTGTTTGGATCCAACATGATGACCAGCTCCCAGTTGGCTTGTTAGCTCAGTTGGTAGAGCGCTGCAAATCCCGTACGGACCTGAACTTTTTTCGGGTCTTATTTCAACTATTAGTTCAGTAGTGTTCATAACTTCGGGGATCGATTCTATATTCGAATTCAAGCATCTTTAAAAGTAACCGTTATTAACTTTGGATGATTGACAAATCCCAAGGCGGGGACCAAGACCCCTTCCTTTGTCCTCTTACTTGTTTATCTGGTGTACACCGGCTATTTGCCACATCGATTATGTCCTCAACTCTTTCTTGTAGGTAACCTTTACAGTAACGTACTGAGCATTGATACTGGTCGTTCCATTGGTGGCACATGCGGATGCATCTAAACTACGGTAAAAGTATAAAGATTTTTTTGGAGGAAACGGTTTTAGTTGAAAACCGAAAGCATGTCATGTATTTGATAAGAAAAACTGCTTCCTCGATTCGAGGCAATAATGCATCCCTTTTTCTCTGATAATCTTCACATCAACTATGAGCCTTACTCCGGAAGCATGCGACGAACAAATATATCATTTTCAGCGCGATCTCTTTTCATACTGGTTGGGATACATCGGCTGCATAAGATTCAGCTTTTAATCGTTCCTTTTTCCTTTTCTTGCTTTTTGTTGAAGCCTTTTGTTCTGTTTTGAATTGTTACCTTTTGTTATTTCTTTCTTATTATTTTTTTTTCATCATAAACCACATCGTTTGAAGTATGTGATTTCTTCAGAAGTTTCTCGCATATTCATACCAGCAGTTAACCAGCTATTGGTGGATATTTACCTCGCTGCTTGGCAGCCCAGTGAATATCCGACGCTACCCACCGAGGTAAATAATTGTTTTAATATATATGCTGTGGTTTAATTTTATCTTGGTTCAAATTTTATTTTCCTTTGTTTCAAACTCACTATTATACATTACAATACCCAAAAACAAAAGGAAAGAAAATTTGAACCAAGGATAAAATTGAATCAAAATCTGCTAAAACAGTGAGATAACATAGCAAAAAAAGATCATTTAATTCATTTATTGTTGCAACGATTATAATATTTTCGGGCGCAGATCCCGCGCGAGTTGTTCAGAAGTGAATACCAGGTAATATTAGGAGTTTGCGTAACCAATCAGTCCCGGCCTTCGACGCTATCCACTGTTTTTACTTTTCCAAAGACGACTGCCAGAGGAGTGCATCTGCATAATCTTTGCTCGTTGAAGCGAGTTGACAACGATAGGCCAAGTCAGCCAAATTCCAGCGTCAAATTCTAGTAACACCGGGCTTGAAATCGTCCACCTGAATATAGGATCGCTCAAAAATCGCGCTCACTTGTCAGAGCTATGACTTCTTGCTTCAGAAGGGAAAACCGATATCATCACAATCTTTGAAACTTGGCTAAACACTACCGTCACAACCTTGGAGTTACAAATTGATGGATACAAGTTATACAGATTGGACCGCCTTCACAAAAGGGGCGGGAGAGTCTGCACCTACATTCGGAAAGAACTTAAAGCCACTATTCTGAAAGAGCTCTCCTATATACTCGAGCGAAATTTCTATCAGTTATGGTTAAGTGTCTAGCAAAAGAAATTAAAATTGATGGTGATCCGCATCACGTATCGCCCAGAAGACTGCCCCTTCAGCTCCTTTGATGAGGTCCTTAAACCCAACTACATCCAAGCCTTACTGCTCAAAAAGCCTATCTTAATTTCAGGTGATTTAAGTTGTCTCAAGAAAACCTGCTCTGAATTTAAAGCATTGGAGAAACTTTACACCGAAATGAACTTGCTACAACCACTTGAAAAGCCAACTAGGATCACAGAAAAACACTGAATCGTTGCTTGACGTGATCCTAGTTAAGCCCAACACGCTTGTTCGGGACAGTGGGGTTTTACATTGGCCCATTAGCGACCACTCAATCATCTTCGTGAAACTCAAAGTTAAGCCGCCAAAACCTCCCCCCCCAGTTTGTAAATGTCCGCAACTATAAGAACTATAGCCCTAACCTCTTTATGGTAGACCTAGCTGACAAGGCCGATGACCTTCTAACAATTTTTGATGCTAGTGACGTGGACACCAAACTCAATACATTTAATGATACTCTACAGTCCGTTCTAGACATCCATGCTCCCATGAAATCCATCAAGATTTTAAGCAGACCCCGTCGTTTTGTCAGCAAGGATATCAAGGATCTCATGAAATCTAGAGATGGTGTCCTCAAACGATTTCATTAAACACGGGACGCCGTTGACCGAGCTAATCTTAAAGAATCGCTCCACTTTGTTAAGAAAACCCTTCTTGAAACTGAGAGAAACCACACCTTCGAAGTGGTGAGATTGCATCAGAAAAATCCCGGTTCTCTGGAAGATAATGAATCGCGCTCTCCCTTTCAAAATCAAGGCGAGGCAAATTTGTTCAAAAGATCTGAAATCCGTAGCAAACGAATTCAACCAGTTTTTTGCAGCTGTCGGTAGAAATACCGCAGAGGCCTCCGTGCGTCTGGCCAAGAAAAACAACATAGCGATCCCCGAGGAGATCAGTGTCGACCTCACTCTCATCAACGAGCCTTTTAATCTCAGAACCGTGACACGTGAGGATGTACGGCAAGTTACATTGTCTCTGCCACTTAACAAAGCACCTAGTCCTGATATAATGAATGCACGCATAAGCAATGACTTCCTACCCTTCATCTTAGGCCCTCTGACTGAGATCATAGATTGTTCATTCTTACTAGTGCATTTCTAAATAAGTAGAAAGAAGCAGAGATAATACCTATCCTTAAAGACGGAGATCATGAAGATCTCTTTTAACTGTTAACAGACTGTTGACAGACTGTTGACAAATCGCTCTCACTCAATTCACTACTTACCTCCTTAACAACAACAGGTTAACAGCCTGGCAGAGTGGTAACAAAAAGGCCCACTCCACTGAGACTCTGAACATCTACCTCACAGACTGCATCTTAGAAGCTATGGATAGGAAGAAGCTCACCGTTCTCGTCCTGTTATACCTCTCAAAAGCTTTTGACAGCATTCGACATCAAAAGCTGCTTCCTAAACTCTCCAAAGAAGGAAAATCACCTTCAACCGTTATTTGGTTCAAGAGCTATCTATCAGGGCACTCTCAATCCGTCCGAATTGATTCCACTCTTTCGGACCCCCTGCCAATAACACACGGAGTCCCAAAAGGTGCAGTCCTTTCACCATTGTTTTTTTGCATCTGCCTCAACGATCTGCCCTCGGCTCCTGGTACTTGCAGCTTGGAGTCATACGTGGATGACTCGCAAGTATTCCTGTCATTCCTGCTGGCAGAGGTTGATTCGGTGATTGAGAAGCTTGGACAACACCTGCGCAACATGGCTCAATGGTGCTGTGCAAACAACTTACTGATAAATCCAAGCAAGGCCGAGCTGCTCTTTATCGGAACTAAGCAGTTCATGAGTAGGATACCAGGAGCTCCGCAAGTGTCCTTCCTTGGTTAGATATTACAACCAGCTACTCCAGCCAGGGACTTGGGAGTCATTCTGGACCCTCACTTAACTTACGATCACACAAGTAGTCTTGTCCTGCTTTTCTAAACTATATCAGACAAATGGTGTTGAGAAGAGCTTTAACAAAGAAACTTTAAAATAACTAATAGCATCATTAGTTTTTAGTAAAATGTTACATTGTTCCACCGTGTAGTCAAAGACATCAGCTGGAAATATCAGTAAGCTACAGTCAATCCAAAACTTTGTCAGCAAGGTAGCTACGAACTCTAAGAAATTCGACCACGTAACTCCTTTGCTTCGCCAGTCGAACTGGTTACCCGTGAAGCAATTACAACTATATAAGAACGTGGTAATGACATACAAATGTTTGAATGACCTTGCTCCACAATACCTGAGCGATAAATTCATTAAGCGCTCTAGTATTCATGCTCGTTACACGCACAAAAGGGACTCGTTTCAGATACCGATTTGTAAAACTGCCACAGGCCAACGTACTTTTACTTATAGAGCAACTAGCTTAAGGAACAGTTTGGTAATGACGTTAAGAATCGTACCTCCTTGAAATCTTTCATGATCGCCACGAGGGAGTACCTCCACACGGTATGTAAGTACGAACCTTCAGAGCTTGTTTAGTTTTAAATTGTTATTATATTTTATTATTATTATTATTATCATTATTATTATTATTATTTTATTACTTTATGTCTTCATACAATTGTAAACAGATTTTGAAAAACCTTTTGAGGAACATCTTAAAGTTTAAAATGTTAAATGCTTTAGTATATACTAAACACACTTATCAGTCTCTGGTTCTAGAAACTTCGACGCTGATTCCTCTAATCGATCGACTCGGAAAATACAGAGAATATCATACAAGCTACCCTGAACTCACTTAAGTATATATCTGGTATAAAGTTATATTAAGTAGACTGTAAGATGTTCTCATTTATACCTTCTACCGTGCTTAAATATGGTCGATCTGAATTTGGAGGTGCTACTGTGAGGTTACTGTGTTCATCACCCTCTATCTCACTTGACCTCATGACTGACTGTCAATCAGAAGCAATTTATATTAGGAAAACGGGAAGCAAGAAAAGAATGAGTATGTGGTGTTTTTGGCACAAACATATATATAACCTCTGACACTCAACCGATACAGAGCATGCACTGAAACTTTACCAAAACTTCACTGACACCTGATCAGTATTCAATAACACTGGGTCAGCCGCCATGTCTGTCGACTATTGCTCGGTTTTTACCTACCTTCTTTGAGGGAGGTGAACAGACGCCAGGCTAAGAGTCTTAGTCGGACTATGATTACGATCCTCTCGGAAATGCGATTTAACAGTGGGCTGAGGTATCCCACTTGAAAACTTTCGCAGAGTTTGTGAGATTTGTTCCTGACTTCACACAATGGAGTGGCGCCATACACTTTAATTATGATATTTTGTTCAAGAAGGAAAAGGCATCCCGACAGTCTTAGTTTCGAATAAATGTTATTATGATTCCTTGAACCCTAAGTAAACAACAAATAGTCTGAATTCACTTACATTCTCCGCACTGGTCTACACCACTAGATCGGCACGAAAAGAAGACATGTAGACCTAAAATCGACGAAATGGAATTTAGTATTTTAAAACTCTTTTGCTGAATCTAAGATCCTTTGATCTTGGCCATTTTCATGATATTCAAATCACATCACCTCATAATCGCGCGGATTCCCCTGTACAACAGTGACAGCAACACCTATAGAGACTGAATCGTGGTAAAAATTTCTATTCCTTGAACAGGCAATCTTCAGTACTGACAGCATGGGCCACGGCTATTATTACGACTTAGTGCGGTTGTTGTGCTCTTTTTTCTTGCTGAGTTTTCCCTCATTTCTGTCATTTTGTCGGTGTTTCAACTAAATGGAATTTCAATTCCTATTTTCTTTCCTCACTAGGTACCTTTTTAACACAAAAACTTTTATTGCTTTTATTCAGTATTATTATTTTAAGGATCTCACTTTTTCAATGACTGCATCTCATCTTCTTTTTTATTCATTAACGATTCTGAAACGCATTAAAGGTGTTATTTTTAGCTCTTGCAATAACGCCTGTCATCAAAAATTAATTAGCACCGTATGTTTTTGGCCTTGAAAGTTAAATGCAGTTTTGGGCAAGGACGCAGCATTTTAAGGTTTTTTTTCCTACTAGTCAAACGAGTGTGGTGACTCAAAAACTGTTCCTATTCAACGGCTCTTCTGTTAGTACTAACAAACCGAAGCCGTTTAAAGCCAGTTAAAATGAACTAATTTGCTTGAGATTAAATAGACTCAGCTGATTGGTTGCGCCATGAAAGATATTTGTATGATCAACACTGCCTTTGTCAATAAGGCTGCTTGAGTGGACGCCGACGAATGCAGATGAAAGTAACGTCAAGAAACAACCCACCATAATTTCAAACAAGACGTCCGAAAGCTAAGGTAAGCGCGGTCATCATCCAATGTGATACTTTGGTCGCCTAAGTTATCGTCTGGGATATCTTTAAAGCCAAAAAATTTTTATCGCACTTTGTTTGCGACCTAACACTCAAAAATTTATTCATAGCTAAGCCAGATTCAATTCCAGCGTTAATTGAAGATTTTTTCTTCATGCGTCTCAAAAGGGGAAATTGCCTGATGCTTTATCAAGTGATGCCAACACAATATTTTTTGCCCGCTTAATAAAAAGTATTCAAAAGCCAAAGCCTGTTTAGCTCATCAGTAACGCACGAACACATTTTTGTTGAAGGCAGCTCTCTGCTTCAAGGTCAAAATGCGAATAAGTGCAGATATCTAGTCGCGTTCTTGTTTTCCTTCCCAAATCTAAACTGCTGAAAGTAATTTTTAACACAGCTTGACTTCTCCAGTTTGATGTATGTATGCATGCATAAACACCACATTTCGTTCGCTCGTTACTTCGTATGTAGTCTACGGAATATAAATAAACATACATGGCAACGACCAAAATACCCTAAAATACGATTTCTTTGTTCGCCAGAATGTAATCGAATAGAATTCTGATCAGCACGTTTTGATGCCATGAATGGTTACGATTTAAACAAATAGTTTTTGTGGGGTACATTTTGAACGCAGCCGGTAATGTATACTGTGAATACACTATTCAGACTGTCTCTTGTATTTGGAAAAGAGGAGTAAAATTTACATAACAGTGAAAACACTACCTAAAATCCATTTAGACAAAAATATTAGAAGGGCTTCTCATTGGTTTTCATCATCAGGGAAAATTTAGCTTCGCATTTTTAATTCGCTTTTGTGCTCGAATTAAAAAGGTTAAAGCGATTTTTAAGTCCTGACGTATTTATCAGTATGTAATTATGGTTTTTTTTTACATTCGTCAATTCCTAAAATATACTATCTTCATGTCAAAAGAAGTAAAAGAAATGTAACGAAAAATGAAATTCCTCCAGAATTCCTTATATCTGTTTTGTTGTTATTGATACGCAGTAAACCTAAATCTGTTATTGCTGTTTTAATGACATTTTTTTTTCTTTAATTCGGACATAAGGATTTAGCGCCAGAATTGAAGGATTAACAATAAAAAGCAACATCATTTGCCGAACAATATTGAATGTTCTCTACTGTGCCTCGCAGAGTTCTTGAGTGTCATCATAAAGTAATTTAATTGACCGGTTTCCCAATGCGACTCAAGCCTCAGTTCACAGGCCTCTTAACACAATTTTAGTGCACAAAACTCATTTCCGGAATAGCAGCACTAGATTTGTTGCCATCTTTTTTTATTTTTACTCTGGACTGCATCAACCTCTGATATACGGGCCTTTCCCTGGCATAAACTAATGTCAGACCAACTTGAAGCTTTCCCTCTCTCACTTTGCTGTGTATCTCCTCAACCTTGGTTTTTTTTTTATCTACATGAAATATACGATCCTCGTTAAACATCAAAGTCGTTATGAAAGGGGCACCAACTTAACATTTGACACCATCAGTCAAGTGATAGATACTTTCTAATATCTAAAAGTGATTCTTGATAAGTGATTTAAGACGTGACAGTTTTTGGCATTTTATCACAATTAGTATATTGATATTTCTAGAGCATATTTAATACATTTGTGAAGCATAAGAACTATGTCCACAATGATCCCTACTTATGAGAACTTTAACAATCGCGTAACATATATATGAAACCTTTTTAGCTGACATGAAAGTTTTTACTCCACCCCAAGTTACGAGTTAACCCAGGTTGAATCTCCACGATGGTTAATCCTCTTGCAGTCAAATGGTTTTTGGGCGTTTACTTGAACAAAAGGCAACGAACCCAGGTCAGCCCTACTCGACGAGTGACCGTTGTTGAAACTTGTTGACCGGGCTTAGAGGGGCGAAATCTCATCAATTCCTTTCTGGTAAACTGAGTCCCAAGAACTCAGTTATCCATGTTTTCTTTGTTTTCATTTTTGTGTCTGTTTTTTTTGTTCATCACGATCCCATCATTCCAAGAGAAAATCATAGGACCATTATTTTCCTTTAGTCATTCACATTACCTTTTTAATTTTCTCGTTTTCTCGTTTTTAATTTTACAACCGGAAGAAAGGCAGACCCACGTCAGACTCGAGGCTAACTGCACGGCCACGGAGTATGACTTTCTAAGTTTGCGTTTATAAAAAGTTTATACTTTTAAAAGTCTTTTAGGATGATGTATCCCGAGGTTGTAAATCAATCCAAGGTCGCGAATAGAACTGAGTCTTCTAAGGACGTGTCTTGCAAACAACAATGTCAACAATTCGCTCAGAGCTCCCCTAGTCTTGCAATGCACCTGCTGGAGTTTTCCTCTTTCTTTCATGCCGTGTGAAAACTGTAGCTCGTTGGTAAAATCACTGGGAGTACACATGGGAACGAATTTTCGCCGTCGTTGTTTTCAAGACACATCCTTAAAAGGCCTTTTTTCTACCAAACAATGTCACTCACGCGCCCCATGCTCTCATGGACAAGGTGTGTTTTAACATTTTTGCCAGAAAAGACAAGCCAAAATACAAAAATTGTTTAGTCTTTGAACGGAAAATCGCTTATTCAGTGGTTTAACAAGGTAGGGACAATTTCTTGACGACTGTTGTTATCGAAACAGACCACGTACTATGATATCATGCACCGCCTACGGAAACGCGTGGCACGGATAACTATTAACTCTCTGAAATGCTATTATTTACTTCATTCACTCGAGTGAATAACTCACAATCGTTACATTGTACACATATGACCAATTTCCTTTTGTTACACTGAATAAATTTAAAAGAATCGTCAAGAAAATGTCATCCATCTGGTATTTTATCTACTTAAGGTCGGTGGAAAGACAACCGACTTTGCGTAATATCAACTACAGCATGGTGTTGTGGTTTCCGTGCATGTGGAGAACCTGATCGGGATCTATTAGCAAAGCACACACTGACTTCTTGTTTTGGCAAGATTATTAGGGTAAATTATTTAGATATAGAGGGTGGTTATTTCAAAAATGGCAGCGAAGTTTGGTTTGAAAGGACTTAATGGAAGTTATTTATTTTTCCCACTCTGTATTCTATGGCAAGGTCTGTGCCAGCTTTCGAGCATCATAGACTGAAATCGAAACTACTGATGTTCTACAGCATTGTTTCAAAACGAGAGAGAGAAAAAATACTGATAAGATCCTCTAGAATTTTTACTTCTTCTTTGAAACGCAGGACGAAAATTTGGATTTCGTTAAATGCGAACTGATGACTAATGAGTGATTTTAATCACTTAGTATCTATCATTTTCAAACAGGAAGCCAGACAAATAACGTTAGTTCCTATGTTAATAAAAGCCTGATATGAGCTTTCACAGGCAGTATGAACAATATTTTTGTTGGGAATGATATCCTTTTTCCCAACCTTAAAAATCTCAATGTTACAAAAGAATAAGGAACTGTCAAACATCACAGACCTTATCCCCGCCTCCAAATATCTTAAGCGTGCCTGCGAATTATATCAATGTACAGAAACCACTCGGCTAGCCTCGCGGACATAGTTTGCATTGCTTTCGCGGCAGTTTCTCTCTGATTTCTCATTAGCACTAAATGAATTAAATCATTACCATGCTGCTCTTTCATCATTTTCTCGTCAGATACGGTGTAGGGAAGTGGCGGTGAGCGCTGTCGTGGTTCTGTAACATTGACATCATGTGATAGTGGGCTTGTTTTGGAGACTTTACTGTGCTTCTTTGGGTTGTCTACTTTAAGTTTCGAGTGAGTCCTTAGACTAGCTGCAGGAAGACACCTTTTTTACCTACCTCATAATTCAACCAATTTGAATTGATTTATATTCAGACAAAGCCAATAATGTGGGAAAACTTTACATGATAATAACCAACTGCTGAAAATTACCATATTAAACCAAGGGTACGACGGGTCCTTGCAGTTCACTTTAAAAAACGTCGTGACATGGTTGGTTACTGTGATCTTCAGACCGACCTTATAACTGAACACCGATATGAACCGCGATATCTTTCCATTCATAAACAAAAATTGTGATTGATAAATCATTTTGACAGATATTATATGGGAAAAATCCAAACTGATCAAAATTCATGCAAATTGATTTATTTTGGTCATCTAAGCGAACATTAATAAAAACAGCTAAGATTCAAAGCATTTCAAGGGCAAAGGAGAAATTGCAATGACACCGTCTATTGAATAGACCCTCATGTCAACTGTCCTGTGGTAGTGCCACCGAGGAGTTTTCAACCAATTCACACGGGTTTCCTTGTGATCCACGGAAAAATCTAAGGCCGATATCCCTCAGCTTCAAGCTTGGACATTGTTTGATGTTTTTATCTCTCACCGATTCTTCTGGATGTCCAGACCGGCAGTTGACGATCTTCAAATGCGGTCTTCATACTTTTTCAGTTTTTTGTCTTTTCAACTGACGTAGATAGCCACTTGCAGTGTCACCTTTTCTGTCTTTCTCTCATGATTCCCATGAGCTGAACAAACTAAACATGTAAGATTTCATTTAAATTTGACACAACTTATGTTCTGGGGAGTTGATTCCGTTCTGATGTAGTCAGTTTTCTTCGGCCATTCACACGGCGAAATCTTACTTAAAGGTGCTAAGTAGCTGAAGAGCACCAAATCATCTCAATGCGAGGCTATTAAAATGTCTAAACAACTATATAATTTCAAGATTTTATTTGTTAAGAAAAGGGTGGGCAAGGGTTGACACAAGTGTAAAGCAAATGAGGAGTCCGGGACAATAACACAACAGTTTTTGCGAGTAAAACGTTAAAATTCTGCTGCCAGCGACATTCTCAAATTGCTTCTTTTTCAAATGTACAAAAAAAACAACAACAACAAAAGACCTCAACTTCGTGGAGGCAGATTACTGTATCTACGAGGTGTTCACAGCACACTCGAACTCGAACTGATCTTCTATCGGTTTTCATTACTTTAATTTCTTTCCGCGTCATCCCATTCTTCGCCATGAAAATAATGCTTAAAACACTGGAGCGTGGAATTACCATGATAAAGCTTTCAATTTGACCAAGTAAAAATGTGAGAACCAAACATATTAACGAGAACAACAAGGGAGACTAAGTGTTGCTAAGAAATCCGCCAGGTTGCCGGATGAAATTTGGACAAGGTACCTTATGTTCTTTAGATTCAAACAGGCAGCCTCACTCAGTCGCCTTATCAAAGATCAAACTTCCACATAAAAATTCATAAGATTACGCTTTCTTGTTCTCTAATTTCCAAACAATGTCATTTCTTGAGTACAATTCTTATCATCTATTCTCGTCATCGACTATCGACTCAAACCATTTCCTCGTTTGACTGGTCATATATATTTTGCCCTGTCTTTTTGTTGGAAACGTTTATAGCTTTGTGATCGCGAAAGAGTACTCAGTTCGCTAATGGCATTGTATGTTATTTGCAAAGGGAGATAAGATGACTAGTCAGTTCTCAAATCACCATAGATGTGCCTCATCTTACAATTAGGGCACAATTTTTTTTAAATGTTCGTAAATTCAAGCCAGTAGAGTGTAAGAATTTATTGAAAAAGCTCCGTAGAAAGGTTCTTGAAGGCTTAAATTGTATTTGCTCGACGCTTGTTGTTATCCAATCAAATCTTTCCAAACATAACTACATGTAAATTATCGGGTGGTCACGTGAACAAAACAATTCTCTTCTCAGACTCCCTCAGCAACTCTTGTCCTGTCGTTTCAACGAAGGTGCAGCTAAATTCTTCACGATAATTTTGTTGTTGTGAAATAGCCAGAGGAATAGATACGATGTTAAAAACGAAAAGAAAGACTTTCTGACGACACCCTTCGACTATTTCACCTTTCTGCCGCACAGAGCATGAATAATGGTCGAGGACTGTCCACTTGTTTTGGTAGTTCGTGAACCCGAAAAGTTTTAGAATTGGTTGCTACGGTCCTTAGTAATTTTCTCCGCGTAGTGTTAAAAGAATTTTCATGAGAGGGCCCATGTTACCTTTCCGTAAAAAATTAGTTCGGCCGTTGAATCTACTTTTCAATTGGTGATCATGTCAGCGCATACTGACTCTGCTACTTTCAACAGAAGGTCTTCGACACCATCCAGACGAGCTTGGGAAGAAACAGGAGAGAAACCACCGGCAGGCGACTCACAGAACGATCTTAACAAAAATGTAGCGGACGGGAATAAGTCTGTGCGTCAAGAAAGAACTGGAAGTGAAGGACAGAAGACAATGACAAGCATGGAGAGCAACGGATCAACCGAAGTTCGACTTCGGTCTGTGGAAGTTGGTGTCGAGGAAAACGCGAACATCAAAACGAGTAAAGGTGAAATCGCTCAAAAAGATAATACGACGAACGGATTTCCAGACGTGAACGTTAAAAATGGAAAAAAAAATGGTGCAAAAGATCCCGAGGCTTTGAAAGGTGATCATGTATGCGAGGATTCCTGTTGTGGTGACTGGACGTTGTTTACGCGGGTTTTCAAATCGAAGAGATTCGAATCGGAAAAGCTCGAGGGCCTCTATCAACGTTATGTGTTTCGCCTGAACCAAAAGTTTATGAGCTGGCTTATTGGACTGCTACTTATCTTAACATTCATTCTCATAGGTTTACAGTTCGGTATGGAAAATGAGATGCCTCCAGAGACTAATGCCGAAGGCATTACTTTATGTATATTTGCCGTTGCCTACATCTTGCTGGCTTTAATTGTGAATAGAAGTGGTTCCTCACAGAGTAATTTAAATTGGGTATCTTATATTTTACTCGCCATATCTTGTGGATTTGTTCTAGCTTCAGTTGTTTGTCCTCCTTCAGAGGATGTAGAACCAAGCCACCCTAAAAGCCTTTATTCGCCATCAGATGGCGTGTGGCTAACAACTTTCTTCGTCTATATGACTTACACCATGTTACCAGTTAGGATGAGAATCGCCGTCTTCGGTGGCTGCCTTCTTCCTGCGATACATCTCATATCAAGCGCTGCGATGAATAATAAAGATCCAAACCTTTCAAGATTGGTAAGCATGATTTTTGTATCTTTATTGTTTACTTTCTTGTTTGTAATTACGGGTTTCATGATTTGTGGAGTGCCTTGCTATCTAGCAGCTTCCCGAACATGTCTCATTGCATAAATAATGTATGAGTAATGTTTACATTGCGAGGAAAACTTGATGTTTGAACTTGTGGAAATGTATTTTTTTAAGAGCAGATTTCTATACCACCACGTCTTCATAAAATTTTGTACCAGTACGATTTAGTTCTAATCACATCTTTCCCTTCTATCACATACCGCGGACTTGAAAATTCTTAAACGGATTCCAATTCTCTCGCATTTCTTACTTCAAGTGCAGGTGAAATAGCCACATATTTTAATTACTATAAACAGCTGGTTAAGGTCGTAAAGAACACGCGCCTCTTTTTCCATTGGTGCGTTCATTGAAATCAAGGTGTTAATCTACTAATAAAAGCGTTTGATTAAAAAAAAGGAAATAAAATAAAAGCGACCCCAAACGTTATAGTTTATAGTGGTTATAGAAGTGGTCAGGATAGAAGGTAATTCAAGCACTGTTATTTTTATTTCTTTGTGTTGTTGAGAATTTGCCTTTGGATTAGCCTTGCTCGCACTTATAAAGAAACAATATCAAACATTAACCTGAGACTTTAGAATTCTTTTTGATGTTAGGGTTTACCTGTTCACAGGGAAGGTAAAGAACATGTCGGAGCTTTTTTTCACAGCAAGTTATTAGTGAACCAGGCTCATTATCTGGAATACTGATTTCTTACTGTTCCAATATTGCTTTTTTCATTATTATTGCTATCTCAATAAGGTGGTGATACTAACTACTTAGTAACTTATAGTAAAGTAATAATGAACACATGAACAGCTTAAATACACTGTAATTTGAGCATGAATAAATAGTTTTATCACAATTGTGTCTAATCTGTCAGATAATTGCCAGCTACCCAAAACTAAGAATGAACAGCATTAAAAAATAAGGACCAAGTATTTTGAGATTAAAGTTTGATTAAAAGAAAGGCAATTATTGTTGCTTAGAAGCAAAAGTTGTCAGACTTTCTTGCCTTTAGGAGACCTGCACAATAGATTCGCTACTTTCTAATTATTGTTTTCTGGACTTCAAGGCCAGGAAATTAATGGCATTGTGTTGAAATTCCTGAAAGATGCAAGATTTGAAAACAAATTTTTTTACAGAACAGTAATTGACAAACAGACCAATAGTTAAGAACAATACATGAGGGTCAAAATAATTCTTCAAATGTGGCAGAGCCTCACCTGATGTCAGCAAGTTCAGTGTTTGTTTCCACTCATAATTGATAGCTTGTTTGGGAATCAAAATATTGATGATTCCAAAGCTAATTTTGTTGCTATCAAGAATTAAACATCCAGAGTTTTCTAAATCAAGTATTCTTTAGCATATTATCCATTTCATTTTGAGCTTCAGAAGGTTTATTTACATTTGGAACAGAAGAGAAAACAAAGGTTTTGAAATTCAGAGCTTAAGTAGTGGGGAACCTTGCAGCAAAATACAATTGCACACCACAGAGGTTTATACCGTGATGGCTCAATAGGAAAAACATAGGATGAGCAAGTCCTTTTTTATGATCATGTATAGTATCAGAAGCATAGGAGTGAAATGTTACAAGGTCACATGTCAATAAATTCATACCCACATGGGAACAGTTAATGTTCTTTTTATCACTTGGAGATATTTTTAAATGCATTTGAAGAGCAAAAGTGCAATGATCAGATATAATTTATGTTAACTCAGATTGCAGAAGGGCTGTTTTAACATCAGAATAAAATATATATACAAATGAAAAAAAAAGACTGCAGGAAAATAGGGCAGATTAGTGATGTTAGATCCTAGAAGTGAAAAGGTTGTAAAAACTTTTAAGGAAAAGTAAAACTGGTCATCATGATAACAATATTATCTTTGTATAGGAAGATTTAAATGGTACCCTATTACATGAAATTTTCTGACTTGGTACAATTCATGTACTGAAGTTAACTATTTTTATGGATCAAAATTCTCTTTTGCTTCTGAAAAATGAAAAAAAAAAAAAAAACTGGCAAGAGTAAATCAGTGATGAGAACTTCAGGACATTTCCTTAGACCAATGGTGTGGTGGATTCACATCCTCCACATAGGTTTTTTTGAGTGTTTGAAAAAATTTTCAGAAACCCCCTTTATTATTTTTGGCTTGAACGTTACCATCAGTGTTAACTTATGAGTCTTATTTCAGAGAGGTGAGGTCTCAATGTTTCCAGGCAGTCCTAGAGCTCCAGAAAAAAAAGATAAAACATTCTTGGGAGTTGGAATTTCCAAACATAACTGCATGTTCATTGCTACCTTATGTATTTTTTAAAAAAGTTTACCTGATTAAAATCAGAATCTTACTTGAAAATCTTTTTGTTCACAGCTTGTTGGCAATCTGTTCATATTTGTATGTGCCAATATAACGGGGGTCTTTACGAAGTATCCAACAGAGATTTCACAACGCCGGGCTTTCCTAGAAACTAGGCGATGTATAGAGTCAAGGTTGACCATCATGAAAGAGAACCAGAACCAGGTACTGTTTTATATAATTTAATTTAAACTTGAATATTTTTTACTCTGGCAAATGAAAAATGTAACCTGGAAAACCTATGTTATGTGCCCCATGTTATTTGACTGGTTATAACTGATGTGTTTCAACCAGTACATGTGTTATTCCATGTCCACAACCAGTCTCCAGAAATAAGGGTGTTCTAGGTCAGAGGCAAAGGATATAAATGTGGTGTATTTTACGATATAAAAATGGAGCTTGGTGTGAGCATTAGTAATGATGTTTTTCATCATTTATATATTTTTTTTTTACTGTATTACTAATTAAAGGGACTGTTGAAAAGTGGGATCTACAACGTGATGCTTTGCTTTAATAGTATTCCCTTTAACTGAGTGTGTACATACAAAATAAGAATTAAAGAAAAAGGTGATATTATTCATGAAAGGAGACAGGCATACTTTGAGAAAGAGAACTTCTATTGCTCCCACCTAGCAGTCAAAACTACAACCTTGGAATTAGCACTTTGGATGCTCTGCCACTGAGCTATAGGAGACTAGTGGCAGGCTATAGATAAACAAGTTTCTATTGAGAGTTTGTTTGACAGAAAAAATGTTTTTAATAGAAAAGGAAATGGGGTTACAGAAAAAAACTTAATAAATTTTTAATTGCTAACACAGAATATTTTGAAAGCTGAAAAAAAAAAAGCGAAAAAAATTCAAAAGTTCATATTAACTCTCCAAAAAGGTTAAGAGTTAAATTCAGGTATTTCAAGAATTAGGCTGACTAAAGGGCCTCATAATATCCCAGTAGAAACAGAATTCAGGGGTCAAAAAACTGGAGAAATATGCCTCTCAGAGGCTGCCTGCTGAAATAAATTCTGCAAAATTGGTGTGTTCACTGATGTGCTCCCCTAGCTCACTATGGAGCAATAACATACCAGGGTAGGTGAACATCAGTAACAGATGAATTCAGATCTAATGTTTTAATTTTTAATTTATCTTCCCTGCTATATTATTAGACTCACAAACATTCCTTTCAATGTAGGAGCGTCTATTGCTTTCTGTTTTACCAAGATTTGTGGCAATGGAAATGAAAGCAGATATAGAAAGTGGGGCATCAGAAACAATGCAGTTCCACAAAATTTACATTCAAAGACATGAAAATGTCAGGTTTGTAATAGTAATGGTTCAATACACAAGTAAGGAAATCAACAGTGTGGAAGTAGGAAACATCACCCTTCATTTCTTTTACAATCACTTATACATTGACTGAGACTTGGTGGGTTTTTTAGTGGTTAAGTCAATGAAAAACTTGTCATCCTTGAGGGATCTCAGCAAAGAGCTTGACCAAACTGGTGTTATGTTGCTCAAAATATTTCATTTTTTGTTTCCTTTGGCTTTCCACAGCAATTTTATGTTCTTTGCCATGGCTCTTTAGTGAGTAAAACAATTTCTATAGTACACAATATAGAGGCTGTGATTATATGCAGACTATCTCCCTGGCTGAGATTATGTGCAGACCCTCATTTAGAGGGTAACATGGAATTAATTACTACTTTTCTTGCACTTTACCATGTTGCACATGTAAGTCATTCAGGCTAGATCATGTCAAAGTTTAAGAGTGTCAATTCAAGGTGGGGGTTTAAACATGTGCAGCAGTTGCCTCAAGTTTTTTGTTGTCTTTCATTTCAGTATATTGTTTGCTGATATTGAAGGATTCACCATGCTTTCATCTCAGTGCACAGCTCAGAAGTTGGTTCAATATCTCAATGAATTATTTGCCAGCTTTGATATGCTTGCTGTGGTATGAACTTTCCTTTCTTCTGAGATCTTTTTTTAATATCTTAGCAATTCTGCAAATCATTTCTATTTTAGTTTTATATTAAGTTATGTGATATTGGATGCAGAAATTGTTTTAACTTGAATTCTTCCACATTACTTACATGAATTAAGTTTACTGAGAAATTAGAAAAGCTTCCAAAAACAATCTCTGACTGACAAAACTTAAATGTTACAATGAGTCAATGATTTAAAACATTTCATAAGCTATTGCATAAAGAGGAAGTATGCCATTCTGACTGCCTAACACCTCAATTAATGGAATAAACATGAGGGATATTCATCAAATTTTGCTACAATAGATCTTTTAATAATTCTTTTTAGTATTCATCAAACGTTTCAGCCATTCAGCCTCAATGCTAGGTCTAAATTTGTTTGCCTATGCTAATCAGTATTAAGGCTAGTGCCCTATTATTTGTGAAGGAAGCCAGTCAGCAGTTTAATCAGGTTTTTGCCCTTTCCAAGGAAAACCATTGCCTGAGGATCAAAATATTGGGAGACTGCTATTACTGTGTGTCTGGATTACCAGAGGCTCGCCCTGACCATGCTCATTGTTGTATAGAGATGGGCTTAGAAATGATTGACGCCATTGCGTAAGTTCTTTGTTTAGTTTGGTTTCCGTCTTTTGTTGTTAAGGTGCCACTATGATAAAATTTGCATTTGTCCAATCCAAGCTGTGTGAAACAGTATCAAACACAAAGAGACAAATGTTGACTATTTTCAAATATCTCTTTGGCCTCAGAATTAATTAAGTTCTTGAAATGTGCAAACTAGAAAAGTGCTGATGTTATAAACTCTGCCACACTAAGTCTTCTGGTAAAATACAAAAGCAGATATTTAGGCCAGTTTGCATGATAAATTTTGTTTGTAGTGGTAAGCTTGAACCAAATGTGTTTTATGACTCTCCCTGTTGGTTTAGGATTCCCCAGCCATCTGCTGGTGACACTTGATTGTAGTAATATTCGCTCATGAAGCACACTTCACTCCTGTGCATGATCTGAAGAGTTTAAAAAGTTGTCAAAGATTGAAAAGGGTTTGTACAGCTCAGGAAAGAGTGTTTCTCTTTTGTAACTGGACCCTATCACACTACAAGTGTGCTTGGTGGAGAACCAGTACTTTAAAATTTTTAAGTCCCCCTCCCCTCTTCCAAAACATGCCCCATCCAGAAATAACTGCCCATCTAATAGAAGCAGCCCTTCATAAATTGCCACAGTAAAGCCCCATGTGAGATAAACCTTAACATTGAAGGAAACATGGCCTTCAATTGTGAGATCACTGGACATAAAGGTAAAAGAATGGGGAAAGGGGAGACTTCTTCCTTTTAAAATGGTATTGATTCCGAAACAAGGCCTTTCAGATGTACATGAGTTGGTTAAAGAGAAGCCCTCGGGTCTCAAGTGCAAAGTTAATGGCAAAGCTTTGGTGTAAGAATAATATTGCAATAAGTACATGATGATATATTGAAACTGTTTCTCTGGCCATATAGATCCAATGTGTAGCACCCTCTTTTGATAGTAGTCAGCCTTGTTTCTGTGGTAGTTACAGTAAATACCTTTATTAAAGGGAAATACTCATCAATTTCATGTCACAGGTCATCTTTTTCTGAAACAATTTTGAATTTCAAACATCTTGGAACAATCAGAAAGTAATGGCTTCCAGAAGTAACAGCTGCCCAAAAGTTGGCTGAATTAGAGAGAAACATTGACTGTCGCTTTTTTAATCAAATGATGTTTGACCAAGTCTCAATTGTCCAGCTAGCATATTGTATTGATGTTTTTATTATCATTTCTGTTGAGCATTGCTTTTGGTTGTTTTTTAGTATATTAATCAGTCTTCTGACATCTGCATAACACTGTCTCTGTGTGTGATTTCTTTTGGTTAGTCGTATCCACCACTAACTCAATATTCTCATTAGATACTAGATTTTCATTAGGAAATGTTTATAGCCTCATCTCAGGTTAATATTAAGAAAGATTATCCTTATATTGTTATTAAGATGTTTAGTGTAGCTTGTATACTCAGTTATCTAATTTGCATGCACAATGATTCAAGATCTTCAGATACAGATATATATAAATTTCTTTTATTATATCATTATGTTCTTCTCATATTTTTATATTTGTCATAATTATTATATTGCACTTATTATAATTACAGTTATTTTTATTCATTTTATGTAGGAGTGTACGTGAAGCAACTGGTGTCAACTTGAATATGAGAGTTGGCGTTCACATGGGAAAGGTTCACAGTGGGGTGTTGGGACTTGTCAAGTGGCAATATGATGTGTGGTCAGATGATGTAACAACTGCAAATCACATGGAGTCTGGAGGACTGCCAGGGTATTTCTCCTACTTTCTTAATTTGTCAACCCTTTACTCCTTATCATCGTTATGCATTAATTTTCTCTATACTGTTCTCTATACATTTCCTAAGGTGCTAACAAGGAGAATTTGTTTAATAATCAAGAGCTGCTTTAGTTGGTGATCATTTCCTTCATTCTCATGACCTTAATGTGTGATTCAGGGGTGATATTGTAAGGAGAAATTAGATGTTAGTCACTGTTGGGGTTAGGTTAATGCTGAATTATATTATTTCCAACTGTGTAGTTGAATGTACCAAAATCTGAAAGGGAATGGTGTAAGCCAGTTATTTAACTTAACAAGAGAGTGTTGCATATCCACCAGAGAGTGCTTAATTGAGGTTCACTGTCTTACTCAATGCCCAAATGAGGTCATTTAACAAAAAAAAAAATGACCAATACTGTCTTTATTTAGGGTAAATTTTTTAGGTCACTGACTATTTTAAACTGAAAATAGTTTTTAAACTCCTTGGAGTGATAGACATGGAACTACTTGTTTTGATCACAAAAGAAATATCCAGCAAAAGGTTTAGCTTCTTAGCTAAATGTTGTCACGGTGATATATTACCAACTTTTTTTTGTTTAATACAGTGTACAAGAGGAAACATTGTCAGCAGCTATTAATTTGGTGGCAATGAAATTGTAGACTGAGAATAACACTCATTGCCTGAGAAAAAGAATTCTTTGAATTATATCACAAATTTGATGGAAGCATTTTCCATTCTGAAAAAAATTATTTATATCAAAAAGTATTTACCCAGAGCTCAATGTCAATGGTACATCTGAAATATCCATTTTTTTGCCATTTGGGTTTTTATTTTTAAAGTTGTTGCATATTTTGGGGCTGCTTATGGTTTTGGTTTGTTTCATCTATTTAGTGTTGCTCCTATTGTTATTTCTTGCCAGACGTGTTCATATAACAGATTCTGTACTGAATTGTTTAAGTGGGGATTATGAGGTTGAAGAAGGGCGAGGACAGGAACGGGATCCTTATCTAAAGCAGTACAATATTGAATCATACCTTATTGTAGCTGAACACCCAAGGGTAAGTCTGTCATACACTTTGTCAGTGTAAGATAGAAACTTTGACTACTTGCGGAATTTTCTAAATTGCTTCCTTTGTGTTATGATAAACAGAGAAGGAGAAAGAGATTTGGAAGGGTAGTTGTAAATGTTCTCAAGTTTAAAACACTGTCGGAAACCTAAAGCTGATTGCTTTTCAAGCAGTTTCATTAGCACTGCATTATGAAAGAGGAAGAACTTATCTTTAATATTAAATTAAAAGACCATTGTGTTTGTAAAATTTGACTAAATTTACATTTAGGATCTTTTTCTCTCAGTAGACGCAATGTACATTTTATATTTTAGTCATCTGCTTCATAATCTGTTCTTTTATTGTATTGTATTAATTAGATAAATTTAATCCCAAGAATTGATTGCAAGGATTGTTTTAGTATCCCATAGAATACAAATTACATTTTAAAAAAGCGATAACTGAGTGTTTTGCAGGCATGCAAAAATAATGCTTATCTACTACATGCTATGGTCTTCAATATGTATGCAACAAAAAAAAAAAAGATGCATTTGTCTGTGTTATTGGTCCCGTAATGGTTGTTGATGTTTGGGGGAAATGCTACTGACTAGTAGAGGTACCGGTGGTTTACTGCTTTTCCAGAATCTTTCACAGCTGCAAAGGATAATCATTCAACATTACTTAGCCATTTACTTTGAGTCTTTAAGTCTATAAAGTCTGTAGGGTAATAAATTAAGGATAGACTTTACAGGTATCCTTTGCCAAAAAAGTTGAAAAACTTTATTTTTAGTTACAAATAATAACAAAACATTTTTCTTTCTTCCCATATGACATACTTTTTTTACCTCAATGGAATGCACTTTCTTGGTCTTGCACTATGTAGAAGGTATGCAAATAAAAATATGTTACTCAGTCACATATATTACACATTTCACATACTCAAGTTTTGCTCTTACTTGTGACAGATACTAACAAAAAAGCAAGATGAAAATTGTATGCTGTTAAAAAGAGCTAATCTTATGTTGTGTTCAGGAGTAAATTGTTTCCTCTGGATATTGTTAAATTAAAAGAGGTTTACTCAAGCACTGGCAAAGAAAATTATCATAAACTTGAAGTGAAAACTTCAATGTCAGAGTGAGGCTTTGTGTGAATTTTTGGTCAGAAGTTTCACTTGTTTCAATTTTTGTGTGTTAATATCCCCTTAATCCACTTCTCCCAAATGATTTTAAATTGAAGAAATTTAATTTTGATCATTACTAAGTGTAACAAGTATTCACCTAAGATTTGTTTTTAACACCCTCAGCGAAAAAATACTGCCTTAAAAGAAACTAAGCAAGATGATCAAGACAAGAAAATGCAGGCAAGGTAAGTTAAATTTAGTATCTGTTGGTTTGAGAATAACTGAGCCTCAGAATTTTAATCACAATGGTTGAGATGATTTTTCCCAAAACAATTTTTGTTTCTCTAATTCTTCTGGCAATTTGAGGAGCCAAAAACATTTCGTGGAAGTGCTTCTCAAAATCCAGATACCACAATATCTGATGTAAACTTTATTTTGTTTGACAGGCTAGGTATTACAGCTTCAAATCAGCAAGATCCAGAGGATGAAGTCAATGAATTTCTGGGAAGCTCTATTGATGCCCGCAGCATTGACAAGTAATTTTGTTTCATAATTTTGTGTAGAAATTATCATAGTTTTGAACTATTTTGAGTTATTTGACTTTACATGACTTTGTTTTAGGTTGCGCAAAGACTATGTGCGGCCAGTACTTCTCACATTTAAGGATCCAGACAAGGAAGAGCTTGTAAGTACAGAAAAGGCAACATTTTTTGCATGCAGAAAGGTGTTTGTTGCATCTTTACTCAGAATATGAATTTCCCTCAGTCTTTGCCAAAACATCTTTGTCAAAAAAATAATTGAAGCAACCATTTCCTATAAGATTAGAATTTGAACCCATGTGATAAACGAAATATGACTTGTTAATTTTGGCATGAAGGTGATGAAGTTAAATACATGATATGACTGTACAATAGAGACTATTTTTGATACCTTTCCTCAGCAGGCATCTCTGTATGGTTGTGTGATTGAGACTCCCTTTGGTGATTTTGGGAAAAAAAAAATGATTGAATAGGCCATTTCTAAGTTATTGCAGTCTAGTATGAAATTACAGTGTGATGACCAGGCTATGTGCAAAGTTGCTTTCATTAGTACAAAGAATAATGAGCTGTGGTGATGAAAATGATACTCATATTCAGTGTAGGAGAGTAAAATATTATTTTTCAGAGTTTTTGTTTGACCTCCTTGTGCAACCTAGCTTCAATTGCTTTTATGTCATCATTTAACAATTTTTTTCCTTTGATTGGTAAATTACAAATTTTAATTCTGCAAATTACAGATTTCTGGCTCATTTTGTAAACATATTTCAATTTTTTTTCTTTTTTTTTTCTTTACACAAATTACAGTAAGCACTCACTAGAAATCAGCAAGAAAAAATATACATTCAAGCATTCAAAATTCTAGGTACTGGAAATTTGCTGTGACTTGTGTGTAATTTCCCCAACAGCTTTTTGCAGCCTTGGACAGAAGAGGCTAGTTGGATCTGTTTTTTCGCTGCAGCATTCTTCCATAAAACAAACAGTGTGATCAAACAAATCAAACTGCAATTTTATTTCCTTTAATTGCTGCTATCACCTAAGTGTATACTTCTCTCCCACATCACTCTTGCATTGAATTTCAAGAAATTTTCACTCATTTTCACCACCACTGTGACAGCTCTTTATTCTTTACACAGATGAGAAAAACTTCACACTTAGCCTAGTTCTATAATGTTGGTACCAGATCACTGAACTGCAGAAACTCAGAATCAGCCCATTACTGTATTTATCTGCAGAGAGGCTGCACCCCAAATGCTTAATTCATATTTGTGGAAATAGTTAGTGAATTGGAATTAGAGATCAATTAGCTTTTGCAATAATTTTCATTAAGAAAAAAAAGTTTAAGAATATAAAAGCTGGCCTAGAAGAAAGTGTATGACCAAAGTCAAGCTGAAAACAGATGCATAGTTAAGGTCAAACTACATAACAAAATTGGAATCTCATCAATTCTCAGAAATTTTTCCTGTGCCACTCTCTGTAACAAACAAAGACATTTTTTCTTGTTATGATTGCCACCTTCAAACATTCTTTGAGTCTACTTGATACTGGCATGTTGCCTCTCTGGGATCCTTTCTTGTAGAGTAAGTAATAAGGGTAAGTCTAAGGCATGCTGTTTATGATATGCTGGAAGATGCTTTTGGTTCAATGATTTCACAGAAATGCTTTCCAATTTTACTAGCACATAATGAAAATTGATACCATATAACATAGGAGAAAAACTTGTGTCTGTCAGGTTGCAATGATGTGAATCAAATTGGAAGAAATCGTAGTTTATATATAAGTATGGTTTGGCTTATGAGAGAAATGAATGGAGCTTTGTATTTATTTGAAGTGGACAGCAATATAGGAGGGTATCACATTCATGTTGGCAGCTAAAAACTTTGAATTGGTTATTTCTTGTCAAGTAGTCCAGAAGTGTGACAAGTTTAATAAGAATAACTTGGCAGGGATGGAAAGGAAAGTGTCAAGCATTCACCATTGGCATTCTGTAGAATTGTGCCTTATTTTATTGAGAGCAGTGCTGAAATTTACTGTCAACTGAGTGGGAAAAAGAAGCACTCTGTTGGCCCACAAGTAGGAATGGCCATTCTTTGAAAGCTGCACTGAACTTCCCTTGGTGGTCTTCCTTACACAAGAATAGTTAACAAAAAGCTTGATGCCCTTATTTCGGCAGAAAGGACCAAGATTATTTGTAGATGTGAATGTAGTATTTTGTTGTGTTTGCTGTGATGATCACTGAGTTGATGCAAAAGCAATATTTGTTAATGTAAAACTCTGAGCTATCATGCATATTAATGAGGTGTAACTTTTGTCCCATTTGTTGAAAAACAAAAAACAAAAAAACCTGTGGCCTATCCACTGGTAAATACAGTGCATCTTTCAAAGGTGAACCTTTTGTTCATATGACTATGCTTGCAACATAAACAGTGCATGTTAATGTTAGCAAGGAAACAAAAATGGTATTTGTAACACTGATTGAGTGGATTCAAAAAGTATCTACAATAGTAGTTGCAAATATTAAAAATGTTCCATTTAGTGTAAAATACTAATATTGAATACTAATAGTAAAATTAGTTTCAAGGTGCCATGCAAATCTCAGTGCAAAAGTACATTCCCTCTGTTACTGTTAATTACAAGCAGTGGAAAGTGCTTTCATTTTGAACAAGTCAGTGAAACTAACTAAACTCATAAGCCAAAATAAATGATTAAACTAGGCAGGTTGATCTTGTTTCAGTTACTCTTTTTCTCCTGATAGTTTTAAATTGTTATTTTCTGTTATTGCAGTATTCTCAAGAAAAGGATAGAATGTTCAAGTCTTACACTGCATGCATTCTTCTCCTCTTTGTCCTCATAGTTATGGTTCAGATTACAACCCTTCCAAGGTATGTATTCAAATAAATTAAACTGATAAAGTACATATAGGTTACATACATGTAATGTTACCACACATCTTTAAAACTTGTGAAGGAAACACGAACTTACGATTTACACTGCATTTTTTTGGAAGCTAAGTCGTCTAATTTTAGGGAGCCTATTAGATTAAAGCTCTCTTCCATTGCCATTTTTTCACTATGCAGTATGACCTCCTTCCTTGTCACTTTTTGAGAGTAGGTAGTAAATGTCACTTATTACAATTACATTTATACCTGGAAACTGCATTTCTGGGTAATACTTTGAGCTCTCTGAAAAAGTTTACCCACATGAGGTCCATTCTGTACAAAGATGTTGGCATGTGTGAATTGATACAAGATTTTTTTGTTTTGTTTGTTTGTTTGTTTGTTTGTTTTTTCTCACAGCCCTCACCCTTTTATTAAGTGTTTTAACTCTTTCACCCCCAGGAGTGACCATTTCTCCTTACAATATATATTAACCCCAAATCACACATTCAGGTCATGAGAATAAAGGACATTGTCACCAACAAGAGAAGCTCTTAGGAGTTGTATAGGGAACTGTATGGAGAATATGCATACTGATGTTAGGCTGGAAAGGGTTTAAGCATGAATTATGGATTAAAATAAGAGACAGTAAGTCTATAGGATCTTTGAAGCTAACAGAGAATGTCTTTTATTAGTCCTTAAATGGGGTAAATGAAAGAGCTTTGGACCTCTGGTTTGCCTGTAAAACAAAATATTTCAGAAATTATCACAAAAAGGACTTGGTCTATGAACATAAATTTGCCTATTTGTAGTCTTTGGATAATCTCAACATATATCGTTGTTGGTTGTTTTTAGTTAATAATTGGGTAGGTATAATTCTAATTAAAAATTTTTTTTCCTATCCTTAGAACATATGTAACTATGGCTGTTTTCATAAGCACATTTCTTGTTGTTGGTGCCCTTTTCCTATTGGTTGTAGCTGAGAAGTGCCAGGTATGTTTAATTAAATTTTAGTCTACAATGTTTTCATTAAAATATCTCATTTCTGGTCCTTGTTTGTAGACATCTTTCCCTTTAATTTACCAGAATATACCAAGTGGTTTGAGGAGCATTTCAGCCAAACTTGCACAGTCTCAAACCAGTTGCAGAGTAGTAGCAACTGTATTGGTTCTGACTTTGTATATTGCTGCCATTGGAAATTTTGTAAGTACTTGAACCCATATTTATAGTTCAATGTTATTCCCAATTAAATCTTTACAAAGCAGTTTTATGTACTTATGTGAAGTACTTCATATGATGATGATAATCCGACTATGCGTTGTCGCTCAAGTGCAATTTTCTTTACCTAATGCCTTACACAACCGACCGCCCATTATAATGTCATTTGTAGTGAACTTTGAATTTTTGCAGTTTGTTTTTCTTTGATTGAGGGGCTCTTTGTTGGCAATACTAAGAGCTAATATTTATTATAAAATTGGTGTGGTTAGATAGACACCTAACTTCTTAACTTTGAAGACTTAACAGAAGTGGTAATTTTTGTGTGGTTTCATCACAGTTACAGATAAGATAAAATGAATTGTTATGTCTGTGATGTTCTTCTTCAGTTTGGCTGTGACTTAGGGAGAGAACTGATGGAAGGAAAATCTAGATGCAATGAATCTCATTTGTCTTATGTTGGGCTTCATCCTGATACAGAATTCTGTGACTACCCACAGGTAAGAGGGGCAAAATAGCTTACGTCACCAAAGATGATGTCTCAAATAAGTTATTAACCTCTGAAATTCATAAAGAACATTAAATAGCGCTTGATATATTGTGTTCATAGTACTATTAAGATGGCTGATAGCTGATTGTTAATAAAAGTGAAACTTGATAATGAAGTTGAGAGAAAGTTGTCTTTTAACTTGAAATAACCTCAGAGTGGTTGAAACTTTTTCAACTTTGTTAAATTGTCTTTTGGAGAAACTTCTTAAATGAAGATTTTACTGGTGAATATTTAAAAATATAATTTTGATACATTCATAATACCTTAGGAATGAATATGATTTGTTAAATTAATTATGTGTTCACTTTAACTACTATTTGTTGTTTTTCTTTTTTCAGTACTTCACATTCAGTGTGATGTTAGTGATGATAGGCTGTGCAGTCTTCCTGCAGCTTAGTACAGTGCACAAGTTTTCAATGTTGGCAGCCATGTCAACTATCTTTATAGTCTTGATAAGAGTTGTCTTTACAGATCTTTTCAACAATCATGATAAGATCCATTATTGTTGGTGAGTACCAGTATAGCAGGAAGTTCTATTGTTTGAATTCATGTTGATCGCAGCATTTGAGGGACACCATGTTAAGCCACACATGTGCACTTACTTACCCTATTAACTTTGAGAAAAACAGCAACCATGTTTTCGCTTTGAGAATACAGTGATGGAGCAAAAAATTACTGGTAATGGAGAAAAACTCAGCAAGCCAATGAGTCACACGAAGTAGTTCACTCAAATTGGTTTATAATGTAAATTATGTTGTTTCTTAACCAAGTACTTAAGGCCCAGCCACTTGAATGGTCAACATGTAAAGTCATGATGTGCCCTGTCCAAGCATACTTGGAGCTTGCATAATGAGGAGTTTTGTACACATCTGGACACCGTCTTAATTTCACCTACTTTAATTTCATTGGTGTTTTCACAAAAATCAGAAAATGCTCTCCAAGTGCCAAATTAGCCCATTTGTGCAGTTAAATAGTGAAGACTAGTAGCCCCTCAAAACTTTTTACTGATTAATAGGAATAGCCAACTAAGTTGTTTTTAGAAAATGAAATTATGGTTGCTTGTGAGTATGTCTCAAACAGTGATTTGAGATAATGGTCATTTGCATGTTTGCACCCACATTCCTGGCAAATTGCAATGAATTTGTTGCACTTATGCAGAAATTGTTGGTCACTTCAAAACAGTGATTTAAGGTATAGTGTAATAAATTTGTTGCACATATGCAGAAATAGCTTGTCACTTCAAAGCATTTAGGTTAAAGCAGAAAAAAATTACCAATTACTTTATGACCAAAACTTAATTCAAACTCATTCAAGACCATAGGGCTTTTTCAATCAAAGCACATGCTAATTTCTTACATGTATAAATCCAACGAAATTAGTCATACGTGACCCCCTCATTTTACTACCAGAAAATCATGGAGCTTTTGCTCAAAGAGTTTTGAAAGTTCTTTTAATTCAGAGAAAATTGTAAATTGAACTGTGGTTGAAAGCAGTGAAAAAGTAAATGGTTCCAATTATTTGAATATTTAAGAAAAAATTCTGTAATGGACAGGGTAGCCAAATTTCCACAACTTCACTCTCAAAATATTCATACTATTGATGGGATATGTTTTTCCTCAGTTTTTCATTTAAAAGTGATAGATAATGGTCAGTTGGGCATATGGTTGGTATACTGTAGCATTCTCCAAATTTCAGATAGTATCTTGAGAACAGTAGGTTCATTGTTAAATTCACATCTGCTGTGAGAATGGAAAAGTTAACAACAGGCAGGATAGCCAATCAAATTTTGCCATATTTAAGACTTATTCACGTTGGTATCTCTGTGGTATCATCACATGAAACTATGACATAAGTAAGGACACCATACAACTTGAGTTCATCTCACCTTGCTCCTGGTAAGAGTTTTTCTCCACCACTGTTCTGTTTTTCATGTTGTATGTTACTGAAAAGTCCCAAATATGATTTGGCATTAAATCTTTAATTTTAGGTTGTTACCCGAAGAACCAATATCCACTGGTGGATATATCAAGTGGATTGATCTTTCCATAGTAATTGTTGTGATGTTGACAATAGCTTTAACTGCACATGGATACTTGGTAAGGAAACAATGAGTTGCATTTCTTTACTTTTTTTTCTTCCTTTTTTTCATGCCCCCTATATTTTTTTTTTTTCTCTAAACCAACAGCATGAGGAAATATCTAGACTGGACTTCTTGTGGAAACTTCAGGTGAATTACAGGTTTTATGGTATTCATGATAATTATGAACCTAATGACTAAAGTCATTTAAAAATTAGCATCATATTGACACACTCTACAGGCAACCTTTAGAATGATTCATATCAATTTTTTTTTTTTGTGTTGTTCAAAGTATATATTTTGTATTATCCAGGCTACAGAGGAAAGGGAAGAAATGGAAAAACTCAGAGAGTACAATAAGAAATTGCTGTATAATATCCTGCCTGACCATGTTGCTCAGCATTTCCTTGCACAACAAGCTAAAAAAAATGATGTAAGTTTTTTTTTCAATCATATTATCAGGAATACAAAATATAAGATTTACTTTAATGTTGTATGACTATGGACAATGAATAATCAACTTTTTTGAGTTGTTTTTTATGTTCTCTGTAACTTGGGTTATTTGTAATATAAGGAATGAGGTTCAGGTTTTTTCATTATCTTCTTATGCCAAGGACAGGACTCCAAGCCCAATTATTGAAAAAGTTACCTTTCAACTTCAGTTGTAGAAAGGTTGCCATAGAGAATTTTGCTCACCTTTCCTCTCCCCCCTCTAAAAAAAACAAAATAAAAACAAAACAATGGAGTGAGGTGAGAGGAATGAGAGACCCTCCAGGCATTACAAACTACTAATTTGTACCTTATCTGATTGAAACCAATTTCCTGTGCACTGTACCTTATGTGTTCTTTGTACCAGCCACCAGTTATACCAGTTTGTACCCTAAAGCATCTAAGAAGTTTTAAGCTGTACTTCTGTTCTTAAATTAATTGATATTATGTTTCTGCTTGATTTCAGGAACTTTATTACCAGTCTTGTGATAAGGTCATTGTCATGTTTTCTAGTATCTGTAATTTTTCTGACTTCTACACTGAGCTAGATGCTAATGGTGAAGGAGTTGAGTGTTTACGTCTCCTTAATGAGATACTGGTGGATTTTGATGAGGTGAGTGTTTGATCTCAATAAATTTGCAGATGTGCTGAATTACCAGCTCCTGGTATCAAAGGTCTATCTTTGTTACTCTTAGTAAATTCTTATGCTGGCAAACATGACCTACATTTGTTGTTACTAATTTGACACCTGCCAGATGTCATGGGCTCTATAAGCTGACCATTCCTTAGCTGTAGAATTTAGAGTGTTCATATGCCGAATTATTACCTTAAAAAATCAATTCAATATATACTGAAACTTCAAAAATTGATAGAAAGTTATCTGTTTGGTTTATTTCAGCTTCTTTCAGAGCAACGCTTCCAGTGTATAGAGAAGATTAAAACAATTGGTGAAACATACATGGCTGCTGCTGGAATTAAACCTGAATCTCAGGTTAGTATTGGGAATAAGAAGAACATAAATAGGTACAGCTGTACCCTTAATCTGTCAGAAATTTGTCTGTTAATTTTATCTGAACTTCCCTAGTTGTAAGATTTTTAGTGCACAGGAAAGTTATACTTAGAGAGTCCTGTTTTAACAAAGTTTTCAGGGGCCAATAACATACTGTGACTTTAACTTCCTTTTGAAAAGCAAAAAAAAAATTTGCTTAAGATCGCCATATAAGTAAATTCAGTTGATGTTCATTGAATTAATGAAGCAAATGAAAGTAACTTTGACTTATTAAAACAAATTTATGTTTTGATATTTATCCCTCTGTGTTTGTAGAAAGGTAGAAAGATTTCTGCAGTTACAGCCTAATATTTAGACCACCCAAAGTGTAAACAGATTCAATGCAAAACTCATTTGGTGAATTTGGGAAAATTGAACTGATGAACTGTGAAGTGTTTAAAATTGATTTGTTCTTGTGATGCATATTTAAGTGTTTGGGATTGCAGAATTTCAGATGCTTTGTAGTTGCACTGATTTATAAATTTTATCCAAAATTCATGACTAGTTCTTTTCTAGGGAATGTTCGCATACATCATTCCAACTGAACACAACTCCTAATATTTAAGGATCCATTAAAATGTCTTGATTGATATACGGTTTCCAGGCAGGTGGGGACTACAATAAGCTACAAAAGTAGTTGAATTAAAGATTTCAAAACACTAGAATGATGAAAGAAGAAAACATTAATTTTTCTCTCTTTACCCAAAATATTCTACTTGTTCTTCCTCTCCACTTTAAGATAAAGTATTAGTCTAAACATTAAAAGACACAAAACTGTGTTGGTAGTAGGGATGAAATGAAGCTAGATCATCTGAGCATAAGAATACTGCATTTCACTGAAATAATTGGTTGTGAGAAACAGATAAGAAGAAAGTATTTGTCACTAAGTTGATTATGTTGGAAGCACATTAAATCAAATGCAATAAATTATTGATGTTGATGTTATTTCTAATCACATGATTTTGAGTGCAATTTGGAATAAATAAGCATGAGTAAATTGTTTAAAAGACTAACAAAATTGTGCGAGCCTGAAGGGCGAGTGCAATTTGTGAAAAAATTAACAAGTGCTTATTTATTCCAGATAGCACAAGAAAAATCATGTGATTATGTGTTAATAATAGACATGAAAAAAATATGAGATAGCTTATCATAATTAAGCATAAGCAAAGTGCACACATCAAGTGAAAAAATAATTTATTCAAACCATGCTTTCAGTCAAAACAACCACGTACGATCAAAACAATAATATGCAATGATATCTTCACATCTTTAAGGTGCAAAAAAGTTCAAAGTCCAGCTAAACAGTTCAAAGAATTGTTCAGTCTGTGTCCAAATCACTTTCGATGAAATGGAATCGTTGTTTCTGAGGTTTAACCATGTTTATTTTTAATTTTGGTGTTGGATCGCTCAAGCAAAGTGTTAAGCTGGGTTGGTTCATAATTTTCTATTTCCTTGGCAATTCCCTCCTCTAAACACCACTTTTTCCAAACGACAACCAAAAACCAGTGCTTTTTACAGTGTTTTTGTTGTTTGAGCTATCTTTCAGCTGCAGTAGCGAAAGGAAACCTACCTAAAACACTGGCCATTTTTTTGTGCGCAAATTTTCAAATTTTGTTGCAACATCCGAGGCTCACATTTGATTGGCTGTCTGTGAGTTTCTTTGATTAGTGACCAATCAGAATGTCTGATTTGTTACTTTCTTTGCACTGAATTACCTGAAACTGTTTTTATCTTAACCAATCAGAACTGAGTAATTATTTCATGTATATAATTAGCAAAGAAATATCGAGACATTTTTCTGTTTGTTCTTACAGGAGAAATTGGCAACCCTAAGTCACATAGTAACAATGGCTGACTTTGCCATGGCAATGAAAAAGAAACTAGCTGACATAAATTTACATTCTTTCAATGACTTCAAGATGAAAATTGGTAAGTTTAAAGTTGCCATACTCACTGTCAATTTTAAAAGATTCTCCTCTGAGATGTTAAATGGAGATTAATTTTATTCTGTTTTAAACCCCTCCCCTCTTATTGTATTGGTGATTAATATGTGGTAGTTGTCATTTCCAGTTGCATGTTCAGATCTCTTGCTTGATTGATTTTTTTTTTTTTAAGCCAACTGTTAAGTTCACAGGTATACAGTAGACTCAAAGTTTCAAAATACCAAGTCTTAATATGCAAATTACATAACTGTAGTAGTTATTACTAACATTCATTGCTGACACCACTTATGGAATTATTATATGATATGATATGGGTAGGACAGAAATTTAAATCCTGCTGCTGTTGAAATTGTCCAATTAGAGATCTACATTCCTGAAAGCGGTCACAAAATACATGCAGTGGAATTGTTTTCCTGACAGCTAGATTGATGATAATATCTTCCATAGAAGCTGACTGTTTACTTTGTGCCTGTTAGAATACTTATTGCAGTTATCCCCTTTGTAATAAGTATAGCTGACTTCAGCTGAAGTCACATACTAAAAGGTTCTAAGATGAAAATATAAGAGCAGTTCTTACAGATTCAACCATTCCTATAGTGGATCCTCTTATCTTTTTTTCTAATATCACTACCATTCCTACAGTTTCTGCTACCCCCACTTTTGCTGTAACTTTTACAGTCACAATTTACTAAATTGAAATGGACAAACCTTCAGATAAATGTATACCATATGAACTTTTGTTTCTATTTTCTTGCTCTTCAAGGTTTAAATTTTGGTCCTGTTGTGGCTGGAGTGATTGGTGCCCATAAGCCCCAGTATGACATCTGGGGTGATACAGTGAATGTGGCTAGCCGTATGTACAGCACTGGCAAGCCTAAGCATATACAGGTCTGCTACATGTACATTATTTCATTATTGTGTCTAATTGGTTCTGCTAAAATCACAATACTTTGATCTAAGTAAGTAATTTTTGCATGCCATGGAAATATGCAATACAAATTCATAAATTATAATTGGTTATTATATATTCAAAAGTTTACATCATCAGTAGGGTTTTATAATTTCAGCGTCTTGTTAAGAACAAATAGTCTTTGTTTTTGATGTTATGTAAAGATGCTACAACACCACACAATGTTGTTATGGTATATAGTCAAAGGTAAAATGACTCATATTTAGCAGTAGCGCAAACTTGATCAGGCATTTCACTTTTGGGTGAATGCGATGTTTCCTCATTGAGGAGTGCTTGTAAGGTGTAAAGCACTTTTTCCACTGTTAAATGAACATGATTAGAAAAGTCTTTAGTGCCCCGACCCCTATATTCAGTTGAATTGACTTATTTTGATTGTTACAGGTTACACAAAGTGTTTATAATATTCTCTCTACACGTGGTTACACCTTTGAATGTCGGGGCTTAGTGGCAGTTAAAGGAAAAGGCAAAATGGTCACATACTGGATGACTGGCAAAGAAGGAGACCAATCAAATGAGTGATCTCACTAACAATTAATTACCCACCAATCGATTTGTTGTAAAGTAATATTTATCATCAAAGTTATTTGTATGATTAACCTTACAAAGTATCTTTTTGTAACATACTTATCCAGAGTCAGTCACTGCTTTTTGTCATATTTAAAGTGTATTAGATTCAAACTTCAACTTGTTTTTCATTCAGATTATTTAAGTTATTTTAGTCACTAATAACATAGGAACAGCATGTCCCTTTTGGGTAGCTGAAAGCATCTCCTTGACCTTCTTTTTCTTGGAAACCCTTTAAACTCAAAGAATTTGGAAGAGTACTGGAGGACTTTACAAACATGTTTTTCATCGGTTTAGTCGTATGAAAATGTGTGTGGTCTCAGAAATGTTATCAGAAAGTAACAGCTTTCGTCAGTTTTGGGTAAATATCTGCCCGTTTCAATTTCACTTAGGACGTGGGTAATTTTGAGAATAAGGGTTGTGTGTTTTTTTAAATGTAATGGTGAAATTTATCATGTACATGCAGTTCAAGATGTTCAACAACACTTAACACAATATAGACCCCTCTGCCTGTTTGTCTTCATTATTCTCTTCACTTTTTTTTTACCCTGTGTCGTACGATTTATAGTACACTTCCCTGGCAGATAATGATGTTGACCTCTTTATTTTGATGCTTGTGTACATCATCAATATTACATCAGAGTGCTGAAAATAGACAGGTGGTCACTATAAAAGACTCATGCACTGTGGCAACAACATTGTCACCATCTAATTGTTTGTTGTTCTGATACAAAATTGTGAAAAGTCAAGAGGAAAAGCAAGTTAGTAACTGCTAAATTAACCTCATTTTCAGGAGAGAAAGTATTCTCAGGTTTCTTGCTGGTTGTCTCGGGTACTTTTTACAAGAACACTTGTATTGCTTTGTGTAAAGAAAAGAACTTAATTTATTTTGAATTATATCACTTAATTATTGAGAGTAGAGAGCTTGCTGAAATTTTGGGTGATTTCAGATGGCATAGATGTCATGCAGGAATCTGATACACAAATTCCTCAAAAGAAAGTTAATATATATAGTTAAATTATTAGTATCTGATTCTTATGAGATTTAATTAGGTAACTGAGAAAAAAAAACAAGCCACGAATTTTCGACTTTCCTCCAATATATTTCTTAGCATGTGTTAGGTGGGACGTTCATTTAACAATAGCATGCTGTGTACATTGCACATATGGAAAATGTCATGCAAATCGCTGAGTCGTCGCGATTTTGCTTCAACCTATTAGACACATGGAAAGTCAGCGCCGCACTAGTAAGAGTAATTTGTTTTGATGGCCGGCTGTTGTTTCCTTGTAACTAGCCAACGGGACGTTTCCTTTGGTTGGTTGGTTGGTTCGGTTGTTTCATTAAAGCCACGCAAAATGCTAAATCAAAGTACTTGTATCTAACTAGTTTCGGGTGTAATTTTAGCCTTAACAAAGTAGAGCAAGTGTGGTTGTCAACATTCCATATCCTTGGACACGACAGCTATTAGTGCATTTTGAAAATCTGCTGCAAATGTGTAGCATGTTGAAAGAGACGAGGTGTTTGTAGGTTAGGTGGTTGTGTTAAATACATCAAGTACAAATATAAGCGTAATTTTTAATATTTTAGATGATTAAAAGATATTAGTAGACTTGGCTGGTGGTTGGGAATTTTTAACTAAGTGATTTTAATAGAAATTAAATGAGCTTAAGAAAGTGACCATCGCACTACGTATATGTAGAAATTCAATGGCTTTGATCTAATATATTGACAAGCAACATTCCCCTTTGTAAATATGTCGTGAAATAAAGTGTTTTTTCGGTCTCACTATGAGTATTATTTTCACTTAACCTGCTGGTTATTTATTGTTATCCTTAGTAATATCTGTGCTATCATCATTGGATCTTTTCTTCACTCAACCAACTTAGGCGAACGGCAGTTTTATTAGAAATCTGTGGGCAAAGGCTTCGATATCACCCAATTTAATTATTCTCGTATTGATTTTCAATTCAGTATTGATTAGTTAAGGTCAGGATATCACTCTTGTATCAAATACGGGTTAGATTTCAACATTTCACAATCGTCACTTAAGTAACCAAACTGATGTGACTACCCGCGTTTACTTAAACTGAACTGGGAAAGAGATCGTGCGGCTTCGTCCCAGTTGCTTCATTTACGTACATTTCGATATCGTAAGCTGGTGTTTGTAATTTAGCGGAAATACTGGTTTTTGCAACATAATGAAGAAAACATGAGCACCCTCAGATTGTAGTCAGCTTTTGCCTGAACGTTGAATGTTCAAATGTTATATCAAATAATCGTTTGTTAGATATTTGATATTAAAACAGATCTTGGTTGAAGATACTCACTTCACTGCAAGAGTGATTTACAGAGGGGTTCTCCCATCAAATTACAAGGTTTTTATACTGAGAAATGAACAAGTAATCAGAATTATTTAAAAGAAGCAGTTTGCACAGAATGTTATTAAAAGCGGGAATGGTGAATGGGAAAATAAAATGGGGAAATTGAGAATGGGACCTAAATTTTGTCATTATTTCTTTTTTTGCTTTAGATGTACTGATTATATCGAGGAATGAATATTTTCATAAAACGTTCAGGGCAAAATTCATGGAACGAAATAAGTTGAGGATAAGGAAAGAAGTGAGCTTCGAGGAACAGTTAATTTCCAAGTTATAATATACTAGCATATTTTCGCACAAAATAGAGGCTATTGTGTTCCTTATCCATCAAATATTTTGTAATGCGTGTGCAAACATGTTTACAAAGAGCTTGCTGTTTTCTGCGTGGGATCTTTGCAAAAATATTTGAAGGATAATAAACAAATTAGCCTCCATTTAACGCGGAAAATACTCGTTCGCTCGCTCTTCAAGGACGAGATCACTCGTGTTTGTGAGAAACCTTTGGAAGTTCAGGAGTTGGCTGCACACTCGCCCCCAATATTCATGCAAATTACCAATTGAAACCTAATAGCCTCATTATCTGCTTGGCGCGTCTTAGGCCTGTTTACATGGAGGTAGGGGACCCCAGGTAAGTGTAGTAACCCGCCCGTCCATATGTCTTATTTTATCTTGATCACGTTAACATAACAAGTGGAGTGACCTGCCTAGGCGGGTTGCCCGGTCTGCTGGGCAGGGTAACCCTGTTAACCGGGGCGACAATTTGCCATGTAAACGTCTTAAGGGGGAGTATTTCGCCTAGCAGGGCTGGCGTTTATGTTACCAAACGATCAAATTCATTTTGTTTATTACAATTTGGCAGAGAAAACTCACAGTGGTAAAATATGTAGGAAAAGTATTAATGAGTATGGTGCTAAGGAATGTTTATCAAAGGATCAGAGACCCCATAGGAGATAGACTACCCTTCTAAGATAATAATTACACTACAAAGGAAAGTATATAATTACACTACAATAGAAACACTAATCTAAAAAATAATTAAATAAATAATATAAAATTACGATAATAAATAGGATTACAATAAAACATAATATGCGGCAAAATTCACCGGCTTCTGATCAGAATATCCCTGACACTCCTCTTAAAAATACCGATACAAGGTGCCTAACGAACTGAGTATGGCAGGGAAATCCACATGTCTACAATCATTTTAAAATAGCTATATTTAAAAGTATTAGTTCTTTAGTGTTCAGTCATCTTTTCTTCGTAGCATGTATTGATCGGATTCTGTGAAAAAACTGGACATAACTGGATAAGTTAATGTTTATATGCCCATTTAAAGCTTTGTAAAGGAATAAAAGATCGAACAAAAACCTCCTTTTTTCTAAGGATAGCAAGTTGAGCGTTTCTCTTCGTTGCTGGTGTTCATCAGTGGTTTTCAGCATAAGTTTAGTTGCTCGACGCTGAATTCGTTCCAACTTCATTACATTTTTTGCTTGACCACACGACAGAGCAAAACTCTAGTTGAGACCTAACTAAAGCAAGATAAAGGGTTCTTAGAGTAGAAACATCCTTAAGTCCTCTACAAGTTCTTTTAATAAGTCCCAGGATATTATTGGCCTTTTGGTATCTTATCAATGTGATTGTTCCAAGAGAAATTGCAGTTTGCGACCAGTCCCAGATCACAGAATTCAGATATTAACTCCAGAGTGGGTTGAAACTTAGTAGTAGTAAAATGAGAGTTCTGGGACTAGGTAAATTGATTGAATACCTTATGTGAACGTGCTCGCCATTTCACTCTCAGTCAAGAAGAGGTCCTCATTAAGCTTGAATAGATCATAGCCATCCGTCTCCTGAACGATTTCTTCTGCGAATTTAGTTTTCAGTCGATCAACAAGTACTCTTGATACATTGTTGACGAGGAAATTGTTTGATTCACCTCTAGCTGTCAAGTCAAAGATGAATGAAAGACATCCCGGCACAAGTACTACATCATCATAAAACCTTGGAGCCGGGACTCTAAGGACTTCACCAGGAAGAACCCTATTAGGATTAAATGTTACTCGTTGAATTATGCTATCCGCCTTGAGGGCGTTTGACGTCTTTTTTTCAAAACTTGATTTGGTTTTTTTCACTGACTTCCTTTTAGATAGATTATATTTCAAATGGCAAAAATTTGGAGATATTGATCATACGCTTGACAAAGAAGGAAATGAAAATGATGGAAATGATGAGGACGATGGAAATACAACAGGACACTTTACCTTTAATCCTTATTACAATTCAACTTCCGGTCCCTCAGGTGATCAACATAAAATGACAACTATGAATAGGGAAGGAGAGAAAGCACCAGAAGCTGCTGAAACATTTTTCATTGATGGTGATTCACTTGAAAAATCAAGAATAACTATGGTAAACTTACAACTTGAAGGAAAGTTTTCTGAACATGGTAAAAATAGTAGATCACTAAACTTAGTTGTCGGCAAAGATTGATATAGAGATAAAGTTGTTGTTGGTCCTCGAGGAAGAAAAACCCCTTTATTCAATTTAGAAGGGGTTATAAATCCACAACTTTCAAAAGAAACTTTTCAAATTTTTGGTCCATCAAGAGAGGAACTGATTGCTGAGAAAGAGAAAGAAATTAAAGGGAAACAGATATCAATTCAAGAAATCAAGAGATTGGTGATGATGAGAACGAAAATCGAGCAACAAGAGAACGAGCATGAGAAAAGGTGGCTGAGGAAACAAAACAGTTTGATTCACTTTAGAATGAGAGAAGAGAACTTGAAGGCACTTCGCTAAGAGAGAGTGAGAAACATCTTCAAGAGGTGTGGATTCACAGTCTCAGCTGTTGTACTCGCAGTCAGAACAAAGTGGAGTGGTTGTGAGTGCACTGACAAAAGGTCTTAAGTTTGTTGTCAAAGGAGTTGGAAATGGTTTTAAGACTCTTGGAAGTAAGGTCGCGGGAATTCTCCAAGGTCTCATTGGTTCAATAGTCAGCTTCATTTTCAAGACCGCTGGATAAGTGATCAGCTTCCTCGGTGAAAATGCACGGATTCTGATAATGGAAGTTGTTATATTCACGGTTGAGCGCTTTCAGAAGAACAAGCGATGAATCAAGAATGCATATACCATTCCAGCTGAAATCAATTCAACCTTAATGATGTCATGATTTGTTTCACCTATTGGTTGTGGTGTCTTTACCTGAACTTCAGTTGAAGTCTTGTCAATTGGATTTGAAAGGTGAGAGGTCGGTCTTTTGATCTTTGATGATCCCCATCTATCTGCTTAACTTCGACTGATCCCATCTCCAAATTCACTGATTTGTTGACTCCCAGCAGCTGTCCTCTTCAGGCTGTTATCATACCCCACTGTACTCTAATTGGATTCCACAATCTTTTACCGCTTCTTTTAGTGAGTCATAGACCTTGCAAAACCCTATTTCATCACTTAATTCAACTTTCCTTCTCTCGTCCAAAGGACGGCAGCCGAGCATTGCTTTCAATTCCTTGCTTGGAATCTTGTTTCTGTATTATATTCCACAGCCTCTGGCAACCTCCCAAATTCTTTTGTGTATATTGGAATTAAATTCGTTTCCATTTTATTAATATGTACGAAATTTTAAAATATGATACAAAAAATGTAATATACAAAATGGAGAACATAAATATTCCAGAATTAAGAACTGAGGCAAAACGACTCGGACTCAAAAGATATCAAGACTTAGAGAAAGCAGGAATTGATTCAGTTGATCGGCTCCGCTGGCCAACTTCTTGATCAGCCAGTTCCAGAAATTGATGCGCCACTTCTAACGCCATCAAAATATGTCCCTCGCCCTAAGACCCCGAGTTGAAGCCAAAGAAGAAAGAAGAATGGAAATCAGAGAAATCGAGGAGATGCTTAGATTGAGAAGGTCTACTTCAGAGGACGTAGCCAGCGGAACTGAATTTAATGAGTTTGTTAAAAATGACAAAACTCATCAGTTTGAAATTCGCGAGTTGGCAAGCGCGTTAAGCGGTTTCATTAAACAATTTAGAGTCGAAGGAATTGAAGCTTTTGGATGGAGAGAGTTCATGGAAAAAGTCAAACCAGAAGTCGTGAGGATAATGAAAGAGAATCGTCAAATGAAAGTTCTGATGATTTTTTCGAGTGAGATGGAGAGAGATTCAGAGTTCAGAATTTTGATGGAAGAGGAAGCCACTGGAGATTTCAGAGAGTGATATCACTTCACATCCATCTTGCGGAATACAAACCGTTTAACGGTAGATCTTACATCAAACTCCCAGATTCTTTTCAAAGGAAGAAAGCAGTAGTAAATATCAAGAACAAGGATAATAATTGCTTCCAGTGGTGTATAGCAAGAGTATTTAATCCTAACAAGTTACACCCTGAGCGGATTTCAGACTTGAGAGGAAAGACAAACCAAGTGAATTTCACAGGCATTAAGTTCTCAGTAAAATTGAGAGATATTGATAGGTTCGAAAAACAGAACGAGGGCATCGCTGTCATTGTGTTTGGTCTTGATAGGACAAAAGTCTATCCTCTTAGGATCACTGAAAGGAATATCAGAGAAAGGAAGGAAAAAAGGAAAACTAATCATCCGCAAGAGAGAAAAAAAACGAAGCATTGATCTTCTTCTGATAGAAGAGGAAGGTAATCAGTATTACTGCTAGATCAAAAACATTAGCAGGTTACTCTCGAAACAAGTCACAAAGCACAAAGGTTCATTGTTCTTCTGTCAAAGATGTTTGAGTTTCCAAATGAAGAAAAATTAGCAATTCACGATGTATACTTCTCAAACAATGAAGCAGTACGTATCATGATGCCGGAAATAAATGATGAGGGAATAATACCGTATATCAAATTCAAGAATCACAGTCGTTTTATAAGAGTTCATTTGTAATTTACGCTGACTTTGAATCATTTACAGAACCGATTGACACATGCGAGTCGAGGAGTGATTAGAGCTTCACTAATCAGAATCAAAAGCACAAACCATGTGGGCTCGGCTATCACATCGGTTTGCTTCGATGATAAGCTTTATTCACAAGAGCCAGTCATCTACAGAGCAAACAATGAGGATGACGATGTTGCTCAGATCGTCGTTGAAAACTTGAAGAAAACATCAAGAAGATTTATAAGGAATTTGACTTTGCAAAAGATATGTCCTTCAAATACAAAGATAGGCGTGAGTTCAAAAAGGCAAGGCGATGCTGGATCTGTAAGGGTTCATTTGACAATGACAAAGTGAGAAACCACTGCCATTTCACAGGGAAGTTTCGTGGAGCAGCTCACTACAAGTGCAACGTACAATCCATGAAGCCGAAGTTCACTCCTTTCATCTTCTACAACTTAGCTAATTATGACTCTCATCTATTTGCTAAGAGTTTGGGCAAGACTGAAGGAAACATCAAATGTATTCCAAAAAATGAGGAAAAGTACATCTGCAGTACGTCTGCAAAGACGTCGCGCGTTATCATGTGTATCACGGCAATCTAATATGATTGGTAGATTTCGATCCCCATTGATCCGGTGAGTTCTGGTTTTACGAGAAGTCTGACTCCAAGTTGTACCCTGGGCGGTCTGTGTTTCTTCATCGTTGGTATCCACATTATTTATTATCTATTTATTTATTTCTAACCCTAACCCTAAGCAATTTCATAGAGACTGAAGATACTGAGAGAGTGGAGAGAGAATTACTGGAGGAAGAAAAAGTGAAAATGTCGATTAAGTAGAAATTATTTTCAATCAACGAATCTTTGCACCCGTTGGAAACGACCAGCACCGTACTTTGTTACGTAAACTCAGCAATACATTCATACCCCTTAGGAAGTGAAGCTAATTTTTTTCGCGAGATATAAAACCCTGTAAAGGCAAAGATTTGATTGAAGGGGAAAACGATTCTCGAATGCGTGCAAATATTTATTAAGAAACATATTTTGGGCTTGGTTACTCCCCAACATTTTGTTGCATGAAAAGATAAAGTAATGAGTGCTTGCTATAATTAGTAATTCATAATAGCTCTAAATACTTATTAAGAAATATTTATAAGAAATATTTATTAAGAAACATATTTTGAGCTTAGTTACTCCCCAACATTTTGTTTTTCCGGAGCTTTCACTCAGAAATGATAACTATAATAATGAAATCTTGCAACACTTTATCGTAGAACTTTACTTTGTCGTGATACCAGGGGTGTTTCTCTCTCGAACAAACTAACTACACAAATGCTCGAAGTGGGATTTATGTTATCATTGCGAACCCCATCACCCTTCCCGAGGTTTCTTAGCCAAACTTCTGCGAAATACACCTTAGTGCGGTATCGTTTTCCTCTCAAAAAATGATCAATCAATTCCTTTTGTAACTGCGTCATTAATCGAGTTTCGAGTCCCTTAAATTTCAAATAACCTTTAAGTCATAAAAATCATGGCAGATGATAACTTCAAGAGTTTTTAAATTACTCGACGAAAACGAGTGATCTTACACTGAAAAGAGAGACGCAACGGACAGATAGAGGGTGAAGAGAATAGGATGAAGTCTATGGGAACTGCATGGATAAAGTACAGCTTAAAACTAAACAGGAGACTATACTCCTATATTTCTGATGACAAATCAAATGGTGAATTGCAGTTCAAAGAACATCCTGTTGACAATAACCCAGACGTTACTTTTCAGTGTTATGCAATGAGATTCTTATTGCTGATAGTTAAATATAAAGCTTGTCTGTTTGCCAGCCACCAATAGAGCCAGTTGAGAGAAGACCATCAAACCGGTAGACGTGGTAGAACATAGTTACCTTAGAGAAGATGGGGGTTAACGTGGTAGAACACGGTTAGCCTAGGACTGATGGGGGTTGACGTGGAAGATATCATATATATCCATATCTACGCGCGCCCATGTATTACTTTCTATAGAATTCTGGTTAACTAAGGGTAGATGTGGATAAGCAGGGTGGACCATGGTTAATTTAGGTTAGATGGGGGTTAACGTGGTAGAGCATGGCTAACTTGAAGTAGATGTGTATTAACGTGGTAGAACATGGTTCACTTAGGGTAGATGGGGGTTAACGGGGTAGAAAATGGCTAAGTTGGGATAGATGTGGGTTAACATGGTAGAACAAGGTTAACTTAGGGTAGATGTGGGTTAACGTGGTAGAACATGGCTAACCGCGGGTAGATGGGGGTTAACGTGGTCCAACATGGATAACTTACAGTAGATGGTGGTTAATGAGGTAGAACATGGCTTACGTGAGGTCGATAGAGGTAAACATAGTTGAACATTGTTAACTTATGATAGATGGGTTAAATGTGGGTCAACGTAGTAGAACATGGCTAACGTAGGGTAGATGTGGGTTATCGTGGTAAAACATGGCTAACCTTGGGATAACGGGATAGAACACGGCTAACTTGGGGTAAATGTGGGATAACGTGGTATAACATGGAAAAATTATGGTAGATAGGGGACAGTGGGGTAGAACATGGCTAGCTTAGAGTAGATGGGGATCCGCGTGGTAGAACATGGCTAACCTAGAGTAGATGTGGGTTAACGTAGTGGAACACGGCTAACCTAAGGTAGATGTGGGTTAACGTGGTAAAACATGGCTAATCTTGGGTAGATGGGGGATAACGTGGTGCAATATGGATAACTTAGAGTAGATGGGGGCTAACGGGTTAGAACATAACTAGCTTGGGGTAGATGTGGGTCAACGTGGTAGAACATGGCTAAGCTAAGGTAGATGGGGGTTAACGTGACAGAACAAGGCTAACTTAGGGGACACGAGGTTAACAGGGTAGAACATGATTAACAAAGGGTAGATGGGGGTTAAATGAGGGTAGATGTGGGTTAATGGAGTAGAACATGGTTAACTTGGGGTAGACGAGGGTTAACGTAGTACAACCTGGCTAACCTGGGGTAGATAGGGGTTAACGAAGTAGAACATGACTAACTTACGGTAGATGTGGGTTAACGTGGTAGAACACGGCTAACATAGGGTAGATGGGGTTAACATGGATGAACATGGCTAACATAGGGTAAATGTGGGTGAACGCTGTAGAACAAGGCTAACCTAGGGTAGAAGGGGATTAACGTGGTAGAACATGGCTAACCTAGGATAGATAGGGGTAAACGTAGTACAACATGACTAACTTAGGGTAGATGGAGGTTAACGAGGTAGAACATGGCCAACGTAGGGTATATGTGGGATAACGTGGTAGAACATGGCTAACGGAGGGTATATGAAGGTTAACGTGGTAGAACATGGCTAATTCAGGGAAGATGTGGGTTAACGTGATAGAACATGGTTAACTCGGGGTAGAAGTGGGTTATCGTTGTAAAACAAGTTTAACCAAGACATATTGTGAGCGATACACGAACTCTTTAATATGAATGTTGTCAGCCAATTTGTGGTCTCTATGGCATTTAGCCATGGCGTATATAACCAGTTTTCCAAATCCAATATGGCAATCTGCACGGTCTGCATGGTCTGCCGTCTGCGTCATGACCGCATTCCAAGATGGAGAGGTACCGTCCACATGTAATTCCAATTCCGATGCTGGCCACTTAAGTTTCATCATGCGTTCTTCCTGATCATTGTTCCTCAGGTTTTCTCGGAGTGGCCAAGGGCAAGAAAGGAAGGTCTTCTTTGGATATTTTCCAACAAATTATATCCTCAGAGAGGTTAGGATTCCAGACCATGGGTAGTTGGTTAACTAATATCACCAATTTTGGAGTAAAAGGCAACGTTATGTTTTTAACAGATATGAAATCAAGTTTTTGTACGTCTTTATTTGAAATGAATTGGCGAGTCTTTTACTCTGGTGAAGTGAAGTGATGTGATATTTTTTCTACTTGACCAGAGAACTTATTAAACCCAGGAAGCTAATTTCATGTAAAACCCGATACTTGCGTTAAGAAAAAGGGATGAAAACATTCCTTACACAATGAAATGCAACTTTCATGCTTCTTAGAAACATAACAGTATCAGGATCACAAAAACTGATCACACAACACTGATGCTGTCTGTACTGCAGACAATATGATTCTGTTCAAATTCCTTACACAAAATTTTTCTTTTTTTTGGCTGTCTTTATCTGTTACCTTGCAGCTTTTTAAGTGCACATGGCTTATTTAATTCATCACACAAGAGTGAAACCACTTTTTATTGATCATTATTGCAAGACAGTCCTAGCCAAAGAAAGTATTACTGAGTGCATAATTATATGTATCAGCAGTGTCTTTATTTGATGGTTAATCCTCCTTGCTCCTTTTAAACACAGTAAAAAAGTGGTACAAATTCAATACAGTAAAAAGAAGACAAATAACATAGGGTATCATGTGCATTGGGATGACAACAGCATGGGTCACAACAATGCCCAGTGAAAAGCAGAAATACACTAGAGAACGAGGTACTTTTACCAGTGGGTCGAACACAATCACATTCACACAAAGAACAATTGAAAAAAAAGTTGTGTGATCTGATGAAAGATGATAAGAAAATGACAAATTTTTGGCCCAAACCACTAATGCTGGAAAACTTACCAAAATAACTAAGAACAATATAACACACATTGTTAATCCAATGTTTAACTGGCTCTCTATTGCAACTAAAATTGTCTTGATTTTCTGTTCAGATTGCTGAGTCTTATACCTTTTACAAAGAGCCATGTATTTCCAATTCCTCCAAAAACACCAAAAAAAGACCAAGAGAAGGCTCAATGTCCCACAGAAAACAACTGATGATAATATGATGGCAACTTTCCATATCCAATCCTTTACTCCTGGTTGCTTTTGAACATATGGTAGTAATTCAAAGTAACTAAAAATAAAACCACCAAAATTAGTTATCATTCCAATTAAGACAAATAATGCAATGACAATAATGAGGGCTGTAGATATGATCAGAATCAAGGGGAGCAACCATATGTAAGTTTTCAAGTCATCGACACTGGGGAGCCAGTCATGTTGACCACTCTCTCTGCTGAGTACATAAAATGCTAAAATAAACTGTGAGGCAAAGAAATGAATTTGTACAACAAGAAGCAAAACCCTGAGACTCTTTGATACACTTGTAGCCAGACTAAAGAATGATTCACACTGTTTTTTGAATGTCATTGAAGACAACTGCCATGCAAACACTAGCATGACAACAGAAAATGTCCAACAAGGAAGCTGTACTGCATAAAATCTGTAAATCTGTCCAAGTGTTTGATAGAAATCACATTTAGCACTGATTCTATAGGAACACTTTGGGTCCAGCCACATATGTATCTGGACATGCTGCTTGCTTCCTATTGGTTTAGGGTGATGCAGTTTCAACACAAGTTCTGCTGCACCATTGCTTGAAAATCTGTAAACATCTTCATTGAACCAGGGAACATGAATCCTTGTTATTAATAATGACTTTCTAACATCACAGTCTAAGGCTTCAAAATTAAAAACATAGACCCTCCAACTCTTCACAACAGACTTTAAAGTTATGTTAGCAAAGAGAGAATCAGAAGGAATAACAAGAACTCTCGATTTTATAGAAAGCACTGCAGGTAATTCCATGTCATACACTAAACTACCAGAAGATTGATACTCCGACCAGACAGAAGTTGTTTTCTTGGAAGAGGGCACAATAACTGCAAAATATGCTATTCCTTCAAATGCATTGAGTGTCAGCTTCACATGTTTAAGTACTGATCCATTCCATGGAAGAAGCGAAGCATGATAAGATAAATCAACTGTGCTATTACAGGCTTGACCAGAAGTCTCTGGACACCCATACAACCATTGGTCAGACTCACTAGTTGTCAGTAACATCAAGGTATCATGTGTTGCTGACCACTCATCCCTGGAAAATAATAAAAGTTTTTGTTCATTTCCTGTGTATCTCCAAAGCCGTTTGTGGATAACCAAACGATTAAAATCTTTAGCTAAATATATTTCTTTGCCATTTATATTTCCAGCATCATTGAAAGTAACCTTTGATTGACCTGGATTCCTCAGAAAGTGATGCTGTAAGAATGCAACTCTCTGTTGGTCATTTTCTGTTATCTGTTGTGTGTTTGGATCTATCATATCAAATAAGGCGCGATTGGTCACAAGAACTAACTGTCGGCACCAACAGAGGCAAAGATGGTCTACACTGATCCATGCTCTTGGCACAGAAGTTGTAACTACACTTATGGCTTGAGAGTGTAGGGCCAGATGTTGCAGCGATGAAGGGCTAGATCTCACCAACACATCTCTCACACCACCACTCACAGATACAACAGTTACATTCTTCAATCTTGATATGGTATCATTCACGAGTGCATGACTTCTCCAAAATCTGTTAACGTTTTCGTAATAATTCATAAGTTGTGGATCAAGAGGCAGAATGGGATGGCGATGAGGTGTTCCGTAAGTAATGATGGTATGAACAAAACTTGTATCAAACTTTGGCAATGTAAATAAACCCCTTGCTATCAATCCACCCATGGAATGTCCGATAAGTATAACAGATGTTGGTGGACTGTCTGTATTCTTATACAACCAGATAATACGTGCTACGCAAAGTCTTACAAATTCAGTTTGTTCATTCAATACTCCTCCAAATATTCCAGAAAATGATTCATCCAAATCAGCCGTAAAGTAATTAAAATGCGATCTCAGACCCTCTGCTTTCCGCAACGCCACTGATGCTAAGGAACGAACTTGTTTGTAACTTCCTGCATTACCGGGAATGAAGAGAATAGGAATTCCCCCAAGATGAAGACCTCTGGATTTATCTGCGTAGTCTCCTTCTCCATAGAGATATAAAGCATACCTAGGAAACCGTTTTGCAGTTCCTTTCCACATAGGTACTTTGATGTACTGAGGCCATTCGTACATCCATGTCATATCGCACCTATTCTCCTCCAAGTTGAAAAGAAAATCCCGAAAACCAATCAAAGCAAACGCAGCAAAGACGGTAAACCATGTAATTAACACCAATTGTTGTGCTCTGAAAAGGTACCAAGTCATACCGAAAGGAAGAAGTGTGAATAAAATTCACGTTGCACTACGACCGTGATTAAGGACCGTGTCACGGACTCAGTTTGCACGGTTACAAAGCAGTTACGGGAAAAGTTCTACTACATCACGTGCGACGGCAGAAATTTGGGGGATGAAGAAAAGAGCGAAATACGAGTGGTCAGCGGGGAACAAATTTAATACTTCATATGGAGACATATCAGTTATAGTTGCGGAAAACAATGGTGTTGTAAAGCCGAAATATCAACAGTATACTTCGCTAAATAAAATGTTAAGCAATTTTTCAAAAGTGTTGATGGCACATATTTCTTTTACTGCTGTAATAAACAATAGAGGCATCGGAAAAGGCATCGGTGGCATCCGGAAAGGCACAAAGAAGAATTATATTTACGTTTTGTAACTTGCTGCGTGACGAAAAAAGAAAACCAAATCCGTGGTCCCCAAATGAATTCTCCCACCTTGCCTCAAAAAATGTTCAAATTTTCTGCAACTTCACCTTTTCCTATTCGTAGGTCCGGCTAAGCCTTTATGGTCATTGGCTCCCGTATAGCCACTAACTATGGCTTATAAATACAGGTGTTTAGTGTTAAATTGTAAAACTCCCCGAAGAAGTTTACGACGGTTAAACGAAACGCGTCGGAGAATAAAGAAATTTTACGACTACCATTCGTAGAGTGCTGCTCACCAGTTTAGTTTTAAAGATTTTTTTTTAATTTGGTGCGATAGCTGTGGTCAGTTTTTCCATGTAGGTTGTCCGGATGTACCTTTCGCAGAGACGTGGGGGGGACAGAGACACCAACACAACATTTCACCTGCCGTTCGCTTCGAAGATTAAGTTTTCATCCCGAGTTCATTTGTTAAATGAAATAGGAAAAAAAACACTTCGAACGGAAAACAGAATTATTTTAACGCCTGGATCTTCTGGAAAAAGGTCTCCTAAACGAGGGGCCCTGATTATTAATATTTAAGCATGGTAAACACATTAGCCTTAACTTGGCTGTTTCTCGAAGCTCAGTGTTTTCCTACATGCCTTTTTCACGTGAAATGAGGCGATTGAATATATACAATAAACACTAAAAGAACTACAGCTGATGGAAATTTAAAATTTCTTATCTAAAGGCTGTGGAAACAAACTTATTAGTGACTCTAAAAATATAGAAATCTAGAACGAAATCTTTTTAGAGTTGCTTAGCTTTTCATTTTTCTGGAATCGAAAGTTGAGATTGCAAAATTCAAGTGAAAAGCAAACCGACTGTGATTTACGCCTTAAACAAGTCAAGATACTCTTTGCGTCATACAACAAGTTACATATCGTCAATATCATTCTTCTTGATGCCTTTCCCGGTGTCACCGATGCCTTTCCCGATGCCTCCGTTGTATAATATAGCTGTAAAAATATTGTTCCAGTCAAAGTGTTTGGAAAATTGCTTAACTTTTGAATTAGCGAAGTATAACCTGGTAACATTTTGGCTTTACAATACGATTGTTTTTTGCAAGTTACAAAACGTAAACATAATTCTTCTTGGTGCCTTTCCGAATGCCACCGATGCCTCCATTGTTTAATACAGCAGTAAAAGATATATGTACCATCAACACTTTTGAAAAATTGCTTCACATTTTATTTAGCGAAGTATACTCAGGGTCGTAACGAGGTATATGGGATCAGGGATCAAAGGCCTAAAAAAGGGTGGGATCAGTGATCACAGCCTCGGATCCGGGATCAAAGCCCTCGGGATCGGGATCAGCGTGTTTTCCATGGGCTCAAGGATCAGGCGTCTAGATTTTGTGGGATCAGGGATCAAAATTTTCATCACTTTTGGGACCAGGGATTAAAAATTTGCGTAAAAATACGGGATCAGCGACGAAAAAATATACCTCGTTACGACCCTGTATACTGTTAACATTTCGGCTTTACAACACTATTGTTTTCCAAAACTACAACTGAGATGTCTCTATATGAAGTATTAAATTCGTTTCCCCGCTGACCACTCGTATTTCGGTCATTTCTTCATCCCCCGCTCGTCGCTCGTGATGTAATAACTCCGAGAAACGTAGTGCATTATGACTGAGGGTCTAAGTGAATTTGAAATTTAAAATTTCCGCTGTTAAGTTAGAGAACATTCACGGGCAGTGAGTTATGTCTGGAGGACGAGTGAAGTACGTGTGTGACCAAGACAAGTCGGTTTTAGTGAACAATTTCGAGAAAAGGGGATGGGTACCTTGTGCCGAAGACGAGGACTGGAATTTTTATTGGTGAGAAGCATTTAAATTTTGGTGAAATTTGAGTTTCTTATCAGTTTAGGCGTGTCAATTGTGTAAATCTTTAGAGCTTGGAATTCGCATTCTGCGACATTTTGTTTACACTATCTGAAAGAATGGACTGGTACTTTTGAATATTGATAATAGGACTGTGTAGACTCTAATTTGGTCTGTAATCATATGAGTGATTAACTAAGTCAGACTACCGCGAAGCAGGAGTCCGATTTGTCCATCACAAGTATGATAACAGACAAAATTGGACATCATGAAGTCCTGTTACCCATTAATCATTGTGATTAATTCTGTGATTGGTGAATTTAGACGAGTGAACTATGTATGACTGAAATAAAGGAGCTAATCGTAATCATTTAAGAATTTGTTCATGCTTAGCGTGTGTATATCCAGTTATGGATGTAAGCGAGAAGCTTGGAGAGCACAAAAAGTGCGTAAGAGTAGCTTTAGCTTTTACTCTAGCTTTTTGAGTGCTCTCCAAACTTCTCAAGTGCATCCGTAACTCAATATACACATGGCTAAAAGCATGAGCAAATTCTTTTATAACAAAGTAACAATGAACAAAAAATGTTCATGTCATCTTATTTACGCACGGGCATGGGTAAATAAAGATTTTGTTCATAGTGGCTCCATAGGACTTATATGAGGCAAGTAGTTGCGTGCTGTGTTATAATACAATTTCCTCAAATGTGATTGGTGCATGAGCTGCTTCATTTTTTGCTAATCATTCTTTACAATTGTAATCGAACAATGTAACAGGACAGTTGGCTGTAGTTGCACAACTATAATCAGACAGTTGAAGCAGCCAATCATACTAGGTCCACTCAGTTAAATCCACCAATCACAGAATTAGTCACAATAACCATAGCTACAACCACCTATCCTTAAAAAGTTGTGGAATTTCCAAAGTTGAGGAATTTTTAAATTTAGACATTGTCTCTACCAAAGATGTTTGTCCTAAATGTATTTGTTTTTCCAGAAATTGTAATGGTTATGATTAATTGGTAACAGGACTTTGTGTCATCCAATTCTGTCTGTTATCATGCTTGTGATTGACAAATTGGACTCCTGCTTCCTAGTCATCCAATTTTGTTAATCACTTGTATGATTACAGAGCAAATTGGACTCCTTTCGCTCCTATTACCATCATTACTGCACCAATCATATTTAAGGAAATTGTAATGGTTATGATTGACACTGTGTCAAAATGTCAGGCAGCTGAACAGGTTTTTGAAATTACTCAGTGTCCAGCAGGTAGACAGGTTTTTTAAATTACTCAGTGTCCAGCAGGTAGACAGGTTTTTGAAATTACTCAGTGTCTAGCTGGTGGACAGGTTTTTGCAATTACTCCATTTCCAGCAGTTGAAACATTTACAAATTTCATTTCATGATATCAGATAGGTTCTTAGCAAGGTGGACACATCACAATTTCCATGGAACTGGGTATTGTGCTTAAGTTTGGAACTCTGTGTTTATTTTGACTGGCTTGTTGCAAACGCCCAGACATGGAATTCACAAATACTCCAGTCAGTCGAAAGTTTTCCTGCCAGACACAGAGTAATTTCAAAAACTTGCCTGGCTGCCAAACATGGAGTAATTACAAAAACCTGTCCAGCTGCGTGACACCTAGATACAGTGAATACCTGAGGTGGCTCTCTGGAATATTTATGAATAAACCCCCTTCAGAGCGTGAGTGATGAAATGAAACCTAGTGAACTTTTCCTCTAACAGATTGGTATCTGAGCATGCATAAACTTTTGAATCTGTGGCCTCTGCGCAATCTTTCCTCTGCTATATGACTGCATGTGCCAACTGTTTTGTATTTGTTAAGTATTGGAGTAAAAGGTAAAATGCAGAGGTTTGATCAATAGCTCTTGTTGATGTAACAAAAGGAGGTCTTCCTAATAGAACATAATCTGTGCACTGGTCACTTGACAGGCTGGGGACAGGACACAAATTAGTGGAATATGTACATGTATTAAATGTACATTAAATGTATGTTAAACTTTGCCTTTACATATGCTACATGTACCTAGTGCAGTGGAAATACCTGCTTCTCTCAAGTGCGAAGATATACAGTTCAATTCCTGGCCATGTCAAATTTTTTTGTCTGTGTTTTTCCTTTCTTTTCTATTATTTTTCCTTTTTTGTTTTTCAATTTTACATTTTTCTAAAAACAATATGCAGGATATGTTCAGAGTGAAAGGCACATGTGAGAATGTGTGATGGCATAACTTTTGCATTTAATTCTATAACAATACAAAATGCAGAAGTGAGACCCTGAAGAAACATTGATCAGAAGTAAACCCAATAAAACCAAGAATGCTAAGAAGAAACCTTATCAGATTTGTTCAATGATGGCCAGAGCTAAACCAGATTCTACAAGTCATGAGGGGCCACAAGAGATGTTATGAGTGTCTCATGATAGTCCACCATTTTGAAAACCAAGAGAGGGTTTGGGGGGAGGCTTGCAGACTTACTGACACCATAATATAGTTCCTGGAAGGAAGACCCGATAAGCACAAAAACTGTATGCTTTTAAACTGTTTTAATACACCTTTTTAAATAGCAATCATGCAGTCATATCAAGCCGCCATGTTTGTCTTGCTTGTTGATCTTTTAAGCTTGTTCTTTGTTCGGGTCCAGATATTGCTTGATCTAAACCCTATGAAGCCTTCTTAAGCTAAAAGAGTATTGAAATGTTAGTTTTTGCACTGGTCCTTATTTTCCTATCTCTGCCCACAGGCACAGTAACACTTTTGTAAGTCACCTAATACATCCGCACTGTTTTTGCCATGTTTCATAAATATCTTTCATCTTGCCAACTAGGGCAGTATTTTTAAGCAATACTTCAGTCACTACACCAAGCCAGTAAATGACTTATTAATCCTCTGTTTTTCCTGTCTCACAAATCACTTTGGTTGCCAGAAAAATATTGGCTTTGACCTAAATGTATGGTAGTAAATGCTTCATGAAATGGGTTGACACCCAGCCTAAAAATCAAAAATCATTTGTAATAAATTTTAGTCCTTCACAAAAAGTAATTCAGAAAAATGAAACACGAGGTACTTGTTCACAGTTGAATTAATTGATGGAGCTTTCATTTATTTTATACCTGAATTCTTTCAAACAATTTATTCATTGTGGAATGGTGAGCAGAGTTTTCAGTTCTGCTTCAGTAAGTTTTTCTAAGTTTGTTCAATTTGGACATTGGTTCTGTAAATTGGGCAACAGAAACCAAAGAAATTAAAGGAGAAAAAGCTGCATTAAATCCCCTTTTGTCTAATTAAAGGGTCTCATCTGAGTTTTTGTTAAAGAAAGACCAGGTTTACTCATGCCATCACAGCAAACAAAGGAGTAGACTCTAACAACTGCAAAACATAAATTTGAACTTACTTACAATTACTTTCTTTACGATCAACTCACTGAACAGAGTTAAATCCCATATTTTAAGCACAGATGGAAGTGAATAATTCATTCTGTAAGATCATGACTGTTTCTTAAGAAAATACTGTCATTACCATCACAGAGCTTGAGTTTGTTTGTCAACTTAATTCTATTTTTTTCTAAAAGTGTAAATGCACTTCTTTTCTAACGGACTCTAATTGACAGGTGTCACATTGTGCCCCCCGGCAAGTTTATTAGGAAGCCTTTTAATTAAATCATGTTTATTGTTATGCAAATAGAAATGTTTAGGTGAAGCCTCTCTCTTTAATTTGCATTACCTCTGTTCTGACAACTAATTACTTGCTCAAAAATTGTTCAGTTTATCGAGGATCTTGTCATAATAAACACCCTAAATCATTGGGTTCCTTTTGGCAAGCACTTGGTAAGTTTAAGAAAAAAATAAAAATGTTACTCTCCAGCATAGGTTGGATTAGCCCTTAGATGCAAGGTACTTGGTGGCCATGGTAGTCTCTCTGCCATTGGGATACCACACATGGACATAGTGAGGGTTTGCCTGGAGTAATTCCACCTCATTGACCAAAGGCTCCATCTGGTTGATGTGAACTTGATGTTTAATGTAGACATCCAGATGTAACTAGCTAAGTGGGAATGGGGGCACAAGAGGAAGATTGTAGAGAGAAGCCAAAAAAGTTCCTGTGAGGTGTTTCATTGGTTGTTGTACATAAGAGGAAGGGATAGAATGCAGCATATCCAAGAGGACATCTTGCCATTTCTTAGATGGCTGGTTTTTGGATTTTTTGCCTTCCATAGCACTCTACTACCTCTTTCTGCTTCACCATTCCTTTCAGGGTTATAGCTGATGGTCTTACCTGTGGCTACTCATTTTGTTGTCAAAAAGTGTTGGAACTCTCTGCTCATGAAGGATGCCCTTAGATCGGAATGGACATATGCTGGTATTCATACAAAAGAGAAAAGTGAAGTGAGGCACATGATAACCATGCTTGTCAACACATCAGGACAGGGAAAGACAAATGGAAACCTAGAATACTCATCAACCTGGCACCACAAAGAAGTACTTGTTCTGTTACTTGTCAGTGGGGGGGGGGGGCTTTGAAATAAATGTTGATCCTCTTAAATGTCTGGAATGCCTTGATAAGGGGGACATTCTCTGGGCAGTAGAACTGAGGTTTGCATTCACAACAAACAGAGCACTTGCTTGTAATCTTTATCTCTTTTAGGGAGTAGGGTAAGTTCTTGGTTTGCACAAAATGGTTTGGTCTGGATGGCAGGATGGCAGAGGGACTATGAAGTGAGTCATCAGATGTTGTGGGGCACATTGTGGTAGCACATTTGACTCTGGACATCTGTCTGGTGCAACATTGTCACTCTTTATCTTTTCTTTGTGATGTTGGTGAACATGTAGGATACTGATTTCTGATCGGTCTTAAGGATGAAGAGTCTTCAGTGGCTCACAGCCTCACTTATTGCTTGTGCTTCTTCTCTATGGATACATGCTAAAGCTCACCACTGTGAAGGGTTGGTGAGAAGAAAGCCACAGTTCTTCCATTCTGGTTGAGTGAGGCTAATGGGTTTATTTCCAACACATCTGTTTTGACAGACAGAGAATGGTCTTGTTAGTTGCAGTGATAACGGCTTCCTCTTATGTCTCCTTTAGACCTTCAACACCTCAACAGCTGTATTTCATTGGGTCAAGGTACATTTTGTGGCAGCTGGAAGCAAGGGTCTCTAAAGTAAAACTTGTTAAAACACTTGATAGGTGGAAAGTGTTGAGTATATGGACAATTTGATGTATAATCTATGGAAAAATCATGCAATTTAAAACAACACCTACTTAAAGAATGTTCCTCAAATTGTTTTCATACAGGTTATAATCTGCATTCTTAAGTAACAGGATTCATGCATTCTTTTTTAGTTATTCAGCAACAAGATGCACCCAGTTATAAGATGCACTCCCAATTTGAGAGAGTGGTAATGTCAAGTTCTCAACTGGAAAGTTTCGTGAGAATACTTGGCTATTGTATGGATCATTAGTTTTTGTAGTTCATGCATGCACAGTGAGAGAACAAACTTAGAGTAGAGTGAAAAATCAGCAATCGTATTTTTATCATGTTAAAATGATAACCACATTGTCACAAAGCTGCACTAAAACATGATGCAGAAGCAAGTTTATGGTGCCACATAATTATTTGCATGCAAGAAAACATATTTTGGTAGGCAACAAACATAAACAAAAGATAGCTGGTGCAACAGGGTAACATGGCTTGAACTAAAGAGAATTTTCTTGTTCAAAGCGAGTACGAGTTTTTTTTCTTTTTTATGAAATTACAAAATTAAAAGGGGATTATTTTTATTTTAAGTTACACTGCTTGTATAACAGGAAAAGACCATTACACCTGTTTACCTTGTCCATGGAGGTAATGGGGGAAAATACAGTAGAATTTTTTGTTTTAATTAAATATTTGTGAATGTTTCTTAAGACTTCCTTATGGACAAGCATTTCTGATTACCTGATTATTGCAAAAATTATTCCCTGTCAACAGGGCCAGTGTACAGACAGTAAGAGCAATATTTAATGTGGAAACTGGATACAGGCTTGGGGATGATCAGTATGTATAATTAAAATTTCATTACTATGACAGTTGATATTTTCAATAAGTTCAAAACTGTTAAGGCTAGACCCAGCCAGAGGTTACTGTATTTTAAAGATCAGTTGCAAGATCCAGGGGTACAAATGCGTAACATTAGGGAAAAACTAGCAACTTCATAAAATTACCAAAAAATCATCAAAACATAGATTATTCATAAACTTTTATTGTAAGAACTACTTTTTGAGAAAATATTTGATGTTATCTGTTAAATTATCCTCATTACTTAATACCCAGAATGCATAGCAGGCGTGGTCATATATTCTATTTACACATTTGCAGGCTTAAATTCACGATTCTGTTTAGAAATAACACAGTTTTATTTACATAACTAAAAAGAAGACATAATTTCCTCATGCTGGTTGGGTAAAAGCTGGAATAATACATTTCTACGCCTATTTAATTTCTTGAGTTCTCCACAGATAGTCCTGACAGTGTTTGCATACACAATAGCTTGTTTATTGTCAAGCTTGTAGGTCATGTCTATAATATTGTCCCTTAGGAAAAAGTTACCCTTGAAGACAAAGGAACCTTTCTGATAAGCAGCACTATAGTCATCAACTTCATCTTCACCCAAAATTATGGCACCACTGCTTGTAACTTTGAAGAGGTAGTAATCATATATGGCGTCATCAGCTGCTGCAATGGCGACAGTACTTCCTTCTTCAACAAGATCAGTGAGTGCATTGACTGTTTTACTGACATTGACTGAGTCTTGATTCTGCCTTGTGACTGCAACATCTCCTTCTCTTGACATCTCAACCTCTCTCCACTTATCAACATACTCCTCATTTTCACAGTCCATGTCAGTTAAACAACCAATGCACATACAGCTTCTTAGCCTTGTCTTCACCTTACATTGCTGAGAAGTTGTTTTTACAGAGTGGATTTTTCTAATCCCTTTTAGCTCTTTAAAAGTGCGGCCAATTCTGTTTCTGTCAACAGCTCCTTCTCCATTTAGTGGAATGTAGAAGTATACTCTCTTGTTTAAGGTGGTTTTGCTGTTGGTTGAAGATGGCAAAGAGAACTTGTCCTTCAGATACTCATAGAGCTCCTTTGCAGACTTGATGGATGCTTCTCTTCGAATCACAGCAAGAGTAGCACGTTGTTTGACATTAGCACCTGCTGCATCTTGCTCTCCTTTTGCATGAGAGGTTTCAAAGAAATGCCGGTCCACCTGACACCCAAAGTCAGACAAAGAACATGACAAATCACCAAAAGTGTGCTTAGATTTGTATTGTCCAGCACACCCATCAGTGAATTCATGAACTTTGTCTACTTTCACTTTGACCTCATTCCTAAGGTACGTCAGTATTAGGCCTTGGGTGTGGTGTACAAAATGGTAGTCTTGAGTGTTGTCTTCTGAAAGGGCAAAGATGTGCTCTTTGATGAGGACAGGGTCTTGTTCTGTACTTGCTTTGCCATCAATGTCAATATCAGCATGGCGATAGACAATTGACACATGAATGCTGACTTTCACAGGATCGAAATACTCTGATTGAATTTCATCTTGTGATCTGCAAGTGTAATTCTCAGAAAAATCATGCACACAGATGATATGGTTGAGAGGCAGGTTTGTCATTAAATGATCAAACTGTTCTTTTTGCCATTTGGCCATAAATGAATGGTAGGGATAATCTTTCAGGAGTTGCTGGAAATAGTCAAACATCTCTTTGACAGGAGTTTCTTTTTGGACCAAGTGGATTTTCCTTTTTCCTCGCCATTGTTATCTTTGTACGTTATGTATTCATATCGTTTCCACTTGACTTCAGTTTCAGACATTTCTTCAGCTGCTGTCTTGAAGTTCTTCACCCCACACTTGTCACAGCTCCTTGTCAGGCAGTCTAGAGAGGAATAGCTGGAGTCTTCTGGCTTTTCACACAATGTGGATTCCACAGCTTCAGTGAGAAAATTAAAGGCTTGAACTTCATTATTTTGTATGGATTTTCGATATTTCATGCAAGAATCAAATACAATTTTGCATTCTACATGCTTCCTACACAAGCAAGATTGTCTATCTCTCTCTCTAGCTCCAGTAACAAAGAAAGGCTTCAACTGCTCAAATCTTCGTTGTTTCACTTTTATGTCGGGATGTAGCTCCTGGAATTCTTTGAAACACTCTGTTTGAGTCTTTTCAAGGATATGCTTTGCGTGCTCCACATACTCCTTTTGCCAATTCGTTGCCGCATCTTGTCTCTTTTGGATCCAGTGGGTCGACTTGCTTGTAGGGTCCAAAAATCGTAGATAACACGCTTATCTTCTTCTTTAATCGCGTCACACCTGACATTTCTTTTTGTGCTCAACCAGCAGGCCTCATCACCCTTCAAAACTCTTTCTCTATGTTTGATAGCTTTGGACACCTGGCTTCTTTTTACTCCCATCATCTTGGCAATCCGTGTTTGGTGCTTGTTTTTTTTGACAGAAGATCCAAAAGCCAAAGAGCGCGTACAGTTATAAGCTGCTCTTTCATCAGTCGACTTAGCTTTTTTGACTTTGGACAATCCTTCTGCCAAATCTTCTACCAAACACTCCATTGCTTCGATATTTTGTTGCTCCTCAACTGGTCTCACGAACTTCTTTTTTTCAAGAATCTTCCTTGTGCGAGGAGTACTTGCAAGGTTTTGAAGAATTTCAGCCTTTTTTGCGGGGGTTTGAGGTAAGGCAGGGGACACCTTGTCCTTTGCACGTTTTTTTGCCATCCTTGAACTAAAAGCTGGTGTGGTGATGTTGACTTCAGGTTTCGGTTGCGCAAATGATGACTCTTTTCTATTCTGACGAAGTTTTCGAACCCTTTCTCGAGTTTGCTGTCGCTTTTTCTCTTCCCTCTCTTTTTCTCTTTGCTTCAAAACCTTCTTCTTGGTAGCTGATGCAGCATTCCGCTCACGGTTGGCTCTTTTGTCATCAGCCTTTTGTGCAGATGTGCGTGTTTTCACTGCGGCGACTGTCGCGTTTTTTTTCTTGCTTCGAAGCAAGCGCATTCTTTCTCTTGCTTTTTGTGCAAGAACTTCTTTGTTTCTTTCATAGTATTCCCTTTGTTGTTTAAGCTTTTTTTTCTTCTTTTTCTTTTCTCCATTGATCAGCAGAATATTTTTTGTTTTCCATTGAATATTTCGCAAGCGAAGCGTGTAAATTCTCGACGGAAGAAGTCACGCTAGGGAAGTCACGTTCTCTAGTAATTTCCAGTCTCAAACGATCGTTTGTTCATGGGTGTATATCAATTAATTGTTGTATACCCCCCTCTAGATGTAATGTACAAGGTTGTTGTAAGCGAGGAAGAAGCGAAGTTTAGATGCGAAGATTTCTAAAACTGCCACTATTTTGCGCGTGTAAACTGATACACCAATGCAAACAATACTGTTCCAAGATCGAATATGTTCGCGATTCAAAAAAGACATAAATTTAGATGTTAAATTGAGTTAGATTCGTGAACATTTGGTACCGATAGAAAGTTTAGAATTTGAGAATGACAGATCTGCTAGTTGAAGAGCAATTTCATTTTAAGCGCGGCTATCACAGACCTTTTTGGAGATGAGGATAAATAATTTTAAGGTAAATTTTCTATGCATTTTATGTGTTCGCGATTCAGACTTTTTGGATTTTTTACGCTGTCTTTGAATTAAATGGAATAAAAATTTGTATACAGAAAATAAATCATCTGAGAATTATTGTATGTATTTTTTTAAACTGATTTGAGCTTTTTTTGCGACAAAATCTTGGTGACTATGAAGTATAGTACAATATTGTATAAACAGCGTTACATGTTCGGTCGCCGAGAAAATTGTTTCGTAGCGCGAATATTACAATTCAGTGTTCCAATTTTAACTATTTTATTGAAAAGTCTATGTTTCTAGTGTATTTCTAAGTCAAAATTATTTTGAAATTTTAAATTTTTAAGTAAGAAATTTTTGAATATGTTTGATGCTTTGTCAGATTATGTTACGCGTTACATAAGAATTCGCCTCACTTTTCTGAATACTAAAATCCATAAAAAAATAAATTCTTCCTCTATTACCACGATTTTTGGTTTAATACAAAGAGGTTAACTATATCTAACAGGATATATAAGTTTTAAAGTGTTTTGTTTGAAATATATATTTTTTTGCTCAATATGGTTTTCGTAAACATGCTTTGCCACCCTGGATCGTGCTACTGATCTAAATCATAAACCAATACTACATGCGCAAACTTATATCACACTTGTGAGCCCAGTTATTTTGTTGATGATTCATGTACTCTATTTGTTTGGAACTCTAGAAATTTGCATAAAAGTCCAGTTGTGCATTTATTTTATTCTCCATTTGCTAAGGAATATATCAAGCATTGTTCATGAAAATCTTTAATCGAAAGTGACACTTTGACAAAAATATGTATATTTATGCATTGTTGACTAGGTATGTGGTTGTGAAGGCTAAATGTTGGCCAAGTTCTTTTAGAGTATTTTTGTGGACAGAGTGGAAGTCAAGGTTGATAAAAATGGAAAAAAATAACTTGGCTAACATTCATCCATTCTTGACTGAACAAGTTTGTGCAATAAAGTTTGTGCCAGGAAAGAAAGCCAACCATGTTTTTAGTACATTAAATCCACAAGAGTCATCTATGGTTCCTGTCAGCAAATTCTGGTCAAATTTTGCTCTCTAGTTAGAGAAAATAGTCAAGTGTAATTTTTGGGGAAAAAATTGTAAAATATCAGAAAATGTTGCGAATCTTAATTTACATACAGTATGTTGTTTACATCACATCTTTCACTGCACAACAAAAGGGAACTTGTTGCACATTTTGCAAAACACAAAGAAATGAGAGTCTCTATAAGATGGCCAAAAAGGGAAAAGTTGCTAAAGATCTGGAGCCAAAGAAATCGAATTGAAGTATTTCTTTTTCCCACTTTTCCTATTGTTTTCCCCACGAATTTGGTTTTTTTTTTAATTCGTGTTCCCCATTTCATGAAGTGACCTTTCCCACAAATTTCAAAGGAGTTCTTTGTCACAAGACTTTCCAGTGGGTTCGATGTTATGACTGCATTGGCTAGCATTTAAATGAGGTGCAAAAACTGAAATTCTTGGAGGCTAAAATCGCAAGGTTTGCTATTACACGAGTTACCTCTACTTAAAGGAGTTAATAGTGTATGTAAATTTGTTGGATTTTCATGAAAATTGGCCTGATGTTCACATACAAAAGTGTGTAAGGCCTGAGCAAAATTGATATATTTCTATCATAATGTCCAGGAGGTGGCAACAACCCAAATATTTTCTATTGTCCAACTTGAAAATAGATTTTCTCAGGAACCAATAGGAATATCAGAAAAAGCCTCACATGCTTTGTTAGCCTATTATCTACCGAGTGATACTGTCCAGTTTGTTTGAGGTCTGTGGTAATGCAGAGGCTGGTAATTCAATAAAGCAAACACTATCAGAGTTGAAGCCTACCTAAACTAAAACTGTGAAAAAATTTAATTTTCATAATTCATTGTTAATAAGCTTTACAGTGATATATAAAAGTTGGCACAGGATGATTTTTTTCAAAGACATCCCATTTTGTTGATAGTAACCTTATCTGTCTTTTGCCACTTTTTGCATGTTCATCCCACACAATGTCCGAAAATTTCAAACCTATTTGTCCACTCCATGCACTTTTTTTGTGTGTGGGATCAAATCAGGCAATCCCAAGCGGTTAAGAAGGGTCCCTGTCATGTAACCAATCAGAACACAGGATTCCTCTATATTGCCCGTGGGAGCTGCCAGCATGGCTAAATCTATATGATAAAATCATATCCTATATTTCTGTTTACATGTCAATTTCTACCAATCTTAAGTTACTAGTAAGAGAATTTATGATTTACAAGTCCCTTAACTTGGTCTGACTCTTTCTTTTCGCAGAGTGATCAATCACTTCCCTAACCACTATGAGTTGACTAGAAAAGATATGATGATGAAAAACATAAAAAGATACCGTAAAGACTTAGATAAAGAGGGCAATCCTGTGTCAGAAAAAGATGATCTAGGGAGATACCTTCATCTTGGTAAATTGTAATTTGTTTATTACTGTTGAAATATTTACAACTGAAGTATCACTTCTCCTTCTTGATAAGAACCTGTAATTTCAACTTTTAAGAGGAAACGTACCTTTTCATATCAAAGTATTAACCAAAAGAGGGATGATTAAGATATGGGATAAGCATTGTGGTTCACTCTAGGACAATTCACATGGAAAATGATGCTGACATGTTCATTTCTAGACACCACATAATTAATTGCGCAACAGAATATTTGACACATCAGTGAAATATTCTTAGCTAGCACTACCTTGAGTTAAAGAGTATTTTCCCACTTCAAGCGATTTCTCTGACTCAGTAGAATTCGAGATATTGATTTTTTTTTGAGAACAGATTTTTACCAGTGGTATCATTCTCAATGAATCAGCAAAGACCAAAAGTGTGAAAATTTATTAATTGCATGCTGAAGGACATCATGTCAACAAAAACTATGAAGGAACTTTGTGTGAGTTGATGATTTTCTTTTGTTTTTGGGTGTGGGTAATCTGTTGAATTTTTTCTCATTATTGCAAAAATTGACTGATGAGGGTGATCTGCTGCACAGGTTAATGGACAGAAATTATGGTAGATCTCATTTGCCCAAGTTTAGAGCATGATTCGTGGTAAGGGTATGGTATTGGGCTCAGGGAATGGGACAGTATTCAGAGGTTATAGGTACCAATAAGTGTTAGGGAACAGAGTGAGATGATAGCTAGGCTATATGGGGAAAGATATTGGGGGGAATCTGGCTTTAGCTTCAACTTTTTTAAAGTAAAGCTGTTTACCTTTCTCTCCTTTCAGATTTTATTCCAGTTACATTCATCTTGCCAGCAGATTATAATCTTTTTGTAGAAGAATTTAGAAAAAATCCATCCAGTACTTGGATCATGAAGCCAACTAATAAATGCAAGTGGCAGCTTTCTCTAAAGTTTCTTAGAAATTCTAAAGCCAAGGCTTCCAGGAAACCTGGAAGAACTAGATATTAAAATATGAAATACATTAAACTTTCCCTATAGTGAAAGGTTTTTGCAAAATTGTGATTATTTTCCTGTTTTTTCTTTTTGTCAGCTGGTAGTGATGCAAGTTAATTCTATTCTTATAAAATAAAGTGTGAGCAGGAAAACTGTAATGTCTCACATCTGTGAAAGGTGTGACAAATTAGTTCTCTGGTGTAAGTTTGGAGGTGTTCAATCTGCAGGTGTGCTTTGGTGGCCGTAAGTCCTCTGCAGAATTACCCAGGATCATTTGGAGTAGGGCATGATATGTAATTGGAAAAATATCAGTTCTTGAAGAACTTTTAAAAGAGCAATCTGATTGTTTGATTTTAGTAACTGGTGGAAGCCTGTAGACTGGCTTATTAGTCAAACACTGTGCTTGAGTAAGCTGCTGCACACTTAAATATTTTTAATGTATTGGTGTTCTGTAATTTTTCCAGCTCAAGGCAAAGGGATTTTTCTAATCAACAGGCTGTCACAGTTGAAGAAGTGGTCTAAAGACAGTAGAGGAACACTGTATGTTGATACACAATAGACAATATTGCTTACTGGCTTTGTGAATTTTAGGTGTAACATCTAATTTCTCCCACAAAATTTAGTTTGTTCTGTTTTATGCTCCTCTTACAGACTTGTTCACCCAAGTGGAAAGGATGCCTATGTAATATCCAGATATATTGATAATCCATTACTTATTGGTGGCAAAAAGTTTGACCTACGTATCTATGTCTTGGTGACATCCTATCGGCCACTAAAGTGCTACTTGTAAGTCTTTCTTGAAAAGTTATTGATAGAAATTGTCTGGAAAATTTATTGCAAGTAGATTACCAAAGTATCAAGGGATCTGGGTTAATACATATACTTGTTCATTTTCCATTCCCATAGACAGATGGCATTTGATTGGTGTTTTGGATTAAACTGTTAAATACATTATTTGATAGCGCACTTTACTAACTTCAACAACCATAATGAGCAGTGTAGTGTGTAAGGAGATATCTTGAAATTTTTATGACAAGAATTTCATTGCGTTCTATGTAAAAGAGGTATGTGAGGGAATCCGCCTAAAAAAACTACTTAATTGGCAATTGTTTTAATTGTTCTCTTGCAAAAGGAATGTGTTAGATGCAATTTAACCCTTTAACCCCCAAGATCATAATGTTGATTCTCTCCTCTAGCTGCTACACATGTCCTTGCAAATCAGTTAGAAGAATTTTGTGTTAGATCAGGATAACAACTTTTACCTGATAAGTTTGAATGTTTCCATTACCTGTTTGCTAGATATGTGTATGGATATTTTAGGGAGAAGTTTCATGTTACTTCTGGGAGTTAAAGGGTCAAATACTTTCAATGTCTCTTGGAAATTCAATAGAGTAACTACCAAAAAAGAAGTGGTGAAAATTTGGCTAAAGGAAGTGTATCTGAGCTGCAAAATTGTCTGCAAAAGTAGGAATGAAAAAAACATCCTGGAAATATTGGCAGAAGTGGGGTAAAAAGAACTTACTATCTCAAGGGGAGAGGGTTTCTTTTTTGTCTGGAGTAGCCCAAGGTGACTAGACAACAAATTCTGAATTACGTATTTCCAGTTTGACAGGGGGATGGTCACTAGTCAAGAAAATATGCTGAACCACACACTATCACCAAAATGTCTGTTCCTTGGTCAAAAGGTTGAGTCTTTCTAAGATGAATCTCATTGTTACCTCAAGCAACTTGTACATTATCAAAACGTGTTCTATTTTATTATCTCACCTTGCACTAACAGCTTCTTAACTTACCTTGTTAAAAGCTTTTACAGCAGAGAAAGACATGTTGTTTTTAAAAAAAGATTTTAAATTGTAGTGTCTCTCCTTGCTTTCTTCTGCAGGTACAAACTTGGATTCTGTCGATTTTGCACTGTCCAATACAATGCAAGTCTGAGTGAACTTGACAACATGTTTGTCCATCTTACAAATGTTGCAATTCAAAAATATGGGGTAAGAGAGATTTGAGATCAAAATGAAATGATTGTTTGGAATGCTATCTTATAGCTACAATGTTTCTTTTTCAAAGGAAGAATATAATCCAATTCATGGAGGTAAATGGACAGTAAGAAATTTACAATTTTATCTTGAAGGAACAAGAGGGAAGGAGGTGAGTAATTTGGCTCAGATTTTGTAAAAGTGTTCCTTTCTAAATTTTTTAGACTATTAACACAGTGAACTAATTAACAATAAAAAATAAGTCCTGAGAGATAATTCTTATACTTTCTGATACTTTGTTTAATTTGGCCAACTGATAAGTAACTTACTCTTGACTAATTTTCTATTCAAAACTGTAATTGAGAAATCACAAATTATTTAAGGACATTTTTGCTATCTGGGGGTAGTAGAATAATCAAAGCAAAGCAGAACTCAAAAGGCACTGTAAATTTTCTGATGAGAAAGAGAAAACGTCTTGCCAAGAGTGACTAGGATTTGTGATGTGCCCAACTTTCAAAGCTTGGCAAAGCAAATGTTTTTCCTCAGGTTTTACTAATACCTGATTACCCAATACATGCTCACAGAAGCTAAGTGGAAAACACATGACAGAAAATTATCACCTTTCTGCAAAGCACCATTTTGCTTGCTGTAAATGTAAGCAGTTCAACAATACTACTGGCTGGTTGTTAAAAGTGACTTTAGTGTTGACATGGTTCTCTGAGAAGGCATGACATGCTGCTTAACTTTTAAGAAGTTTTTTGGACAAGGTATCTCCTCTTTGGATGAGTAGGGCCATGCATTAATGACATCAGGAAAGTGCTAAACTCTTGTAACTTAGATGAAACAGTCCAATTCTTTAAGAGCTGTGGGGGGAAATGTGTTTAATAGTGAGCAGTTTGCCTTCATGGTCAGTGGTACTTAGTGATGGCAAAGATGTTCCTGGTCTTGAATTTGAGAGAGAAAGAAAAGAATACACCATCAACCAGCTTAAATGGGACTAGGCTTGCACTTGTCAATGTCTTGACAGTGCAACATGGTATTGAGATTTTTGTTCACAGCTGTATCATCTGATGCATTGTAGGTTACAGATAAGCTATTTGATGACATAAACTGGTGCATAGTTCACTCTCTGAAGGCTGTTCAGGTAATGTCAGTTGATCCAGCTGTACCAATAAATAGAGCCCCTTCATATCCATGTGGTAGAGATATGAAGGAAATCAGTGATTCAGACATAATTTTTCATTATTGATAGGTACTAAATAGTTCATTTCAATAAGGTCTCATATTGGTTATGTTAAAAGTCTCTGAGTCACTTATCCTTTTTATTAGCAATAACTGATCAGTAATTCCCCCTTCTATCTAGTATGGGTTTCTTTTTAAATTACAGAAGAAATTTTGTTATAATATCAAAAATGTATCATGCCTTTTAACTGACAAGTTTGTCTATTCTCCTTACTTGTTGGCTGAGTAATGCTTTGTTCTTGAAAGAAGAATTGTCAAAATATTTATTTAATAAAATATCACCTCAAGTGGGGTGCAACTTTGTTATTGTGTGAGTTAAAATAATTTATCCTTTGGTATCAGTAATTGGTATTAAACACTATAGTCACAAAATTCAGGTGCACTTTCATTTGCATCTAGAAGAAATTTTGATTCAATTTCCATAGCTCTTAGCCATTTGCAAATGCTTAAGGTTCCTCAACAAATATGCTATATTAATTTTCAGAATGTTATAGCCAATGACAGGCACTGCTTTGAATGTTATGGGTAAGTATAAACAAATATCAGAATTCATCTAAGTCATTTCCAATTTCATCAACTGTAGCAAAAGCATGCCTGTATGTTTCTTATTAAATGCATTTTTATCCCCAAAAAATCTGAAATCATCAGATTAAATGCTCAGTTCTTAAGAGAATGTCCTTGATTTCAGCTATGACATCATCATTGATGATAATCTGAAGCCTTGGCTTATAGAGGTTAGTCTAGTGCATGAGCTGTTTTTGGGCATTTTGCAAATTAACTGTTTTTGTTTTTTTGATAAAAATGTGTGCTGATGGCTAGGTTGTTTCTCAAATTGGTTACAGTTTTGATTATTGGGTAACAGCACTCTGTGTGGTCAAATTATATCTGCAATCATATTCATGATTGACAATTTGAACTCCCACTTCACAGTCCTCCAATTTTATTTATCATTCAATGGACTTCCCAGGACCCTATTACCATTATTTATTGTGCAGAATTTATATATCTAGTAGTTGTCAGGTGTCCAGTAGCTTTTTTTTTTTATTTGCAGGTGAATGCCTCTCCTTCACTGACATCCACTACATCTGCTGACAGAATTATGAAGTACAATCTAATACATGACACTCTTAGTATTGTGCTACCTAATGGGGAAATTCCAGAGTGAGTAAAATAGTAGATGTTCCTATGGGCATAGTTGCATTTTTTATTTAAGATTACTGTCAAAAAAATCTGGTCAAAATGTTCAAAATTTCATTTTTTGCTTTGAGAAAGAAGTAAAAGTTGCAGTGAAAAAATTGTTAAATCTAAATGTTGGATGCGACTGAAAGAATAATTGAATGGATGGCAAAACCAATTGAACAAATGTTACTTCACTAAATGGTTTGAATGGTTTGTCAAATGCTTTGAACAGATTTTTTTGAGGCATTTAAACGAATAACAAACAGATACAGATGGTTTACCCATTCAAACAGAGAAACATTAGTGTCCATTTTGCCTTTCACGGTCACATATGCTTGGGGAACCTGTACTGTAGAGTGAAAGGTGTCACAAACGTTGATGTTAGCTATGGGCTTTCATCCAACATCCCTATTTGTACATTCTGTTTACATCATGTCATACACTGCACAACAAAAGGGAATTTTTGGCACATTTCACAAAATGTTGTGAAATAAGAGGCTTCTCTCAGCCAGCAAGAGAAAAGGCAGGAGAGAGCCAGAGGTGAAGAAATTGAAGGTCAGCTTTTCTTTTTCCTTAGCTTTCTTTACTCACTTTCCTTCTGCTTTTCCTGATGAATTTTGGATTTCACTTAACTTGTGTTCCCTCATGTTACCTATGACCCTGTTACACCCTGTTATCTATGAGCCATAACTAGTAACCTGTTACCCTTGATCCACTACTTGTCACTTGTTTTCTATGAACCATTACTGGTGACCTGTTACCCATAGCCCCCTACTTGGTACTTGTTTTCTGACCCATTATGGTGACCAGTTACCCAAGATCTACTACTTGCTACTTGTTATGTATAAGCCATTACAAATGGCCCATTACCCATGATCCTCTACTTGTTAGCTATTGTCTATGACCTATTTTTAATGACCTTTTACTCATTACCCTCTTCTCGTTACCTGTTATCTATGAGCCATTTCTAGTGACCTTTTGCCCATGATCCACTTCTTGTTCCCTGTTTTCTATAGCCCATAATTAGTGACATGTTACCTATGACCCATTACTCGTTATCTGTCATCTATGATTTACTACCAATGACATGTTACCTATGATCCTCTACTTGTTACCTGTCATCTAAGACCCACTACTAGTTACTTGTTAACCATGATCCACTGTTCATAACCTGTTATCTGTGAGCCATTACTAGTGACCTGTTACCCACAATCCACTTCTTGTTACCAGTTATCTTTGACCCATAAGTTGTGAACTGTTACCCATGACCTGTTACTCACAACCTGTCACATATGATCCATTACTTGTGACCTGTTACCCATAACCAACTTTTTGTTACTTGTTATCTACCTGTTACTCATGACCCACTATTTGTAACATACTACGTTATTCATTACCTGTGACCTTCTACTTGGTACCTGTTTCTATAACCCTATACTTGTGAACTGTAATGTGTGACCCACCACTTGTTGCATCTTACCATTACTTGTGACCTGTTAAACATGACCAAATACTCGTTACCCATTATGTATATGACCATTACTTGTGCTAATTTTTGCAGGACAAAGGGTTATCTAATGTTGAATTAAATGAAATAAAAAGCTACCTTGGTCAGTCCTCTCCTGTGACGAATGACACCAGTAAACAGTAAAAGGACCGCATGCCACTTTGTTGAATAAATCCTGTAACAAACATGATTTTGATTTATTCAGTTGCCTTCTTTTGAACATCACATAAATCAGAACCCATTTTTACTTGCATTCATCATGAGCCATTGATATTTTTCCAAGTGAAATGCCAAAAGTATTGCTAATCTGTGAAATGGTCTTTCACGGTTGATCTTTGGGTTGTCACACATTGTGTGATATACTAGAGAACAGTTGTGAAGGAAACTGCCATGAGATAACTTACAAAATTATATCATTCTGCAATGCTATCGAAGTAGACACGAATTGATGCGGTTTAACCGTGTTTTGATCAAAGTTGGTCATTTTTTCTTTACATAAATTGTTCAATAAGAGAAAGCAAAGGAGCAAACTTATAAATGGTCTGTTGAAAAATAGATGTCTTGCTGGGAGTGACAAGGGTTTCTGGTTGGCTTGAATCCCAAGATTTTTGTTAATCTCTTGTCATGCTTTTGAGTTCCTCTAGTCTGTCCCTTAAATGTGACAAATTGACAGAGGTATTGTCAAGAAGCAGAGTACACGACACTGAAAGCTGATCAGGTCTTGCACTGTCTTTACAATTAAATATGCAGACAATTTTAGCTCCTGTCATTTCCTGTAGGTTCAAGAAATTGCAAAGCTTTTTTTTTTGAGACATAAAGACATTATTGTAAGATTCTACGCTTTCTGTCCTGAACAAGAAATAAGGGTAAAGACCTCCTCGTGCTAATCGTTTCTTTCTTTACTAGTGTTAGATGGAATAAGATACCGTCCAAAGATGCTCTGGGAAATTTTGAAGTACTGTAAGTAAAGTGTTAGCTTTAGTGGTTTTCCCAAGTGAGAAAACTTTTTCTTCTTTCTGATATCGTGCCCTTTTTCTGGTAATAGTTGTTTTGCAACTATGATAACAGCCTTTTTTTTATGCAATTTGATAATTTTCCTTTCTAGTTCGTATACATTTCATTGAATGTGTGCTTGTTTTGTTGCTGGAATTTTCCCACTAACAGCGCACGCTCTCGTCGACTACGTTGGGGTCAATTGTCACCCAACAATGAAACTGTTTGCCGTCGAGGGTTTTTTTAGCAGGCAAAAATTGCAAAATCTTTGACGTCGGAGGGTAACAGGGTAATGTTTCCTGCGAAAGTTTTACGATGACTGCCGTTAAACGTGAACAGAACGTGATTGAGGATGGGGTGACATTTCTGCGCTGTTGTGTTTTGAGCTTTCAGGCGCTTCCATGCCATTTATATATAGTGTTTCGCTATCCATTCGCATTGAAAATGTTTTCCTCCGCGGGACGAGAAGTAATGTGTTTAATATATCTTGATAACTCTCAAGTTGATAAGTGCGTTAATTTGAAAGTCCGTTTGTTATTCTTATTATTTGGAGAGTAAGTAGAAAGGTAAACACGTTTGAGTTAATGCCTTTTCCTTACACATAGTAGTGCAATTTAAATTTGTTAACTCAAACACTTATTTGTTACCCAGGTATGACGAAGAATTAGCCTGTCAAGATTCATTGGAGAGAGACTCGCGATCTAGAACAGGACAGACAGTTGCCTCTCGAGGTACTAAAGAAGGCAAAATCAAACAAGCTACTTGGAAATAAACTGCAATCACTTAATGCTGATAATAGCCATCTACTCTCGAAAGATCGGACCTGTGAATCCCTACACCCCACATTTTTTTCTCTTGGTATCATGCACAGAGCAAAACATTTTAACAAATAATGCTACAAGCTGAAAGTTGGGCTTTATAAAGGCATTAAGAGGTATAAAGATACTTTTACCGCAATTGGCAGTAACGTCGCAATCTGATTGGATAACTTGGACCTCGAGGTTGACATCAGGAAGACCGGCCACTAGTAGAGCCAATTAAAAAGGATGGCCTAGAACAGAGATCCCTGGCGGCCTATGCCCCAGGAGGTGCGATGGTCTTAGATAGATAGATGGTAAGTCTGTAACAAATTTTGACCACTGTGCTGACGAATATCGGTGTGAATAACAGCACAGAATACGCTAAACCACTGTCGATTTGTTAAATTTATTACTTCGTTTGAAATGGTATTCCGTTATAGAGACTCTAATATATCAGTGCACTAATAAGTTAAGTAGTACGAATGAAATTAGAAAATGGAATGAAAATATACACAGAGAAACTGGGCTTGAAAGCGATACAGCAATAAGGTAATAAATCACCAGTATTACAAAAATGTCAAAATCAGAAAAGACTTTTAAATATATGAAAAATCGAGATTGTAATGTAAATGCCACTGAGATCAGGCCGTAAGATAACCAACCGTCTGAAGGTAGCCACAGTCCTAGTAATATTTTTAATATCATCGCGCTATAAGAGTTTTTGGCGCGAAAGACTGGTAGACAGTCTGCATAGTATATTGCTAATACTGAAATGATTGGTGAATTTTTTTTGTGAAGTAGTTTGGTGCCAAACTATTGATGCGTGCATGTACCATTAAGTCGTTCAAGAAAATGTTATATTTCAAATTAAATCACCCTAGAAATTGTGTACTTTCCAATATTTGATCTTATTTCCATCGTCCCAATACAAATTTTGATGCAATGTCCTGGAGTAGCTAGAGGTAGTGCACATTCTTGTGCCGATCGCATTCCATTCACACACATTTCACACTCGCAACCACACAATCAAATCTATCATTCTTAAAAGTTTTAATTGCTTGAAAACGATTAAGAGACTGGTATTATATTTTCGAAACCTCCACTAATTTCAAAAACAAAGGCGAAAACATAGGCAACTTTTTGGTCAGAAGTTCATTTCAAACCGATGACCAACCTGCAACTTTCAAATGTGCTCGTTAATGATGCAAAACTTTTCCTTTCATTGATAACGTAGAGAAAATGAAGGGACCCAAGAGATCCATTGAGATCAATGATCACTTCACGTGGACCTCTGCCAATGTCATCTGTTGCATAACCTGTACTTATTGAAAAAGTTATGCATTGGTGAAACAGGAAGACGACAAGGTGACCAGTTCTGAGAACACCTTCACGACGTAGAAAGAAATGACAAGGACGCATCCAAATTATTCTTGAAACATTTTAATCTTCCTAATCCTTCTAAACAGCATATGACAGTTTGCGGCCTTTTCCTGCGTCTAGGCAGTTCGGAAAGCCACAAAACTCTTTATTAAAAATTTTCTTTCAAATTGACACTGTTAATCACCACTGTTTCAACAAGCGCTATTCATTCAACTAATTTAGTCTCAATGATTGTGGATATATGAAAATCATATATGTACACCGCGGTGAAGAAACGAATATAGGAGATCCTCGCACCTATGAACACTACTGAACTAGTAGTTGAATTAAGACCTGAAAAATTCAGGCTCGTACGGAATTTGAACCCATGACCTCAGCGATACCGGTGCAGCGCTCTACCAACTGAGCTAACAAGCCAACTGGGAGCTGGACATTATGTTGGGTCCAAATAAACCATCCAAGTGAAGAATAATGAGTCTCATTTTCTCGTCACCATATTCACACCAATAGTGTAGCTCCATCTTCTACATTTGAACATACACACAACCCACAATTCGTCCATGTGCTCTGACGAAGGGCTAACGCTCAAAACGTCAGCTTTGAAACTCTTCTGGAAATGTTCGCTTGTTTGGCCAAACAATTGCATTTTACAAATCGATTTAAACTATCCAAGAAAGTCATGCAGCACAGGGCATGTTCTTGCCTTTTGCAGAGTCAATTAATGAGATTTTGCAAGGTTTTCCTTGCAAAAAAAGCATTGGTTGTTTTCGTTAGCTCCTATTTTAGTTGGTATTCTCTCGCATAAAAGTTTGAAAGGAAATTCACCTATCTTTGTGCTTTTTGTACAGTTATAATGGAGCTGGTAGGCTGTGATCCACTTGATGCTACTTTGACTAACTTTGCAATCACCTATCCATTTTGATGGCTTTTGGGCATAGCCACTTTCTCCTGCAAATCAATTTTTTGTGAGCAAGCCGGCGTTGGGGAACTTGCTAACTGTATCATAAAAAATTTTCAAATTTGTTGCTGCACGTAAGAAAGTGCCTGCAGCTTGAATACCAAATTGATTTTATGGTGGAGATCATTCTGATGTATGCCAGCAGCTAACCCTAAGCAAAATGTGTTTGGTTTGAAAGCATTGTAGGGTGAGCAATTTTTGACCGTCAACTTTTAGGTGTTTATTTTCGTAATGCCGTAGTTGGAAACTACTTGATTATCATTACCTATTAGTGAGTCGTATCAGAGATTTTGCTTTTGAATTGACTTTTGGAGGTGACGTTTCTTTCAAAATTGATTCATGCCCTTAATTTGAAAATTTCCTCAAAAAATTGCTTGAATTCTTCAGAATTTTAGCTCAGTCTTTGGAGTTGAGATTTCCAGTGAACAGCCGACTGCCACAAATGTTTTCAAGTTCTAGGTTAAAGAAAAGTTTGCATTTTCTTTTTTATATCAAAGCATTTCCTAATCCATGAGGCTTTTAGTGCTTCACGACATGAATGGATATCTATTATTCTTAGGCCGCCTTCAAATAAATTTTTGATAATTATTTCTTGTTTGATTTTTTCACCTTTTTCATTCCAAACAAAGGAATAGAAGAGACAATTAACTTCCTCAATGGTTTTCTAATGCCTGCACAATGGGATTATGATGTAAACTAACTGAGAGGCGTTGACGCTCCTGTCATAGTTAACCTACGTTTTCTTCCAGTCATATATTGAATCTGAAGTCCGGAGAATCACCTATTAGACCAAGAGCAGCTATGAGTGATTCTAGGATCAATGTCGTATTATTTGCATCCTGGCTTATCTTAATTTCTTTTCAATTTACCTAGATGACTTTTATATTTCTGTTTACTATTATTTCATCGGCTAATATTTCAGCTTAGTTACCCAGCTATTGTTCATGACGAAACTTTCTATATCGTTATATAAAGACTATATACACTTTACAAAGTTTAGAGTACAACCCAAGTAGTCAAGAAATTGAGGATAAAAGGCTATTGAGTAGAGTCAAGGTATAATTTAACCGACATCGAGAACGAAGCACACTACAATCCTACAAACTCGACCCACAAAATTATCAAAGGAAGATCGTGGAGGAAGAATTAAGGGCCAAAATCATCTCGGAGAAGAATATCATAACGCATCCAAAGACCTCAATGAAGAATACTTCCTTCTTTGCTCTGTCCCCTTTCTGCGAATGCTGAACATTCTTCGTCGGAAAGTGTTTCAACAAAATCATGAAAGCCATGGTAACACTCTCACGCCCAATGTCGACAAAAACATCAACAAATTGTCTTCATACCGCCTTTCCCTCTCCGAAAAGCTCGTTATCTGCAAGGGATGAAAGTTCTCTTTACCCCAAAAGGTCTCACCTGTAGAAATCCAACAGGCTTTGAGAAGGCGTACTGAAAGAAAGAGCCATTATTAAAAGATTCAAATGAAAAGGAAATGGTTAGTGCAACTTTACGCTCGCGCTTTAAAAGCATTCAGTGCAAAGCCCTAATTCACCTTAAGTTCTCGTTAAAGTTCTAAATTCTTAAAAAAAAAAAAAAAAAAAGCGATGACTTCGCCACCAACACTACAGCTTGACAACACTATAAAGTTCAGCCCCGTGAATGACGACCCACCCAAAGTCTTCAAACTAGGTTAAACGGTAAAACCGCACAAAATGAAAGAGTAACTGGATTAAAGGGAACAAAATGCACAAACAGGCTGGATTGGTTCAAACGGTTTGAATAGTTAAAGTAGCTAAATTAGTTAAACTGGAGAAGATGCATAGACCTTTTAAAATAGTTCAGACCTGGTTGTAAAGGTCAATTTAGCTAAAACGGATAAACTGCACAAAATGGATAAACTAATTGAATTGGTTCAACTGTGTAGAATGTTCCAACTTGATTAAAATCAAACCAGCCCAAACTACCTGAATTGGATCAGTCAGTTAAAGCGGTTGAACTAAACAAAAGGCAGAAACAAGCCGAATTTGTTGAACACCTAAAACGAGTTCACTACACAAAGTACACCAATAGGTGAATTTGTTTCATAGATTGAAATGGTCAAACTAACAAAGCTGGTTGAGCTTCACAAAGTGCACAATCAGGCTGAATTCGTTTCAGTATTTGAAATAGTCAAACTTGCGACAAAGGTAAAACTGCACAAAATGGACAAACTATTTTCTTGTTTCGACTGAAATGAAAAAAATGCACGAACTAGCTGAACTAGTTTACCTTGTTAGAATCATCAGACTAGCTAATATGTTCAAATTTGTTCAAAAGCGGTTAAACTGCATCAAACTCACAAATTACCTGAATTTATTCAACTGGTTTATGCGGTCAAACTAGCTAAAGCGGTTGAATCGAATAAAATGCGCAGCAAGCTGAATTGCTTCGACTGATTGAAATTGTCAGACTAACTAAAACGGTTAAACTGAACAAAATACACGAACAACTTGAATTGGTTTAACTGATTAAAGTCGTCAAACTAGGTGATATGCTTTAACCGGTAAAAGTGCACATACTAGCTGAATTGCTTCGATACACCTTTGGCTTTGTGATCACGTGGCTTCAAATGGGTGAACAAGAATTAAAAATGGTTGCTCAAGAATGTACCAAAATTCCTTCTCTGGTCTAAGTTTCATATTTAGGGATATGACTGCTCTTTTTTAAAATTAAAACTGAGACTATAAACAACCAAACTTGTGAGCGCAAGAGGTTTAAATATTCCTGTATGAAATGTATGAAAGGGGTATAAAAGGAAAGCAAATGAATTGGCGACGTTTTGGCGACTTTTTTATTTAAGGTTATAATAAGACTGTAATTTGTCAATGGCTATAAAGTTTTTTCCTTTCACATTAATTGGTACGCTGCAGTTATCTAATTGTTAGTCGGTCGAGGTTCTCAAGCCTCTGAACATTTTACAAATTGAGAGATCAACTGCCAGTCATGGTTCTCAAATAACTAAATGACCGGCAGTTAGAAAATTTTGGCAAAATTTAAGAAATCTAGACAATCTGCAATCCAAATCGAGACAATCCAAACCATTATTATGTGCTAATCAATCTCGAAAAGACTTACAAATCTCATCTCTGGTGCTCAGTTTACGCTGACGCACAATACTTAGAAATCGTGTGAGGTCGAGTGCCGGTCACCGTTCTTGTATAACTAAATGACCGGCAGTCCAAAATTTTGCTCAAGATTTAAGAAACTGAAACAACCGGTATAATACAAACAATGACACGTCAATGAAAAACTGCTAAGCAGTTCCGAGAAGATTTGTAACTTCCATGTCTAACGCTCGGTTTACACTGGGCTAGATGTCCACATCCATGATTTTATTCACAGGAGTACGTCAATGACAGATTAAATCTGTCTGTTGGTGGTGCAGATTTGTAAAACACATTTTCATATATCATGAATAAAAGTGGGCAGTTCAGTGGTGAAGTTGACATTACAGGGTTAAATTCATTAATCAAGACTTTCCTAAGTTCACTAAAAAAATACATGAAATGAAACTCCATTTGGATAGCGCAAAACATGTATGAACATAGAGCTGGTGAATATACAGCGGTATTTGAATTATACTTCCCCTCTGCATCTATTGACCATTCATCAGTTGACATATCAGCCAAAAGTAATATTAAGACAATTTCCTAGGTATCAATTAATAAATCTGCAGATCATAACAGATCATTGGTTCATATGCTCGAGTACAATAATGTAACACCTAATTATCTGATGATGAATTTAGCATTGAAGAATAAGTCAGGTGTGGCTTATGCACAATATTTAGTCGTTCGTATCATACTTTATGGCATCTTGGGATATCGTAACGATTTTCCATCTAGTGTCAGGGATAAAAAGTTTGAAATAACTAATGGTACTCTCAATTTCCTGACAGTAGGTGAGTTAAAATGACGAAAGAGCTAAAAATACAAGATGCAGTTACTGATGATAATCCTTTTACAAAGAAAGTGTCCAATGATAAAACTAAAAGTGTTTACTTTTATTGTAATAACCTTTCACATAATAACAGTAACATACTAGGATTTCTCACAAGTGGAGCAAATGATTTAACATCAAAAAGCACCCATTTCTCTTTAAAACATCAACCGGTCATATAACTCTTAATATATATGTATTTATGAAATCCATTTTAAAGACGGATACTGAAGCCCAGCTTGTAATATACATATAAATCCTCGGAGCGTCAATCCTAACACTGTGTTCGTCTATATTGAAGACACAAGCAGTAAATCGACGAACGTCAATGTTTTTTATCCCATGAGTCTAACTGCTGGATTTGAAGTAAGGGTTCAAACAGCTCGAGGAATGTCGGATGGTGGTTCTTACAGTCAGATTCTTATTTAAAAGAATCGGTTAAATTAGTATAATCATATATTATATATGGGTATTTTTGCTGGAAGTGATACAAGACAAAAGAGAGTAATTAGTATGCGTGGTTCACCAGGTTTCGGAGGGTCTTAGAATAATGAATGGGAGATACTGGTCCACAGGGTCCAAAAGGTGACAAAGATGATAAAGGAGATTTAGGGTCTGATGGAAAGATTGCAATAGCTGCCGATTTGAATATGGCTAACAATAAAATAATCCATGTAGCCACACCAAGTGATGCTAGTGATGCTGTACATAAATCATGTGTGAACAATGTCCGCTGATTTGAATATGTCAGATTAAAAAAATAATCAATTTAGCTACACGGTAATGTTATACGCAACGATTTATAATGCTACAATTTAGCCACACAAGCTAAATGGTAATGATGCTGCAAATAGATTATAGGTTTTTTTTTGTTGTTGTTTTTGTTTTCTTTTTTGCTTCAAAGAGTTTATTATTAGAATGAGGTACGAAAAAGGGTTTCATTATATTTTATAAAATAATTCAAATAGTACGCACGCTCTGATTGGCCATAAAACCATTTTACATGAGCGTATGTAAACACGGTTTTCGTTCCTCTTTCATTAGTTATTTCATTAGTTATTTACTCGATAAGCTAGAAACCTCTCAGCCTCGCGTCGTGGTTTCCTACGCTTATCTCGTATTCTCCCAACCTCCCGTGTGTTTACATCAGGCTATGTAAACACGGAAACCATTTTATATTTCTTCAATTTACAACATTATTTAAATGATGTATTATTTAAAAATATTTCAATTTTTTGTCATAATGTTTATAAAGGAAAGGAAGAATCACGGCAAATAGAATAATTCGGCAATGATCGATGAAACTGAGAAATTTCATCTGTACGAAGCTAGCTTGTGCATTTTTTTAATCCCGTTTCTCGCTGCCTTCAATCAATAATGATACTTAGAATTTAAGAACAACTATTAATGGTTGTTGTTGTTGTTGTTTCTGTTTACAACATGATACTTACATTAACTATAGTAAGGTTCCTTTCACGGGACTCTCTACGTACATTGCGTTACACTACTAAATTACTTCAACAAAGTGAGACATATTGTGAAATTTGTGAAGTTGATTTCTTTTTGCTAGTTTGACTACATAATCATATGAACCAATTAAACTAGTTTGATTATCTTAGGTAGTTAAACCAATTAAACTTGACTCTCCAGTTTGTACACAATGGGTCAACTGGCTAAATGTCAATCGAGCGATAACAGTTAAACTATGGAAATTGCAAAATCCGTCTCAATTGGTCGAAGTAGCTCACATGGTCAAACTAGCTTTTAACGATTGAACTGAACAAAATGGATAACCTCATCAATTCAACTGCACAATCTAGACAATTTAGCTGAAATGTTTCAAGAAGTCTAACAGTCAAAGGTCAACTGA